AGATATTAATTAATATTATCATAAAGATATTATGATGATACTAATATTATAATGATATTAATTAATATTATTATAAAGATATTATAATGATATTAACTAATATTATCATAAAGATATTATAATGACACTGATATAATGATATTAATTAATATTATTATAAAGATATTATATTAAGATATAATGATATTAATTAATACTATTATAAAGATATTATAATGACACTGATATCATAAAGATATTAATTAATATTATCATAAAGATATTATGATGATACTAATATCATAATGATATTAATTAATATTATAATGATATTAACTAATATTATCACAAGGATATTATAATGACACTGATATAATGATATTAATTAATATTATTATAAAGATATTATGACACTGATATCATAAAGATATTATGATGATACTAATATCATAATGATATTAATTAATATTATTATAAAGATATTATAATGATATTAACTAATATTATCACAAGGATATTATAATGACACTGATATAATGATATTAATTAATATTATTATAAAGATATTATAATGACACTGATATCATAAAGATATTAATTAATATTATCATAAAGATATTATGATGATACTAATATTATAATGATATTAATTAATATTATTGTAAAGATATAACGATATTAATTAATATTATTATAAAGATATTATAATGATATTAACTAATATTATTATAAAGATATTAATTAATAATTATCGTATTATATTATAATGATAATATCGATGTAATTATAATTATAATAACACTCAATGGAGATATTCCCCCGATTTCGTCTTTGCTTCTTCCTCATTCGTTTTCCTCCTTATCTAGGCCGATGACGAGACTTTTAGCGAGATGACGACAAGAAAACGGAAAACGCAAATATCGGAAAACGGTGTCTATTAGAACATCTTCGTGTTCTCGTTCGATTGGCGTGTTCAATTTTAAACACGTTCAAGTACGTTTAGCAAAGTGTCAATTGCTTGGTGGTAATTGAAGTCTCGTGCTGTTACTGAAAAAAAAAAAAAGAATTCTTTCTCACGCGCGGAAAGAGTGATCGCGATTACGTTTGTTTGAAATGTAAATCTGTCCTCTGCTCCACAGTTTCATTCACGGCGATAATTTTTGACTGGAATTCTTCTTTCTTCTTGGATTCTTTCATCAAACCGATTTTTCCGAGAAATCTTCAATTTTGACGTATTTTGACGAAAATAAATTACGTTTGTTTGTTGATACATCGTCGATATTTTAGACACGTATTACATAATCGAAAGGATAAATCCGTGTTTTTCAAACTTCCTTCGTTCCTTTGAACTTCCTCTCTCTAATATAAAAGCGTGGGATTTCTGTAATATTTTTTTATAATATTATAGAGATATTTTTATAAATTCTATAATACTTTACTATATTTTTATAATATAAATATATATATATTATATCTTTATGATAATATATTATATTATAATATAATATAATATAATATATAATGTTATATATATTAACTAACATAATATATTATATTGTATAAATATAATATAATATATATTTTTATATTTTTCGAAAAAAATATTACAGAAGTTTCTGTAAAAATATTATAGAGATAATATTATTAAAAAATGTAATATTTATTTTCGAAAAATATTATAGAACATTTCTACAATATTTTTTTTCCATAATATTTTTATAGAAATTTTTATGATATATATATATATTTTTTTTTAATACTCAAAGATCAAGTTGCAAATTACTCGTCCCTCGTTCGTTGCAACATTTATTCGTTCAAAGTGCACGGATTATTTTCAATCTACGCAAGCACAGTGGCAATCGTAACGTTTCACGCTTTTTACTTCGCGCGATCATCAATAGTAACCGGAGCACGTTTACCTTACGGTTTCATTGAACGCCTGTTCTAATGAAAACTCTATTTATTCCGGGCAGGGAGGTGTGCGAGGCATTCTGCGCGGGAGCATCGTCTCACAGATCATTCCTGTGTAACAAGCGAGATCCACGCTACCACATTTGCACACTGGAGAATCTTTAGTACACGAATTAACACTAGGAATCACCAAAGTGGTCGAAATGGCCAGTCTGTAATTTTTGTCAGCCTTCTATTTCTACAATTTTTCACTAAGAATACAAATAGAGTGGCATTTTCAATGAGGTGTGCAGGTACACGAAGGATTATGGTACATTAGTTAATAGTCGAAATTCAAGGGATTATATCCTTCCGTTTATGTTCGTCAATAATATTGGCAATATTCTATCTGCGAAAGTTTCAGAGGAAATGAAAATTTAATTCTTCCACGACGAACTCGAATCTGTAACTTTCAACTGACAATTGTTCCTAAAAGTAACAAAATAATTAAGTAATTAATCAGATTGTTATGAATTGGCCTGTATATTAATATTAATTCAATAACGTAGAAAGTATTTCTTTTTTTTTTTCATTTTCATTATTTATATTCGCATCAACCACTTGTGGACTGGAACTAAATCTTGGAATTTATTATAAAAGTTAAAGTGTCTCAGAAAGTGTATTAATTTAAAAACCGCTTCTTTATCCTTTAGGGTGTCAGTCGATGGAGGATTTACGTTCAGTTGATGTCTGCTCGTGGTGTGCTCGTTTCTCCACTGTCGATTGAACTTTACAACAAATCACAAGTTGAAGGATAATGGACACTTCACGTTTCATTTTCACACGAATATCGTTTTCTGTAAATAAAGTGGACTCTCTATCGAGAATTTCATTTTTTCGAGAAGAAACTTGAGGAAGAGAGAAAGGGCCTTAGCTACGCTTATATAAAATTTAAAAATTTTACATACGAAACACACCATGAATTATACACCACTAACTTTTCATTAACTCGTAATTGCTACGATGGTCGTTTCATTACGTGCATACACGTACATGGAACAACGCAACAAACACATTCACTTTATGCCTCAGCCTTGTTCTACATACCAGAACTGTAGAAATTTTGTTTATGCATGTGTCAATTCTGAAATTTTAATAATATGCATAATCATTGACGATTGGACTGCGGATGTCTAGATCCGCAAATTCATCATCATTGTGAGCACAATTATGTGAACTACGAACGAGAGAGATCCGTTTTGTTTACTAAATGTCGCAAAAATTGCTGTACTTTATTATATATTATATATATTATATATTGTGTATATATATATATATTTTTTTTTTTTATATATTGGTGCATAAAACACCAATCAGCAACCTATGAATGATGGATGAAATATAAGACTGTTCTTATCTCAAAATTTTTCATCTGTTCTTCACTTTAATTATCCACTTGTTCGTGTTAACTGAGAAACATGATGGAAACAGATATTTCAATGTGTTGGTCGAGCTTGATTTTTCCAATCTTACAATCTTTCAGTTTTGTCTGGTTACTCAGGAAAATTTAAATTTCTCAAGCAAGTAAATAATATATACACACATATGTTGCAGCCTTCTTCGTTTGAAGCACCAAACATTCTTGCAAATTGTTTCAAGAAATTTATTCAGTGTTGCAGAAAATTGACAGCTTGCGTCACATGTATGATACACGAGACAATTGAACGTGTTAAGCATGTTATTAGTTCTACAATGCGAAGGAAAAAAAAATGCTTGATTAGTATCTTAAGAGTTGGATGCGTAGATGCGTATTGTAGGTAATTAAAAGTATATTGTACAAAATACAAAAAAAGAAGATTATCTTCTACATCTATTTTTGTGGTTGTTTGTAGATGTGTATTAATTTAAAAGCATATTGTACAACATCCTTTGGATTATTAATTCGTATAGAATTAAATAGGTCAGACATATGAGTTTTAACAATGTAATTTACAATTCAATTATTACTAGATATGCATTTTTAATAATTCCTTCTTTTTTGTAGTTATAATTGGAAGATCTTATTCAATTCAGTCAATTGATGTATTCCAGTCTGAATGTTGAAAACCGATGATTGAGGACAATTTTAATCACAGGATTTCCTAGTTATTATTATCTGACATTGAAATTACGTGATCTATTGCAAAAGTAATATAAATAATAGTAATGTCGATCGTAAAATGAAATTTTCACATTATACAAGTCTTGAATTCATCGAACTTGTTGTTTAGGCTATTATATTATTTGTTCATTCTTATTATATTACTTTATTGATTCAGAAAGCTTACTCATAGTTTCATTTGCTACGAGCTCATCAGTAAATTGTGAATGTTTTATACAAAGAGTTAATTATGTAGAATCTACTTTGGCTACTTCTGCAGCTATGTATCTTTCTTTCAAGGATTACAACATTGTTCTCCAGACGTAGGTGTGGTAGCTTCATTCATAAAACGTTCAGTCATTGTTTTGCTTTATTTTCCTATTCAGAATCCTCATACCTCTTCTGGAAACTAAAATCTTTTGTATTTCTAAAATTTTTGAATAAAACAAATAGAGTGGCATTTTCAGTGAGCTGCTGCAGATTTATGAAGGTACTTTAGTTAATAGTCAAAATTCAAGTAATTATCCCTCCCTTTATATCCGTCTGTAATATTGGCAATATTCTACCTGTGCATCGTAAAGTAGGGTAAAGGCTATTAGAAAGATATAATACAAAACTTCTTTTAATGAGAGCTGTAATGAGAATTACGGTAAGCAATCTCTCACACAAAAATGTACGAAACAATTGAGATTCATTCGATGAAAGCGTAAAAGAGTAAGCTGATTTAATTATCAGCGCCGCGAGAAGGAAAGGAGCGATTCCAAAATTTATACGCTCGCGTAATAATTATATTATCAACTTTATCCTGGTGAACGGTGCTTCGAAAAGATTCGAAATTATCGCTGCCGGTAAAGTAGGACGCGCGCCCTCGAGATGAGAGAACGCCACCCCCCTCACCTGTGCAATTGATCACCCTGTGGACCGCTTGTTTCGGGGGCAACTGTATAATATACTTTATAACTGTAACTATCTAACGCTATGTCTTGTATAATTACAGATCAATTCAGTCCAGTGTTTTTCACCACGTTGAAGCATGACGGTGAAGAGTGTGAAAACGAAATTAGTACCGCCGGATGGTGGATGGGGATGGGTCGTCCTTTCTTCGGCGCTTGTTGTGAATTTCCTCATCCCCGGCACCGTGAAGTCGTTCGGCGTCCTGTTCGTCGAATTCCTACACGTTTTCAAAGCCACTTCCACCGCCGCCTCATGGATGCCAGCTTTATGCTACTTTTTGTACAACTCCTTAGGTAAACCGTCACTCACGATGCTCGTGTATTTCCTCGTTGCAGCATCAACTAACCGATAACAAGTCCCGTCTCATGTTCCGTTCGCCATAATTACTAAAGTTAATGAATTAATTGCGATAATTGTTTACAATTGCTCGAATATTTAACCATTGAATCATTGTTCTTTACAAATGATTCTTTCTCGAATAATTCGTTGATTTTTAACATAAGCAAATTCGCAAAGACTCACGCACAAATCAGGAATGTTTGCATCTTTTTCTAACCTACAGATAGTATTTCTTTGCTTGAGCATCTCTAGAGAAGCTAAACTGATCAATTCAGTTTCATTATATAAATACAAAAAAAAAAAGAAAAAGAAAAAATATATGACGATAAATTACGATGTTCGCTGTATTTTTTCTGTTTTCAATTGATCAATTGATCAGCTTTTGAACGACTCGTTTACACTCGTTTATACTAAAGATGAGCAAATAAATTTTTGTAGCAACTACTTTTTTTTTTCAAATTGTTAGCATAATAGTTAATTATTAGCATAAACTTTCTAAACACAGTTAAAGTGATATATCGTATATCGTAGACACAAAAGCATTCACAATTTATTTATGAATAATTCAGACTTTTGTGTAAATGAAAATTATTAATTATTATGTGCATTATGATACACGTAAAAATTAAGTTAGAATTTTACACTATTTCAGATTGCATTTTGCTCTTTCACGTAATATTATGATAAATAATATTAATAAATAATAATATAAAATAATAATAAATAATATAAAATAATAATAAATAATATAAAATAATAATAAATAATATAAAATAATAATAAATAATAAATAATATTTTTTGCAGGTCCACTATCGAGTATATTGTCGACCAAATACTCCTACAAAACAGTAACCATCATCGGTGGTGCTTTTGCGGCTGGCGGAATGATATTCAGCTACTTTGCTAGTTCAGTTTCCTATTTGTATGTTAGGTACGACGAAATCGTGAGATCTCTCTTGAAATACTCTTTATCGTTGACTTTTTATATTTATTCGCGTGCAGGATATTCAGAAGCTAAAAAAAAATCAATTAAAATTGAAAGTTTCATTTTTCAATGAGAAAACTTTAAAAATGAAGATTAAGATCAATATCATTTGTTTCTGACATGTAATAAGAAGGAGAGAAATTTCTATGAAGCATCAAGTAAAATAGCAATACAGAACAAGTTTGTGGAAATTATAGAAAAATTATTGTTCATCTGTTTATTGTGAGTCAAGAATTAAAAAAAAAAAGAAAGCATTATTCATCTCTCACGCAATTTTAAATGAATGCTCTGAAATTGAATTATTCAGAAGAAGAAAAGAGAATTAATGTTTTATAATTTATATGCACAGCTATGGTTTGATGGTCGGAATTGGTGCTGGATTAACATTTCCACCAACAGTGTACATTGTGACTTCATACTTTGAAAGACTTCGAGGTTTTGCAAATGGCCTGTGTATTTCCGGCAGTGCAATTGGAACTATCGTGTTACCACCGTTTCTACAGTATCTTCTCGACTGTTTCGGTTATAGGTAATGTATTGAATGGCATATGAATAACATATGTATCAAATCAATACATATATATTTATATTATAATTTATAGAACATTTATACATAAAACAGTGATGAGCAACTTTTGTTTTGTATTGGGCCAAAGTTGAAAACCTAATTTCCATGCGGGCCGCAACAAACATGACATTAAATATTTCAATATATTAAACCCTTGATTTACATAGGCTGAACATTTTGTTAATAATACTTTTAATATGTATGCAGGTATATAGACAGATGTTTCAGTTAAGAAGAAATAACAGACTAACACTACGGCTGTATTAGAAATAATATATTATAATATATTTAATTGGAACTTCAGCTTACAAGAGAGCAATCTGGATGAAAATTTATTTAGAAAACTTTTTATTTCGAAGATACCTGATTCTTCAGAAATTTTCGATTCTCTACGTTGCAATTAGATTGCAATTAGATTGCAATTAGATCTCCTAAAGAGATCTCCTTTTTCCTTTCTTATATCTCCTCTAAAGCCGAGATTAAGACGTACCTTCGTGTATTTATTTTATTGACCGAAGGAATTATCTTTCTTTGACCTGCAAATGGAAATAATGGAATGGTTTAGGGGAGGGATCGTCGCTCATTGTATTGTCGGTACCCTTAACGATTCACAGTTTATAGCATTTGTTACAAGGAGAAATAAGTCTATTATGTTTGTGAGTTCGTCTATTGTGTACGTGGAAGTAATTTAAACATTTTCTAATTTCCAAGGGTCGAAGAATTCTGACAAATCTTCCAACACTGGAAGTTATAAATTCTAAGTCGAGCCATAAATCACATTCGCTACAAGTTATTACTGGGCTTATAAGCAGCTGAAGGACTGAAGGTTGCTCATCGCTACTGTACAAAAAAATGTATGCACACGTATACACGCTTTTTAGAAGTTTAAAAAAAGTCGTTTATATTTTCAGAGGTGCGGTATTAATTATGGGTGCGATCACGCTAAACACACTGGTTTGTGGTTTGCTATATCATCCAGTTGAACAACACATGATCAGAGTACCAATAGAAGGAGGAATTGACAATCAAGGATTAACCATAGACGAACCGGTTCTTGACAAGAAAAAAGCAACAGGTAATATTAAAACTTTAGAAGTTGACTTGCGGAGCTGTACGTTGAAATTATTTTTCATAATGTAGCATCTGTCGCGATCGAGAATGAAACATCGTGTAGCAACGCGGTATCAGAGAAAGAGAAAAGCGAAACTGACAATGAGAGTACAGTGAATAATTCTGAAGCAAGTTCCTGTTTGGAAGACAAAAATAAAAATACGGCTGAGAATAAAGGGGATGAAGCAGAGAAGGAGAACACTTTGGATGAAGAAGATTCTAATTTGAGTAAAGAGCAAGAAGATACTATAAGTTGTCGAAACGTGGATCCCTTACGACGAGAAAGCAACACTTCTGAAATTAACGTAACGTCCAGTAAGTCGAAAAATGAGAGATTGGAGCTAAGCAGCGCGTCGTTGAATAAGAGCAAAGACGAAAGGGTGTTCGAAAACTCTAAAAAAGAATTGGAAGAATCGTCTGAAAAATCATTGTCTAAAACGTCGTTATCCAAGGTAGAAGTAACAGGTAAACGACAATTCTTTGACCTGAGTGTACTTAGGGATCCGATTTATTTAGTTATCCTCATTTCAAACTCTACCTCAGCCATTAGCAATACAAATTTTATGATCTTACTGCCTTCGTACGCTATTTCACAAGGATTTGACAAAAATTCCTCTGCGTTACTTTTGTCAGTCGTTTCTGCCCTTGACTTAGTTGGACGAATTAGTGGCGCATCATTATCAGACATTGATTTTATGCCAAAGTATTATTATTTCGTCGGTGGTCTTGGTACCAGTGGAATAGCACTGGCATTGTTACCCATGGCAACGAGTTACACAATGCTTTCTTTCTTTTGCGCGTTATTTGGATTGTCTTCGGGCATGTACATCGGTATCACAACAGTGATTTTAGCAGATATGCTTGGCACAGAGAAACTTAGCTCGTCGTATGGAATATCTTTATTTGTTAATGGTGTTCTCCAATTAATCGGTCCGCCTATATGCGGTGTTGTATTTGAAACAGTAGGATCATATAAACCCATATTTTTAGCCTTTGGTATTATACTTATTCTTGGTACCGCGTTATGGGCGGTTGTGCCTCTTATAAAGAGGAGCAACAAAAAATCTTTGCAAGTTGTATAACATTTCGTGATTATTAGTTTCTGTAATGAATATTGCACAATTTTAAAAGTTATCAAGTATTATGAACTTTTTAATAACAGCATTTACGACTGCCATCTGAACCACACGTTTTTTTTTTCTTTTTTTTTTTTTCTTTAGAAAAATCTTTTATCAATAATCAAAGTTAACCTTTTTGTTCATAGATCTACAATAAATTGTTAATAATACATCAATGACATTGAATACTGAATACTGATACTGATCTAATTTTACGCGTGTACATTCATATACTTAATAACTTGTAGTCTAATTACTAGTAATAGTTTTATTTAGAAAAATAAAAGTAAGAGGAGAATATTTAAGAAGCAAAATAATTGGTTTATTATGCACAATTTTATTATCGTCAAACAACAACAATTAATGGTACATATCAGCAAACTTAACTATTTTTAATATGAATGGGCATATATGCAGTCATATATGAAATTAAATTATCAAATAATGAAGAAGATGAAAGTAATAATACATTAATCCTAGGTAAATTACATGATTTAAATTTTTAAATCATGATTACATATCAATTGTGTACTACATTCCAAAATAAACAATTATAAGGATATGTTAATATAATATTTAGTGAAACTTAGTATCATTAAGATTTTCAAAAACCAACAATCCAACAATGCTTGATAATTTTCATTAAAATGAATTTATTCTTTTTGGAGAGAATTTTTTAGTATTTTATAATTGTGCCAAAGTACAGTATTGTATACTAACATCAGTTTTCAATGATTTCTTGGTGCTTAAACTTGATGTACTAATTTCGTCTGGCATTATAGTACAGTTTGTATACTATGTATTACTGAATTACATATGTCTTTCTGGAAGTATCAAACATTAATATATATTAAGTAGAATTGTTATTGTGCAATATTTTTACTATTACTAAAGTTTTTTCTTAGATAATTTCAATGTATTTTTATATATTCCGCTAGCTATAAGGAAATGCTTTACTTTAAATAGGCTACTTTAAAGAGTCTTTGAAAGTCTTCTGTGAAAAAGATGTACATATAGTTATTGACATTTTAGCTGCTTGAAAGCAATAATTATAATTCCTTCCTATTGATATCAAAGATAATCAGAAATCACATATCATAGGTGTTACTGTCTATTTTTATCTGACAAAACAATTGTTCCAAAATGATGGTCCTAACTGTAAACATGACTTACAATTAATCGTTGGGAACGATCAACTATAAACTGATTTCAATCCTTATGCACGTGACTATTTTTCTATATAATATAAAACAAAAAATATGGTGCTAGCTAGTAACAAGATATTCAACATCTGAAACTAATTTTGCAATTTTTGTAAATCGGAGAAAGCGTTTTTCAAAAGTGTTTTCGATCCGATTCCTTAAATTTCACTAAAGCACTTTCAAAATGTGTTTTCAAAACTCTGAATATGTAAAAACCTGAATTGACGTTTTTTGGCCGTTCAAAGTAGGACAGCTTTATAAATAAGCTCACCTTTGATAGATGATCTGAATATTTTGATAAGGTCGCAGAGGGTCCTTTAAAATTTTTTTTACAGAGATTTCGTTAAAGTATTGTACAAGTCTTGTTTTCCAATACGTAGTATTTTCAATTCCAATTTTAGTATTAAATATACTAGGCAATTAAAGACTATGATGTAAGTGATTCATTATATTGTTATATCATTGTCTATATCGTGAAGAACGATACTAGATCCATTAGAGAATCTTTTTACTAGGAGAGATTATAGAATTAGTAGGTACCGTTTATTATATGTGCATAGAAAACTTCAATTATACCAAATACTCAACTGTTTTTTTTTTATTTATGTTAGTTATAAATTTCCCCATATATTATGATTTAACATCATTAATTGCAGATGATCTAGATTTCTGTGCACATACTAATAAAAACTGATTACTTAATTTTTGTACAAACGTGGTACATCGATGCATAGACATTAATTTTTTAGTTCAAGTTTTATTTGCGTACTGTTTAGGAAACAAAAAAGTCATCCATATATTACAGTATAACTTGCTATAGTTATCCTCCTTTTTAGAGCTAATTGTATTGTACGGAACTTTCGTATTGTAAAAAAAAATTTGATTTTTGTACTGACATCAAGAACAAACGCAACAGTGTTGTAAATGTAATTTTTCATATTTGAATAGCATTTACTTAAAATAAATTGATCGATTGTCACAAATTGGAGGAAAATGAAATGTAAAGAGAAGAATTAAGAAAAATAAGAAAGTATATTACTAAATGTATTTTCTACCGGAAATAAAGAGAATTATATCTGTATATAATTTTTTTACATACATGCTACATGTAAAATATTTTACAAAGGTTTTACTTTTTTAAAAAGAAATGTTCTTTTTAATCTGTTGAAAGACATTTTTGTGTACAATAGTTTTTCCATAATACAATATTTAAAACATTGTGAAATATTTTACAAAATAATATTAGTATAATTATAAAAATATTTATTAACTGAAATAATTATTGAAACACTATTGTCGTACACACATTTGCTCACCTAAAGTTTAACATTATCTGCGAGTAAAATTTGTTATTTATTACATTAAGCAATTGATATTATTGATCTCTAATTTATTATTAGTGTTTGACGTAAATAATTGAAGATACAAAATTTTTCCTTAAAATTTTTATGTTTAATCAACAGTTAAGTATAGTATTTCCATTTTTATTCCTTTTTTTATTATTTATTTTTTTTTATAGCTTGTGATTATGTAACTTACAAATAATTTTTTTTAAGTTAAGTTAGAAAATAATTTCAATCAATACTGTTTCACATTGCAAGTAGAATTGTATGTACTATATATGTATTTTGATTTCAGGTGCTATTACGTAGTCATTGCGATTCCATTACATTATACGAATCATATGTTCCTTATATGTGTCTACTGTTTCTTTTCAGTATTGATATTTACGAATATCATTGACGTTTGCTCAATTTCAGTTTTATCTCTTTCTATATAATACTCTACACTTCCATTTGTAATTTACAACTTTTTTTTGTCCAAAATAAACTGTATTTTACCAAAAATACACTCTGAAAATGTTAATAACAGAACACCAATATCAACATTACTCTATAATATAATTTTAATAATGAAATTATAAAAATAAGCATTCGTTAAATGTTATAAAAGTTATTTTGTGTGTTAACGTTGTAACATGTAACATTACAGTATTTATTTAATATTGTAATCGTTAATCATTTTAAATAAATAAATGAAATTATATAGGAAGGATTTGCTATGTAATCTTTCTTATGTCATAAGATTGTATAATAAGATAAGAAGTAATATTTTTTGAAAAATGAGTGTGCGATGTTAGTGAATATAATATTCTCTAGGATGTACTATCTATTTAATTTGAATTTACATTGTGCTACAAATTGCACAACTGCATAAACGAGTGACGTACATTTATATTATGAAATTCATCTTTTAATCAATTTTATTATTAAGAACAATAGAAATTGCATGCGTGCATGTGCATTAAATTTAAATTATACAACAAATGAAAAGAACTAAAGAACAACTTTTGAAGATGCAAAAAGTTGAAGACAGACATATCCTAATTAAAGATTTGGGTTGATAGAGTACCACTAGATAAAAGACAATACGTCACTGTTCTTTTTTTTTATACTATGTTATATTTACAATTACATTCTGTTACTGTGATATATAACTAGCTTACAGTACATTTTAGTAAATATTACAAGATTGCAAATGCTCGGTAACTTCTCTTATATATCTTTTCAACTACAGACGTATTTATTCTATTCATGAAAAATATAATCGATACGAAAATAGGTGTGTGGTATTCTATTGTTTCTTTCTTTATTAATCTTAAACAAATACTGTAGAGTTATAAGCATCGTTGAAGGCATACAAGAGTTATATGTTATTCAGAAATGTAGGAATTATATCTTTAACATTCTTCACTTGTATTGACGAACATTTCATCTTTGTAAGATATAAAAGAATATATTGTAACATGTGTTTTAGTAGAATTTTATTACATAATAATTATACTAATATATTATCAATCATGTTGATTATGCATCTCAGTTTGTGACTTGTAACGACTAATAATAAGTTCTCTTCCCATTTTTTTTTTTTTTGTTTGTTTTTAAAAACATGCGTACACGAATAGAATTAATTTCCATGGAATAGATCTTGTGATTAACGAATATTAACTTATCAAAATTTCATATTTAATGAGAAGTTTCTTGACAGTTCTTTTAGAATTTCATGTAGAAATTGTTACTTCACGATTGTACTGTTTATTTTAATTTTAGACTACTTATACTTGGGAAAAATATATTACAATAATTGTGTAAACAATTGGACATTATCGACATGCAATCTAATAATAATTATAGAATTATTCTATACAGTTCTATTATTTTCCCTGTATTAATGGAAAGTCTATTGGAGTAAATTATTTACAAAACCTATTTTCAGAGCTTGGAATGATATTTATTAATTGAATCATTCAAAAGCTACATTGATCAACTTTACAAGTGAAAAAAACAATACGAAAAAAAAGATGACATTACAAACGTTGTTCTTTAAATATACTCTATAGTTCATTATTATTCGCCACATTCTTCCAATAAGTAAACTTACGCAAGTAAGTCCATAACTATTAAATCAAGAAATTGACAAAAAAGCAAAATTGATCACTTTGGCTTCTAAGAGACTCAATTATTATTAAAAGAAATTGCATGGAGGCAAATTAGGGATCGCGCTAGATGCGAATTTAAAATGTTTTACAATACTTACTCTTTTCAACGTGATGATAATAAAATGAATTGTATTCTTTCCTCTTCGAGTTGTTCTGAACACGTATAATGTAACACGAGACTTGGAAAGATTCCCAGAATCATTCATGAAAAGCTTTTTTAAGCTGGTGATTACGATGTAGCCGTGTCTCTGCGTCCGCTGAATGACACAATAGAACGAATACCTTTTACCGAAGTCTGAAAGAATTGAATAAAGAATGTAATCTTATTAATAAATTACGCTACCTCTTTTCTAAACTATTTTTTTTTTAAATGTTTACAGAATGTCCAAGTTTGCAGCGTATCACAGTTTTTACAATTTATATATAATATAAATAGATAAAGTATTAAAAACAATGTCAATAGAAACATTGAGAACAAGGACAACGTTGATGTTGATATTGATAATGATGATGATGATGATGATGATGATGATGATGATGATGATAATAGTGATGATGATGATAATGATGATGATATTAATATACTAGTAAAAGTTTCACATTTTGATTGTGTAAAGTAATTAAGTTTTTAGCATTGTTAAATAAAAAATCATTTCTACAAATATATTCTGTATATAATCTGCAAAATAATTAATGAAAGTTATTAAAGCAGTAGGTTATTAAGTGAAGGCGTAATTATATAAAACATAGCATGATTCTATTTGAATATGATTTATGGACATGTACATACATGATCAAGCATAATTATGTACTTAATTAGAAATAGTAATATTATTACCAATTTAGTAACATTGACAAAGACAACGATGACAATAACGATGATGTTAATGGTGATGGTTAATGACAGTATGTATGTTCATACTTGTTTTTACAAATTAAAGTGGCAACGTTAGCAATAATGAAATAACAGTTACAATAACAATTACAATTGCGATAATTGTAACTATATTATATTATGAATAACTGCGTAAATACTACGAGTTGCGGTGCTAGTATTTATAGTAGTGATCTAATGTGTCAAAATATAGTTTATAAATGATATATTAACCTTTTTCTTCGAACCATTGAGGAAATCCTTATACATTTCCGAGCGAAGATATCTTGAGTAACTATCGCTTTTCATCAGATGATATACGTGTGCCTAAAATTTAATACCACAAAAGATTGTCTTATCACTGTTTCTATTATTATCATTTCTAAGCTCTTATTTATTTTATTTAAATTTCTTTTAAATGAGTTTCTTGAATAAACGTCTTTTGTACAAAGTGTTTCAATTTTTTGAGAATTTTTTGTTTGTAACTTATACCGCTGTTATGTCGAAACACCATCGATCAGGCTTTTGTAAATGTTTCTTCGTTAACTCGTATGATTGACAATCGACGTTAATTGGACAACTAGCATCTGGACCCAAATATTCATTCCAAATCTCGTTCACTTTACTCTGAACTTCTTTTTGAGGTAATGCTTTTAATTCTTGCACAGCTTCCCAAAATCTACGCGTGTATCAATAAAAAAATTTTCGATTTATAATTGCGTTTTATTTTACTTAGGAACTTGCATTTTACCTTTAGTTTTAGTGTGGCTGTTATGTTAACTTACTTCAGGTTTTCACCGCTGAACTCTTTATCCAAAAAGCGTATAAATTGTTCTCTACCAACAGGATCTTGTAGCAATTCTTGAAGGCTGAAACCCCACCTTTTTACTCTCCTCGTTGATATTTCTTTGCTATTTGAAAAATGTCACACGTATTATCTTAACAATATCCGAGAAATATGCTGTAAAGTAAGAAATGTACGTACGCTAATTTTTCTTGCTCCCACATTTCAGAATTGTCTGATATCCACGGGTTTGTAAGTTCAGGTTGTACGAAAAAAGGATCATACTCTATATACTGCTCAAAATACGCGATCAGACTAAAATAATCAAAGTTAAAAAAGATACTTTTTTAAGATTCTTACTTAAAGATAAAATATGTGATTTAAGGGAACTAATATTACTTAAAATAAATTAGTTAGCGCGATATTCGACGAAAATTTCATTGATAATATTCGATAATATGTAAAGGCAATGTTTACTTACGCCTCCGAAACTTTTGAAACTTTTATATTCGATCTATCTAATCTAGCTTTCAATATTTCAATCTCTTTGTTTAACGATTCTACCGAAGACATTAAGAATGACTCGGAATGTGAAGGAATGTCGGTACTGGTTATATCTAATTGTTTACTTAACTTTGAAATTGGTTTGTAAGTACGACATGCTTTTTTAATATCCATTTCAGTCGTATTAACACACCCAGGCTGAAATAATAATGTAAACCAATAATTATACAAGTTTTCTATTGTATCGTTTCAGAAATAATTTTCGAAAGATCGAAATAGAATTAAACGTTATTACCATTGGTCTATATACATCCCAGAAGGCTCTTTCTTGACTATCCAATACTTTTCTTTCTAATTTATCTCGCTTTTTATCGACTTTGCTTTGTGCTTCTGCTTGCATAAAAATAAACTCCCACTTTCTCGAGAACATTTTTTGCAACTTGGCTAAATTTTCGGCTTCGTAATCTGCTAATTCTAAACGTGTTTTGTTTTGCATCGTTCTTTTGCATAAATAAACAGCTGCAATATTAAAGTACAATATAAACGCTTTTATAAAGAGCTAAATGTTTCTCAATTTCATCAAAAAAATAATTTTCATACCGTAATCAGTATTTTCTGGTTCCCAACAATTTGATGGCCAAAAGTATGGTGTTTGAAACCTGTAGAAAGTATTATCATTTTTTACAGTAAGGCAGTGGTCATCAATAGGGAAGAAGTATCCATGAGACGCCATAAGATGTGCCACATGAAGTGCCTCTATCATATTGATACGTTTTTAATTAGTTGAAAGTAAATAACTTTTCACACGCTTGTATATTCAATATTTGAATTATACCTTGATCATCTATAGCCATGGTCTTCATCATCCATGATATTAAATCGGTACCTAAAATAATAAAGAAGATTAACTACATTAATATTATATTAAAAGATAAGTAAGAAAACAATTCAGATTTCAAATAAAATTGTAATATATTACCAGTAAAAACAGAAGGTGTTTTTGTCATAAAATTCTTTACCGTTTTCACTGGAACACCTGTAACTTCATCTGACATTTTTTCTACAATAGCTTCCATCTACAATGATAAATACAGATATATAAAAATAAAAACAATAGCATCTATATATCGATTTAAGAAAATGTTATAACAAAACTCTAAAAGTTGCAAAAAAAAAGAAATACATTCTCTTACTTTCTGATACACAAGATAATTAGGTGTATCTTCGGCACATGAGGCAGTGATGTGATACGTGGGACTACTTGGAGATTTGTCAACTTCTTGACCATTTTGATTGTTACATTGATTTATTTGATTATCTCTATTATATTGATCAGGTGATCCTACAATATCACTGTTTTCACCTGGTTTTCGGCGACATGCCGATTGTTCAGAATTCATAGTTACCATATCCAAGCTAAAGAAAAGATTTCAATTTTATTTATATTGTTCAATGTGTGAAAGAAATATGAAATCACTAATCTATCATCTGGACATTTAATAACTTTTGAATATTAGTATTTGTAATTATGTTTGTATTATAAACTTCAATACTAATAACAAACAAAATTCATAAAAATATGAGGAGGAAAATCCTACCCTATAAATATAATTAAAAATGTATAAACATATAAAAAACAGTTACCTCAATAAAATTTGTTCTCCATGATACAAATGAAAGAAAAGTATCTTGTTTACATTATATTTATCAAGACTTAAGCCAGTATCCGATTAATTGACTGTGCATTATCCCAAAGTCATTCCAATTGCACATTTCACTAGGATCAAGCAAAAATAACTGGCGGAAAAACACATGAAAGAAATATAATTTCAACATATTTTCATTATACATTAAGAACTACGACATACATTATTGTTTTATATAATAACTGTAATAGTTTTATAGCAGGAAATATGCAGTTTGCATTAAAGGAAAGTATTTGGAAATTCTTAAATTTAAGTTGACACTAAAAAGCGAAGAGCTATAGTCACAAAGTATTAATGTTCTAACTAGGCAGTAAAAACCAAAGTTTCATATACTTTTTAAAAATAATTGTTATATTAAATTTCATTTACAAGAAAAGAGAAAGGATTTTAATTCAATGAATAACAATGATGACACCGACTTTTTTTGAGAAATGAGAAGCAAGCGTCGATCTGTCGAACGATTAAGACCAATCATTCATGTTTCCTTTCGACAGATAATTCCACTGTAGAGAATAATGATCTCACTTTTTCATGCAAGAGGACACGTAGCGACGATATCTCACGATCAGTCCAAAAGCTTGTTTTCTCGAGTCAAACTATATTTGAAGCGCAAATTTCTCTCATTGCACGATCAATATTACAAAATCACAGAACCATAAAACACGTTCCATGATCGCCGAGTCAAATCTAAACAGAACTCGTTTCGTTTTACATAAAGTGTGCGTTATACGCATCGACGACAATAATAACTTATGAGAGAATCGCTCAACAATTGATAAATACGTTCCCGATGCGTGAAACAAATAAAGTGATTCGTATTTTCGCTATATACGCAGGTGCTGTTCCCTCATGCATTCGAATCACGACTGCGCGTGCAATTTTGTGTTGCTACGATGATGGTTTAGTTCAGAAAGTATATATGTATATATATGTAACTATGTGGTACGAAGCGAAAATAATCTGTGGAAATTAAAAAAAATCAATTTTAAATGTTTTAAATTAATTAAATTAATAACGTTGGTCAACTGTATTCTTGCGTGATAACGGGGATATTTATATCGCTCGTGTGATGAATCAATGAAAATCACTTGTTGGTTTCGTAGAGTAATAAACACATTACAAAATAATATATATTTCAACATTCGGAGAAACATAAATATATAAAGTGTTTACATACGTGTGTCTTTAATAAAAATATGTATATACGTGACATATATATACAAATGCTCGACGGTACATAATACTCGATATACATATGCATTAATTAATGAAATTATTGGACTGCAACGTGTTAGTAAACCATCTTTATTTCTTGGTGTGATAAAATTTTTAATAAATTCAATTCCTTCTCAATATGTATATATAATATATATTGTATATATATTATATATATAAATTGTACATAATTCATCTCACAATGTAGACGCACGCATTTTATGTGCGCATATTATATGCGAACTTAATATATAGAATCACGCATGCGCGCACGTGCATCATACATACATGCATACATATGTATATATACATATATATACATATACGTGCAATATATGCAAAATAATTACATTTCAACACCATCAAATTAGTACAGTAATATTCATTAATTAATTTTTAATTTTAATTTTAGCTAAAGAGTTCCACGGTGATGAAATATATATGGATATAACACTGTTGAACATATTGTTTTAAATTCCTCTAAATGTCTAAGCATTCAATGAAATATAATTAAAAATTATTCATTTGCTCATTACTTCAAACTTCACAAAGTTGTTATTCATTTTAAAATAATATACTTTGAAGTTTTATGCAATGCAATATTTCATCAGTTGCTTTCAACGTAGAAAAGCAATCAAATTTTGTTATTGTGGATACGTATGAAAAATAGTGTAGACATGAAATAAAATTTGTGAATTAGCAATCGTTGGCATTAATAAATTTCTAACACAGGTCAATTACATATCACGTCAATTTCATTTTTTTCCTTCATTAGGGAACAGTATGTACAATGTACTTATGAAAATAACATATTAAAGAAAAGCTTTACGAATATACACTGTAACAAGTATACACATTTTTTTTTCTTTTCAATAACAAAGATTCAAATTTCAAGTTTAAACGTTGATATACGTTTAAGTCAAGAACCTCTTACTCTGTACTTATATATAATAAAAATATATTATATCAATATTAAAATTGTTTATAATTAATAAATAAAAATCTGATGTTATATATAACAATTTCAGTAATACTTCTTCCTCAATGACGCAAACCTCTCTTTAAGAGTAACAATTTTTCCATGATGTGCATTTAATATGAATGTGTATATATTGTATTTAATTAAGTTGCATATACACATTCATGTATACACGCAATAGTATAATATTACAATTATGTACATCCATCTCTACATTATGCACAATTTTCTGATCAACGTGCAAACAATATGAAATGCTAAAGTCAGCTATAACACATTTAAACAATCGATTTTGAAATATCAAAATAGCCATTGTTAGATCTTAAACTTTGTTTTGACATCTACAGCTTATTTTTTTTTCTTTTTTTGAATTCGTACTACAATATATATATTAGATCAATTGTTTTCTAGACTAGAATCAAACACATATTAATATTATTTCTAATACACGTAGATGTATATACGATTCTGTATTTTCTCCTTCTTCCCTGTTCATAGATTTAGACCTTTAGAACTAAAGCTAAACATAACTAATGTATAAAACACTACAAATTGTTTATATATATATCATACATATAATATATATATTATATTTTATTATATATATATATATATATATATATATATATATATATATATATACACAACAACATTTATAAGATTTACCTATATCTTTTCTTTTGTACAATATAAATTCCTCAGGACGACTCTATGAACTCAACTGGTGTTCTTATAAAACCATCACGTATTACTAAATCAGTGAAACAATAAGTAGTTTTAGATCCTCCATTTAGCATATCGCTGATACTTTGGTTCGAGATGCATTGTCAACTGTTCAAATTCGTCAATTTCATCATCGTCAAAATTGTAAAGATTATTATTTTCTTCAGTATATCTTTTCCTTAATTCTGTATCTTCATTATTAATAGTTTGTGATTCTTCTTCTTCCTCTTCTTCCTCTTCTTCTTCTTCTTCATCTTCATCTTCTTGAATATCATTGATTTTATTTTGTGCTACAAAAATCACGTAATAATTCTTATAAAATAATTTTATAATTTTACATTTTTATGTTAAATTAATTCATAGTATTCACAATGATTTGATACAGTAAAGATCATCTTAAAAAGTTAACAAAAAAGGAAATGATATTAAAGAAAGCAGTATTTTATTTGATAGCTTATATTACAGATGATATATAAATATTAATAATAAGGATACAATAAAATAAATAATTATTCTTAACAATAAATCGAACAGAATTTATTTTTAATTTTATTTATAAAACAATAAAATCTCTCATCTCTTGATTTAAAAATCAATTTGAATAAATAACGCAGTTACATATAATACATAGATTCACATAATGTATAGATAGTTGCATTAGTAATTTACATAGATGGAAGAATCTATGTAACACTTTACTGTATCAATATAAACAAATATTTTTCACAAATTTATTTAAATACTAAATTCATAAAAAAGATACAATAAGTAAAAAGCTCTGAATGACAATAAATAAAAAACTTTTAACTTCTGTTCATACAACATTAGTGTTATGTGTTAAGTATTAAATAAGTGTTATATGGATTAAACTGTTATAATTTTTAATTAACATGGGAAATATATAAAAGCAAAATTAATTTATATAGTATATTTTAAAAGGAAAATTAATATGATTTCATTAGTTGAATGAAAGATATTATTATAAGTGCAAGCGAGACATAAGATAATGTTGAAATCAGCATAAAGAAAAGAGAAAGCATTACTTTTCAAATAAAATATAATAATGTTTCACAAATTTTATAAGTATATTTTTTTCACCAGAGCCAAATCGGTTTTACAAAACAATGCGTTTTATAAATTTTTATGTTTATGGTGGATGAATCAACTCATTTTATACATAGATTAATCGTAATTCTCAACTTCATATATCAAATATAATGCAGTATGATGAAGAATAAGCAGCATGAAATCATTTAAATAATATTAACCCGGGATTACCCACCTGGGAGTCTAGCGCAGGTACATCCCGGCGACTAGACCCTCACGTGGGTAATCCCGGGTTAAGCATTAAAAAAGTTTCTTCATTATTATATATACACGGATTGACTTTAATAATTTCCATTATTACATTATAATTTTATTTTAACAATATACGTGTATAAAACAATTATTTTATAGTATAATGTATATGTGTGTAATTTCGCGCGCGCGCGCGCGTGTGTGTGTGTGTTGTTTCAGTTCATATTCAATTTGAAATAAAAAAAAAATTAAATTTATAACTAGTAATTTCAATATAACAGAAGAAAATTATATTACAAAATGATGACTTCAATGATAAGAGAAACCTTTATATTCATAATAAAAAAGATGTAATTCTCTGTAGTTCTTCTTTAAAATGAAATAGTTCTTTTCATATAGCTTTAAAATATTATAAATTCAAAGTTGCAATAAATTACATGTTGGTATCAACATCTAAACACAATATTTAATTAATATTTTCTTCTGAAATATTATTAACGCAATATAAATTTATAATTTTCATCAATTTTGGTTACTCAGTTTACTCACCTGGTTGCACTGATTACTGATGAAGGCTCAGCAATGTTAGTACTCTGATCGGAAATAATGTCAACTGTTGTATTGCCTTTTGTGTTCACTACAGCCGTTGAACAGATAGTTGTAGCAACTGCACATTTAATTGCATTTAAGTATTGATGAGTCTTATCATTTATATCGTCTGAATTTGTGCATTTTAAATGTTGAGCAATATTCGATCCGAAGTTACTGAGCATATGAATATTCTCTGGCAAGTTACTGCTTATATCGTCATTTTCTTTCAAGTAAGATGTATCTTCTTTTGAGTGGACAATAGAGTCAACTATTACAGGTACTGAAGAAGGATATTCGGAAACAATTCCAAAAGCCTCGTTTTCTTTGAATTTTTGTTCATTGTGAAGGTTTGCACATTCTTTGATGTGATCTTCTAATGAAGAGTTTTCTTCAATTTTTAATGCTTTGTCGTTGTTATGAATATTTTCTGGCTTTTCAGTGATAGCATTCAATGACGAATGAGACATCTGAGATAGATCATAAAATAAAGTCTTTATTTTACCAATATTGTTCAGCCAATTATTAGTTGTAACGTCTAGTGAAAGCTTTTTGATTGGAGTTTCATTAACAGAGATATCAACTACATGATGTCTAAGATCTCTAAAAATTAATACATTGAAATTTGTCATAGAAGAGTATACTCTTGGTATAGGCATAACGATATTCATATTCTTGAACATATCCATAATATTTTTCACAACAGAGCTATTAATTTTCATTTCAGTCACGTTACTTATTTCGACATATTTGTTGTGTTTTCTAACAAATGGTTCTATCAATTCTCGTTTTATTGATGTATTTACATTTGTATAAAGTACTGAAGTACATGAACGTGTATTATCATTGCTAAATTCAGAATTATTAGCTTTACACGTACAATTTATTTTTGATATCTTTGCTTCTCGTTCATTATTTACAACTGCACTTCCCCAATTCGTACTATTATTTACATGGCATACATTTATTCTCTCTACTTCGTTACTTGTTGGCGTATTATGAACATTTATAAAAACATTTTTATCACTGTTACTGTCAATACTATACATTCTGGTAACTTCATTATTCAAACAGTTTGCTTCTACATTTATCTTCGATGTATTATAACATTCAAGTGGTCTATTATTTACACTACAGACACATTTTTGGTTACATACAAAACATGCAGTATTACTTTCTGTACTATTTACATTAAAGGCAGAATTATTTTCAACGTTATCCTTTGTACTTAAATTTAATATTACTAAATTGTGCATTCTGTCAGACGTATGTACAGTATGCATATCATTGCTTACATCATACATTATACCACATGACAAGGAGTTGCTATCACTAGTAAAATTAATACTGTCTGTTAAAGTTTCATTATTCGTTTTTTTTATTAGTACAGGATCTACCTTATCTATTATTCTCGCTATATTTCGTTTCTGTACATCGTTCGTAGCTGCTTTTAAAGCAGAGTATTCAGGTATACCTATTAATTTAGGTACAGGTACAATCGTGTTGCTATTCGAAACATGCATTAATAAATTATTATTTACAATTTTGGAACAAGTATCGATTATATTTGAAACAATGCAATTTGCAGCTAATACTACGTCCTTGTTAGTAACACCAGGAGGAAATTTTGTGTGTACATTTTCAAATAATTGATTATCTAAGATAGGAGAGGACTCCCGTCCTTCTAAATAGACATTTACGTTTTTGCTTTCATTACTACATTTAGCACACTTTTTTTCTGTATCGATTGAATCGTTTTTACTATCTCTCTCAAGTAAAAGTTTCACCTCCTTGGAGCAAGGCTTGTTACTTTGTCCAGGAGCATTTAAATTACCCTCGAATCTAAACGACGGGATCATATTTGCTAAACTTTGTAAACTTGGCAATTGGGAAACATTGAAAAATTTTGATTTACTTTTTAGCGATACCGAGGATTCCTCCGTTTCACGATTATAAATCCTATCTCTCTTATCTTTTATGTAATAATGGAATTTATCTCCGAGAGTCATCATACTGTTTATGCTGCCTTGAAGCGTATTTTTACTTTTCAATTGATTAATAGGAGTAGAATCGGAAAAGAAACAACTAGAATGTTGAAACAACGAAAGCAATTTTCCTAAGTTAGATGTACTTTTCTGTATTGGATCGTGTTTTGTTTGCGACTGTAATTCTATACTTTCGTTCATACTAATATTTATTACTTTGTCCGTTGCATCATGACCCTTCTTGTTACTAATTATTGATTTATCACTTATTGTTCTATAAGGCGAACTTTCCCCCTTTCTATCAGCAAGTGTATACGTTTCTGTATCTTTTGCACTTTCATTAGAACAATTTTCTACATTCTCGATATTTCTCGTCATAGAAACATCTTCCAATAGCTCCGATATACTTTGATTGTCTGGCACACCATCTTCCTTGTATTCTAAGCTACTAAAACTTGCACAATCATCAGACTGAGTTTCAACTCTTGTCTCAACGAAAGATTCACTTGTATTTAATTCTTTTGTATTAGGATTACTTCCAGGTATCGTCGGTATGCACGACGATATTTCTTTTTTTACTTCGTTTAAAGTTAGACGAGACAAGCTGTTCGAAGTACTTTGAGAACTTTCAATAGTGTGATCGTTATTCTTTTCTGCTTCAGATGCAAGTATGATGTTCGAGTCATTTAAATCAGTCGATTCTGTAATATTAACTTCCAAACTTAAATCAGTCGATTCGGTAATATTAATTTTCGAACTTAAGTCAGTCGATTCGGTAATATTAACTTTCGAACTTAAGTCAGTCGATTCGGTAATATTAACTTTCGAACTTGTGTTAGTCGATTCGGTAATATTAACTTTCGAACTTAAATTAGTCGATTTGATAATATTAACTGTCGAGCTTAAATTAGTCGATTCTGTAATATTAGCTTTCGGATTTAGATCAACCGTGGTATCAACATCAGTCGTAGTAATAACAGGTTTAGGTAAAGATACGGTATTTGCTGATTCAACAACTGAAACGCGAAATCTAGATGACCCACTTGCAGAAGTGACACAGGTAGATGATGATCCAAGGGATGAAAAAACTGATGACGAAGGTGCTGAGGATTCTGTAGAACGTAATGTTTCTGGAACTCGGGACACCACAAACCGGCTTCGCGAAGGACTTAATATAGGACTGGCTATGGGTGAAGAGGCGGGACTAGGGGCTGGAGAACGAAGGCGACCTCCATTAATACGTTTCGGTTCGAGCATCGATCGTCCAGATTCGTCTTTTTGTATTGAAATCATGGATGATAAAGAACATGGTAATGTTTGACAAGTAAGCGAAATTTTACGGGTGGTTGTACTACAGAATCTGCTATGATATGAATTGTCAAAACCTTCGCTATTTTCTTCTAATTTATGATTTTTCTCGTTTTCCAAACAGTAGCTTCGAATTTCAGCTACAAGCTGCGTATACTGATGCAACGTATCGGTTAGATTACCCTATTGTTAACACAAAAGAAATTAATAATAATATAAATGTCTTTTCTGTTTTATACTTTGCTCTACCAAACAATAAAATGGAGTTGTTCACTTACCATCTTTATATCAGGCTTATCGTCTAAATCTATTTTGGTAATGTTTTTATTCTTTTTCATAGCAGAATTGAGAGTTTCCATTCCAGTCAAACGTATTTTATTATTTCGCAAATCTATCCTCTGGAACAATAAAACATTGAAGATAAAATGATTTTATATCTTGTTTTTATAATTTTAAAGCTTCCAATATTTACTTGTAATGCGTGATTTATTTCGATAATTTCAGATAATGTAACAATCCCGTCACACGTAAGTTCAGTTGATTGTATCCCCAATTGTAACAAAACACGATTCTTTTTCAGTGCATCTTTTATAATGAATAACAATTCGTCGGTCAACATATTTTTTCCAATGTTCAATGTTTCTAATGTCTTAGATAATGCCTATATATAAATAATAAAATGAAATCACAGTATAGGTGTACATAAATATATAAAGTAATAACTGTAAATATGTAATTTATACATGTATAATTATAATGATAAAATAAAATTACATACTATAATACGTGCGAAATAGGGAGATGATTTTTTTGTCAGTTGATTATTCCACAATATTAATATGTTTAAACCTTTACCATCTTTGTCCTCGTTTACTTGATTGATGAGACCTTCTAGGATATCACGTACACCATCATCTTGAATGACATTATTACTAAAAAAAAAAAAATCACTTTATTAATTATCCTATTGTGTATATATAAATTTTTGTAGAAAGAACAGAATTATTTTGTTGTTATTATCTCTTTTCTTAATTGTTACATACCTAATATCAAGTAACTGTATATGATTATTTAATCTAAGAAGAGAACCAAGTTGTATTGCATCGTATAAATTCAGCCCATTGTCAGCTAAGTACAGTTCTCTTATTCCAGTATTCATTTTTAATGCTGCAACTATTAAAAAGGCTACGTTATTGTTGCATTACCAGAAACTCAATCCATTAATTTTAATTAAGTAAATAAAGAAATTTTAAGATTATCATAAATACATATATTTATTATTATAATTACAGCTTTGGTTATAACTTTTTTTAATAATCAAAATAATAGAATGAAACTTTAAAAATTCCTATAATATCCTTGATCTTTCATATTAATTTCATATCGTAAAAAATGTTTCATTAAGTACCATGTTAAATAAAAATACTATTACTTTCTTAATATTATATTTTTCTTAAATTGAAAAATTTGATTTTGCCAGTCAAATAAACCATGTGAAAATATAAAATGAGATTACTACAACAATGTTTTCCTATAATAAACTACTTAATAAATCTACATAAATGATGCAGAGAAAGGAAAAAAATTCTTGATTACTATTCTTACACTGAGATTGTATTTATACAAATAATTAAGTATCTTGTTTTACTGGAATTTTTCCTTGTATCATACTTAGTGATTTATGAACCTCAATAATTTTTGTGAAAACTACAAATATGATAATAAATCAAATTGCAACTATAAAAACAAATAAATGAAAAAAATAGGTCTAATGAACTATATTATATAATAAATACCTAGTGTGATGATAGATCTTCCTGAAAGTCCACAATTTTCTAATTTAAGCACGTGTAGATGGCAAACTAATCGTAATGCACGACTCAAGATATTCATATATTGTTCATTAAGGATTATATCCTTAGCTTCAAGATGTTCTAAACATTGGGTCTAGACAAATAATGATTGTATTAATTATATATTAAAAAACATAAAACTCAATTTTAAACACTTTATATTTGATGCCATTTCTAATTTTGTTGTTCTATATAGCCATCCTATACACGATAAGTAATAAAATAATAAAAAATAATATTTCAAACTAATAGTAACCATGTAGAATTTTTTAAATAAAATATATTATATGTATTATATATACCTTCCTTATCATATTTGCACATGCTTGCCAACCATAAATCCCAATACCTTGATTAGATGAAATATTTAAGTGCTTTGCAGATTCATAATATTCTAACATATCAAATAATATCACAGAACTCTATAATATAAAAATTATATCAAATAATATCTTTGGAAATATTACCATTTTTTATAAAGTTTTAAATTGAGTAATTTTAAGACTAAAATACCTCATCATCCAAAGATGTGGCTTCTAAATTAACTTTATCAAATTGAACTCTTTTAAAAATTTCCTCCAATGGCTCTGCACGATTAATGTCCAATATCTCTCCTTTTAAATTTAATTCTTCACATCGTATTTCAAATGTTTCTAAATTCTGTATAGAAATTGTTATTAACAATAATTGGTTTTATTTTATTATAAATTTTTAAATTATGTATTAAACATATTCTCATAATGTATGTTTTATAATTTCAGTATATAATTTTTAAAATACATTTATTATTGTATAAATTATACTTTTGGCTACTAGTTTCAATATTAATTATAAAATTATAGACAATTAATAATTAGATACATATAACTGACATTATTTAATATTAAATATTTTTTCAATCCAAACCCACTGAAAATAGATATTTAGAAAAAAATGTACTTTTACCTCGAGCTGATTTATAACAGTCTCCAGGGGATCTGAATTGTGTTTTAAACAGGATTCCTTGTATGCTGAGATTACATCTTCACAATTCACATTTTCAGCTGCGAACAATTAATTGAAATATTGTTAAAATATAAAAAATTAAAACTTTGTCATATTGATGATGTTTTAGGATATTCTATATTAGAATATGTAAGATACAACAATTTATGTTATATCTACTTCATAGATGGTTTAAAAATCAAAAATAAATGAAGAAATTCATATGAACATAGTTTCATTTTGTCCTCATTTCTGAGGTACAGTAAGCTTTGTATTTAAATACTTAAGTATGATATGGTTTATTCTTCTCCAATAAATTAAAGCAGAATTTACAAATATCTCTTATAAAACCAAATAGATGAAAATTGTCATAATACAAAACTTACTTTATTCCAAAAACAAAATCATAATAAACATATATTCATTAGAATTGTTTTCATTAATTTGAAATATTAAATATATTTCTGTAGTGGGTCTCATATATTAAATTATACTTTATTTATGATCAAATGTTGCATTTCACTGTTTGACAAAATGCTGCTAAGAACACATATTATAAATATAATTTTAAGCTTCAGTTTATCATTTGCATTTTATATGTTTTTAACACGTTCACTGCGGTGTTCATTGGTGACTCACCAAGTTTTTCATTTGTAGCAATGACTTGATCATTAATTAGTGTCTATATTTCCACTGAATGTTCACCTCTCTATCACAACAAAGCAAGTTGATAAATTTGACCCTGGAAGCAGAGGATCAAGAGAAAATCAACTCTCCATTTATTTTTCAAGGCTAAAGCCAAATATTTACTTGCATTTTATTTTAATAGGAGTTAAATATATTTTAACATGAATGTAAAAACATATATCAGAAATCAAATACTGTTTTTCTGCAGAATATAATTCTTTTTATTGAAAGAGTTAGCTTCCACTTTATATGCACAAGTCCACAGAGAACGTATTAATACAATAATTTAAATAAAATGTAAATGTATTATAAACATATTAAAATAATTTCACATGTGATAACTTTAACTTACATTATTAGAAAGAATTTATTTAATTCTCATGTAATATTTCTGAACAATCAAATTGTTGTGTATTTGAATAAAATTGATATAAATTTGAGAATATAACAAATTCTTTATTATATGAAACAATTTTATAATATACATCATTCTACTTAAAACAATCTAATTACAATTAAAACAGTACACTTTAAGAGTAATTTACAAGTCAATTATATATCGTACATACTTTAATATTGCATCAAACTTATAATTAGTATATGGTTCATATTGTGAAATCTTAAATGTTCTGTATTTGGCACGACCTATAAAAAAACCTGATAGCTTAGTACAACTTAGTATAACTATGCAAGTAAATAATATAAGTAAATAATTATAAAAAAGATATCAACAAATGATGTAAAATAATCATATTTATCATCAGTGCCAATAACATCTTTAAAATAAAATTTAAAGAAGTTATTTGAACAAATTACAATTTGCATTTAAATTATAACTTTTAATTAATAATTTTATTTTGTTGTTAGAAAGTACAATTTTTCCATACAGTTGGACATATATAAGAGAATTATAAATTTAATTTTTATACTAAAATGTATTAATAAATTCCAGAAGTAAAATTAAAAAACATACAAAATAAACTGAACTAACTTAATATCTTTTGACGTATTTTTTATAAATATTTGTGACTTTGTCAAACTTCAAAAGTTCCAATCCTCCTTTAAAAAATATTAAATTAAACTTAAATTAATTTGATGATACAACTTTTTTTAATTGATATTTACGAATAATCATATATAACATCTATAAATGTTTGTCATCTTTCAAAAATGTACTTATAAATTCATCTTAGGTAATGAGCATGTCTGAAATAACATTTAAAGGTTATTTAATAAATTATTTATTAGAGAAACTTTTATATCATGTACATATTAATCTTTATATCATTTGTAAAACAAACTTATCTTAACTATTATTAGTACTTTTTATTGATAATATAATATCTATTCTTATAATTCTGAGAACTTGAATATGTATACATTATAATTTAAATATTTTTTTTAGGTTATTATTTGAAAAAAATACAATTTACAATAAATGTCGCACTTTTAAAATGTTAACAATATTGCAAACTTCTCGCACAAAATTAAGCAACGTTGTGGATACTTTCAATACATTTGTACTTGAATATCCATGAGGTTGAGCAAAGGAGGCACAGGTTCTTGAATTATATTGTATACATTCCAGAAATCACAAATCTCTCCAATATATGTTAATACACATTTCGCACATTAGGTTTCAGAAACATTTACAAATAAATATACAGAAAATCAAGTTAATGACAATTAGATTATTACTAAAGATAAAATACAGTTTCTTAAGTTATCAATACAAAAGCGCTTGACGAATATTTCGTTACATATTTTCATTAGAAGCATTCACGTTTAAACATCTGTGGAACTAACTTAACGAAGACTGAAATATATCTACATAAGAAAGATCCTTGCGTGAATCATTAATATTTATTAATCTATACAAACATAAGGTATAGATCTTTGAGAAGTAGAAAACTAGAATGAAGAAATGAACATGAAATTGATGTGCATGATAAAATATTTATCCTCACCGAGTATCCATGGATTGGCCGGCTCCAGATACCCCGTAATCAAGTGATTGTCATTTGTTGGGAAACTCACACGTCGGGGAAGCTTTTTCTTGCTCAATGCCAGGGAGCTACGCAATTTCCTTCCGTCGATCAAGATATAAGGCGACAGTGGGACATTGCCCGTACGAAATCGTGACCTTCTCGTAGTGTGTGATATCGTTCTCGGAGGGAGTTCCTCAGGATCGACCTCATCCTTCAAGGTCGTCAGCGAATTCTCGCAAATCTGCGAAACCGAATTCGCTTCCTCGCTCATATTCAACAAATTTCTAACATATTTTCTCGAAACGGGATTTATTTCACATGAACACACACACACATCCACACGCACACCGCACAATATGCGTTAACGCGGCTATTTTGTTAAATTAACGTCGATATCGAAGCAAACATCAGCTACTCGTATGTTACATCCGCCATCTTTACTACCGTCAAGACAGGTCAGACAATTGCGAAATTTGATTGAAACTAGGAAAATACAAATTGTAATTGCAATTATAATTATTATTAAACATTCGCGTGTTATCAAGATCAATTGTTTCTTGTTAGTCAATATGAACGTGTTATTTTCAATTTAATAATTTTTTAGATTAGTAGAACTGTATGATAAATATTGAAATATTATTCTTCTGTACAAACATAAATTCAAATAAATGTACAAAAAATATTAAATTTTTTAATAAAAGTATATATTTTTTGATTTGTATTAATTTGATCAAGTTTTAATATCCAATAATTTTCTTTTTCTTATTTTTATTTTCTTTTTACCTTAAATCTTAATTTAGAACTTTCAGCGTCATTTCACTCTGCGTAGCAAGTTTTTAAAAGCCATTTTCATAATTAGATTCATGTTTTTCTTTAAATTCGTAATTAACTATTGTAATACGATCTATCAAATAAAAATAAAGCAAGCTGGGTGCTAAATCATAATCATAAAATTCATAAAATATTTATCATATACATAATAATACATATTATTATAGAAACTAGTAATTAAACAAGCCTAGAGATTTTTGTTGTATCCACTATATTGAATTAAATTTCCTCGCGTACCCAATTTGAATTTTAAACCAACTACATAACTGATAAAACTCTTTTTTACATAATTACAATATCAGAAATTTATAAAATTTTATCTAATACATGTAATAACTGTTGAACATTGAAATTAGATTAAATATAAATTAAAGAATAGCGATATTCTAAGCCGCGCAATGGCTTGAAATAGTTTTGTTTGTTGAAATTTAAATATATATAAAACAATTGAACTTAATATTGACTTAAATTTACTTGTCTATTTTATTGTATACATTTCAATATATTATCAAGCCATTAATAACAAAAAGTAAATCGTTGTTACATTTATGTATTTTAGGGATTTTATTTCTCTACAATTGATGTGTTTAGTATTTTGTACAATTGATGTGTTTAATCTTTATTTAATTGTTTTTGTAAGACATTTCTAATATATAATTTACTTAAAATACACCCTTGTGAAAAGCGGCTTACCTATAATTTATAATTTATCAAAATTGTACTTTTCGCCTTATATGGTATTGCGACATACTTGTTTGTGTCACATAAAAAGTTTGACAGAAACGCAAGATTCTTTGTATTTTATATGATCAAATAAAAATTACAACAGTAAGAACTTTTATTTACTTACTTAAAACTTAAAGTGCCGAATATTCTGTGATACTGCATTAATATTTACATATTAAAAATATTTATTCGTTTAAATGTTAAATAAAAGCTCTTCATCCTTTTTTCTCGCATTGTAACACGACATTACATTAAATTTGTGTAACATAACCTATAAATTTCTTGGAATTATTATCTTTAGCTAGAAATGGAGACTGTTCTGCAACAGAAGATAATAGAAGCAACACACTGCGTTGAAAAACAATTAGACGCCGAGTTAGAAAAATTGGACAACTTGGACATTAGTGATTTTGAGAAGTTGCGTGAACAACGTCTTAAAAAGTTGAAATTGCTTCAGCAACAGAAACAGAACTGGCTGGCATTGGTAAAATCCAATTCCTGATGTCCTATTATTTTACAGTATTTATAATCACTCTGTGATGGCTTAATTTCACTAAAAACCCGAAAATTAACTCAGTGTCTATGGATATTTTAGGGCCATGGAGAATATTCAGAATTACACGATGAAAAAGAATTTTTTGAGGTGTCAAAAAAATCTGAGAACATTATTTGTTTATTTTATAAAGATGATTCTCCAAGGTGCAAAATAGTGGATCATCATCTAAAAATTCTTGCAAAGAAGCATATAGAAGCAAAGTTTTGTAAGCTGAATGTAATGCAATGTCCATTTTTAACTGGTAAGTTAATTGTATTTTTTTTTAGTCTATTTTCCTTAAATTAAAAAAAACTTTTATTGCTAATCTGTGTTACACATTTTCAGCACGTCTAAGAATCAAAATCATTCCTACAATTGCTCTTATTGTTAATGGCAAAACTAAAGATTATATTGTGGGATTTACTGACTTAGGGAATCGTGACGATTTCTTAACTGAGACATTGGAATACAGAATTTCACTTTCTGGTGCAATAACATTTGAAGAAAATTTGTCATCGGAAAACACTAAAAAAACGTGGTTGTCTCAAGTCTCAAAACCTAAAACTATTAAAGGACCTAATAATTCAAATTCTGATGATTCAGATGAAGATTGAAGAAAGTTCATAATTAAATATGTGTTATTTAGATTTTCAATAATTCATTACTCATTAATTATGAACTCTCGCATACGTGAAAATTTTAATTGATAAAAATTTACAATTATTGAAGACAGTTCTAACAAGTTCTAACAACCATCAAATGGAATATATTTATATGTTAATTTATCTGCAATAATGGAAATTAAAATTGTTTAAAAAAAACAACTTATTTATAATAAATATTGTTATAGATAATACAAATTTTTTACTATTAAAAAGTATCTGGAAGAATAAATATTTTGAACATTTTTTTAAATTTCTCTTATTTCTTCTTTCTATTAAATGAATTCTTTCTATTGTATTATAAATCTATTCAATGTAAGAATCATTTGATATTTTTTTGTTATTCAGATGTAACTACTTAATGATATTTCAAATTATTTAACAATCATAATTCCCAAAAAATTTTAAACATTCATTCATTAATTTGATAACTCAAATTTGTTTTAATACTTTAAAGAACATACTATGTAAATTTTTTTTGTATCAGTATAACAATAAATTAGTTTTAAATCGTTATTTTTTAAATCATTTTTTATTTTTTACAAATTTATCTTTTCATACTAAAAATTTATAATTAATAAATAAGCATTTATTAATACTAATAACAATTCCTATCGTTATATACAATTGTACAAATATAAAATAACAAAATTATTGATAGAATAATTCTAAATGTTTCTTCTTTATAAATCATTTAAACCAAAAGTAAAAAAATAAAGAAGTATGTTCTATATTCTTTTTAAATATATTACATGTTCCAAATAAGTTTTACAGAAATGAAGAGAAAAAGCATGAATTATTTTTAACACAATTTTATTCTCTCACATGAGCATCACTGACAATGAGATACTAAGTAAAATTTGTTATATGAAAATATTTAAAATTCAAATATAAATCAATTTCAAAAAGAAATTAAAAATGAATAAACAAATATAATTATATTTTTAATTATGTATATAATTTATAATCATAATATAATGTCTAAATTATCTTTGCTAATATTCTTTCAGAATATCTACTGTGCACAGAATATTTATTTTTTTACAATTATAATTTTAAAAAAGTAATAACATATAAAAAATAACAATCATATTTCCAAATCATATTGTATTTTAATTTTATATTACAAAAAGAGTAAAGATTGTAATATCATTGAAAGCAACTATTAAATTCATTTGCGATCCAACTCCATTTATTTATCATTTATCAAACTTAATTTGATTAATCACTTATGAAAGAATATCTTGTTGTATTATTTTACAATAGATTATAGATATTTTTCATAGCCATTTCATTATTACTAATATCGTCCTTTTATGCTGAATTAAATTTAATTGAGAATATATATTGATATCATTGTCACTTATATATACATTTTCTATTTTTGTATAAGAAATATTCTGTAATTTAAAATTCTGTAATACGTAAATTAAATTTCGTAAACATCCTATTTTTTTATGTTTTTTACATATTTTTTAATAACTAATCTTTAATATTATAATCATGCAATGTATCACAGAGATAATTTTGCATACATTCAAATTTTTTATATGTACATATTAAAATGGAAACTGTATATTAATACTATGCAATAAACATAGTTTCATGGATTATTAAAAGAATTTTAAAAGGTATTATAAATGAATATAACCAAATGTGTAATACTGTGTCTAAAAAAAAGTAATATAAATTACCTTGTAATGCCCTTGTCTATGAATTATACACTCTTCATTTTTAGAAAATATTTTTATGAAATTACACATTAATAAATATATTATATAACATCTAGAAATTCTTTTTTTACATAAAAGTAAAAATATTATTATTACAAAAGATATAAACATTTATGCGTATATTTAAAATATAAAAACGTATATTCTAAAACACATATAACATGGCAATTCAACTTTATTTGAATTATATATTCAAATCAAATTTGTTAAAAATGTTTTGTTACATATATATTATTCCTATAAAAAAAAAAAGAAAAAAGAAACAACAACGAAGTGCCAAAAATATATAAACAAATGTAATTAAAAGTTTGTTTGATATAAACAATTTGTGTTTCTAAACTTTTCATCTTATATAGTAAATATTAGATATCCAGAAAAGTTCTTGCCGTTTTTCCATATGAAAAACATGAATTTATTCATCAAAATATGAACCTTCATAGCTTTTTCCCCAACGATTTAACAACTTATAAATACCGTTTTTACAAAAATCCTTTGTTGTACCGCGGAAAAATCTTGATACTTCTTCTTTCACATCACTTTCATTATTGTAATTATTCCTTACATCCAGTTATCCAAATTCAAAAACAAGTGAAAATCTGTTGGTGAGAGATTTGACAAATATGGCGAATGGATCCTCCTATTCAAGTTCCACTTGAAGATGAGTCATCTTTGCCGCGTGATGTCAGGCATTCTCCTGAAGAAACAAAACTTTTCTTCCTGTTTATCAATGCTGGCTAACTTTTTTTCGTTATTTTTTTCAAACTCTTTCTAATTTATCACAATAGATGTTAGCAACAATAGTTTTTCCTACTTCTAAAAAGTCGTTATCAATCAGAAAAATTCTTAAAACTGTTATCAACAAAAATAGATATGAACTTCTCTGGGTACCTAATATGAAATAGAATATATTGCCTTTCCATGTATAAAATGATACCTTATTATTTGTTTTAACAGTATATTATGAAACAGATAAAGTAATTACATATAAAGGTAATTATTCTTAAATACGTATTATGAAACAGAAAATAATTACACTTTGTACACACTTTGTTTCTTATAATTTTTTTTCTTCCATTTTTTTTTAGATAAAAATGCACGAAATACGAAAGTTTACTTAATAGATAAAAAAGATAATTGCATATGCTAATGTTTATAAAAAAAACTAAATTATATTCAAAACGAAATTGTATTCAAAACGAAATACAAAAACAATTGTTGTACTAGATATACTTCATACTGTTTTTATGTTACAAATTTTCTTTAAAGAAGTAGGATAACTTAGGTAGTAAAAGATATCTTTGCAGTAGAACATTTAGAAATTACAATAATATTCGAAAAAGGCAATACATCGCAAGAATTAATTCTCTTATTTCATCCGATACTTAGCATTTGGAGTTGAATCAATTAATCTAATTATATTCTAGAATTCTTCTATAGATATCCTTAACTTTGTTCATTATCAAAAAGATTTTATAGTCATGTGATTAATGTAATTTTACATACTTTTAGAGCAAGAAAAACATTTAACTACTAAGATAAAATTAAACTTTGATCCTTTTTTTTTTAAATTTAAAATGAATAGGTTTTGAAAAATTATCGATATTCACATTATTTCAACAACTTATATATTACTTTCTTCTCGATAATGAAAACAAACTTGACCAGCCAATTTAAATAGTACGTCAATTTAACTCACTGTACATAGTTTGATGTTTGACAAAGTCACAGAAGAAGATGTCTTCTGCCTTTAATGCGATTTACCAAATTGCATATTTTAAGTGCTGGCCCAAGTTTTAGTCCCATATATTTCATCATCATATCAGAATTTAAAAGTAACAAAGCTTTCCCATCAATTTCCTAAAACGAAAATAGAAAAAAAGAAACATATAGATTTTATATAAAAAATTAATATTTTTTGTATATAATCTAAAAAGAATTACGAATGAATTTAATTTCAATCTAACAAGTGCTGTTATAAAGTAAGTACAAAGTAATGTAAAATATAAACTTACATGTTTTCTAAATAAATCTGCATGCTGACCCAACGCAGGGTCAGTAACACCAATGTAATGTATTACATCCTCAATAGTCCATTCTGCTGGTTCAGTAGAAGGTATACGATTCATGGAAGTTTCAGATTGAGTAGTAGATGTTGCGGCTTCGAGTTCTAATTATAATAATAATATATTTTCAATCTACAATAAGTTGCTTATTAATACTAAAAAAAAAAAATTACCTGGAACAGATTTTCGTGGTTGCTTTGCAGGTGTTAGCGAGGATAGTGACGAATTGTTTATACTTTGTACAGAATTTTGTTGCGTTTGCTGCTGTGCGGCAGTCGGTGACAGATTTTGTTGACTTTGAGACCATCTTCTTTTTTCTCCAGCAGTATTATTATTAGTTGTAGCAGTAGCGGTGTTAACTGCTTCTTCACTATTAGTGGATTGTGGCTGTTGAGTATTTGGACATTTATTGCAGGGTTCTTTCCTTCTAAATAACATATGCTCACACGCGCAAAGATCTTCGAGTTGCCGTCTAATATATATGTAAAAATCTTCTTCCTCCATAAATATCGGTAATCTAACAGAAGTAGGTTTACTCTCTAGAATTAAACTTATAGTTTCTCCCTCGCCACGTTTTAACAGGCTCAGCATCTGTCTTGGACTCATTGCTGCCATCAAAAAGGCTTGAAATATATCTCTTGTAACATTTAGTATAGGGCCAGTACCAAATTGTGCTGGCATTGCTTTCACTTTACGAGGATCAAAATAAGGGCCACATGTGCAATTATGATTTACATAAATTGTAACTGTAACACAATAAAACCACTGAATATATTAAGGAAATAACACAATGAAGATACAGATTCAACTACCAAAAAAATAAATGAAATAATACATACCATTCTCTAAAGAATGTGGTTTGGTATTAGCTGTACTAGTATCAGGTTCTGTAGCTGGTTGTGGTGGAGCACTTGAACCTGCTGGACTCACTAAAGCAACAGCTGGTTCTCCATTAGTACCTCCGCCCGACACTGCCATTACTGGTAAAACGTTACTTGTCCTAGACTTAAATCTATTAGGCCCTGTTGCTACACATATTAATGTATATATATAGTATATATGTATATATATATATTGTTTACTTAAAATACATACTTTAACACTTTGAGTGTCTACTTTAACATCTTTACTATATATATTTTCCTATTATTATTCAAATAGGAATAATTTCTACACTTGTTTGAAAACATATTGAAATACTGAAGTCTTAATTTGTAGCTAAATATACATATTTCATTTATTTAACAAAATACCATATTTATAAATACAAATCTTTAGAAAATACTCAAAGTGTTAAGATAGATTAGAAAAATATTATAATCCTTACATTTCTGTCTAGGCGGTTGCAATGGATGACCACTTTTAAAACACCAACCAGCAGGAAAGATATCTCTAGAGTCAAAACGACACCAATAATCAAACGCTCCTCGCCAGCCGTCAAACGTTATGTGAATCATCTCCTCTTTAACTGCACCAACAGTTGCTGTGCAAATGAGTTGCGGGTTTTTTTTATCTATAGCTTCCAATTTGTGCCCAACCTCAAACATATTAGAACGCGGTGTTTTTGGTTCGCGTTTAAATACTTTTGCAGGTGCCATTTCTGCACCATTCAATGTTTTCAGAAGGAACATTGGCCAACTGGAAGCATTCATTCGGAAGCCCAATGGTGGTTGCAACATTCCACCAGATTTCTCACAATGGCCAATTGGATGAATTTCATTACTGTCCACTAAACGCCAAAAATCATTTTTGTTATCCGAGCCATCCAACCTCAGTCTGAGACGAGGACCAAGCACCCCAACTACAGTTGCAATGCACGTTGATGTCAAATTGCGAGGATCAAGAGCCTCTAATTTCATACCCATTTTAAATTCGTTGGTTGGTGGAATCTCATGCTAAAAAGTAATTGTTATAATAAATTAATAATTGTTATAATATATATATTTTTTAAACCAATCAATCTTAATTCCTGTATTTGTGCTATGATATACCTGTTTGAAACATTCGATAGGCGCAGCTTGACTGTTTGTTTCCTTCAAGTAAAGATCCCAATCAAAAGTTTGATACGTTTCATATTGAAATGGACCAGTGGAGGTTGATGGAGAGTGAGATATATTTGTGTGATTTGTATTTGTAAACGACTGAGTTGTAGATGGAATATTATTTCCACTTATCAATCCAGATGGTGCGAGAGATGGTGCTGGTGATGCCTGATCCCTGTTACCTATTTAAAAAAAAAAAAAAAAAAAAATACAATTAAAAACAAAACATCTTTCAACTTTCATATACTACCAATGTTAATACATCTTTCAACTTTCATATACTACCAACTTTTCTTTATATCTATTTGCCCTTCCTTCTTTTGGTGTTTGTTCAAGCAAAACGAAGAACAAAAATCTTTTGTAGGCCCGTCTTTCTGCTCCAATCTCACCGGAGTGCCTCTGATAACATTGTCGCATTGGACGCAGGCACCTCGTATGTAAGCCTTGCGAAATTCCGATAGACAAGTCTCAGAACAGAACTCCTTCTTTCCATGTTGCGTCGGTAGAACGTACTTTAGTGGCTGTTTAGTCTCTCCGCACCACGTACAAGAGTTTTTCGACTTTGGTGGTCTTCCAGGACCTGCATTTCAAAATGATAACGTTCTACATTTGTCGCAACGTGATGCGCATGATAAGAGTTACCGGCTGCGGAAACACGGTCGGTATTTACAGCAAGAAACGACGGGAAAAAACTGGGAAACACGCAAGGTACAAGGTTACTTCGAGCCGTGATATTTGTATACCTCGCATTTTGCTCTGTGTGGACGACATAATCCCTCATAGAAAGACGGTGGCTGGTGCTAGAACTTGTTGGACGGCATCACTACTTCTCATTTAATAATTAAGGACATCTCCGCGCCCGTAGGGGAAATAAATCTCAAAAGCGCCAAGTCTTAAGCACCGTGGAAACGCTGCACCCTTGCTCGACCAGTGAACACGTTGAGCAGTGAGGTCCGCGCGCCGCAAGAGATTCCCCCTCGCACCCTTTTACATCAATCGAAATTCGATCTCGGATTCTGTGATGATCGCCCCAATTTCTGCCGAAATAATGTATTCCGTACGAAAAGTTATTATGTCAAGCCGCCATATTGCTTTGATTTGGCCGCGCAATCCGTAGATCAAAAAGATAATAGAGGGGATTCGCTACGTGCGAATATCAATGTCGCAGCAACGTGGTAACGCGTCGTTGAGAACTTCGAGTTGCCAACGGGCTCTCGACGATCGCATTCGATCTTGAAAATGAAAAAAAAATGCGATTCTCTCCCAATAATTTTCTTTTTTTTACGAATGCTTTACTTGCATTGTTGCAAATGAGCGATTAGAATATCGCGATAAATTGTGCGATACTTAAAAATTCCCCCCATCTCGAAACCAAAATTCAAGAACAATATCGAATTTCAGAATTTCGTCGATCTAATTCTAATGCGCGTAAATTCTGTATTTTTGCTGGTCAAATATCCCTTTCGTAAATTCCTATTTCTTTCTTTCTCTTCTTCTTTTTTTATCGGTCAATATGGATCCGCTATTCGTTGCGGAGAAAGCTTTAGCTTTCCGCCGTCGTTGGAATTTCAGTCCAAGCAAATGGTATCCCACGGGTGGAGGTCGTTGCGTCGAATCTTGGAAATCATGAATGAATTCTAAGTTTTGTCGTCCGTTCACGGGAAATTCATCGACATTGTTGACGCCAGTAAGTGTTCCATCGACCGCTGCGCATTTTCCGCGGATTCGCGCGATTCCGCCTCGCGCGAGGATCCATCGGGCCCGTCGCGACGGTTTGCTGGCATGTAAACAAACACTAAATCGCGAGATGTGTCGTTACGATTCGCGTTTCTTCTGCATACGCGAATTTGTAAAAGTTACGCGGGGAACGTTGTAATTTTGTTCCATCTAGTTTTTAACAACTCGCCAGGAGAAATACACTTTCTCGCCGATATGAAAGTTTTTTTTTTCCTCTTTTTTTTCTTTTTACTGCGGTTCGTTACTTTTTTAAAAATATAGAACTCATGTTTGTAAGTAACTCACAGTCGTCAAGTACACGAGTATTATTGGTATTATTTTATATATCTCGTAAAAAGTCGAGCGAGATAAAATGTACATTGGTATATGTTTGTTGCATCAAGAGCGTTAAGAGCGTTGTATCAATAAAAAAGGAAAAATACGTAAATTTGATCTAAAGTGTAAGAATTGTTAACGCTTTGGAATATTTATTAACGAAAATAATTGTGTTTTGTATGCTGAAGTATTTAGCAAAACGCGCATTGTACAATGAATGAAGTAAGCGGAGGGAAACAAGACATACCAAACACTTCTTCTTGGGAGACACTGTCTGGCCAGTCCGCATCCTCATTGTCCACTATGCATCATCATCATCAGTCGTTGCAACAGGACACGACTCCGGCTGTTGCGCAAGTTATAGTTCCTACTCCTGTAAAACTTCAAACGCCTATGTTGAGTTCAGCACAAACTATACCTGACCACTGTTCGCAACTAGGTCACATGCAACAATCAGGTCTAATGGCACAGGTATTCATCAGGTTTAATTAATTGCACAAATAAAATGTATCGTTTAATCTTTTATATATTAGAGTTTAACTAGTTTTTTACACTGGAGTGTAAAATAAGAAATTCTAAATTTTCTGTGGTTCATAATTTAATATTTTGTACAGATTTCTCTTGTCCAGTTTATAATTTTTTCCATAGATACTAAAAATATTGTATTTACATCTTTGAAGCATCTTATTTCATAATTAACTTAATTATGTTACTTTGTTGTTACATTCATAAGAATATGTTTGAAGCGTATGTTAATCATAGAGTTATAGAATAATATTATAGCCAAATTAACTGGCTGACTGAGTTGAAAAATACAAGTATAGCTTGACAATAATCAAGATAAATAAACAAATATAATAATGTAATCTTCCCATAATAAATTTTTGTTTGTTTATAGGGCACACCACCAGGAACATTTCCAGAACCTGAACTTTCACCTGAACTTCAACAACAAGGTTGGAAGAAGTTTTGGAGTAAGCGAGAAAATCGTCCGTATTTTTGGAACAAATTAACTGGAGAATCGTTATGGGTAATACCACCATTAAAACCTCAGGTACTAAGGTATAAATTTTCATTGTGAATTAATAAAAGCATAAACTCATATATATCAACTGTGTCTGTATTCAAGTTTGATCCAATTACGGATCCACTTGGCATTTGTGGTGTACCACCTGTTTCTGGAAATGGAGCTATTCCACCAGGAGGTACACTGAAACGCAGAGCTTCGGAGGACAGTGTTGTACCAGCCGCAAAAAAATTTGTACTGGCGTATGTTTGTTTTATATTATTTCTATATTGAGCGAATTTCAAAAGTTTTTAAAACATATTTTCATCTGACAATAGAGGACCTTGGGATTTGGAAATTCCAACGAATGTTATAATATATGAGAGGGCTCCATCAAACTTGCCTCACGTCCATCCTGAGGCAGAGGCATTACGCTGCGGTTTACTTGCGAAATTGAGACAATGCTATCAAGAATTATGCCATACTCGTGAATCCATAGACGCTCCGAAAGATTCTTTTAACAGATGGCTGATGGAAAGGAAAGTTATAGACTGTGGTTCAGATCCTCTTTTACCAAGTCAGTGTTTCCCCGAAATTTCTATGTCTATGTATCGTGAAATTATGAATGACATCCCTATTAAATTAGTCCGGCCAAAATTCACTGGTGATGCAAGGAAACAGTTGTCGCGATACGCAGAAGCTGCAAAAAAGATGATAGAATCGAGAGCAGCGTCGTCAGAGAGTAGAAAAGTCGTAAAATGGAACGCAGAAGATACATTTCAGTGGCTAAGACGAACAGTTGGTGCTACGTTCGACGATTTCCAAGATCGTCTTGCACACTTGAAACGGCAATGCCAACCGCATCTTACAGAAACTGTAAAAGCTAGTGTTGAGGGTATTTGCCTGAAAATTTATCACTTATCGACAGAGTATGCGAAAAAGGTGAAGGATAAAAATAATCAAATATTAAAAGATAATGGTTTAGGAAATGTTATACCATTGGGAGGACCAGCTAGTGCACAAAGAAAAGTTTGGTGTTATCCTGTGCAATTCTCTCTTCCAACTCCTCGACTTCCACAAGTGGATTATCTTCCTGAACGTGAACAGACAATGTTACGCTTTCACGGTGATACTATGTGTATTAACAACATGCATCTTGCTAAATTAGAACACCTATATAGATACAATTGCTTCGACGACAAAAAGTTCGAAATGTTTTTACCTCGTGTATGGTGTATGTTGAAACGTTATCAAACATATCTTGGAATTAACGAAGGACAAGCAACGCAAATGGCTTTGCCTGTTACGGTTTTCGAATGTCTTCAACGATCGTTCGGTGTAACGTTTGAATGCTTTGCATCCCCATTAAATTGTTACTTTAGACAATATTGTTCAGCGTTTGCTGATACAGATTCTTATTTTGGATCGAGAGGGCCTTTCTTGGACTTCAGGCCCGTAAGCGGCTCGTTTCAAGCTAATCCACCGTACTGCGAAGAACTTATGGAAGCTATGGTTAATCATTTTGAACGTCTTTTAGCCGATTCCACAGAGCCTTTATCTTTCGTGGTATTTTTACCTGAATGGCGAGATCCAGCGCCTAACGCTCTTATCAAACTGGAAAGTAGCCATTTTAAACGCAAACAAGTAGTGGTACCTGCAATGGAACATGAATATAGACATGGATTTCAACACATATTACCAAAGTAAATGACAATACTTTAGTATCAATACTTATGTATCTAGATACATGTGCGCATGCATATATGTAAAATTATTTTTTTATTGTAGAGGTGAAGTTAATATTAGAGCAGCACACGGAACGTTAGTCGTGTGGTTACAAAATGCAACTGGTACTGCTCGTTGGGGTCCTACTGAAGAAAGAGTTGAAGCATTGTTAGAAGCATGGCGTCCAGGAAGGGAAAGAGAACGAGACAGACAAGAACTTTTGTCACCACCAAGGCAAACGCATCAACAAATACCTTCTACGCCTATTCCCGTTTTAACAACGCCCGCAACTCCAACAGTACCATTACAAACATTATCCACACATCCTATATAATTCTTAAACAACATTTTGAGAGCTAGAGAGAAAACTAAAATAAGTCTAATAATTTAATCTTAATTCTTAATGAAATTTCTTGCAGAGGGTATTTGGCGAATACTGTTTTATCAATTGCAGAAGCAATGTAACAAGAATACGAAATATTGATATCTGCTAATATTATGGTAACATTCACGATATAGTGAAGATAAACCGGATATGCAATGTGATTTATGTTCGAGCATTCAAATAAGCGAATTAATAAAAACTGAGGAAAATAAAGGACCGAAATTGTTATATCAATGGGATCTCGCTATATTGTGAAAGATACTGTATACATGCTTTAATATTTTTCATGTGTTGCAAGCGGTTCATTTCATCTAATGAAGATGTTAATAGGTATGTACACATATACACTTGCATAAATTATTTGGTCTTTTATTACGCTATATGAATTTTACAAAAATTCTTTTTATTGAAAATGTCGAGAATTTATCATTTAATTTTAATAATTTTTTTGTGATGTTTATTATAGAGTGCAATTTCATTTTCTATTTCCAACATGAAATGTTAAAAATGTATGAAATGTGACAATGAAAAATATGTATCTATTATATAGGTATAAAAAAAAGCATCATTCGATAATTGATACAAAATCACGTTGCGTGGAGTCTAATCTTTGTAATAGTGTTAATTGTTGGTAATTAATAAGAAGACTTTGTGAGACGTGATACCTTAATAGAGGTACTTGCCATGCAAGCAGAAATTGGTTCTATTATAAAAAGAAAAAAAAGAGTTATGAGAAAATGCAATAGTACGTATGTGTGTGCGTGCGTGCGTACGTGTATGTATGCGTTTGTGTGCGCGTGTGCGTGCGTGCGTGTGTAAATAACGAAATATACAATACATTATATTTGTTTGTTTTTCATCGAAAAAATTAGTTATATGGAAATAATTTAAAGTAATATTATCCTCTTTTTATACCTTTTATCCATGACAATCTTTTTCTTTTTACATGGAATAACAAGTGATACTTCTTTTTTCCAAATGTGTCATCAGTGCAATATTTTATATAAATTTTTAATAGAACTTATAAAAAAAAATATGTACAAAAATATATTAACTTCTTTCATAGAAAACATTTTTGTTACTTTTCAATGAATTTTTAAATCTTAAAATCTTAAAATCTAAAATCTATATAATGGATTTATATGAAATTTGTATGAATTAAAATAACTCATTTCTCAGTTTATGAAATCATTCAAATTCATAAAAAAATACTGTTTTATAAAATAATTATGTCCTAAGTTAGGGATACATTTGTATATATATATATATATATTTAAAAAATCAAATTAAGTATAGAATTTACAATTATTATTTTCACATAGAACGGAATAATTCCTTTCAATAATAATAGTTTTTCCTTAACTAAACATATACATAGTATAATATAAAGGATATTATACAGTATATTTTTATTATATTTCTATTATATTTATATTCTTCTTTCTCAGTTAATCAATTAGGTAAACTCTTAATATACATATTTTATGTCATATTAAGAAAAAATGACCAATTCGCAATTTTACACAAATACGCAAAATAGTTTAAAATAATAATTTAGAGATACTATATAATACACGTGACATCATAGTATCACATAATTTACTTTGTAATTTTATTTTATAAACCTGAAACAAACAATTATGCTATATACACATTTTTCACTCAATGCTAATAAGTTTTCATAATTATTTGTGTTTATAAATAACATACATACTAATATCTATACATATCTTATACATTTTGTATATTTTTATTAGTAGTGAATTGTACATAGGTGTACAATATATATATGTATATATGTAGACATAAGACATTTATGCACATATAACTTGTAAGGCATAAGACAATATAAAAAAAGGTTTACGGGCACTTATTATTTTAGTACTTAAACTCCCATAAAGAAAATGAAATATACTCGTAAGAAAATTGTATTATTGTTGAACACAGTATAAATGGACAAGTAGAGTTTCCCATTTTATAAAGCAACTTGCTACTGTTGAATTAAAGTACTACATTTTTTTTCAAGTGTAAAGATATTTATATTGATACAAACCATTTGAAAAACTCGTACTTTTAAAAATTGAAAAACTGTTTCTAATAAAAGTTATTAGATGATAGAAAGTTATTAATTGACAGCGAAGTCACTTGCTGGAAATTTTTTTACTTTCTAAGTGTTGAAGCTTCAAAGTCACACTTTTATTTAAAAGTGTCGCGTTTTTATATTTATATTGTGTTAGATGTTGAAACATTTAAAAATGAAAAATAAAATATTTAATATTACAGGCAGAAAATTATATTTACTGTGAAATAGTATATACTTACTTATTTTAGATGGAGAATGATAAGATTTAATATAAATATAATTTTTATGATTCAGGAATACTTAAATAAAAATATAGTAAAATTTGCTGCTTGTCCCTTATTTTCCATGTTTATTAGATGATTCGCGCTCGCATATAATATACAACTTTTATTAATTTTATTATCAATTGTAACTTTTATTTACATGTTACAGATTGCTTCCTTTCTTCAATTCTTACTAGCTGTAATAAAAAGACAATTTTTTCTATTTTTATAAATTATGTACTTATTATATTATATAAAAATTTATTCATAACATATTCATACATTATTTACAACATAATATTTACATATTAGAAACAGAAACAAGATTTTATTATTTCATTTTCTTATTTCATTTTTAATCCTCTTGTCTTTTCATCATGTCGACGAATGTGTGGTTGAATCGTACGTTTGTACAAACAATAAGATCTTATTTAACAATTTATGAGCCTGCTGCTTCTCGCAGATCAGATAATAAATGGACTTCTCTTCCATGTCATTAATAAAATCTATCAACGTCAACTTTATTGAATGCAGATCAAATACGCAGTGATTAAATCCGAGTTTGTACCTGTTAAAGGTAATTACGTTCTGTTTTTCTAGTACCATGCTTAAACGTCTTTTAGCTATAAATTTCAGAAAATCAAAAAACAAATTATAATCCATTCCGTATGTTGATTTCAATATTAATTGGCACTGTTCTGCCCAATTGCTCATGTCCTTGCAGTCGCTAACTTCTTTCATTACAGAATTCAATTCCTTTTTCAATCCATGCCACACGTCCATGATATTACAGCCATTGATCCAATTATGATTGAGGGAAACGGTGTCCTCCTAAAAATAAACATCACAATGAATATAAGAGATATCATTTGCAATAACGGCCAAGTATATTTACTTTATTCCAAACTTGATGATGCCATCCAGATGGCACAAATATAATTTCGCCTTCTTTCTGAATCAAGTCGATGTATTTTATCGCTCGCTTGTCGTAGGCCTTGTACACGGCATAGTTTTCAAGTTCCTTGGACGTTGCATCGTATATTAATTGACCATGTATATCCCTAAGGAAATCTTCCTGACCTGGTGGAAAGAGTAGCCAACGTTTCTCTCCGACTATATTGGCAGACCAACTGTAGGATCCAAATATATCTGCGTGCAATGGTGTCCTACATGTAGAAACCAGTTCACCTTATTCGCGTAATATCGAATATCTAGGTCCGGTGCTTGAAAAACGTGGTCTTACCATGTTCCCTTGGGACCCATGTACACGAATCTGTAATCATCATTCAAGTCGGGATGCGCCATGTAATACTCGTTCAGCCAGTCAGACGCAAAGTACTCAGGTACAGTGTACATAGGAGCATTTGGAAACAGCTTCTGGCAGTGCCAGTCCTTCAAGTACAGAAGCGGCATAGAATCCGGGTAATTATTCTTGACATAGTCCATCCAGTAATTCAAATAGTCCTTCATTGTCATGTCGTCCTTGGACTGTGAATTGTAGTACCTCGTTTTGCAATCGGCGATTGGCACCACGCAATCTCCTACGAGAGGATCGTCTTTAATTAATAAAGAGTAATTTACAAAATGCGTAAAAGCGTGGTTAATCATTTGTTTACCAAACGATATGTCGAGAACATCGAAGTCCGGCGCACCGTCCAAACTCCATTGCCTCTTGCACGACCAATTATCTGTTATACTCGACTTGAAGATACACGGCTTGTTCTCCGCTAGATATTTCGAGAAGAATTCATCGTATGTAATCGACGGGTCAACGTAATCGATCCAGTCGATCACGGCGGTCTTTTTATTAACGGTTAACCTCCCGTTTTGAATTTCGAGCTCCTGCACCATCACGCACTTCCAGTCGAATTAAACTCAACGAGCGAGTCTCATCGCGGTTTTTCCGTATATATAATACGCGTGTGTGACGCATGCATAACGTACACGATGTATAACACAATGCGTATAGTTGTTTTTAAAACAAAATTGCGACACTTTTTTTGAATGGACACAATGCCACGGGACTAATTAAAAACCACCTTGAAATTTTGTTAATCGACGCGCATGCGCAACGCGTCGCATGTTGCGTGCAATATCTTAAAACGCTGTTCTTCATCGCGTGCGACAATCAAAAATTTAATATTTTTTTTCGCTTGTTACATAATTGCTACATAATTGCACGTATATGTTGTAAATTGTCTCGTATCTTATGTTACGCTACACGTTTATATTATTATTTCATATTATACTGAACCTTTTAGTTTGATTTATTTCAGGTTGGTTCAATTTCATTTATTTTGTATTATATTCGTGTATGTACGAATGTTGAACAATTGCAAATTGATTTTGTGGTAATTTCATTGTATGTTTATTATATATTTATTGCATATTTTTATTATATATTTCGTTATATTATACATCTTTTGTCTTAACAGTTAAGAAGCTGCTTAGTATTTCGACCTGTATTTAACAAATTACTCGAACCTGAAGAATTTTATTGTACATCATTATTATACATCTTTCGCATCAATAGTTAAACTGCTTGATATGTGAATGTATGTTTAATAAATTACTTGATTTTTATTATATATTTATTATATATTTCATTATATTATATATTTTTCCTATTAACAGTTAAGAAGCTGCTTGGTATTTCATCGTTCCATTTAACAAATTATTCAAACTTGAAGAATTTTATTATATTACATGTCTCTCATATTAATAACCAAAAAACTGCTTGGTATCTCAACGAGTGTTTAACAAAGCATTCGAATTTGAAGAATTTACATTAAACGTGTACCTTCAACCGGAACTTAATTTAGACTGTTTACAAAAATGCATGTTTATGATCAAAGAATGATCAAAAATATTATACAATCGGAATTATATATTACATAATCAAGAATATTAAAAAATAATCAAAAATTAAATAACAATAATCAATCAACCATCAATCTAATAAAACGCATTAGCGGAAAGGAAATTTCCTAAAATGTACGTCGTGGCAGGATGTACTCACCGCGAAAAGATTGCAATTTCAAACGCTGCAAACACATCGGAATTCGAGAAAAGTCCCTAGCTACTGACCAATGATACCGCAGGCGTGTCGGGAAATTCGGACGTTCGTAGGTAATGAAAAATCTCTGTCGTCACGGGACCAATCAGAATAACTTGCGGGGAACAGTGAAACCCAGAGGTCGAACCTTCTATCGTCTACGTGCGCACATCGTAGTTTATGCATGAATATACGATATCAAAACAGTAGGGTAAGGACGACGTATGTGAGCGCATGGGAAAAAAGGTATCGAAACAAATTGAATCGGACGGTCTGTGACAATGGGAATGACGCGCAAGGTAAAGAGAACGTGTCAGAACTCGTGCGTACGAACAGAAATGAAATTCGATTGACCCGATTTAAACAAATAGACCAACCGGCCTTTGAATCGTGCTCGAAGGCGTTGTCAATGCAATAGACGTTTGTCACTTGCTGCTGGCCGCAGTAATTTCCAAAGTGGTGCTCTTCAGAACTTTTATTCGCGATCTCTCTCACGTACGAAACCGAAACGCGCGAACAGCTTTCTTCCCACTTGATCGCCGTACGGTGCGTTCGAGCACCAATGCGGATGAAAATAAAGGGAGAATGCACGTTCACACCGCGGACAGTTTTGTCAGCTGATTACCATTTGAACGCAACATGCGAGGGATGTGCCGTGAGAGACTCGAAATTACGCCATCCACGTAATCGCCGTGACACGGAGTACCGCACTCTCATTTATATTTTATGAACTTTCTTCAACCGGAGAGACGTCGACGAGTCTCTCTCGACGAGAATGGGAAACAAAAGTAGTTGCTGCGTTTACTCCAGCCCCCAGGTTGGACGCAAGGAATTGGGATCCGAAGGTGTTACCCGTGGCCTCGAGGAACATCTGCCCGAAGGTGGGATCAGCGTCAACAACCTACAACATATTAGCGAACGTGAGCCGGAAGACTGGGATTCGGACCCGTCGTTACATCCATGCGCTGGCACTATTTTCATGGAACGTTCGAAACAGGCTATTGAAAGTACGTACATGTATATTGAACTGTAGCATATTTTTGGGAATTCTCAGTGACACTTCATTGCGAAAACGCGCCAAATCCACCCAATAGTGGTTTTTGAACGTTCCTTCATTCTCACGTCACCTTTTTTTGTTTTCTTTCAGATGGCATGGTGAGAAAGAAAAGCCAACATCAAATCGCGGATGTAAGGCCGTTGAAAAAGAGTAGCAGCTGCAGTACAATATATTTAGATGACAGTACTGTTTCACAACCAAATCTCAAGAATACTGTGAAATGCGTTGCCTTAGCTGTTTATTACCACATTAAAAATAGAACCTCACAGAGACAGATTGATATATTTGATGAGAAACTTCATCCCTTAACGGTAATTTGATTATTAGTCAGTTGTTGAATTAAGAAGATAAGAAATGTACAACACGGAGAATAGTTTTCTAGTTTGTGTTGCGACATAAAGCAATTTATTTTTGTATAAAAATTTAGAAAGATGAAAATGTTATATGAAATGCAGTTTAGAAGAGCAAACATCTTTTTTTTTATAGAGGGAAGGTGTTTCAGAAGATTATGATAAACAAAATCCAGAGCATAAACAAATCTATAAATTTGTGAGAACATTGTTTAATGCTGCTCAACTTACAGCTGAATGTGCCATCATAACGTTAGTTTACTTAGAACGTCTGCTCACTTATGCAGAAATAGACATAACTCCAGCTAATTGGAAACGAATAGTACTTGGAGCTATTTTATTAGCGTCAAAGGTCTGGGATGACCAGGCTGTATGGAATGTAGATTACTGTCAAATTCTTAAAGATATTACAGTAGAAGATATGTAAGATCACGTCATAGTTTTGATCGGATCCCAAAATCTTCTTCATTAAACGTTTCATACTTTTTTTTTCTTTCTTTTTTAGGAATGAATTAGAAAGGCAATTCTTGGAAATGCTACAGTTCAATATAAACGTTCCTTCAAGCGTATACGCTAAATATTATTTTGATCTTCGCACACTTGCAGAAGCAAATGAATTAACATTCCCTAGTGAACCACTCAGCAAAGAGAAAGCTCAGAAATTGGAAGCCATGTCCAGAGTTTATGAAGACAAAGTTACTGCTGAAGCTTTACGTACTGGTATTAAAAGATGGTCAAGCTTAGATAACATATGTATAGGCGGTCCTAGACGTAGCATTGCCATTCTATCCTAAATTTTGGATATAAGTAAGTATGTTACTTATGTCCATAAATTTTCAATCAAGGTATGTGAACAAATCAATTTGCGAATGTATTTCTAATATAGTATTAATCAATTTCAAATTTTCATAACCATATCATTTTTATTACTGAATAATTTGTACATTCTTTTATTTAAGTATTTTAATGCAATACAAGTTTTATAAGCATTGTTCACGAACGTTAAATCTTTCTTTTTTTCAATTACTTCTGTTTGATTGGTTTATGTAATTCTACATTCTTTTATAGCTTGATTTTTTTCTATAATGATAAAATATTGTAATGTTTCAATTGTTAACATCGTTTTTACAAAAATATTTGTATTCTAAAAACTTTGGCTTCAACTTAAATTCTCGTTTCATGCAGATAGTAGAATTGTTGTGAAGAATCGTTTATTTAGCTGCTGGAAAAATTAATTTTTTAATCAGGGACCTCTTACACAAATGTTACACAAATAAAAGTAATAATAAAGTTTCTACTCTTCATATTGTTAATGTTTCTTTAATTGAAAGGAACAAATTATGATATATGTCAGTTATTTTCTATTTGAATGATTTGAATAGGCAAATTTATAATAAATTTGTTAATAATAATATATAGAAAAAAATAAAAATATTTCGCGTTATAAAGATTAATTTTATCAAATTTCTGTGTATGAATATTGTGCATTTTACAGAGAATTTATTATAAATAATTTCAATAAACATATTTGAGGAATTTGTAAGATTTTATTAATTAACGTATATATATAAAGTACTTTTTCATATATTCGAAAATTTTTCTAAATTTGTGTTCATACATAGTTTAAATTAGTATTAGCATAAAATATAACGAATATAAAAAGTGAAAGTAACCTTATTTTAGATATTATATTATTATTTCAGTATAAATTATGTTTATGATCTGTATTAATCTGTCATTTATCATTTGTTCAGATATTAATTGTAAAATGCAGATAAAACTCATTACACATGACTAATTATTTTTAAGTATGATAGATTATATACTTCAATGATCTTGTATGATCAAAATTTTCAATACTTTAGAAACTTTTTTTTCTTATTAGATGAAATCATATTAAATATTGCTCGTATTATTTTTATTAAGCTTTCTTTTTACAGTTTTAATATACTGTATTTTCAAAATCATTCGGAATTTTTATTTATTTCAAAAATTAGCAATATCCATTTTTACAAATATATTCGCGAACTTATTTATGTTGTAATTTTTATGTATTAACAAATACAGTAGTTTACAGATAAACAAATCTTAATTATAATTATTTCTCTTTTCATTTAAATATCAATATTAAGTTAGCAATTATAAATATATATAACTTTATTATTTATAATTAATAAAAGAAGAAAAAATTTGTAACAATTGCAGCATTATAATAAAACTTTTAGAGTAGCTTGTAGTTTTTATAAAGTTTGATTATCTGAAATGATAAATTACATTCAATTGATTGGTAATACTTATCTTTAACTAACAATTTTTTCAAATTTATATTAAAACATAAAATTATGATAGTTTAAATTATGTTCACAAATATTTGAAATATTCACAAAATTTAATACATTTTAATTTAAATATTTAATTTAATTATTTTTAGAAATTCATATGTATATGTTTAATAGCATATAGAACTTTTATTGCATTATTAATTAATATATTCTATAAATGTTACAATAAGTTTTGATGAATTAGTCCAATCAAACGAAGTAAATATATGTTTTAAATTTTTGAAAAGAGACTATATTTATTATTGTGCAATGTTTTCATGTAAAAAATACTTTTAAATTATATCAATTTTGTAAAAAAAATTGTAATTAAATTAATGCATATTTTTAAACGAGTCACTTATTTTATTTATAATAGTTTCGCAACATTCGACACCCGGAGATCGTCTAAATATTAAAAAAAAGAAAAAAATCGTAGTAAGATAACATTTATATTATAACTAATTGTTTTTGTAAAAATTAAAATAATATAAATTTTCATTGAATCTTTGATACACCATTGTAGAGTAATTGCAGCTTATTTTTATTTTTGTACTTTACTACCAGAAATTGAACACGCTGTTACAAGGGAATTTAAAAAGTAACAAGTATAAGTCTTAATATAAAATTATAATTAATGCCAAAATGTAATAACATAAATAAGTAATTTTGAATGGCTTTCATAGTGTATCGAAGTAAGGATAATATTTACATATCTGCACTTTTGCCTAAACAAGACTATTTCATTTATGAACACAAAAACGAAAAAGTATATTTTTTACTATAACAAGTGAATTGGTTTTATATATTATAAAAGATAAAACAAAAAAGAAAAAGTAAATAAATAGAGAAATGGTTAAAATGTAAATAAATGAATGCATTAAAAAATGCCAAATACTTGCTTGAAAGTAGCCAAAAAAAAAGTATATGTAATGCAAATTTTATTTGTTTTAATAATCTTATTTTCTAAAGAATTAAGATTTAGAATTTTTTATGCGTAACTATTTTTATAAATAGAATTGCATTGTAAAGACAATCTTGCAGTCTGGTTGCGTCCTATGATAAACTGCTATACTTGGTCTGTGTACTTCTCATGAGGTTGTATTATAAATGAAGTAACTTTATTGACACCTTGTTGACTAATATTGTAATATTGCTACTAATTTGTTATTTATCATTGGAGCTTATTATCCCTGATTACTATATAGTATTATTCCAAATAATTTATGTATATATATTCTAAATTATCATTCTTAAAAATGATTTGTACAAATGAACATTAATTTACACATAGCGAGTTCTTAGTGCGCAATAAGCTTATGTTCAGCCACTGTTTCACAATGTATTGCTCTATGTAATGCATCAACGTGATAGTCAATAAGATGTTAATAATTGTAGTACAACATATTGTACTTGAAAGCAAATGGTATAACAGCATCAACTTTCAAGTCTTCCATCGTAACAACAATTTCAAGATTTTTTGCTTAGTTTACAAGATAACATCTCTGTGGTATATTGCGGTAATGCTTCTAAAGAAATAAATTGTGATACATAGTTATATACATCTACTATAGACATATACATGATTGCTCTAATATATTCAGAACAGACATCCATTTCAATTATGAAGCATTGTATCATTAAAACATGTCATATTGTGTATTACAATTGCTCTTCTTCTATTCTTCTTTTGCATTCTGTAATGTTCCTAATTATATTTTGTCTGCGCATATTTGATACCTAAAAAACAGCATTTCCATTTCTGTTCAATTTAATTAAATCTGCATACCATGCAAGATGTACATTGATTGAATTTACTCTGTAATTACTTGTTATAATAACGAATATAATGACTATATTTAAAAAAGTGATAGACTTAGCATTTGCTAAGAGGAGACCAGTAGTCTAAGTTTCTTCCGTTTAAAACAATGGAACTTTTTATAAATAGTGACTCTGTAATTTGATAAGATTTAAGCAACATAATTTATATTAGAGATGATTACGGAGTGAGGAGATCAATATCAGTGAATAGCCCCTGAGATGTATTTCTGCACATCATGAAATGTTATACATTTCAAAAGGATATTTGAAAAAATCTAGCTCTAGCGTATCTTATATATAATGTACATATATTAATGTATCCAATACGAAACTTGCTTCATATTTCATATTAGACCTCTAACAAACTAATATTTTATATTAATAAACTGTATCTAAGAAGATATCTTAGATTACGTATTTGTATTTATATTTGATATTATAATTTTTAAAATTTTGTCAAAAATAAAAATAAATAAAAAGAAAAAGATATTGTAATTTTAAATATACATTTTACGACATCATTTATTATATTGTATGTGATTATTAAAAATTTATCATTCAAGGCATATGAATCATATTATTTTCTCATGAAAATAAAGTATTTAATATAATTATATTTAAAGTATTACTATAATACTTCTATCAAAACAGTTTTATCAGTTAAATTTCTTTTTAAAAGTGTTTCGTAATTTCTTATGTAAAAGAATTCATATTAGTGATAAAATTAAATTTGAATTCGTGATGAATATCTATAAAATAATTCTCAACGATGTATTCATTTTTCCTTTCCTTTTTTACGCAAAGATTATGAAATGATTTCTCTCTTAATTGTGAAATGACTTTTTTTCCGATCGATGTACAGCTCTGAACACACGATATCATTTTAGTTGAGAACCACTGTTAAAACAGTAATTCCTATATACAGGACCAACAAGGTACACAAAACTGAATTGTTGAATGTGTATTATGTTTGCGGGTCTGTAAGCATGTGTGCATACAAATGCACACAAATCAAGAAATAACACGGTAAAAAATGTATAAAAATTTATGCGCAACTTCTCAATTAATATTAGTATCTTTTTCAATGGAAAACTTTACGCAGTTGTGCATGCTATTTTGAAAAATATACTACAAACTCGCAGGATCTGTTTACTCGATTTTCCGAAAGTTACAATTGGACTAACAATGATGTTGCACAAAACGAACTTGAAACTGTGTCGCCTATGTGGTAAGGAAAAACAGCAAGGCACAGATTTATTCTCAGACAAAGTTAAAGGGAGTGTGTTAATGTCGATTATAAACAAATATTTCTCGAAGGAGGTACGATTCAAATGCATTTTCCATGAGACTTGCTTTTTAATTCACTCTCACATTTTTCGCTTTACAGGTGATAAATATTTCAAACTCTGACGCATTCTCCAAATACGTTTGCATCGATTGTGAACAAAAGATTTACATATTCGACGAGTTCTGCTTGATGGTAGCTAATGTGCAAAAACAACTTGCGGCCCCATCTTTGGAGATTGATTTTGCAGAAGTACAAAATAATCTTTACTTGTTTGTAATTGGAGGTGTAATTATACTTTGGATAGAAAGCTGATATTTTTTTCAATTCAAAGAGTATTTTATTCTGTAATTTTAGAAATTTTAAATAACTGAAAATTAACACATCTAAAGTAAAACATCCTGTTGAATTATAGACTAATTCTTATACCAAGTACTTCATATTTCGGACAGGTATACGAGTATTTTGCTTTCAGGACATGTTGTACCAATTAAAAGAAAATGATGCAATACCAAAAAATACCTCGAATAAGCAAGGGTTAAAGAAAAGTACATGCCCAATATGTGCTAAAAGTTTTAGGTGTCAGTCGCATTTAAATAGACATAAACGTATTCATACTGGACAGAGACCTTTTGTTTGCAATGTTCGTAAGATAGTAGAACTATTTTGTGTACCGTTGATACTGTAAATTTAAAGCAATAGCGTTTTAACAGAATTGAAATTATGTATATTGAACATCTTAAGAGATGATTTTTTTTATATATTTTCAGATTTGCAAAATGTCTTTCAATCAGCAAGAAATCTTAATGAAGCACAAAGAAAGACACGAAGGGAAGAAGCAATTTCAATGTGCAAATTGTCATCAGTCCTTTCGTTATAAAATTTCACTGAAGTCTCATATGATCAATTTTCATATGGACATGGAACAGTCTGTTAATAATCAGAGTCTACGGATGGAAAACAATTCATTCGTATGTTCGGAATGTGGCAAGCAATTTGTAACAAAATATAAATTACAAAGGCATTCCAGGTGCCACACTGGCGAGAGGCCTTATCATTGCACTTTTTGTTTGAAAACATTTTCACAAACTGGCAATTTGAAAGTACATCAGGTGAAATATCATCAGATACATAGTTCTGTGACTGAGATAAGAAGAGAAACCCAATACAATGACCAAATTGCTGACTGTGATATACCGACAACATTAAATAATTTCCATACAGTTAACATGTCGGAGATTGAGCTACAGAATACGATAAATGAAACTATAAATTCTACAGAGCAAAGTAGTTCGTATGCTTCGAAGATATACGAGAATTCTTTATACATTGACGAGGAAATTGAAACGATCCTGGATCGTGATCTTGGGCAATTAGGACAAAATAAATATTCGACGAATATACAAGATAAAGTACCGCTTTGCTTAAAACAACCAGAAACTCCTGAATTACTCCATAGTTTATTATACGATGATGGTTAAATTCGCAGATTGACTGCGTATTATTGTTCCTTTAAAATATCAAAATAATTTATTTGAAAATCCAGATTCAAATAATACATGCGTTGGAAATTATAAAATTGTATATATTCCTATGTAACTTTTAGAGGATAATTGTGAACATGCGTCATTAGTAAAATATCATAATGCAAAATAACAATCTCTATGAGTCTTTTTGTAAATTTTGTTATTAAAAGAATTTTATAAGTAATTCTTTATTTTTTATTTTTATTTGTAATAATTGTTAATATAATAATTCTATAAATGTGTAAGTTATATATAAATTAAATCATTCTTGTTCAATTTACTCTAATGTAAATGGAACTTATACCATAAAAGCTTACGTTTGTCTATAGCTATGAAAATAAAGTAAAAGAAAAAGAGATGATAATTTGTTGACATTTTTATTGACTTTAAATATTTTTATCAATACAAATTCACATACACTGATCATTGTCGAAATTATCAATTTTTTTTTTTGAGGAAGACTATTGGTGAAATAATACTTCTAAAAAATCTAGAAAAGAATAAAGCTGCTTAAGGAATTTCTTTTATAGCTATTTCTTCTTTTATATTGGTTTAATTCATTATTCTGTATAAGGGATTTCATCTATTATAATATATTGAATGTGGCAGTAATAACAATTTGTATATTTACATTCACGTATAGTATTATATTCACTTGGATAAGTATTACCCAAGTAAATACTTTTATTATTGTAAAAAGATTAACAATAACTTACAATAGATTTATACAATAACCTACTATTATATATTAAAATATTATTCTTTTTTTTATTTGAATGTTTACTAATGTAATAAAATTAGAAAATTCTTAAAAACTATGTGTAAATTTATTAACAAATCTTCCATTCAAGTACCCTGCACTTTTTTTGACAAATATATATATATGTGTGTATTGATATTAATTAATGTTTCTGTAATACTGTAAAATGAAAAAGGTCATCTATACGAAAGGATTTAAAAATGAAAATAATAAATTGAAATCAAAAAAATTAAATAAAATAAAGATAAAAATCATAAATTACACCACTGTATTAAATTGCTTGTCAAAATATATGATATTGACAACTTAATAACAAATTTTATCTTTTTCACATTTTTCTTGAAAGACACGTTAACAATGGACTTCTGCCTTCGTACATAATTTTTTAATAAAATAATTACGGACACGACATGAAATTTTTATTCTCAGAATAAATTTATAAATAGATTAATGAAGGATGGCTAATCGACCAGTATTAGTAGCATAAATTAGACCTTGACCAGGTTGAGGTGCCCACCTGATACAATTTATACTTGTGTGTGCTCTAGTTGGGTGATTATTTTGTAGTAAGTCTCTAACTTCTAAGTCCAAGTCTCGAATAAATAGTTTGTCATTTTCGAATTGTTTACGTGTTAGTCTATAAATAACAGCCATAGTATAATCATTTCCAAACTTATTCCTTGCTAGACCTACTAAGAGATGTTCCTGTGTTGGTGAAATCGATACAGAAATCACAGAATTGTACACTTTCGTCCAATAAATTTCTCTCCCTAACGTTTCCCATTGTAAACTATAGACTCCTAAAAGTATCAAAATTAAATGGATAATATCTGTTTTAAAAAATTAGATTTCGTTTGTTGCAGAACAATCGAATGTACAATTTATTCATGTGTTATTTTAAAGAAATTTCTCACCTGCAGCTCCCACAAAACACGTTGCTAATAATGTTCCGTCTGAAGAAATATTTATACTAGCGTCATTACGAATTTTACACTTGTGTATAACAATATTTTTTTCAGCTACAACATAAGAAGTACTTTGTGAATAGAGTACTATGCTTTAAATATAAAGAGTAAACGGCAATATTTACAGTTTTTGATATCAGGTATTTCCCCTTTAGAGAAGTCCCAGGCTTGTATACGGTAATTCCTTCCAGAGATTCCTAAGAAGTTTAACACTACTGCTGAGACATCTTCTAAAAAATTAGCTATATACAAATTTGTTTATTGCAAAATGCATACATATATATATGTTATTAAATAGCAGATATTAAATGAACATTTTTCTGACAAATCAACTTATTTTTTCTTTTTTAACACTTTTAAATTTTTTTAAAGCTTTAAAATTATAGGTTCTATCGACGAGTAATTTGCTATGAATCAGCATCCATAAAATTCTAATAAAATTGGAATATAAAATAACAAATTGCATTGATTTTCAAAGCTATTCTTATTTAAAAATTTATTTTTATTTCAGTTTTTCAAAAATTAGGAAATTATGATTTTTGATTTAATCAATTTATAAATATAAACTGTACTTTATACCTACAATTGATCAATTTGACTTGGTATCTAGCATTTAATATAAAAAACTCTAATCCAACACATCTTCTAAAAATAATTACCCCAGTTACTCTTCAAAATCTCTTAATAAAAGTTAAGTGACAGTTAAAGTATATTGTCTTGAATTTTAAAATCATTTTTACCTGGTACAGGTGTTTCGTCATCATCACGTGGAAACTCTCCTCTTCCTCTTCCTGTACGCCGCCCTGTATTACAGATATATTGTAGTAGTTCATTATTATCTACTGATATAGTACCGCGAAAATTCGACCGAGTACTATGTGAAGGTTCGGTTCCAATGGTTTGAATTGCTTCACTTTGAACAATCAATGTTCCGCCATAGTTACTGAGTACTTGACTATCATGTGCCGTTCTTCCATATCTCAAACAAGATCTACATAATTTAATAAAAAATAATAAAATTCATTACTAATATGTTAAAGAACTGGTGATATATATTCCATACACACCTGAATGATTTTGGTTCTCTTGGACAATTTCCAATGCCTGTGATTAATTTCTTTCCTAAATTGTCAAAAGCTACATATCTAAAACATACAATCTAATTATGTTTAATTCTAGAAGATGTACTATAATTTTTCTTATATGATATTTATTAATTTATAGTTTATAATTTATCTCGTAGTACACAATGTATCAAAACTCACCTTACTTTTTCTATGCTGGTCTTAGTAGATATTATTGCAAAAGGTTTAGATTGACTCCAATCCCAAAAGTGTATTTCGTTATTTGTTGCTATGACGAGTAATTTTTCAGAAGGATGGAAAGCAAGAGAAGCTATAACTGTCTGACTTTCGGTATTCCAAATCTTACTACCATCCTACAAAGTAAGTAAACGATATGTAAAATATTTTGGACCAAATATTTTGTCTTCGTAGTTAAATAAAATTACTAACTCTCAAATCCCAAATGCGCACTTGACCACCAAGGCAACCAGAAGCTAATATATGACTAGACGAAGGATGAAATGCTATACACCAAGGAGTACGTGGATGACCAGAAAGGATTTTGATGTTTTTCCTAGTTGCCATATCAGTAATGTAAATACTATGATTTCCATGTGCCGATGCCATTTTGGTGCTGAAAATTAAATTAAATTAAATTTAATTAGTTTATAATATAAAATCACTCAATACTCAATTTCTTACCCATCTGGGCTGAAAACCATTAAAAATGTTGCTTTAGGATATCCAGGCAGGTCATATTCCTGAAAGAATATTAAAATAATAAATAATAAACAAACAATGAGAATTCTACAGAGTAACAGTTCTATAATCACCAATTCTTTATGCTTTTTTCCAACTAAATTCATTTCAGCTATCGATTCTAATGCACGTGTTTTAGTTTTGTAACAATTATAATACAAAAATCCAAAATCTCTGAGCATCAAATCTCTTAATATGTTACGAGACTGGCTGCAATGAAGCAATTCTGGCCTCTTCTTGACCTGCTCCATAGCAGGATATCCTGCAATGTTTACAAAATTAATTAAAAAAATGTAACTAGCAATTAAATTTTCCTTAATGAAATTAACATACAGAATGTACCAATATTCATCAGTATATATAAAAATATATAAATTTTTTTTATAGAAAGATAAACACAATGTATCAAGCAGAGTAAAAAAAAAATGTGTTAAATATTAATTTTTTATTACGTTTACTTAATAAAAAGATATTTATATGAATACCTTTGCGAAAAAATCTTACATAGATTGATTGATCCGTCATTAAACAACAAACAAAATATGTGTGCACCGAAATAATTCTCTACAAATTTACTACAAAGTTCATTTAAATACAACAGGAATGAGTCAGGTTACCAAAGGATGGGAATAAAAAAATGCAACGACGGAACATTACAGGTTCTAGGAAACTGATTGCAAATGCAATATATAATTTGGATGTTAAACATCGTTATTTAACGCGTGTATAACATGCACGTGTACGTATGCCTACGTTCGCATTAATTTATTTAAATTAAAGAGCAGCCTAAAAGTACGCTACCTGAAAAATACCAGTGGCGTTTTGTAGAATTGTAACCGTGTTGTCTGTATTATGCCCACCACTGCTCGAAGTCAAATCGAACAAAGAACTAACCTAAGAATTACACGTATCTGACATTCAAGCTCAGCGCCGAAAATATACGAGGAACAGAGGACGAACATAGTTTCACATGGAATACCTCGGTGACACTGCGAACGTTTGCGCGGGAACACCCAATAGGTTATGGATATTCTTTCACGTGTCTCCGCTATTTATCAACGATTGTCAGCGCCAAAGTCAGTTAACCTATTGGTTGAGAATTTAACGCCAAAAGTGGCTGCAAGGTTTCCTTTGTAACGCAGAATGCCTTGACAATTTCGATACAATTGATAAACAGACGATTTTACGTGAAAAGGCAAATTAAAAATATAGGTAAAAATTTGTTTGACATGATATCTTTATTTTCGAGGAAATAAAATTTGTAAGTTCACCTATTGGCGCGCGTACCAATTCGTGATCAACTACACCGTTCTTTTGAAAATGAGACTTTAGGCTAGATAATATTTATTCTCTCGTCGTTGCAAATATACATCCTGCATGTTAGAACGATAATTTTTTTTTAACTGGGTATTTTGTTTCATGTTTTTTATAAAATAATTTTTATTTACATTTTATCATGTAAACTAAATATAGTACGTTTACAGTGATTCGATACGTTAGTCAATTAACCCCTTGAGAATTTGGCGCCAAAAGTGACTGCAAGGTTTCCTTGTAACGCAGAATGGCTCGACAGATGATTTTTTTTTTAATTGGATATTTTATCTCACATTTTAAAATAATTTTTATTCACACTTCTTCGTGTACACTTAGTAAGTATTTATTACAATTACAGTTCTCACATTTTTTAATAAAAAATAAAAATAAGAATTGTAGCAAAAAACGAATAAGAATTTATAAATTGTACAAATTTAACCGAAACGAGATTTAGGAAGAATTTGGAAAAGAAATAAAAATAGAATTAGGTATAGACTAGGTATAAAAGTTAAATCGAATAAAATTCATAATATCAAATGAAATTTATAGAATATTAAATAACATTTTGTTATCGTTTTTGTTTATTTATATAACAATTATTTATTTATTTTCAGCTTATAAATTTTGTACACATTCCATTTGCAATATTATTAAATAAATATACACTATATGCATTCTTTCCTTAATCTTTATATTGTGCAACAGATTTAGTTTCTTTTCACTTAATGATTCAAAATACGTAAATTGCCCGATACTATTTTATTTTCTAAAATTGTGCCTGAGGGGAGATCGATACGTTCTCCGTGGTTTGCAATAATTATAACAGTTCCCTTTAGAGTTACCCCTTTTCCAAAAGTAACATCACCAGACACTGTAAGATGATCTAATTCCAACAGATCTGGTATAGCTGGGAATCTAGTAAGAAATTCTTTAACCTACAAGAAAAAATTCACCTCGATTATAGAATATCCTAGGTATAAAGGATTTATGGAAATTATAGAAACAAAATAACAACCTTTGCAAAATGGTTATCACCCAATTTTATAAGAGGTGTTGTAGGGAACATTCGTTGGGGACTCATTACTAATGAACCATTGCGAAGAGTATACAAGTTGCTCATAACAAGCATTAAATCTGACGTCTTTTTGACTGGTAAGAATCTACTGCGTGGAACATTTATACCTATTTACAGATTTACATGTATAGTACAGTTACAATCATATCGTAGTATTAAATTAAGATAATAATTTGGTATTTCATTAAAGAAATATGAAAGTTCATGCAGAACATATAAAAAAGTTGGCTGTCTCTTACCAATACTTCCTTCAAATGATTTCATAGCTGCTCCAACAGCAGTTTCTAATTGAATGATATTTAAACCATGTTCAAACGTCTTGTTATTTACAATAATCTCCATATTCAAAGAATTTTCTTCCAATACTCTTTCAATAGCTAAGAATGTAAAAAATAAATGTTACAATCATGAATCAGTTACAATTGTGTAACTGAGAGAAAACACGTACCACTAAGTTTTATCCATAAATTATTTGTATTGAAAAACTTGAACGTTTTTATTGATTTGAAATCATCTACATGGTCTTTTGGAACTTGGGCAATTTCGAGTAGGCGTAATTTATCTTCATACTTGATTAACGTTCCACCCTATAAAGATATATATGTATATATATATATAAATGTGATTACTTAAAAAGATTTGAAGAAATCAATTTGTAAACGAAAATTATATTACCTTGACGTCGGCACGAGTTTTATCAGTAACTTCCATAACAAATTCAAGAGGTGAGGCTTCACGTTTGTCCAACAGTAGTTTCAAAATTTTGAAATCCACAGTAGCACCTAGATTATCAATGTTTGAAATGAAACAATATTCACGTCCCTGTATTGAGAGAAAATATTTATTAAATGTGTGATATAACGTTTAATACAAAAGATTAAAATGTGTGCATATGTGTATACCTCTTTTATGAATTTCTTTAATAAACCTGAATTCCGGAAACTTTCATAAAAGTCTCCATGACCAGGAGGATACCACCTGCAAATAAACGACATCTAAATAAATTTATGCATACTGTGGATTTTTATGCAATGTCATATTTTTATGAATATAACTAAAAAATAACGAATACTCTATTTTGAATATTTTTTGTAGTTCTGTATGATGCATCTTTGACAATATACACAAAAATACACAAAAAAGTCTTCTAACAAATATTTAAAATTTTGTTTTAGATTAATCTTACGCTTCGATGTCATCAGCAATATCGCAGTGTTTCGCGATTGGAAGCAAAGAATCTCTATTGATACGAGGATAGCAGCTTTGATTAAACGTTTGAATATCGACGTCTATCCCTTTATATTTTCTAATAATTCGTTGCGTATCGTCATCCGTGTTGAAGGAATTCATCAAAATAAGCGGGACATTGGCGTTGTAAGTTTTGTTCAAGTACTGCAAAACACGAGACATATAATAACCGATAAGATAAATTCTCCTTTCTTTAAATACACACTCTTGCGTAAGTTGAAATTACATTTTTACAACAGTTATAGTTACCTCAATTTGTTGCACAGTCAGATCCAGAAACGTAAGCCCGTTACGTACCGCTATTACAGACTTTGGACCATGACATCCCATACTAGTTCCTAAGCCACCGTTCAACTTTATAACGATCAACTTGCTCAAAAACGCCTTCACTTCTTCCCCATTTGGAGTTGGTAAGGAATTGTAATCTCTTATCTAAAAATAGAGTAAATTTTCTCTTTAGCTTCATTTTAGTTTGTTTGTTTAAAACAAATTTTCATATCCGTCTTTTGTTGATTATTTCAGCTTACCGCATCGTCGGGCAGCTTCTGAATACGATCCCATTCTAGCGAGGGCCCTTCCTCCTGGAGGAACCGTTGGAAGAGGTGGGTAAAACCTTCGAACTGCCGATGGATCTCCTCCCTGAACTCGCCTGTCGCCGTTTCCTCGAGTTTCTCTAACTCGTGTTGAAGCTCGTTCAGGGCATCCCTCTTGGTTCTCTCGCGGAATGCCTGTGTATCTGAGGGACTGCGTTGGTGACCGCGTGCCTACGGATTTATTCACCGAAATAGTGAACAGAGCGATAAATACCTTTTCTCTTCAAAAGCGTCTTGGCTCTGCTAACACTGTCGTCCAACTTATGATCGTGCATGGTGTACGGACGGTTTTTTTTTTTCTTATTTTTTTAGTTATTGTCTCTTTTTCTTTTTAAAATACTCCCTTCTAAATATATTCACTCGAGATCGTTACTGAAGAAACTTGTCAGAGAGAAGCAAGTCGTTAAGCAGTCGTATGGAGAAAGAGAGTGCTATTTTTGCCGATTCCCATTAAATAATTCTTAATGAAGCAAAAACCCTATCAGTTTGAATGGATTTCTGATGACGTATATATTTGAGTTATTTTTGTTTCTCGATCGTAGATTTTTTGCGAAAATGAATTGATGGTAGTGATAGGATCAAATTCAATATTATATGTATAGTGGTTCACGAATATACTTGTAAGTAACTAACATAAGTAAGTAATTAACTTTTCATAACACAATTTATTTAATTTACGAATAGATTATCTATTTACGCATTTTATGGCTTTGAAGTTTTTATAGTTTTGCTTAATTACATTAAATAGCTTCCGTTCTGCGATCCAAGTTAAATTATTAATCGTAAAACAACGTAAGATTATGTTCGGCAAATGGATAACTTAGTTTATGTTTAATTTCGCATTACGTGATGGAGCTGATGGTGCACGTTTTACGTCAACATTATCATAAGCTGCTTTTATCAAAGCCATTATCGATATGCAAGAATGAATCGTTCGAGGCTACTACTTTGAATTGTGTGAATATCGCCTTTGCTATAGAGCCGGGAGTCTATTGGACTCTAGAAAATTAATTATTTCAGTAAGACATTTAATTTAATTTAATTTAACAGTATCGAATTTAACAATCTATTCGCCTACACATTTAAATGACAATGTTTAATGAACATTTTCAGGACATTCTCGTTAGACAAGCGGAGATGGACTATTTTTCAATCGAGATTGCGACAGGTATAATTTCAAACATGGGATTTAAATTATTCATGCCAAACCCTACAAGTAAACGGCATTAATCAAGTATGGCAAGTATAATATGATAACTGAATCACTTGAAACTAATTTTAAATTTCAAGTGATCATATACGGTTTAATATGAATGCAGATTACATTATCTAACATGATCTATTTCCTTGAGTTGTTTATAATTCATTATTATAATTTATAACACACGTAATTCGTTTATAATCCTTTTGATACTTTCTAATTCGATTACGAGGAAGAAACAAAGAGCTTATTTACAATAATCGCTGGAGGATGAACTGGCCTTTAAAATCGTTTCATCTTTTATCATTTTTATTTCTCAAGTCATAAAAAAGATAAGGAAACTTTCACAATAAGGGATTACTCAAGCATTTAAAGAAACGTTGCATTGTGTCATTTCTGGATCAATAAGTCATTTATGAACGTGCTTATGTGTACCATTTCATTTTTCATATTTCTATTTTCTCTGCTATATACTATATTATATCGCAATACGTATCCTATATATTTACTTCAGAAATTTCAAGAACAATATTTACTTATATATAATATATAAATATAATATAATAAAATAAGAAAATGTTAAAAAATCAGAAATAAATTAATTTTCCAGATATACAAAGTCATGGATATCATAACAATTCAGTAAACATAACAATTCAAATATAAGTCAGTAATTAAATTTAACCAGAATTACTTTTCAAAATATGACAATAATAATAATAATAATAATAATAGTACAGTAATTTATATAAATGTAACGAACAAAAAAAAATTAAATATTGAAGAAATGATTGAAAAATTATAAGTAAATAGTTATTTTTAAATCTATCTTAACACGTATGATCAATAAAACAACATTAAACATCTGTATCACATTCAGAAGTGATAATTTCGAAAGGAAGTTTATTTCACAATCTCGAATAACCAAGCTTTTACTAGGTAACTCTCATAATGTAATTTGCCCATACATTACGGGACAGAAAAGAGCAGCGTGTGATATTTATTTTCGTTCACAGAACGTGCGTGGAAAAGAAGAAAAGATCACGACACGCAATAAGAATCATCACTGGAGTAATACTCTCGTGACAAGTGCAATTCTGTTGATCTCTTTTAATAACACCGCTATAACATAAACCCCGAGATACCAACTTTCATGATGTAACACGCCGAGCATATTTTAATACAACAGTATCGTGTTAACTTGCTACATCTTAGATAACAGTCTAGCACGTATGACAAAGCATTTACAAACGATTGCAGCACCCAATCATTACTAATGCCTCGATGAATTGAAATTTTCAAAATGTGCAGATCAATGGATATATCCTTCTTTTGCAAATCAATGGATGATTTTATAAATCACACGAAAATGAATGAAAAGTTTTATCAGCATGTATACTACATTGACCAAACAAACCGCGCATAACGTAATTTTTATTGGACGTGGACATGACAATTTGCTTTTGTGGTGTAATGTTTTAAAGAAGCAGAATGAATTTTGCATATTGGATATTAAAATGCAAGTAAGACGAGTAATTTACACATTGTTATATGTAGTAATGTTTTTTATGAAACTATCTGTAATATTTGGAATTTATATTTCTTTTTTCCCATTTTTTAGTACCATTGATTATCAAATGAATCTAGATTCAGTAAGAAGAGTATTAAAAACGATGTAGAAAGATTATAAAATCGAAGATCAAATCATACTTTGAACAATTCAGGACAGCAATTTTCGTATTATACTTGAGTAGAGTATAAAGTCTTTGATGAGAATTATTTTCTCGAAACGTGAATAACCAGGATATTTGTTGCAGATTAATTCAAGCGATACTTGGATAAAATAGAAAAACATAGTAAACAGCTTTATTGCGTTTACTCAGTATCTATATAATGTGAAAAAATACGTTAACGAAAAAGAATATAATTCTCAGGATAAAAATAAAGATCGTGTTACATACAGGTTTCTGATACAAGCTCTGTTAACATAGTCAACATGACGTAACATCACAAAAGACAGAACGTCGTCAATTTCAGTAACACGCGACCGAAATTTACAATGAAAAAGACGAGGGATTTATTCGTGCATTTAGTACGAATGGAAAAAAGCTCCTGGAAACAGGAGGAAACATTCCTGCAAACACTTTAATATTATTGTGCCTGTAACCGATGACTCGGTGTGTCACCGATTTCGAAGGAATTTCCCAGAATCCCAGCAACCATGGAAAACAACACCCTCTTTCTTTTCTCCATGTACGCGGTGTCACTTACATTCAACAAGTATTCCATTCGTGTGTGTGTGTATATATATACACACACATATATATATATATATGTATGTTATATCTCAAAGCTCACGAGAAAGAGCGAGAGTGTGCGCGCGTGTCAACTTTCCACTCGCGTCACTTGACAAATGTGCGAATGATTATGTATTTAAATTCTTGTCGCGGCGATCAACGAGCTTCCGACGATCCTCAAACCGAGCGAAACCGACTGAACGCGATATTCCAGTGCGCGGAGCACCCGATGTATCTTCGTCGAACGTGGATGTGTCACTGCGGCATAAATCGGCGGCGTGTCCCGATAGTAATACACGCCGGCTATTGGAGTTCGCTTCTAACAAGTGAATCTTAGATATTGCACGTACTCGGCGAAAGAAATACAACAAGGGACCATAAATTATAGTGTTAATCAGCAACGCCTTAATACAGGGTACTGAGGTTAAATACAGGGTACCGAGGCAAAAAGGTTTTGGTAAACCGTAGACGAGAAGAGGGAGAGATTATTTACACAGCAGGAGACGAAAAGAGCAATACAATTCAAATATTTGTTATTGTGTATTATACAAAAAAAAAAAAAAAAAAAAACACCTACAATAACAGGTGTGATCATCTTTTATTTATATACATTTATAAGCATCTCGTGTATAATACACGATTACATACACATATCTGAGTATATAGTGTTCCAACAATCGTGAAACATTTAGCAAAGAGATGGTTCTACATGTTGAAAAATAGAATAAAATATTGTAATGAACGTAAATGAATGTAAAAATTTATCTTTGAAGTTTTCGAATTTTTTTCTATAGCGATTGCTTAAACATTAATAACAATAGTAGGAGAAGAACAAAGTAAAAACGAAAAGTATTTTCGAACTTATCGTATTTTGTCCTTCGGCCATAAATTTTATCATAATGGGCCTAATCAACGCGACTTTCCAACCGTGGCGCTATGATCGTCTCGTTATCAAGCGATTCGTGATCACTTGTATATCTGACGAGGTCGTGCGACGACGTTATCTGGCCGCGTGTTCCACGCTCCTATTCAAAGTCTCCTCTTAGATAAACGCTGCGATCTTCAAAAATGCAGAAATTACAAAATATGGAAAGATAGGCATAATCATTTGCACGACGTAAGTGCTGAATGATAAATAAGCAATGGAATAATTTCGCCTCTATGTCAATAACGAGATTGTTACGTTAAATCTCACAAACTTTGCTTTACTTTTAACTTCACACGCGCAATTTAATCTATATATAGACGAATTTTATTTTCAAAATAATGTGAATGCTGCTGGTTAATTTAAAAGAAAAAAAAAAAAAAAAAACGACTACTTATTGCAAATTATTTTGAGCAGAATAATGTACATATATAATTGTAAGTTAACATGATAGACATCATGTTAAATATGTACATAAATGTGGCATGTATATGACTGTAAGAACATGCGCAATAATTTTCAAGCAATGAAACAATTTGATTGTGTATATTATATAATATATTCGTGGATATTGCATCATGTTTTCCGAAACTGTGCATTTCACAGTAAGTTTACAATTAATTCAAACGATTTGATTTTCGAGAATTTTACTGTAATTCCTTTTTTATATTTCAATAATAATTATGATTTCTTTTAACAGATTGTTTATATATTTAACGAGGTCTAAAATTCGATAAAATGAGGGAAATAATTGACAATTAATCGAATGACAAAGGTAATTGAAATTTTTTCGTTTAAATTATTTTTTTGAAATTTTCTTAACTTTTCGAAAGAAATTCCTATTTAATGAAAATAGATTAGAGCTATCTGCGTTATTAATGAAGCAAACAGAAGGATTAAATAGAAATGTTTGGGGTTATCGCTCAGAAGAGATAAATCTTGACACATGAGTGCGAATCTTTCGTTGATTGGTCAAACTTTGCAAGAAAAATTATTCACGTCGAGGGAATCAGTGGAAAGAATTGAAGATTATCGTTGAAATATTTCGCAAATATATATTGGAAAATACATCTATTACCCTTTTTGTTACCCTCGGATTGACTTGACAATTCAGGGCGAAATACTATATACATATGTATGTTACGCCCTATGTATTTATAAAAGCAAAAGATTATCTGAAGGTCGTACCAACTCGGTCTTTTTATTTTCTAATTTTAATACAAGTTCTTGACAAAAACATATGTACACAACTACAGCTAACGCAATTCAAAACAATGTTTAAAAAAAATTTCATTAAATAACAAGCAACTTTTAACTGTGTTAAAAATTATATAACTGGTAATATAACAAATATAATTATATTTAAATTGTATTATAATTCAATTTCATTTATTGTATTATAATTCATTTCAAACATTAACTATCAATAATCAACTGATTTAATAATTATGTTCACGTATCATGCATATAAAATTTATATCTATAATTATTGCACGCCATTCTTAAATCAATTTTGACTCACTCGTTTGAACTTGTCTGTTCAACTTATGTTCGTTCTATAACAGTGAATGACATTCAAAGCAATGGGATTAACTACTGTCTGTAGACAATAACAGAAATTTAAAAATTTTCACAACGACTTAAGAATAACGTTCCTAATTTTGCAATTATTGCTGTGTAATTTATGCAGTAAAGTAAATGAGGTAACAGGTGAAATACTATATACATATGTATGTTACGCCCTGTGTGTTTACAAAAGCAAAAGCCTCGCATCTTTTGCGAGTCGAATGAAATGTAACCGCAGACTATTCCACATAATCTTGCGTAATAAACGTCTTGGAAAAAAGAGGAATACTGTCCTGTCGTTTGTCCGTAGCCGAGACAAAGTGTTTCATGTACATGAAACTCGAAAATAATTTAATAATTATCCAAACGATTAAAAGCAAAATACAATTGCAATGGCCAATTATGATCACCAGTTTGTCTTTACGTGTCATCTTGTGACGATTCCATTTTTCATTTCTTCTTTAACACTAGAACTATCGACAACTAAAGTGAAAACATTTATACCAAAGAAATTAAGGTGCAAAGAACACGAAAACATTTATAATATATAAAAAAGCACAAGCTTCTATTTATATATACTAGTAAAAATCATTTAAATCTCTGAAAATACACTGTTATGAATATATGAAAGTTTTATGGAAAATTATGAATTGGTCATTTTGACCATTTTGGTAATTCTAGTAATACAAAAATTGTTACAATTTCGTGAAAAAGAAAATTTTTAAGTTCGACGATAACTTCAATTGTATTCTTATACAAGGCATCTAACAGTAACTGTGTATGCGTATACAGGGTGGAAGAATATGAATGATCTTTAAGCAAGGTCAGAGATTCGCGCGCGATTCGTTGTTACATCAGAATCTATATAAAAGATCAATATCGAAGAAGTTATCTGAAAATGTTAATCTTTTTATCGTTTTATTACTTGTTATCGTAGTGCAATCTATTTTTATAATAATAGAAAGAAATACTTCGATCCTCATGTGACGAATTTTTCATTTTGTATGATTCATTTTTATCTTAATCCTTTACTTTAAGATAACAAAGTCAAGATAAACAATTGTTGTATCCTATGATTTCATGTAAGATACTGAAACTAATAACAAATTACATTACATTTGCTTAGTTTCCAAATTTTAGACGTATCATCGTATGTCACCAGTCGTGACACGCATGCAAATACGCACGTACACAGCAACCATCTATTTTTGGAATAATTTAGTTATATATCGTACATAAAGCCTATAATTTGCTTTTATATTCACGAACCTGACGTTTTGTCATTCACGCGTCTATTTTTACCTTATCATCTAGAACTATGATAATTGAGCAACACAAATTTAATGCATCTTAAATAAAATCAGATGAGCAAAAAAATAAAATAAAAGGACCGACCATGTATGAAACGAATAAGAATAACTTGCGATGATCGCAGGAAAAAATACATAACCTCAACATACGCGAAAGGACTGAAATTTCTGCATGCAGGGAAAAAGGAAACGTGACTAGAAGTAAATCAATTATTATTTGAAAGCAACGTGTGATAAATAATAAAAAGAGTAAGTTAAAGTTCTATGAAAAAACGGAACAATGTGAAATTACGATTGTTTATGGTTAATCAACGGTTCTGGAAGGCAAACGGAAGGGGAAGGAAATGAACAGATGCTTTACCTTTCTATCATCTACTTGCAGCATTGTTTAGTCCACGTCTAACTCGTCTTTAGTATTGTTGCGAAGGTTACCGAAAGACAAAGTCCCCCGCTTTGGATTCCGGTCACCAGTGTTTAGATTTCGTGCCCGTCTATACATACGGCAGTTGTACTCAATCTGTGGATCCTGTAGGTTCTCAGCAGTGTGCGTGCATACGCCATTAACGAATTAAATCCACATGTATATAATCTGTTATATCATATAATTATATTATATATTATATAATATTATACATATCATTATATCATGTTATATAATTATATCTACAGCACAAGCAATCTGTCCTGCAGTGCGTGTATGTAGATGTAGACACACAATAATAGAAAAATAGCAATCATTCTATCAACAGATATTAAATAATTTAATAATTATAAACGATACTCATTCTTGCACAAGTTGTATACAGTAATCTGTAGATATGCGTACGTACGTAACATTCTTAATCAATAGCAGTCTTTCAGGAAAAATGCGAGGCTCGGGGCAACCTAACATGTATCCTTAAAACTGAGGCAAACTTATAAAATATTCAAACATACAAATATATTTTTTCTAGATATATTGAGTTATAAATTGAATTGTAAATAAATTGAGTTATATGTATTGAATTATAAATTGAGTTGCCCGTAAAATCGTGAGCTATCCTTGTCCCTTTCATCCCCCTACAATCTTTCTTTCTGAAGCATCCCTTCGATGAACTCGGATTAACAGTGACTGTAAAAAAAAATGATCCTACAATAACTTTGCAAAGGTTTACGTAACTTTATGAAAAGAGGAAATGAAGAGTGACGAAGAGAATTTTCGTTCGTCCGATATTTTTTTCTTCCTTTGAGGTTATGTAACATCAACTTTGACTCATTGTCAGCGTTGAGGTTAGAAAGAGTTATCAAACATGGCGGAGGTATCCTGCAACAGCGCGGACGAATGCACACCGGCGAAGAAAGCCAAAACAGAAAAAGAAAATGAGTCTGAGAATTCTGGTAGCATACACGACGTGGAATTCTGTCTGTCCGCGTTCAACGTGAAGAAAGTTCTGCAGCATAACTGCATGAGGAAACAGATATACATAGAGGGTGCTTTCAAAGGGCACGAAGGACCGGCAGTTGTCTTGCTAGAGAAACAGAATTTCCCTGACGATCATGAAACTCTGAAAGAGTTGTTCGACGACGGAACAATTTTGCACAAACGTTACAACAATGATATTTACGGGAATTACGAGTGTTTCCCTCTTAAAAAATACAATGGTATTGTATATGTACAGTGCGAATTTATAATCTTATTTATTTAATTCTCATTTTCCTCTTTTTCAATTCCGGAAAACAATTGTATTGTTTATTTATTTAAGGTATAAACGCAACGATAATACATCCTGCGACGGTGAAACACATCGAAAAATTTCGAAGGAAAGAACTTTATATCATAGATGAAACTTACGAACTTTACCAGAAAATTACTCTCCCCTATATCGAGTCGAATAGCTTTTCTGTTGAGGTATGTTTACAAAAAGTAAAAAACGAAATGTACAGGATGAAATGAACAGATATTTGACAAAGACTGTTTGATACAAATTTTATAATAATTTAGGACAGTTTTACTTTCGTTGTTTGTATAAAAATTGATTATTTGTCCCTTGTTGTAGTGGGTGCATAATATTTTAGAGCACAAGGCGGAACAGGATAAAGTTGTATATGAGAATAACGACAAGAAAACTGGATTTATATTGGTAAACGACCTGAAATGGGACGGGCAGCCAAACACGTTGAAATTACTAGCACTTCCGTTTCAAAAGATTCGGTGCATCAGAGAGTTAAACGAGTCTCATCTTCCTCTTCTGAAGAATATAAAGGAAGCTGGAACTGCTGTGATTGCTAAAAAATTCAACATACCTGCTTCACAGCTTAGAATATATTTGCATTATCAGCCATCCTACTATTATCTTCACGTTCATTTTGCATATCTAATGTTTGAAACTCCAGGTACATTTAGAATAAATGTTGTGTATGCGTATACCTGCAAGATAAATTTTATTTTATCATGGACGATATGTGATTCTTAAAGTGTGCCTTTCTGTCTAGGTATATATGTGGAAAAAGCACATTTGCTGTCTACAGTTATAAGAAACATTGAATTAATGTCAGATTATTACACGAAGGCTGTACTTTCCTACGTTGTTGCCGAAGGAGATGGCCTTTACACGAAATTTTTGGAAGAAGGGATTATAAACATAGCAAATTCTAAAAATACAGAAGATTGATAGATAGGATAAGAATTATGTATTAAATTCGACTATATACTAAGAAATATGTATTTATAGTTTACAAAGTGAATCGATATCATTTATATTATTATTATTACAGATTATTATAAATTCACTTTTTTTATATTGATATTTTATGTAACTCATTTTTCGTTAAAAGTATATATAATTTTTAAGTTTTGACCTATGAAAAATATGTACGATCTGTTACTTTTTCCTTTTTCTAGTACTTTAAGAAATCTTGATCAGTATCAGTAGAGCGCTCTGTATTATACATTTACATAACTGTTTTTTGGTTTAAAAAATTCTAATAAATAAAAGAGTACCTGTGAATGAATTCATAGTGTGTATAATAGAGAACTTTCTTTTGAGGAAAACAGTATTTAAATAAGACTGTACGACTTAAAATATTTGAAATATACGAATATATATATATATATATACATATAAGAACTTTATATTTTTTATAAATATATTTCTCACTTTGATATTAATGAATGTTCAAGGATTAAGACAATAAAATGTTAATAAATATAAAATGTAAAGAAAATCAGGTACAATAAAATTAATATTAGAGAATTTGATGAATTTTTAATATAATCCTCCACTGAAAACATCGATAATTAATTTGTCAATTTATAAATAACTACAATTTCGAACGACAGTTTGCAAAGATTTGAATATTCGCGCCAATTTTTCAATCTGCTGAAAAAAATTCGTAAATCTTTGTAGATACATTTTACAGGACAAGTGGAACGTAGAGAGAAAACTGAGCACTTAATTCTGACGATACAACCGCAAAAGTTTGCAAATTAATCCTCTTAATTAGTTTTTTTTGAAAATAAAGAATTAGTCTATTTATGGATACTGAAATGCTAGCGGCGCGTAGCGGTGAAAAGGTGGAACTAATCGCTATTGTTGTCCTTGTCGCACAATATCTCCCTCCTTGTCTTTCACGTACATATATGTTTGTCCTTGTCGCACACTATTGTCCTTCTTGTCTACAAATCAGATGCTGCCATCTATCGGATTTTTCCAATTTAAGCTTTTAGTTCCAATGAAATTTAGACTGGCTCAGATGGCAGCACCATTCATAGACAAGGAACGCACTACTGTGCGACAAGGACAAACACATATATACGTGATAGACAAGGAAAGAGATAGTGTGTAACAAAGACAACAATAGCGATTAGTTCCTCTGTTTCACCGCTACGCGGCGCTAGCATTTCAGTGTCCATAAATTGAACAAATTTTCATTTGCAAAAAAAACTAATTAAACGGATCAATTTGCAAACTTTTGCGATTGTATCGTCAAAATTCGATCCTCAACTTTCTTCCTACGGTCCCGTTTGTTCGGTAAATCGCGTGTGTAAAAATTTACAAATTCCTTTCAACAGATCGAAAAATTGGCGCGAATATTTGAATGTTTACAAACTACGCTTTGTGTAACGCTTTTATCATGATTTTTTTTGTGTTTAAATGCAATAAAACGAAATGTTCGACAAAAAGCGAGGAGATGGAAGCCGCATAACGAAGAATTAAAATTATATTCGCGGAGATAATGTACGTACATGGAGTGGATAAAGTGATTGTTGACTTCACAGATCTCTTTATTTTTATTAACGTGGGAAAATGGAGGATCATAACATTCACGGAAATCTCGACTCGTCTCCATTATTTTTTTCACCGTTAAAAATCAATCCAATGGCTTTCGACCGCAGTTTCTCCTACTCGTTATTATTAACTTTCCCGACGAAGCAATAGATGAGGTAGGAAAATTGAATGAAACAACAAAAGAGAATGATTTATATGCACACGTGACAATTTAATCATATTAATCGTAATATATAAATCGTACACGTGTCATTTTACAATATTTATTTTAATAAATATTTCTATCGTATAAATGGCGGTACACAGTACACAATGAAAAGTCATTAAGTACCAATACCAAAGAAGTACCACTATTTTTTTCTGCTTTCGTTTTTTTTCTTCCTTTTTCTCTTTTTTTCTCTTTTTTCTTTTTTTTCTCTTCTTCCTTTCGAATCTTACAGCGTAAAGAAAAAGTATTAGTGTAGAATTTATTTACACAAAAAATGTAACAAGATCGGGGGGAGATAGTGTACCGTTTATGCATACTAAAATATCATGTTTACTTTATTACGTATGAAAATATTATGAAACATTCTTTGAGTTTTTAAATATGCACGAACATGTCCAAATTGTGTGTGTAATTCACTGTGCTGCAATTAAGGGGAGAACATTCTTCTCGTGTGTATCACGTCGTGATTCATTACTTGCAATCAAACCTTCTCTGCCGTTCGAGCAAGGAGCGTTTGAAAAAAAATTACAAACTTAATATTTCAACGAGAGAGATGCTAACGAAAGAGAGAGAGAGAAAAGAATTTTTATTTTTTTTTCATTGAAAAGGAACGCTTTTCTTTTTTTAACCCTCAAACAACGGTGATTCAAACACAGATAATTGTGCAACTGTAAATAATAATATAATTATTCATAAGTATTCTTCTTTTCAATCATCGTAAACTGGAGCAATTAAAAAGAAACATAATTAAAAGATATCGAATAAAAAAGATCTGTTTCTTGAAAAAGAAAATAATTTCATCTTTTGAGCTTATCTGATCCGCTTAAGTCTCATCTGAAGACCTGAGTCTTAAAACCATCCGCTGTCCAAGGGTTAACCACTGATAATTGGAAGTATTATTTAGAAACTCAATCAGGGAATAATAATCTCGTCACCCTTTTCTCCCTTGTGTCTCCTTTCAGAAAACAGAAAAGTGAAAATAAATTAAGAAAAAAAAAAGCGCATTGTGTCTCCTTTCAGGAAACAGAAAGGTGAAAATAAATTAAGAAAAAAAAAAGCGCATTGTGTCTCCTTTCAGGAAACAGAAAGGTGAAAATAAATTAAGAAAAAAAAAAAAAAAAAGAAAAAGAAGAAAATTAATATTAATTGAGCTGTTGACGTAAAGACGCAGAAAAATTTACTTCTGATATATATACATCCTACATGTATAACCTATACCATATATATATATAGGTTAGGTATAGGTTATATGTATATATACATACACAAGGTAGTCACTGAAAAACTGAAGGGTTTGAAAAAGTCATAGCTTGTTCATTTTCGAAACGATGATCATTTGAGTGATGTTGTTTTTTACATATAATACTGAAAAAAATCCATTAATTATATTTCCAAATAAAATAATAAAAAATTTAAAAAAACTGTGTATTTGTAAAAGTTATTTTTGTTTTATATCATTCAGTCTTTCAGTGACCACCCTGTATATACACATATATATATAGGTTAGGTTTAGGTTATACATATATCGAGATGTATAATTACAGAAGATCGTATACACGAATGAAAAATGAAAAGCAACAGTCGTGATATCCATTTACTTACACGCGTAAACACGTAAGATTTTAAGACGTAAATATCGTGCAGATATTATCGTAAAAATTCGATTTCCGCTTCGGAAATTGTCGCCCTCTAACAAACGATGTGTGTTCTCTTCCTTCCTTTCTTTCTTTCTTTCGTTTTTCTTCTTTCAATATCTTTTATGCGAGTAACACTTTGAATGAAATTTTTCGACGAAGTGTTTTTTTTTCTTTTTTTCCACCTTTCGCAAAGTTCGCTTAAAATAAGTGTTCGTAAAAATGTTCCACTCGGTTGTTCTTAACGAACTATACAACGCACATTCATACAGACTAGACGAATCTCAGTGTTAATAATGCCGGGCCGTTCTGGTTCTATTCGAAAACTGAAAACTCGATTCAAACGTCGATCGAGAACGGGACGACGAGGAGAGTGTGTTTTTGAAAAAGTTTGAAAAAAGTGTATTTCTTTTTTAAATAACGAACGCACGAGAAGAGGTGGAGGGCATTTGCGTGCATTGTCGTCGCATCACGAGACATCAAAATCATCTCTTCAACTTTTCATTCTTTCTTCGTTCCCCCCCCCCCTTTTTTTTTTGTCTGAGGCGTTAGATCGTACAAGTTACTATTCAGTTTAGTGTAGTCTCTACTTTGAAAGACTCCGAAAACTCGAGCTGCATGACTGGGGGTGGGGAATCGCGATATCTGTCCTGCTAAATCTTTCACCGGCAAAAATCGATCTATCCGCGGATTTTCACGCATTTACAGACTATAGTGTTTTTTACAGAGCAAATTTCCAAAGTACAGTATTTTTTTTATAACATTTAACACACGGAACTTGGTCTTTTCTATCAAAGTTCTATCTTTTCAATTTTAATTTCTCGACGAGAGAAAAAGAAAGAACGAGTTGAATTTAATGGAGCTGCGGTGCACATAAAATTATCGAAGAGTTAATATTTTGAAAATTTCTTGTAAAAAGAAAAAGAAAAAAAAAAGAAAAATAGGAAATCAAACACTTATCGTGTCTCTCCCTTATTGCCTCCAAAAAAAAAAAAAATTTTGATATGCTTATTTCCGTGTAAAATAAATGAAAGAAAAGAAGAAAAAAAAAAAGAAAACAGAAAAACTATGTATTAGACTGTTTGGAAGGTTCATAGAATTTTTTTTTTATTAGAGCTTTCGCGGGGTTATAGACCAGAGGGTTAACTGGCGGCGCGTGGGCCTTTGCCCCTACTTTCCTGATCGCTACCCCCTCCACTACATCACGTGGAAGAGTGGGGCGGGGAAATTTCAATGTAGTGGAGGGGGTAGCACTAGCGACCAGAAAAGTAGGGGCAAAGGACCGCGGGTTTCCAGTTAACCGGCTCTGTTTTATAGTATCTCGTTTCTTGCTAATACCTATAATATATCAAGAACAAGATTATCAAAGATCATCAAAGTCGTAGATAACAATGAGACGGACATGCAGGTGAACGTTTTAGCTATTCAAGACTCAAGATTTCTTGGATACACGAGGCTCGTTGAACCAAAAAGAAGAAGAAAAAAAGAAACTAGTTTTATTTATAAATTTTTGATAGAAATTTACAAAAGGCCAAAAAGACTGCGAATTTTTCGGACAAGCTAACGTGAATTCTTATAATTTATACAAATAGTCCACCAACTTTCTTCAATATATATATGTCAGTACGATCTAAAGTCGTTTCAAGTGTGTAGTTATAAAAAAGAAATAACGGTACATTTTTCGCTTCGATAACACGCAGAATCACGTTCCAGAAAGATTTAGCCATTTCTTTCGCAGTTTCGCTCACATAGTCATGGTGCACGTTATTCTCGTTTGTCGATCTTTCTTGTTGTCGTTCGATTATAGAAAATAACGTCGTTAACAAAAAAAAAAAAGCGAGTTTACGTGTTCCTCGTGTCTACGAAAAAGCAAAAAAAAAAAAATATATATATATATATATATATATGTTGTCTTTCGCGAAAATACGAACAAAAAGTCTTGACAAAGCAAACTGCTTAAAACGATCTCTTCAAGTCTTCGAACTGTATGACGATAATAAATAAATAAATAAATAAATAAAAAAAAAAGATCGTCATAACGATTGTCGTTATCTAAAGTGATGTATCATTTTAATAAACTCATTCGTTGATTTATTACAATAAAAAATCGCATAATACTACAGGGAGTTACATTGATATATCGGATGCATATACAAGTACATTACACATGTGACTGTATACATTACAAATTCCCAAAAGACCCTTTTCACAAACTCTGTACATCCTAGCGTTTTTCTTTCGTAATTATGTTTATTTAAAATCCGATAAACACAACGAATTTGAGTGTACCTTCCGTTATACTTTTTGGGAGGAGAAATTTTCAGCCAAAAAAATCGTATAATAAATTTTATAATTGTATATACATTTCAACGCCACCTCGAACCACTTCCAAATAGTAGAAACGAACAATCTAATTTTCTTTTTCTTCCTTTCTTTCTTCTTCAAATTTGGTTATAAAAAGTACGTGTGCTGAATTATGTCCATGTTTTATTATTTGACTGTAATATGAAAAATATACATACAGCGTCATATATCAGAGTTTCAGGATATATATATATATATGTATGTATATATATATATATATATATATATATATATATATATATATACACACTTGTCGGAATACATGTACAGTAACATTATATATCTTCCTTCTGTTAGATTGCTCGTACGTTGTTTTCATTGTTAGTCGATTTATTTCATGTTATTTTTTATTTGCGATCATACTGATAAAAAAAAATTATCACGTATTAACAATTGTACAGAAAAGATGAAAAGTAAACATCGTGACGTAAAACATAATTGTAACCGCTACTCGCGATAGAATATCCTACAAACAAATTTAACTTCAATTCTAGGTCTCTTTTTAAATTATAAAAAAAAAAATTAAAAAAAAAACAAAAGAAGAAAATAGGTACTTTCATAAAAAAATTCCTCGTACGAAATATATAAATTAAATTTATAACAAAAGCAATGTGTCGTTATTGTCACAGAGAAGTTCTCTTAGTACGCTTCAAACAATCTTGCGATTTCACTATAAAGTGGATATAATCCGAAAGATACGATGCCTCTTACGAATTGTAAAATACAATTGCTACGCTGATCTTTTTCCACCGAACGGTTAAATGTACGTGTATATGCTATATATGAGGAAATTAAGTGAACATGTACAGTATGAGTCGTGTGTGTGTGTGCGCGCGCGCGCGTGTATGATGTGTATATATATGCCTATAAAATATATCACATTAACTCAATACAAAAAACAATATGAATTAATTAAATAGCAAGAGTATATTCATTCGTGAAACCAGCCTTACACCGGACTTAAATCCGTGATAAGTATATTAGCCGCAAAATATTACGGCACACCCTGATCAGGTACTTAACGTGCACTTGACAATGCGATACGTTGAAAAAAAAGGAAAAAAAAAAAAGAGCACTCGTTTCTTGAAACAACATTTGTAACTGCAACGCAAACATTTCCAACACTTTTATCAAATTAACTCATTTATGTTTTAATATTAAAGTATTATTCCAATTTCTGTCCACCATTACACTAAACTGTGTGTATGTGTGTGTGTGTATCTATATATATATATATTAAATAAAATATGGTAACTAGTGAAAATTTAATAACTGTTTTTTTTATCTAATTTACACAATATTCCGTTTAAACTAATAATTAAACAACGAATTATCATAGATGACCTCTACTTCATTTACAAGTTACTATATTTTATTTGATACAAGATGGTAATTTTAGTCCATTTATGGTGCCTTTCTTTTTTTCTTGAATCATAATACTGATTCTGTTTCATTGCTATTGTGAAACGAATAGTGGCCAATTTCAATGTAATTTTCTTTTTTCAATTTTACGTCTGATACAGAATGATTGCAGTCAAAAAGTTGTATCAAAGGATGTAAATCATAAATGAGTTAAAAGAACTTTCACTTAAAATAAATTAAACTAACAAATTTCATGTAACGTGCTTTGACTATGCTACGCAAGTGCCCAAACAATTTTCAGTAAGTTTTCCTTTGCGTTTAGTCTATTTTTAAGTAATTATTTACACTGTTTCTCAATTACATTATAAGGGCTTATGCACATAATGATACAAGTTAACATAGACACAAGTCTGATTGATATCTTAACGACAAAGGAATTAATTTTAAATATAAAACAAATTTCCATACCAGTCAGATGATGATCGTTAATGGAATAACGAACTCTAATATGTGTGTAAAATAAACTGTATCGTTTCCTTCATAAACCTAATACAAAGATGCATCAATATAAAATTAAAGTAACCATATTGTCCCTCTATAGTTTAATTGTCAACATCAGTGAATTATTAAATTTTAAAAACTGTTAAATTTATGTAGGTTTAAAAATGAAAAGTATCAGCACTGTTTGTGTAATAAAATAGAAAAAAAAAAAAGAAAAGAAGAAGAAGAAGATGATGAAGGTTTTCTCAGAGTTACACGACTTTTGTATTGATATGCTTTTAATCTATTATAAGCAAAAATGATCCTTCTCTGTTATTTTACAGTGTGAAATAAAGACAGCCTTGTAAACAAATGAAATGATAATTTCAATTTCCAAAATCTACGTATGAATAATTTAAATAAAAAACAATCGCACTTTGAATACAAGTATCGTGTAAATTGAAAAGTACCCGTAACGTATGCATATTGTGCATCAACATTCTGCAGTTATACTTAGTACGTGGATCATCCAAGAAACACGAAATTAATTAACGATGAACCTAACAATTTGACGAAAACATCGATAAATCCTTTCAATTCTACTTAATGAGAAGAAACTTTGTAATTATTATTGCTTTTCCATGTAAGGACAGAAATATCAAATGAATATTAGATATCTAATAAATATTTGTGCTTATAGAAATTCATTTGACTAGTTGGTCATGATCCACTATATTATTAATAAATTGTCATGACAGTGCTTTATATATACAATCATGGAAGAATGACTTTTATAATATCAACCAGTCGTTAATTAATGTTCCATTGAAGCAAGCAGGTACTGGCTTTCTTGCGGATTTGAAAACGTACGTGAAATTCATGTTTCTTTTTTCTTTTTTTTTTAGAGAGATCTTTTATACGTAATGCCATTTTTCCTTCTGAAACAACTTCCATCTTAACTGTTTCAATGCAAAATAATTAATTTGTTAAGTGTACTTTGGAAGGAATATACTGATAAATGTAGATTCTAATGTTACTAGTTTATCAACAAAAGGGATTTGAAATGTAATTGTAATTATTTTCTCAGAAAATATTCAAGCGTTGATAATTCTCATACATTCACACTGTTCAATGTTAAATATTACCCTTAAAAGAGTTATAAAAAAAGAAAGTGAATTTAATGCGTTCGAACATTAAGCCTATAAATTAAATGTATAAAAAAATTGTATAAAATCGATATATAAACGGAGAAACGCGTAAGCGATGATAACTGTCACTAAATTATATGATAATAGAGTCGGTAAGAGTGAAACTTATAACATTACAAAAGGAACACATTGTATAAATTGAATGTATTCATCAAATTTGTAAAAGGAAGACGTTTGTAGATAAATTTTTGAAAACTCTTTGCTTTATTCTTCCAGAATGCTCAGTGAAAAATCGTATAATTTCAGTGTTAATACTATTCAAAATTTGAAGTTTTGAAACCTAAACTTTGATCACGACTTAATAGTTTCTTCATAGTAAATAAACGCGCACGTGGCATTACACATTAGTTTATCTCTTGAAGCTCGTTAAACAAGTTAAGTAAAATATAAATCTACCCTTTCATTACCAATTATAATATACTTAACTTAAAAACTTTTTTTTTCTTTAATAAAATTTCTATCTATCACATAAAACACTGTACACATTTAAAAAAAAAAAAAAAAAAAAAATCATCATTAACGCTAACACTTATTTTGTACCGTTCGAAAGCCAATACACAATTGTATCACTAAACTAAAAAGTTTTACAGAGACATTTAAAAAATATAAAAATGTAGAGAAATGAGAAAAGAGAGTATCAATACGTTGGTGATTATCTCGAAATGAATTTGGCGTTTCTGATATATTTAGATCAATTCTCACGAATGATAACGGCAGGTTTTTTAATGTATATTAATGGCTGGTTTTGGATGATCACATGACTTAAAATGGCTTCATTTGCCAAAGACATTAAATACAGTTTGTATGCTGGACTAGCTTCGGATCACGACTTGAATAAGATTTGTGTCTATAACAAGTCGTCATAAATTTAGGCATATGCTGTAGGAGGATCAGATCAACAGATCGAGTCTTCAATTTTTCCTGTTTTTTTCTAACAAACAAGATATGCCGCTAGCCGTTTGCTAATCCAATTTATAATTCATTTCTTCTAGTTTTTTATATCTACATTACGGTACCTTTGATAGAAAGTATTGCGTGAAAATTGATATAATCTGAACGCTATAAAAAATTAGTAAAATATACAGTTTTTCTGTTAAATGTCAACAGTAAATTTATCAAACGTTACCATCTAAATAGAAATATTAAATTCAATTTAAAATTTAATAACCATCTATATAATAACTAGATTGTGTCACTGTGTTATTTCATTTTAGTTTCAAGCTTCTTCATCTGTTATAAGTACCAAATAATTAAAAGAAGGTACTTATTAGATCAACCTACAGCACGTTTTAATAGAACGTAACTAATTATTAAATACTTTTTTTAATTTAGTATTAGTCACGTCCCATGGTCATAAGTAGTTAATAACGTTGTATTACTTCAGGTGACAAGTACGATATAAAACATGTTTCTAGAAGCCTCCCATGGAAGACATGTATAAATGATATCTCCTGTTACGAAATTTGACAGATTTATAGCACGAGCCACGCTTTTTAAGCAAATGTTACACAAATATTCTACGCTATAAGTATTAAAAAGGATTTGATATTTCATTCGTTCTATATATGTTTTAAATGTAAATCTTTGATCTTAACAAAGCAAGTATATGCACGTATAAAACTTAAGTTTATATTTAAACTTCCATCGAGAAACAGACTGAAACATGTTTATGAAATATATACCCAATTTTTGTGGAGCCATAATGTGACAAAAAATTGTTTTTTTCCCTCTTTTTTTCAAGCTTCAGTAGACGCTATTAGGGAATTTTTGGGTGTATATGCTGTCGCATTTGGATCCAAATTTGATACTGTACACCCTGGACAGGGACTTTCATTTGAACGTATTTTTGTACCTGCAACTCGTACTTCATTATTTAACCGAAGTTTAGATGTCGCACAGGTTGGCGCAGGTCCAAACGTGTCTTGTGGCATCACAGCTAAATCTTGGGCTATTTTTGCTTTCAACATTTCAATTTCCTTTTCTTGAGATCTAATTAAACCTGATTCAACACAAAATACGCGATATTAAGTATATTGCAATTCAATATATCTTAAAGATATTCATGTAAAAGTATGTTTGATTGATTCTTTGATCCGAAATCTAAGTCTATATATTTTCGTAATTGTCAAAAGTGCTAAGATTAATAATTGTAAAACGAATTCTACTTACTTTCTCTGATCTCTAATTGTCGTTTGGCTTCTCCAAGTGCAGAAAATAAATCGAGCTTTATACGCGTTTCTGCACTTAGGCTGTCTTCTAAATGCGCTGTTTTATCTTGTAGCGCATTCAGTGCACTGAGTAAAATTTCAGACTCTTTGTGATTTTCCTTGCAACGCGTTATATCTTTTTCTAATGTGCTGCACCTAAGGAGAAATAAGAAGATTAGCGAATTTACAATACAAAAAATGATTTATTAATATATTGAAAGCCAAATTTAATCTTCGTTCGAATAAAATATTGAATATAATATAATCGACGTACGATTATTTGTGTTTATAATATTGACTTGTAATGTTACAAATATGTATTTACTTAGTGACACATGCATTTGCTGTTTTAAGCTGTTATTACCTAGTTTTATACAAACAACTTTTACAATACCCTTACCTATCTTCTTTCGTTTTAAGTTCTCGGCGCAAATTTTTGAGATCTTGTTCCATTTGTGTCCTACGACTTTTACAAGTATCTGTACATTCTTGTCTAATAAGTGGCGGAGGTGGAGGCGGAATTGCAGATCGTGCTTCTTCAGCAGCTCGTCGCGCTCGCCTCTCGGAAACCAAAGATGCTTCGCAAGCAGTGCGTTGTTTCCGCTCTTCTGCGATTCGTTTTTCCAACGAAGACATTGTTTGTTTATCTAATTGACGAGCTGTTACTAATCCGTGTAACCTGTTTAAAATGAAAATATATTTAATAGTGCAAAAATATCTGCTTATATATTGGAAGGAGGAAATAAAGGAAAATATGAAATATAATAAATATAAATAGAAAAAGAATGTTTTAAACGAATTAATTTTAACAATATAGCAATGACGTTATATATACGTACTTGCTTTGTAATTGATCATTATCGTGCTGAAGTTGTTGTATATCACCCTTAGCTTGACGTTCTCCATTTTGTAGGGAATTAATCTGGGAACGAAGTTCTTGTTCCAGTTGTCGACTGGATTGTAGATCTGATTTCAGGCGTTTTATGTCAGCTTCGAGCCTGCGACACATCAGTAACCTATTTAAACGATATTATATTACACTAAAGAAAAACCTGATAATACAAAATCATATATTTTTCCATTTCGAATAGAAATAATAGTTACATTTTTAAAAAGTTATAAAAATTGTTGAAGAAGAAGAATATAAATGTATACAACATCATTATGCCTCAATCAACATATATATTATTAAGCTAAGATTTTTGGTGATTCAGTAATTAATGTAAATAACATACCTTTGACAATATTCGTCTTGCTGCTTTTGTTGTTCAGTTATATTATCAACTGTGGCTTTCACCTGACGTGCTTTTCGTTCACGTTGAGTATTGACTGTGGATGACGATTCTCGATTTTCTTTTATATTGTTCCATTTTCCTGCTACAGAACCATTAGTCTGTGATTTTACTGCAGTGTGCCCACAATTTGCACCCTTAATAAATTTGTCTTTTTCTACTTCATTTGCATCAAAATCATTCACAGATCTGTAATTTTCAGTTAACATTACATCACGTAGATAAAACATATTCATGAAAACATGAAAATAAGTAAACCAATTAATTATTTATCATAAAGTTTGTTTTATAAATACTACTATTGTAATAAATAATTATGCCACTTTAATATCAACTTCAAATTATTTTTAACAAATTTTAAACTGAAATATCATTTCTAGTTTTTGTATCTCGTTTTACTGACAGACACAATGACTCCAGTTACTCACCCAACTCTTTCGATGAACTGCATATCACTGTGATTAACAGTATTGCCATTTGTATGTATAAATCTTTTATCATTTTTGTCGGATTGTGATACATTCGTTACATTATGTTTATTGTGTTGCTCTTCTTGCTTTTCGCCTTTATCCAACGACTTTCTATGATTATTTTTTGTCGTTACATTTTGGTTTGTTGATGTAATTTGTGTACCTATATGTAAACTACCATTTTGTACACCTGTTTCTACAGAATTATTACTGTTTCCTACAATATATTTTATTATTAAATTATATCACATTTTGTTTCTATGTATACGTAGAAAGTTGAAAATAAATACAAACTACCTCTACTTTTCTCAGGACTTGGATTGCACTGCGAATTTAATTTATTATTTTGTGATTTAACATGTTGTTCTAGTGTTGTAATATGCGTTTGTGATTGAACTTGTATTGGTTGTATCGTAGTAGAGGTTTGTTGCTCTAAAGGCAGTGCTTGCTGCAACAGTTGTAGGTAGAATTCATTCTCTTTTGCTACATCTTTTTGTTTTCTCTGGCAAAAGAAAAGAAGATTCATATAATAAAAACCCCTAAAAACAATTATCATACTTGTCGCAAATTTACCTGTCTCATTCTGTAGCCAATGTAGCTCTTAAAGCCAAAACCTAACGTAACTACGGGATAACCAATGCTGAAAGAAAATGATACTTTTAATTATTTTTACCATTATTTTTTTTGATATTATTTCTAAGTTTTTAAGCTTGATGTTCTTTCAATTATAAACAAAAGACGGAGTAGAAGAAAGTATATACCAGTGCGCTGCAAATGGTCGACAGAGATCTAAATGAAAGGGCATGTGTCTCAAATCTCTTAATCGAACCGCTGCTTCTATGTATAGAAATAGTAACCATAACATCACAGTTGGTAAGCACACACCTTTATCTGTATGGTGATTACATTAGTCTCAGTCAGAATTAAATTAATTTAAGTGTTATCAAGATGAAATATTTATATTTACCTGTGTGCCAAACATATTGTACCCAAACATAAGTGCTGGCAGCAAAAAACAACCAATGTACTGGTATGAAAAAGAAACAAATCATATCTGACGTAAGAGCGATACAAATAAAAAATACAGAGAAGGCCTGGAAAATATAATGGTTTATGTTATTCAAAAACTCCAACGATGATAAACGTACATGCTTTCAAACGTGCGTTACTTACCAAGCCTTGGTATTTAAAAGAATCGTAAACGCTTCTAAGAAGTAGCCAGAACGGCCACAAAAATTCAAATCGGAATTCTAAAATGAAGTCTGCCAAAATTACCATGGCCCATAGCAGGAGAAATTTCAGATAAAGTAAAGTACTGAAACCCAAAAAAATTCCATCATTTATACATATGATTGAATCTTTGAAACAGTGAAAGAGCTGTAGTAACAGTGAAAATAAACAAAAAAAAAAAAAAAAAAGAAAGCAAAGGAGAGAAGCAAACAAACACTGCAACAACAAAGCAAACGGCTCTGATACCAGTAAATAACAAATTCGAATTATGTAATTGGCATGATGTAAGCCAACAATATAGTTGATACAGTTGAAGAGAGCATAAACTGAAAATTCGTGAAACTGAATCGAGGTTGGGGAAGGATCATTCAGCAGTCGTGTCGCGTCGTCTGAAAAAAAAACCGCGGGTACAAGGTGAAAGGAAGCGAGGGTACAAGCGACACGAACGTGCAAAACCATTTTTCGCGAAAAACCAGACACAAATGGTTACAAGGTTTCGACAAAACGTCAGTTTGATAGTCAATCACGTAGTTTCTGAAAAGCGGCGGACGTGCTGGTTGACACGACGCGGTCGCACACGGGGAGCTCGCTCTCGTGCAGCTCGCTGTGACCATCGGTCGAAAATCGGCAACAGTTCCCGGCCGGTGGCTACCACTGTATCGGTGGCGGCGACCGGTCGGGTGTTTTTGGTTATTTTTAAAACTGGCCGCACGAAACGCGACGACATATGGCGGCGACGTAGAATTTTACCTTCCGTAGATTCCCTCGGTGAGCTTGTTGCGTTTCAAGGGCCTCCGAAGCTTACCACACTCGACATTTCTTCTCTTCATATTCCCCAGGCGCACTTTCACCGACACGGACGTACCGACGTTACTCGCGGCGTGTAACAAAATGGAAAAAACCGCAAATCTTCACGGCGGAGTCGCGAAAAAAATCCACTGTCTCGCGCGCGCGACTTCTATCAGTCTCTTTTGTTGTCATTCGTCTGCGGACAGATTCGAGGTTTCACGGCGGTTTACCAAGCAGCTGATTGGTCCATTGTAGGATATGGCGCTAATCAGCATGCAGGGATCACCTGCCAGGATATTTCGTCCCGCCGATGCACTCGCGGCCGACTTACACGCTTCCGCTCGCGTCCTCGCACGGGCAAACAAATACGCATGGGGCAGCGCGCCGTCCGAGTAATTCTTCGTTTCTTTTCTCTCTCTCTCTCTCTCTCTCTCTCGCAGAAAACGTTTCGCGGATTATAGGCTTTATCGATCGTGCGTGGTTTCGATTGTACCGCGAGGCAATCGACTTGTTTCACTTACGTTAACAGCGCTCTAACCTGCCGATACGCGAACTATCTTTCTCATCCTCTTTCCCACTCCTCTTCCTCGTCTGTCTGTCTCGTTCCTTTTTTCCACCACTGTTACGTTTGATACAGTGTTCATACGCGATATTTTACAAGTTCGTTCATTTCGCGAGATGAGAAATTTTCAAATTTTCTGCTCTCTCCTTTTTTTTTGTTGCAGCAGATAAAATGAACTTTCACGAGTTAGTACAAGTATTACGTACTTTGTATTGAGAAGTTACGAAATGTCAAGAATTCTAATATCGAAGTGTCAAGAATTCTAATATGGAAGAAATTATAAAATTATTTCTAATCAGCTGCATTGTTTTGTGTATCGCGGTGGGTATGTACTTCGAAATAATAAAAGAGGACATACCCATTCTGCTAAATTATGTTTTTATCACACTGTTTTATTTAGTAATTTTCGAGATTATAACTGGCTCAATTCAATACATTCTGAGTTTCAATAACGCAATCATGAAGAACAGCAACATGAAATTTGATGCGAACACATTAATTTATAACATTGTTTTAATAATCTTTATCCTAATGACTATATATAAATATCAGTATAGTTATATCTGCCTACAAAGATTCAATGTAATCTTGTGTACCCTGTGCGTGATAATTTCATACGTATTGTCAAATGTTGCGCACTTGGATGAAATAAGACACAAAAACACCTTGAATATTAATTCAATGCAAGGTTTAGACTATGGATCTGCTATGGCCTACAGTTATTATTATGGATATTTAAGGATAATACTTCCTTCAACAGGCTCTCTGAACAAAGGACTTGTTGAAAAGTTAGAAAATATTGAGGACAATCATAATATAAAAATAAGTGTTCACAAATTATTTGTTTTGATTCCCTCATCATCGTACATTCCACCAGATCTGAAAGAAGCTTCGTATCAGTGGATGGAAGGTGCAATGAATTTAGAAGAAGAAGAACGCAATCGAGCAGGTATTAAAAGAAGAATGTATCATAATACCGTGTATAAAATTTATCCGAATGGTCAAAAATTGAAGACCACTCCTTTGTACGTAGTGGTCGAAGGAGCAACACCTCTGTTAACTTTTCACGAAGTTCAGAAACATGCCCACAATGAAACAGATGTTTATAAAAAATATGGCAAAGAAATAGTATTGAAATTTTATGAAAAATTGAAGGAATTGATAAGTAATGACACAGAATGTGCAGATTTATGCGAATTAATTTATTATGATGATAATAATGGAACCAAAGTTAATGTGGCAAAAGTTATCTTAAGTAGATTGTCCCAAATTCAGAATATGAATTCAGAAAACTTCAATAACAATTAATATTAAGTTATAGAAATATTAATTTGACACAAGTATGATAGTTGTACAAATGTTGCATAAATTTTGACAAATATAAAAAATCTTTTTCATTATTGAGATTTCATTGCTATATTAAAATTTTATAAATCTATTTATAAACTCCTTTTTGGGATTCTTATACAATATGTATTATAATATAATAAATTTAAAAAAAATACTAATTTTATAAAAAAATATTAGTTTTTTAAAGGTTAAGTAAAGTAAAAATTAAAGAATAAATGTATAAATGTATCTTGTACTTTATTTTTTTTTAATAAAATAATTATTGAAGACTGAAAATTTTTCGTTTATTTTCATTTATTTTAGTACTAAAAGAAAAACCAATTACTTAGTTTATATAAAATAAAGAGATCCCTACAAATTGATACACTTCCCTAATCTTATCACTGTGATTTATGAATAACAAAACTGTCAAAATTTATTATCAAAATATCATTTATTCATTGTACAAATATTATAAAGTAATATGTTCAATAGTGTAAATATGTTGATTTAAATTTTTTCTTACCTTTATTAATCGTACAAGATGATAATGCAATGAATCAATACAGCTATATCAATTACACTGAATATTGCTGAATGTTATGTAAACACTTATTACGTTTATAAGGCCCCTGATGGTACATACTTATACAAAAATGATATATTGTTAATATTCATTACAATGGCTGGCACAACATGAATATATTGTAAATGTATATTGCAATCACAATTTCTTACATATCCATTTCAAATTGTTCTGCAGATTCTTCAATTACCGGAGTATCTACAACATATTAAACAAAAATATCATCATACGCGTTGGATTAATCTAATAAAGTAATAAAATTAAATATGCGATTAAATACATTTCACGTAGATCAATAACTGAACAAAAGCAACCTTTATTAATTTGATTCTTCGCTGATGTTGAAAAATTTTGCAGTGTATTTTTTAATAATTCTCCTGGTATGGATGGCATATTTCGCGGCGGTGTTTGCGATATTGGAGAATTTCGTAAGTTCATCAAGAAATCACGCTCATACACGATACGTGTACCTAAGAAAAAAAAGATTTTTTAATTCTACTGATAAAGAACCTTTTAAAGATTTTCTTCATATTTAGTTTATCACGATCAAATTTAATTAACAGCAGGAAGTGAAATTTAATTGCAAAGAAATATGTATTGAATTAAAATAGAATCTACCAACCTCTTAAAAATAAAACCCTAAAATGTTACTAAAGCATAATGATACATAATTAATACAATAAATGAGTACAAACTACTTACAAGGTATTTTACAAAAATGACAACTAATAGAATGATTATAAAGTTTACGTAATTTAACATTTAATAAAATTATATACGTGTATCGATATGTATATATTATAACTTTACACATAACTTTATGTAAAATGTGTTACTAGAAAATATGTTGTAATTCCCTGTTGATCGGCGAATCAATGATTACTAGAAAAAAATTTACATTAAGGATTATATTTATTAACGATGTCTAATAAAGAATTAGTATTTTGATTTAAGTGATTATGTTTACTAATAACCACAGAAAAATTCTTTTGGTTACTAGTAATATTAAAATGATGACAAACAATTTCTTTTCTTATTATTGTCGATCATCGGTTCAGTGTTTAATCAATTTTGCAATTGAACACTATATATATAGACGTTAATTATCAATTGATACTATTAAAAATTGATAATAATTAAAAGTAACCAAACAAATTACTTGCCACTAGTAAAAAAATATTGCTGCCATCAATAACAATCGACACTCAAAAAAATGTTCATCGTTTACAATGGTTGTATTTAATCAAAATCACCGAGACTCTTTTATTAACTTAATCTTTTAAAAGATCTTTTCAGGATTCAATGATCCATCTTTATGCGACACTTTCTTTATTTAACAATGTATTATCTCAATCTTGTTATTCTGCATTTTTATTTCAAACAAAAGTTGTCGACCTCGGTAACATGTATTTCAAAAATATTCTCATCTTATAGAGGAAAACAACTTTTTTTTTTATTTATGAAAAATTTTCGCCATCTTAAATTTTACAATGTCATAAAATTAAAAGTATCAAAGTATTCGTAACGATACGATAAATTGTTGCTCAATTGCAACACGGACATAAGTACAATGAAACAATAACTTGGAAGAAAAAAAAATACTAACCTCCGGGCGTAGTTGAAAAAAGCGTTCCACCAGGGGTGGATGAATAATCAATAGGCAATTGACTGGGATCGTTAATAACAACTCGTTTCGAAGGTATATTTTGGCTTTGAGTTGTTTGCCTTGCAATTGGTGATGCAGACATGCTTTCAGTTTCTTTGGGAATAGAAAAAAATTTTCTTGTTTCAACACGTATTATACTCCAGGTAAAATGTAAACATACAGAGAGTCATGTAAGAACCATCTGCTACTACTATCGTGCTACTGCGTAATTTACAAAAAACGACGGAGTTTCGTTATGTTCGATTTGCAAACTTAACTATAAATAGGATTATTGAAAAGAAAAAAAAAACTGGTCCTCGTCGAAATTTTACATGAATTTTATGCTCACTATTTCAGCCAGTTGGGGATGCTGCACAGCTGCAATAGTCTCGATTAATAAACAATGTATAACATACGTGTAACCTAGAAGATTGACTCGCGAACGAACACAATTCACAAAGTTCACTATGCGATAAGTAATTGTTTTATATAAGTTCACAAGTCCTCCCCACTTCTAAGATACTACAGAAATACTACCCAAAGCGTTACCAATCATTGGCGCGAACTATCGTGTTATCACTGTACTAAATTCAAGTACGGTAATTACATAGATGCATTATGTATTCAAATGTTGTAACATTGCGTTACAATTACAATCGCTAATTTTCACATGGAGCTTGTATTAAATGAATTGAAGTTCAAAATTCTGTTAATGCACGATTACTTCGGGATTTTGTAGCATATATTTATAGTAATTACATTTATTTCTGAATATACGTTCACGTATGTACAACTATTTAATTGCTAATTGGAGTTTTTATCAGTACTAATGTATTTAGTAAGTTTCCATTGACTGTGATATTTGTATATCATAGTCAATCGAAAATTGATACGATATTAATGTTGCTGAAAACAAGTTGCAAAAATTTAAATAACTTATTACTCAATGCTCTTTCATATTTTTTGGGAAAGAAAAGATATTATTATAATTAAAGTGAAAATTGAATGAATAAAAGTCATTCGTTTAAATGAATGAAAATATTATTAAATAATCTTTAATAAATTCTTTAATAATCGTCTTGATATGCTTTTTAAACATTACTCAGTGGCTAATGCATAAATCTCATTAATCTCAAAAGTATGTTATACGTCTGATGTTTGTTATCAATAAACAAAGTTTATGATACACGTACTTACGAGTCATTTTGAATTGAAAAATTTTTAATTCACGTTTTCTAATTGGCGGGAAAAAAATTAGAATTTATTACTCGTACTTTTTGATTTTCGACTTTCTTCTGCAAATAATAGATGTATCATAAATTCGATTCATTGAAGAGTAAAATGAAAATTCATAATCAACTCTTCTCTTTTTTTAAACAATCGTATACGATCAATGGAGGAACTTTTTTTTTGAAAAATACACGTCGTAGGGACATGTGAGAAATTTCAATAATTTATAAAATCATACAGTAAATAATGGTAAACATTCAGTCGGTTATTTATTAATATTTAAAAGCAAATTCCTAATATTGAATTTACTGAAGCAACGGGCTCGTATTTCAATATATTTCAGGCTTCAATCATTTTAATTATCTTGTACCAATACAATACAGTCGTATCAATTATTTGTTGTTACATAGTGTTATATATCGTTTGATTAAGCAGAGTTAAGAAAGTAAATAATTATGTTGAAATGAAGGTGGACTTTATGATTCCTAGATTACCCGATCTATTATATAGTACATCGAGGACTTATGATCGTCGTGAACCTTCACTATGACCTTAATGTGTTTCAATTATTCGCTTATCGTAAAGCAAACAACTTTTAAAATAAATGTAGACAAGTGAAAATAGTGATGCGACAAGTTGTATGTGAACGACATCCACATTTATTATGTTGATTTTAAAAGTCCAATTCAACCATATTGCTTTTTGTATAATACAAGTAAAACTCACAATAGTCCATCATTCGAAAAAAGTTATTTGTAATATTTACAAAATTTAATAATGAACAGTTTTCGGAAATTCGGAGCAGTTTCTAATTGTGTACACGCAGGAAGAAAAAATTTTTAATTGTTCTAATTAAATGTTGAAATGGAAAATTGCATGAAATTACTCCAACTTTCGAAAACTATTACCAATGTTACAAAATGAGACTGTGCTTGAATAATCGGACATTTATTCAGAACACATTTTCTTTCACGGAAATATATATATATATGTATATATGTATATATAAAAGTTCTCACAATGTACGAAACATTAAAATTTTATTCCCAACAAAGCACACAAGTACACAACTAATGAATGGAAAGTATTTTCATATGCTTTTTTATTGACAAGATATAAAATGATCAGTGTAAAAATCTGGCTTCTATAATCATTAAAAATAAATAATGCAAACGTATATGTATAAATAATAATTCGACATTTATATTATGTTGTTCAATAACCTGCAAAGGGCAGGAAATTAGAGAGGTAATCGATTTACAAAACTTCTATATTGAATCACGAAATTTGGTCTTTATTTCCAAAAATATCTCCCTCATTTCTGGACCGCTCAAAATTGCCTGCAAATACAAATAAAAACTGTGAGAACTTTTCCGACAATACGTACAATTTTGTAAACTTGTTCTCGATATGATCTGGTGATGAGATTTATCATAACTTTATATACGGTTTGCTTTTCTTTCTTTTTTTTTTTAAAATTATCTTTCATTTGGATTTTTCATTATAAAATGAAATTTGAGTTATTTTTTTAAAGTATTCGAGCATAACAGTGAATGCAATAACAAAAACCACAATTAAAAGGTCAAACACTTTATTTCTTAATGAAGGTATGTACTTAGGATTTGGGACATACAAAAAATTCGTATCATCTAAGGTCCGAATGTACATCTCCTTCGACAACGCTTGTGATTAAAGTACCCTTTCCAATACCCTACTAAACCTCTGCCTAGACAAACACGTTGTAACCGCGGTGGTAAAAGTGTCGACGAGGGACTACAGAACATGGAGTGAATCATCCAATTGGAAGTATATAAAAAAGAAGACGAAATAAAATGATTCAAGATAAAAGATTTGAAACTCATAACAGAATTTGGATAAGTTGAACAAGATGATTGTAGGTGCATTTTTACGTAAATGAGATTATCCCTGTGACTTGGAACAGCAGAAAGGTAAAAGAACAACCGAAGTTCACTGAATTGTCTCACTTCCTAATTTCGTTTCTCTCTTTTTCCGTCTCACAATAGTAGAATCGCAATGGTTGTGTTTTTATCGATGCGAACACTACTAATTCGTAATAAAAACTGCAGCAATCCCGAGATATTTAGTGATAATAATAGGAGTATATATTAATACAGTAGAGAATAGGAGAATAGTAGCGGGGAAAAATAGTAGTAATAAATATTGAACAAGAGAAGAGAATAGCGCAAGAGTATATACCAGTAATAATAGTTAATAGAGCAATAGTGGTAGGAATAGCAATATAGTAGTATCCGTAGTGATAATTGTAATAATTATAATATAGTAGTACTAATTTTTGTCTAGCGTAACGGATAACTATTTCTGTAATCTACTGTTATAAAATGAAATTGAGACGAGAACGTTTGGAATATTTCAGTAGATCGCGTTTACATAAGCGATTATAGTTCACCAACTCACTCTATATATACTCACACACCATGAGAGATCAGCTGAGAGCTCCGTATTTCACTTACTTTTATTATTATTTTTTTTTAATTATAATGAATTATAGCCAATAGTCAGATTTAAATCAAATCTGCGACATTCATTGGCATTTCTTCAATACTAGTATTGTAGAATTGTTCAATATCTTTTAAGGTCCGTTTGTCGTCGTCTGTTACCAAGTTAATTGCCACTCCCTTCCGGCCAAAACGACCACCTCGACCGATTCTGTAACACAATTTTCATGCATGACGATTTGAATTTTAGTTTTTATGTTGCACATTTAAATGTCAATTTCTTTAAACATTTAAATGTTAATTTCTAATCAAATCATTAAGAAATGTACACGATACGATATACAATATAATATTCATGAATACGTGTAATTTACCTGTGGATATAATTTTCACGATTGGAAGGTAAATCATAATTGATGACAAGGGACACCTGTTGGACATCAATACCACGTGCTAAAAGATCAGTTGTGATGAGGACACGAGACGAACCAGTTCTGAACTGCCTCATAATGAGATCTCGCTCCTTTTGTTCCATGTCTCCGTGCATAGCAGAGACTGTGAAATCACGGGTACGCATACTCTCCGTTAACCAATCTACTTTACGCCGCGTGTTACAGAAGATAACTGCCTGAGTGATACTCAATGTATCGTATAAATCACAAAGAGTCTCAAACTTCCATTCTTCACGTTCAACGTAGATGAAGAATTGTTTAATACCCTCTAGTGTAAGTTCTTCCTTTTTAACTAAGATGCGAATTGGATTTCGCATAAAACATGTAGACACATCCAATACATCTGTCGGCATGGTTGCAGACAATAATATAACCTGAAAAATAAATATTTGTTACATTAGTCGAATTTTTATATAAAAATAATATATTAGAAATTAAACTAAAATTTACAAAAAAAAGAAAATATCTTAATAATTGAAGAATTTCTACGTACCTGTACTTCATGAGGTAATAGTTTAAATACATCATGAATCTGATCCTTAAAACCACGAGAGAGCATTTCGTCTGCTTCATCTAACACAAACAGTTTGATGCTACTGGCTCGTAATGCCCGTCGACTAATCATGTCATATACTCTACCAGGTGTACCAACTACTATGTGAACACCTTGATCTAATTTTCGCATATCTTCGCGCACATTGGTACCTCCAATGCATGCATGACATTCTGCATGCATAAAATCTCCCAAAGCAATAACAACTTTTTGGATCTAAAGAAAAATAGAGAATTTTTTTTTTAAGTTAGGCAAATACAGGATAAAAATGTTATGATCATTGTACACTGTCAATCGTTAATATAAATCTTGTCTATAATTCTGGTCTACAATATTAGCAGAACTTTGATTTTCAAATTTTAATTCTTTCTAGGTTTTCAGAAATTTTGTTTATAATTATTTCATTACTTACTTGTTGAGCAAGTTCCCTTGTTGGAGCTAGAATCAAAGCTTGGCATTCTTTGATACTAGTATCAATTTGTTGTAAAATAGAAATTGAAAATGTAGCAGTCTTGCCAGTTCCTGTTGAACGTTCGAGAAATTAGAAACTAAATTCTGTCGCTTTTACGGCAAAGCAGATATTCATTTTTCATACCTGATTGTGCCTGTGCAATTACGTCGTGTCCTCTTATACATGGCAGAATGGCACGCTGTTGAATTGCAGATGGTTTTTCAAAACCATAAGCATAAATACCACGCAGTAATTCTTCTTTCAGGTTCATTTCATCAAAGTTGTCAACGACCTAGTTTACCAATAACAAAGAACGTACAACAACAAATGTCATTATCGCAAAACACACCTTTTAAGAATATTGAACTATTTCAACTCTAATATTTAATTTCTCATTTGGAACACTTTAGAACTTACAACATCCCAGTTAGATTCAATGATCCCATCAGGCTCCATGCCAGGAGGGCCATCGTATGTCTGTTGATCACTCTCACTAGGACCATTTTTGGAATCTCCTGCCCATTGATCATCGTTTCTGAAACACAATTGCAAAGAAAGTTAGTTTTGAAGTAACTCAATTGTAACTTTCATTACAGCAGCGGTGAAACGATTGTTGCAATTTTCCAATTCTGCCGCAGCAAAAATTAACTTAAATCCTTCCGAACGGCTCGATCCTCATTCGATCACACAATCATTTCGACATAATAAAAGGTACAAATAATATTGAATTTCAGCGACCTTGAAGTGGTGAAACGTCACAGTTTTTTCAGTCCCGCGGCTTGAAAGGCATTTTATCTTAATCAAATACGGAAACTCCTCGTTGGAAAAACGTTTCAATTTCGCGAATAAGTAAATGCACAAAGACGCGTGTTTAAGGTAGGTCATCAAGCGAACGACATCGATGACTTGATAGATGCGTTGACAGTGACTCACGCGAAAGCATGCCCGTAGCAAGATGTGTCTCGACTACATTGAGCGTACATGTAATGAGAATGATTATCGCGCGGCACCGTTCGACGTCGTTCAATCTGTATCATTGCCTTACCGAGCAATATTCATTCTTTCTATTACGTAATTTCAAACGCAAAGTAAAACGCGTTTGCACGATGAGAGCACAGTGAGAGCATGCAGACTTGCACACACTGGGAACAACCAAGTATATTTTCCGGGAACTTGAGAGTTACCGTTTGCACGCGAAACGATCGTCGCACGACTACGTATCACACAACAATTACAAAGGTTATAAGAACAGAGAGAGGTGGCGAACGAGAGACACTGGGCGATAATTTTCGCGAACAATGTGACAAAAACGAATGCACGCCATGTTGTCAGTCTCGTGTCTCCATGCATTCGCCGATTGCGGCACTATTTTTTAAGACTATATCGTGAAGTGTCGATGTTCGGTCGCGGCCGTCGCCGGATTTACGGAGGCGCGACGTCCACGATAAATTCGTAAAACGCAATGTAGCATGTATATTTATCAATTTACGCGAAAAAAATCGAACTTACCTTCGCTCAGACGTATGCGACATGTTCCATTCACCGTAGATCGACGGAAAGGACGAGTTCCTACTGCGTCACAAGGAATATTCTTATGGGTGCCGCACAATGGCGCTGCAAGCGGTCTTCAAATTTTTGATTAACCCTCCTCCTCGCGATTCAAACCGCGAGAATCTAACCCGGAACAGTTCGAACGTTTCGAGATATTAATTTTCAAAGGTGGCAGATATATACGCTTTTATCCAATTTCTTTCCTGTTATTCCACGCGATTTTACGGATGTCTGTTGCGCATAAGGGAAGTACGTCAGTTACCCATAATCCTCCGCGATCCCTTAGTGGGGCATGCGAGGCAAATACGAATATATTGCTGTTCTAAGTTTCATATTTCTAATTTTTCTTTTTTTCTTCAATAAATATTCTATACTTGTACACTTGTATATTTTTATTTCAAGTATTTGTTTGTAATTGCATGTGTTACTTATTACGTACTTATTATGTTAAAACATAAATTGTATGAAATGTATAATACGATGAATAAATAATTATATTATTGTATATAATTGAATTAAATAACATAATATTATTTATGCTTTTAGTCATTTTAGTTATAATGATAATATATAATTAAATCAAAACATAGATTTTGTCCATGGTTTATTATCCATTTCAAATAATTAAAATGATACGTGTATAATATAATATAATTGTAAATTTTGATAATAAAAATAGCAAGTAAATGTATTCAAATTTTATAATACATTTAATAATGATTAAAAAATGATAATTATAACAATATATGCGTATATAAAAATATATTAAATAGAAAACAGTTTTTTAATTATTTATTAAGGTATTTTAATGAAATTATGCATCTACAAATTAAATTTTATTTTCTACATTGATCAATGAAAATGTTGAAATTTTTTAATAAAAGTACATACTTTTGAATACAGTAATTAACAAAATAAATTTAATAATACAAAGATCATATCTATCTTAATTATAAATGAAAATATTTTACAATACATTCAATATCGCATTATTTTATGGGACTTTTAATTCAAATTACTGTCATTTGTTTTGTTTTGAAAATATTCCATACTGAATGGAATATTCAGTATGGACGATAAGAGACCTATGCAAAAACTTTACATAATTCTTCATATAAAAAGATTAATATCTTGATTGTGCACACACACACGCGCGCGCGCGCACGCGCGCACATACACACACAATGTATTTACAGATATTTATATATGTATCTACAAATACATATACTGATATTTTATTCTATTAATTGAATATGTTTTTTAACGATATGTGAATAAAATTTAATGTTCATGATATATACACAGCATATGCAAAAGTAATAAAATATATTACATAAAAGCACAAGCAAGGATAAAGAGTAATACTGCAACAGGAAAAATTATGTACACTTCCGTACGTGGATGACAAATTGATAAAAGAAAATTAACATCATCTACCTCATATTCAAAATCATCTTTAGTTGGTATTTCAACAATTACTCTGTCAGAAGATAGTATATTAATCGGAAAACTACATCTTGTTTGATTTAGACAAGATTTTGTTATATTCTCGTAATGAAGAGTAGGTTTATAAATGTCAAATAATGCATATATATCATTTGACACAATATCATTGTCACTGTAAAAAATATAATAATAGTAACCATCTTCTACAACATTATGTACTGCCTGCATATGTTTGCTATTCAATAAGTAAGTAACATTAGTGCACTGCTCAGATGGTGCAAATTCCTGAGCCATTAAAATTGAGCCTCCGTAACATTTAAATAATTCATTTTCAAAACTGGATACAGAAGAATCATTATCAGCATCGGTTATGTTTCCTGCATTTCCACCATGTTTAACACCTTGATCAAGCAAATGTGTGGGATTAACAACTTCTTCGTTTCTTTTGATTCTTTCTTTTGGTTTTTCATATTGCGCTTTCATTTCATTTTTAACATCATTTCTATTATCTCCTAAACTCAAGTTTCTCCTCAACAATTTTTCTAGTATTAAACTGTATTTATCATTTATATCTCTTTTAATATAAGAATTGTTTCTGACATTTCTTTGTGTACTTTTTTTTCGCTGCATTGCAATATTTCTTTTTATTTCTTTCATTTGTTCTTTATATTCCTTTTTTTTAGCGTGCCTTAATTTTCTGATACTATGTGTAGTTTCTTTTTCCAGGGGATTTATAAGGTATTGAATATTTTTATCCTGTAATGTTTTTGGTTCTTCTTCGCGATTTTCCATGACATTAGACACAGAATGACCTTTCAAATGAGAATAGAGATTTGCAATATCCTGATCAGTATTATTTAAAGTAATATTATTTAAAGTAATATTGTGTAACAATCTATCTTCAATGTTATCTAATGTATCATTGTAATTGTTTTGTGCAATATTGTTATTAAAATTACTTTTTTCTGTATTTGACTTAAATGTTACTTTAACTTGTTTTTTTGCCTCTGGCAGAAATATACTCTCTACAACTTGTGTATTGCGATGCTCTAACATTCCACATGTTCGTAAATTACGTTCTCCTTTCACAACAAGTATAGATGCACCTTGGAACCTACGCAAATATAATAATAATATATATTTATATATTAATTTAAAAATATAAATATATTAATTAATATTAAAATATTGCATTACCTTGAGCATACAGAGAGTGCCACACTTGATCCTTCTAAAAGATAGAATCCCCAGTACTCTAGTGTATCATCTGGTAAAATCATACTTTTTTTAAGACGTATATGTTTTCTGTATGAAGTTATTTCTGGTTTTTGTGTCATTTGAAATGCATTGAATGTTCTATTCATTTGTAAAGTATGTGCCTATATAATATGTAAATGCTACTGCATCAGTTACAGAAAGAATATTACATTTAACATTTGATAACAATATAAAATATTCTTACAGAGCAGAATATTGTAGAAATACCATCAGTAATTTCCAAAATATCAGAATCCGTTACAGCATATGCTACATTTGCATAGAAATTATGACGTAAATACAGTGGTATTACAAGAAGCAAAATTGGTAAGATAGTTGTTAATGTGCAGAAAACTAATAATCTCTTGATTCCATGCATTTTTCATAAATCTAAAAAATTAAATAAATCAATGTTAATATTTAGCTATTAATTAGTATGTATTACATTATATATAAAATAACATGTGTACATTGTATCATAGTAGAGGTAGTATACATTGTATCTTGCAGATCTACAAATATTAAAGTAATAAAGAATCAACAAATTATTTAATTTATTATAACGATGCATTATCAATATAGATATTTCAGTTAAAGTAATTGTAGTAATTGTAGTAATATCAAAATAATTGATATTGCAAATTAATTATATGTCATAATTAATAACAGTTAATATTTAATGGTATTAAAAATTATAATAATTTCCAGAATGATAAAAAAAAAAGTAATTGAAAGTGTAAATAAAAGACATTGATTATATATATCAAAAGTTATTTTATGCAAATTTATATTTTATTAAACGAACTGTATTTATTTTCTTAATGAAATAAAAGTACTCGAAATTAATGTTATGATAATTATTTGTAGATACACAGGTACGTTATTTGTATACAGATATATACGTAAAAATAATTTGAGCATCTAGAACAAATGTTATAAAATATAATTAATAAGTTAGTAATTAATTAAAAACTAATTTCTTTACAAATATTTCGTATTAAATATTACATGCAAGAGGGAAGAGGTTAGAGTTTTTTTCGATGATAAAAGTCAAAAACTTAAATTTCATTATGCGTATGTGACTTGATAAAAACTATCATATGATTCTGATTCGTCTTTACTATTTTGACGTACGATACTCGCATCGTACTTATTACGCATGCGTCCTCGATCCAATCGTGACGTGCATCACGTAACAAAAAATAAAAAAACATAAGATTATTAAAGCGATAAACCAATATCAGGTGAAATAAGAAAGATTACAGTATTCAAAAAAATATTTTATTCTGAGTTTGTATAAAAATACGGTACATGAAGCTCTCTTGTGTTTAAAAAATACAAACAGTAACATTCTAAATTTTCAAGATCTAGAAAAATGCACGCGTTGTTACTCTTATGACCTTTGTAATTTCTTTAAAAATAACTAATCGGAAATTAATAAAGAAACAAATTTTTTCACTTGAAAAAATACTAATGTAATAAAAAATAAGTTTCTATATATCATACAAATTTTTTATTTTTTAATTAACTGAAGAAAAGAATTATTGCAATTTGAAAATGAATATTAAATTTTTGAGCTCATTTTGTGTCTCATGAGTCATTGGTAGCCTGTGACAGTCAATTGAAGTAGAACATTAGTAAAGTAAATAAAAAATGTCAGAAATTCAGTACAAATACTAATATTTTTTAATTAAACATTCTAATTTAATAATTCTTTTCTCTATGTAAAACCTGTAAGAAGTTAAGAATAGGTAGAGCTTTAAAAGAAAAGTTAAAAACTTACATTAATATATCTGAATTCATGGCACCTAGGCCTTCTTGTTAGAAACACGAATTAAAAAATGTTTTTGTCCAATTATTTTTAATTGCTGATGTGACACAAACACATTTCATACTGTAACAAATAAAAGAGTTGTCATAATTATACATATAAAATAGACAAGAAAAAATAAACTACTATTATCCAGCAATATTAATAAATCTTATATTGACAAGTATTGAACTACATAAAAAAACTATTAGTAATTTATATTGCTTTGAAATATGCTGGGATTATTATTTCTAGCATACTTATGATTATTAAAACAGTTTGAACACTTACTATAAACATACTTTTTTGCTTATAATTCGAAAAATTAATTTTTCTGAATATACATGTACACGAACATTTTTTGCATCTAAAGATTAAATTATGTAGGAACTTAATTCAGCAGACTTATTTATTATTATTTTTGATGATATGCAAATATATCTAAAGGCTGTATTATATAGAAAAATCAAATTTTCAAGTTTTTACACGAGTTCACCTGTAAACATAAATACTGATCAAATTTAAATGATCAGCTACAAATCGTCATATTTATTACAAGTATAGTATCATGAATATATTCAAGATTATACATTATTATTTACCTTATAGGATACTTCAGTAAAATGAAAATTATGTAATAACGAAAGTATATAAAAAAAGGATAATAACTTTAAAAGATGCGATAATATATTATTAGAAAATATTTATCTTCAAACCAAGTTTTTTCTATATAACAAATTATATATGTGCAATCGCCATCTTATAATTTTTACAAAGTAAGTGCATATGCAAGTTTAAATAATGATATATGTCATTTATAAACCTTCAAGTAGATTAATTTTTGCTGTTGCTATATAGTATCCATTACTACTGATTGTATGACGTTGCGATATGTGAATTTGCTTTAATGTAGTTTCTCCAAAGATTGTATTTTCATGAGCCTAAAAAATTTCAATTTTTTAATTATAAAACTATGTACAGACAGTTTAGTTTCTTATGCTGTAGCCTCGATGCGAAGCTGTCTCAATACATAATTTAATTTAAATAATTAAATGTATTTACTTTCATTATTTCGGTGGCATCAAATGTTATGAAGTTTTTACCATTTCTTTCTTCTTTAGTCAATTTAAACGTTGTATTCATAAGGGTTAGGTGCAGTTTAACAGTCTGGTATTTTCTATCTATTAAACCTAAGCAACATATCATTTTATTAATACACTTCATATTGTTTCAGTTACTGATATTCTTAGCATGCTTATATTGTTTTATTGATCAATATTATACGCTACCTATTTTGATGTAATAATCTACAATTTCCTCTACCATTTTTTGTAAAACTCCAGTTTTGTCGACTACCTTTGCATATAAAACTCCTGCTTCAGCAGGATCATCATTCATTATTTCAGTTCCTTGTAAGAATATAGGAATTTGTCCATATTTTTCAATAGTAGGCCTGCAATTTTTTTTACAAAAAAATGATATAAAATAACTTTAGCAAACTTGTAATAACTAAATATACTTTTCATATTATTCTCTTTACTTTACAATATGCTCGTTGCAATAATTTAAAGCTTCTACAGCTTGATTTCTTTCTGCATCATCAAGCAATTTCATTACCCCAATGGTAAGATGTAATTTACTTGGTGTCTGAAAAATTGTTTCATCCACACCTCTGGATGTTTTTCCTGAATTTGTCAATACTTCGTTTTTAAACATATTAAATTTCATTATTACATGGCCATCATTTAGAGGTATCGATAAAAAATGTGTAAATTTTATCTTTTTCCTAGATGCCTCCATTAATAGATTAATTCTATGACGTGCACTTATTATTCCTTTGCAGTCGTTACCAATTATGACTATTAACATATAGATATATAAATATACGACAAAACATAAATTTAACACTTCAGTTGCATAAAGTTTAAAGTATATTTACCAATATCTCCATCTTGGCCAAACTTTGGTATTTGTATTACTGTTTTAGTCTCAGTTTCCAATCTCTTATGTACAGCATGTTTGGCTCCAATGATAAATGGGAAAAATGCTCTAAAACATTGATAATTATTTTAACATTATATTGCTAGCTTATTGCATATGTACGTGTGTTTTAAGAGGAAACAATTTTTATACTTTGGTACGTGAAATGCATGTTTAAATTTTGTTGATCCGTATGGTACAATTTCTATATTGCTGTCGTAACATTCATCCTCAGCATCTTTGTCATCCAGCTGGTAATTATTATCTTCAAAGTAAGAAGAAACATCATTTATACGCTTAGTATTTTCTAATACCCTGTAGCATCGACCATCTACCCAAACCAACTCAGGTTTCAAGATGTCCATTGTTCGACAAATATCTGTTTTCACGTTAATTGTGCAAAATCACTTTTTTCTCCGATATATTACAATACTATGTTTCAAAATAAACAAAGCAAGCCTTCTCATTTCAAGAAAAGGTTCCACATTGTACACATAACGTGACGAATTCTCATTGATCTCCAGTGAATTCGCATTTCGTGCGTCAAATTTTTTTTTATTGTGCATTCATTTTTAACATATTAATTACTTCGAACTTTATTAGAACAAGTGATCAATATGATTAAAGTGTACACCACACTTTTATAAAATAAAATTATTAAAAAATTTTGTTCAATTTATTCGTAAAAATTTGATGGAATTATATATGCTATTAGAACACATCGTGCAAGTATGTATATACTTGAAATATTCACTAGCGCCTCTGGCGATCAGAAATGCTATCAATTTTGATTTTAGAATAATATTTAATCACAGACCAGACAAAATTTATTTTATACTTGATCTATGATATTATAGGTTCGCTTCGCCGGTTTTTATATATAAATTACAATAGATAAAATTTTAGATACATATGTAGAAAATAAGATCGTAAATGCAAAATTTATTGTTTTTAATTTCATTTGCTTTTTATACATATATTAAGAAGATAATAATTGCAACTTACTTTTATGAAATAGTTAAAAATTCTTTTATAATTTATAGTTATGTACATATTTAAATATTTCAATATTAATTACCTCGCAATAAAATGTTCAATGTCAGTTTTTGAAACTGATAATTAAAAAGAAAGAAGTAAAACAAAACAAAAAAGATCAATGTTTAATATAATTATGCAAGACGCGCATTGCAATAGGACATAAAATGCATTTTTCTAAAAACATAACGTATTATTATCTAGGAAATGAAAATATAAAGTTTATACACTGAATGTGTGTGAAATTAGAAATTTGCTAATTTCTTAGTGGCTAAATTACCAGAATGTTTATGAAGCATGTACAAATTCATCTATATTACAACAATAGTAATTACAGATATATATCTACATACAGGCATATTATACTTAGATATATATATATTTTTTTTTAGTAGATATATTACAATTTTCAAAGTGAAGAAGTTGTATAATAAATAACAATTTTATATATCATAAGTTAGATAATTAATCTTCGTCAGTACTTTTCTGATACACAGCGCCAAATTTACTCATATACTTACGTACAAAATCTTTAGCTTTATGTTTAACATTCTCGTTACATTGTAATTCATCAACGCTTTTACAATGTTTCAATTCTTTCGCGAGTACAAAATGTGTAAGCTTAAACAGAAAAAATTAAATTTAATGCTACTGTATAAGACAATAATAATAACAACAACAATAATAATAATAATCCAAAAGCCTTTCTTCTATAAACGTACCTTTCTAGCAAGATGTTTAAAATCTTCCGTATTTGTTATTCTACCTTGTTTACAATCGTTTTTCCTATACGGATTCAAAAAATGTACCATGACGTTTGCCATATTTATTCTAAAAGTATCTTTAATCTTTCTTTCCGACATTGTGGATAAGTCAGACGAGGGTAATTGCAATTTGTTTAAACTATGTCGTGAATGCGATTTAGATTTGTTACTACGTCGATGTCTTCGTATTTTTTCAATGTATTCTTTAAATTTGGCTCTTTCTTTCTGACGCCGTAATTTCTCCTTTATTCCCTTGTGCGTTTTGTGATCCATACGGTCTTCTTCTCGACGTGGCTATAAAATTAGCACAACATGTAATTGTAAATACAATTATAGGTACTAACTGTAAAAGGAAAAAGAAAAGTATAAAATACAACATACGCTGATAATTCTTTCTTGAACCAAACCCTCTCTTCTTTTTTTACTTTCTGACACAAGTGCTGATGAACTTCCGGTTACATTATGAACGGAACTTTTTTTAGCTACATTATGCCTAGAGACATTCAACGGTTTTTCTATCAAAGTGTTGTCTAAATGTAACTCCTCGTTTTTCGATTCTTCGTTATTGTCTTCGTCAATCTCTTCGTCTTCTTCGTTTGACGAGCTAGATTCTTCGCTGGATTCCGAGGTCGACGATGAATCCGGTTGAACTCCTATATGATCTGGCGGAGGAGGTAACCATTGCGATATCCGTTCTTTTACATGATAATAGTAAGTCCTGCCTCTATTATCAGTCGCACTTTTCCATTTTGGTGGTAAGTCTATAGGAGGTACTTCAGGTTGTCTGAACGTTGCAGGAAACTGTTGGTCTGACTGTTTTTCTATGTGCTCGTAAAGAGATTCGGTTTGAAGTGGAACTGATGTTCCACTGGAAACTAAAGTACTCGAAATTGTCGGTAGTTGCCCTTCAGGATATTGCTGATGACAATGGGATAGTAAAGAATAAGATGTTGTACTTTGATTAAATACAGGCGTTTGACTTAACGTGTACACCACTGGAGGTACACCCGAAGGTATGTTACTCGACATTCCAGGTGATATTTCAGAAGAAATTGATGACGGTAGAACATTTTGCGATACTATCCCGGATTGTGTATGACCAGACACTGTCTGTGGTCCACTTACGTATACTGAAGTGCATTGCTGATTTATTTCTCCATCTGTAATAAGATTTTAGATAATAAGATAAGCTATACATTTTTAAAGGAAATCGTTTATTATTATAAAAATCAAATTACTAAATGCAACTATGCAACGTAAATATTTAAAATATATGTATATGAAATAAAACCTTGTGTAGGATACTGTTGCCACTGTCCAATTGTCGGATTGTAAAAGACAGGATATCCCGTTTGTGGATCTACCATAGCCGTGGTATGGGGGTCTATGCCTAATGCTATACATCTAGTTTCATGATCTTGCCACGATTCTTGTTGTTGGCGACGTTGCCGCTCTTCTTCTTCCTTTGCTACTTTCAAAGCAAATAATTGTCGGCGTTCGTATTTTGTCATTCGTGGAATTGGAACTAAGCTACTCCTTTCCTCTATTCTCTTATCTTTTGTTCGAGTGTGCTCAGATTCTGGAGATTCTCGCCCTCGTCTTCTATCTCCACGTTTTTCCATTTCGTTCCTTCCATATCTGTCAGATCTATGCCTAGAAACAATTTATATTTTAATTATTAATTGTATATTATCTGCCAACTTATAAATTTATATACCTGTCATACGATGTTCCCCTTTTTTCTTCTTTTTCTAATTCTTCTCTATAGCCACGATCTAAAAAAAAAAAGAAAAATAGATTACATTAATTTTTATATTGATCTTGTATTATTATAATTATAATTTAAAGTCATTACCTGCTTCTCTCTCATGTTCTTTCATTTGTTCAATCCTTTCTTTTTTCGGTATACGGAAAACTTCTTTTAAATTTGACCACTCAGCTAAAAGACTCAAAGCTAATTCAGGAATAAGATTTTGATCTATATCATCAGATTTTATGTCAGTAATTTCAATATTATTTTCTTGTTTCTCTGTGTCTGCAGTCAATGAGTAAGAGTTTCTCTTTTCATTGCCCTCACAGTTAACTGGTAATTCATCGTTATTTGACTTCAATTTTCCTTGATCATCTTCCGGAGAATCCCCGCTCAAAGAGAAATACAATCGTTTCGACCATTTTTCTACCACATTGTAAATTTTACTATCCATCAACATGGTTTTATTAGGAATTGGAAGTGTATTTAGGGTTTTCAAAACTTCTAGACGGAACTGTTGCGCCTCGTCAGAATCATTAGTGGAAATATCCATAACATAACTCCAAATCAAACGTAAACCGTGATAATCCAAAAATAATCTTCGACATGGCTGTTCCCCGCTTTGTATGAGACGTAAAAGCCGCGTTCTGTGTTCTAATTCTCTGCTACGTACCATTAATCTACTTAATGTTAATGTATGAGCTCTATTTTTCAAGCCACCTGAGCATAGTTTATCTATTTCTTCCTCCAACTGAAATAACATTAATAGCAAATCGAATGGCAGAATAATTAAGAAAATGTTTAAATTAGCAGAAACAATAACTGCATAAATTACTTACATCTTCATCTTCCATATAATCAGTTGGTTTCTTTTCATCTTTCTTCTTCTTCATATCTTTTTCACGTTTTTCTTTCTTTTCAATCTTTTCTTTTTCTTCCTCCGGTGTTTCACCGATCCAACCGCGACAATTGGGTGCTTCACAAAAACACTTCTGTGCCTCTTTGCTAATGCAATTTTGCAATTAAATTTAGCACAATATGTTTTTGTCCAATATCAAAATGGTAATAAAACATATCACCCATCACACTTACCCATAACGTTGAAAATGATAGTCAAATGTAATTTCTTCGCCAGCAGCTATAAATTTTCTATTAAAAAAGCCAATTCTCAATTCACCATTCACTGTCCACTGTACAAATTTCAATTATAAAAATAAATTTCCATATAATCTTGAATTTTATTTCTTCTAGCTGTACTTACCTTTTGAGTTTCAGAATTTGGATCGCAACTGTGATTTATAAATCGAGAAATGTTTCCTTTCATAGTAGCATCTATGATTTGATCAGACTTTAATGCCATAAAATAATAATGTTTATTTTTGTCTTTTGAATATTCTTTTGCTCTGCGTCGAAAATCTTTTGGGTCAACCACTTCACCTACATATTCCATTATAAATTCTCCTCTGGTGTTTAAAAACAACATTTATTAATAAAAAATTCCATTATGTTAGAGTTACGTATTACAAACTTACGCCAATAAATCAACCACAGCTCGTAAACCAAATCCCTTTTTTTCCGTTCTGAATACTTCGCATTTTGCATATTCACAGTTTTGAAATCTTTTATTCGTGCAACGATCACCTACTACACATCGAGGCCCACTAAAAAAAGTGTATAACATATTGTACAAAACATGTTTTTCTACTAATGTTTTACATTTAATTTATAAATCTATAAATGCATAATACGTACCACTCTATCATAAGAAGTCTATTTAGACAATCTTCCCCGCAACCTAATTCGCCCCTTTCAATTTCTTCTTCTGTTAAAAAGCAATCACACACCATTCTCTTTGTTTCTTTATTTGTGTATCTAAAAGATTATTATCATTATTGTTAATATTATTGTTAAGAATTTTGCGAACATCATTTTACTTGCATACCTTTCTGTTAAATATAAATTTTCACGTAAATATTCAAATTGACTTAGTCTTTCTTCCATTTCTCTGTCCTCTATTTCAGGAACCATAGGTAACGCAATTCTTGCACCCACAGTTTTCGGAATTTGCACGATATTATTATTGTTCACAGACGTCGTTACTTCTTTCGTCTGTTCTATATCTGTATTAGATTGAATATTTGTAATTGATGTTAACCCAGATATAGAATCTGAAATATTAATATCTGTTGAAGCTCCACTTGTGAATTTAATAGCTGAATATGATCCAGATTCAGATGTATTCGCTGTTATATTTCCAAATACAACTGCTGATGTAGATACAATTCCTGTATTCGATCCACCCATTTCAAGTTCACTTGATCTTCGCCAACGAGATTTCACTTTAACAGGTTTAGAGGAATCTGAATCATAGCCTGTGGTATTACAAGTTGCTATCAGTGTAAGGGACTCAAACGTATTCACTGTCTTATTGACGTTATTTTCTTTATCTAATTGAGATTCGGGTGGATTATCTATTTTCATTTCTTGAGCAATTGAAACAACGTTATTCGCTATTTTTTCTCTTTCTTGCTGAACATTTGTTTTTGAACTATCTAAATTAGGTTTTGTAACTAATCCACGACCACATGACCTGTAAAACAGTATAATATATAAAATAAAAAATGCTTTAAAATATTTTACAATCGTACGAACGCAGTGTTCTTTTTTTTACTAATGCAATTAGAAAGTTTGTTTATTTTAGTTAATTTGTTTGATAATATATATTTCATATGACGTGTATATTTTCACATTAAAATACATACCTTTGTTTCATTAGACCAATTGATCTAATTCTACTACTTCTCCTTACGCCAGAACTATTTGATCCGCTTTCTGAACCTGTTGTGTCAGTGCTACCACTTCTACTTCTAAATTCAACCTTTTTATCAATATCATTTGTGTTATTATTACATTTTGTATCAAATTCTGTTAATTTACAATTGTTCATAGATAATAGTGTATCGTTGCTATTATCACTGCTACTAGATAATTTTGTATCTTCCCCATCAATTTTGCTGTCCACTTCATTGTCACCATACAGTTCCTCATTAATTTGTTGGAAATTTACTGTTTTTCGTTGATTTCCATTTTTTTTATCTGATAATACTTTTGATTTTAGTAAATGCTGATTTTCACACTCTACCTTGCCGTTACAGGAATCATTATTTAATTCTGTAACAGTTTTTTCTATATTATCAGCAGAGTTGTTCGATTGGTGCAATTGTTCCATTTTATCCAATATTGAAGAACTACTTTCATCATCAATACTCATTGGTATTATCTTCTCAGTATTACCAGCAATTTGTAATGGAGACATTATGTTTTCCATATTGGATAAATCATTAACTAACTTTTCTATTTCTTTTGAAGGTTCACTAATTTGCATAACTGCTAATTTGTTATCTATTTTACAAAACACATTATCTCTAGATAAAGATTCTTGCAACCTTCTTGTATACGCATCTTTATTTGTATATAAGTCTTCTTGATCATTAATTATGTCTTTGCTATGAGTATATGATTTTTCTAAATTAAATGATTTGTCATTTCTGTCGTTAGACGTCATTGGCACATCTATGTATAAGGCTGACATGGAATTCTCCATTTTAGTTTTCTGTAAATTACATGCATCTTTTTCTGTATTGTAGTAACATTCATTATTAGGTGAGTTTCTTGAATCAGATTCTACTAACATCGATTCCGTACCATTCTCATTCTGTATCACAGTATATTCTACAAAATTTTTTGTTTCTAAAGCAGGTTTGTTTACAACTAACACTTCTGTTACTACTACATTATCATTTTGTTTTAAATTGTAATCACTATTTTTAACTTCTTCTTTACCCTCCATCTCCTCACATATTATAGTTTCTTCTATTACATCTTCTGGCCATATTTCAGTTTCGGCAGAATCAGATTCAGTTACAATTTCTTTATTAGGATTACCAACAACTACTTGCTGAACATCTTCAGGGCTGAGTTTATCAGACTGATTGACTATAATGTCTACTCCATCTTGACTATCACTTTCACTAGCATCCTTTTTATACAGAGATGTCGTGGAATACGAACATTCTTCGTTGATTACAAGTACATTGCTATTAGAAACGTTTTTATGCCTATTATGCTTCCTTAAAGAATTTTGACTCTTTTTTGGAAGCACGTGGTTTTGATATTCAGCGGTACTTTTACTATCTTCCGAGTCGTTTGAGTAAGTTATTTGTAAAACATCTCCATTAACTTTTTTTTCTTCTAATTGTTTCTTGGCTATTTGTCTACTAGATTTTCGTACAGGTACATACTTAAGCGATGTCTTTACAGATGATTTCATTTCACTTTTACGCCTGCGTGCCATTTTGAGTCCATGTACTCTTCTAATCTGGAATATATACGAGGAAGAAAATTGAAAGCAATTTATCCAAAAATGTAATGTTCACAATTGTGTACTTATTGAAATACAAAATATAATTATTGTATAATTATATACAATATTTACAATTATTGTATAATTATATACAATAATTATATATGCTACATACTATGTGGTTTTACATATAAAATATTACTAAGACAATATCATTTAATTGCGTTGACTATACTGTATTACTTTTTGTACAAAATAATGTTTTCATCATTTAAACAGTTTTGAAATCAAAACTGAATATATCGTTACGAAGAAACGTCGCCATTTGTCTTATTACAGTCTTTTATTTTATATAAACTCAATTTTAGTGCAATTACAAACATTTTCAAATGTAATAAATGGTAAGTTTAAAATTTTATCACTCAATTACGTTTATATAATAAATAATAAATGAAAAAAATTCATTAACGAGGTTACATGTTCCCTTTCTTTTTCTTTCTTTCATCTTTGAACGACATCGTACTCTCAAGAAATACATGTACGGCGATCGTTCAAAAACTGAATACTTGCAACAAAGATGTACACCATTTGAGTACTACAATCAAAATGGATCATTCACAGCTCTCACGAGAGTCAAAAATCTTGATTTGTAGATCGACATCAATCTATTGCTCTCTGTTCTAGCAACTAGCAACTTAAATTTCCAATGTGTTTTCTCAAGCGCTGCATGCTCTGGACGATTGTAAAAATAGTACTCGCCAAAAATTAAATAAACGTTGCACCTCATCGTCAAGGTATGAAATCCGCTCTTGCAATATCGAAATTAAACAAAATAGATCACTAGGTACTTACCATACGTTTCTAAAATTGCATATCGTGACCGAATTGCAATCATTGTTCAATATATCTTATTGGTATTTTTTTAGAAACACACATATTTTTTTTCTTTTTCTTTTACAACCATTGGACTTCCTCTGTAAGCATAAATGCGGCAGTTTTACGACAAATCATTGCATATATCGATCAAATAAATCTTCGTGACGATGATCTCGAGTGTCGTCGGGAAATGCCTGAATATTAGAGAATTATGCGCTACACGCATTGATAGATGTTTGCCAGTTAACATAGATATCTTTCCTCTGTCCTCTTTCACTTGTTTTCACTTCAAGATGCGATTATTCTCACTTCATAATCATCACCGTTGCTATAAATGAAACTATGACTGTTGCCTCGGCAAATAGTTTCAGAGTTGGTTCGTAATTTATTTAGGCAAACGTTGATTACCTAAATGAATTCATCACTATGAAGAGTAAAGGATATGTGATACTTGAATGATAAAGTGTATATCTCAGGGCATGTACGTAGTCACCACTGAATATTGCTTGTTTGTAACAATACCGACTGTACAAGATACAAGGCTGACGCTTTAGTAACTTCCACTAGGCATATTTTTCCTCTTTGAAGAAATTATATTTCCCTAGATTTATATTATATTATAATATAATATAAATATAAATTTATATTATACTAATATCAATTGGTTTTAAGACATCATTATCACTATTTCCCATCAAAATAATTGGTGAATCATATAATAATTTCCAATTTGGATTGTCATTGTTATATTTCTCATGATAAAACAATAACTTTTCAATTGAGATCTCTGCCCAAGGGGCAATGATTTGTGCATTTTGATATTTAACTATTACTTATAATAATATACTTATATTAATATTACTTATAATAATATACTTATATTAATATTACTTATAATAATATATAATAATAATAATATTAAAAAATATGCAATCGCAATTAGAAAAATTTCAGCTTCTGCTGCTTCAAATGGATTTGTATATAAGTGAACCAGAACTTTATATAAATATTCTGAAACTGGTATTAACAAAACAACAATAAAACAAATAATATAACTGTTAACATTTCAATTGTATCTAATATTTCTAAACGTTTTATAAAATATAAATAAAACAAACATATTAAATAAATATACAAATATAAATTTCAGAAATTTATATTTTCAATTCATAAAGCAAACTTCCTCTCCCAATAGCTCTTCTAAAATATCCTCTGATGAATATTCGAATGTCATCGAAACAATTTCATTAACATTAATATTAGCAATGTAATTTGCTAATTTACATTACAAAATTCTGTTACCAACTTCGTTTGTACGAATTAATAAAATTTGACCTTCGTTTCACTTCACGTTTGAATTATACGCGCGAAAATTTCATAGCAAAGATCGAGGTATGTACACGTCGAGATTTTGAATTGTATGTACAGTTACAAAAGTCACTAGCGATATTCCGTTGATTGGTCGAATCTGAGAATGGCCGTTCCTACCATTTTAAATTCGAGTTAAGGAACATTTTATCCCAGATCTATTCGAACAACAGATAACATTATTTGAATAAAATATGTCCATTAATGTTACCGTCAATGGAAATCGTTTGAATATACGTAGAGGAAGAATGGTATTATCCGACTTAGATCAAATTAAGAAAAACGAGCGTGATCGTCGACGCAGGTTACGACTGGAGCAGGTATACATACATGCTACAAGTTACATGATAGTCGAAAGACAAATTAAAAATACGCAAGTATAATAACAATGAGACCCAAAGGAACAATCTTGGTTCACTGATTGTATTGATTATCAATACAATCAAGCAGATATATCGTGTGCGTAGCTCATTCAAAATTATATTACAAAATTAAATAATTAAGAAAAAGAAACAATACTTTAATCCCTGATGTCTCTCCAGATCTCATCCATTGTATTTTTATTGTCTTAACAGACTTTTAAATGATTTTATATTTCTGCAGTGTTTTTTACAAAATTTGGGTATTGAGCAAATGTACTCTGTACATTTTGTAATGTCTTGTATCATTTTTGTCTTGAAGTGTGTTTCATAAATTTCTAATTGATGTAAGCATGAAATATTAAATGTATAACATTGTATTAAGCAACATTATAGTAACTATTTTATTGTATTGAAAGTAGATAAAGTATTAATGATAGAAAGGCCAAGAGAATCACTTAAGGAATTTGCACAGGTGCGACAACAATCAAAAGAAATATCAGATAGACTTTTAAAACGTACGAAATGCATAGCCAAAGAGGAACTTAAAAAGCTTGAGAATAATGACAAGTTGAGCCTGAAGCAGATATACAATGGAAAAATTATGGAAGTTCAACAAAAGTATCAAGAGGATATGGCAGATATTGGCCAAGCACATATATCTGCTGCATTAGAACCTGACCATGATGCACTAATAGATGAGCAACACAGAAAGAATCAATTAGCGGCACTGAAAAGAGGAAAAGAAGCAATGAAGCAAATTAAAAATACTCAGCAGGTATACCTCATTTTCATTGTGTTGTGATTTTCTTTAAATTGTGAAGAATTGTTACAAATACTTTTGTAACAATAATTAGAATAAAATTTATGAAAGATTAAAGATTGTTAGAATAAAATTTATGAAAGATTAAGTAACATCTATGTAGAAGGAAGCTGCACAACAGCAACATCAAGAAAGGCTGCATCTAGTGAGAGAAATGGAGGATCTCAGATCTACAATGATAGCAAATCTTTCCAAGAAAACAGTACCTGAAGAGGACACTATATGTATTTCTATTCAAAATGAAATTGATGAAGGTAACAAACAGCAAAAAGCTACTAAAAAGAAGACAAAGAAACGCGTTTCTAAAAAATCACCTGGAAAAGTAAAAACCAATATAAAAGTACGCTATTTTTGTACAATTGACATTGAATTCGTCAGTAAATTCATGCATATGTAAGTTGAAATTTCTTTTGTAGATTGTAGAAAATGATTTTAAAATGCGTTCTCCAGTTAAGTCTCCAGTTAAATCTCCAGGAAAGTCTAAACCAAAAACAGTGGAAGAAATTCCAGAAAATGATTCAGTTCTAGAACAACAATCCACTCCAAATTCAGTTATAGAACTATTGCCTAAACAAACTGTGCATACAACTGAATCTGAGTTCAATAGTAAAAACTCTAAGAAAGAAACGACAAGTATTCCAGCAAAAGATAAAACAACGAGGTATGTATTCAGACTCTAAGCTTCAAAAAAAATGGGACTTTTTAACAAATGTTTTTGGATGTTCAAGATATAATCCAAATGATTATGTACAAACGACCTCGGACTCTATTAACAGTGATAGCCCTAATTCATTTAGTGACGACTCGTCATATTTTTCTGATAGCAGTGAACAATATATAAATAAAGAAATAAAGACACCGAAATATATTAAATGTCCAGCTACTGATAAAGTACAATTATACGATCATAAAAAGCATCATAGTAACGTGTACGATCAACCAGCTGGCGTAGTTGAAAAAATCCATACGTGGGATGAGGTTTGTAATAAATAATAGTATCCAAATAATTTTCATTTTCATATCGAAGTTGTCTCTATAGCCAAGTGCAATGGATTTGGCTCAAGTAATTGAACGGGCACAAACTGCCGAGACACGTGTACTAGAAGATCGTCAAAAGAACGCAAAGAAACGCGGAGAGGATGCTGTATTAAGAGAGAAAGTGCGTCGGGATTATCGGACATTGATGCAGAATCTGAGTCAACTTACGAGCGACGAGCGTAAATTGAAAGCCAGTAAAGTGGAACATTACCCGGTAATTCGTTTTAATTTTCCCAATTTTATCATATATTTTTCGTTAATTATAACGCTTCTTTTACGTAGAGAGACACATACGTGCAAGAGGAACGGAGAAAAATTTTGAGGGAGCAGCACAAGACGAAGTTAAATCGTGCATTAAAAACGCTGTTAGATGATGAATCTTTAAATGTGTGCGAGGAACAACGCGCATATCCTGTAGAAAGACCAATTACCCTTGCACCAAGGGAACGCAACAAAAATATGGATGACTATGCTGATTGGGAAGGACCTTGTTGTTGCCTCAGCCAACCTACAGAACCCAGAAAAACTTCGCAAAATAAATGCGAGGAGGATGGAGCTTCGCATGAGGAAGATGGAGCTTCGCGCGAGGAACAAATATTAGATATGTTGAAAAAAGTTGAAAGACAGAAACGGCTGTTGTTACAAGAATTCGGGGCGGATTTGCCAAATGATATCTTCAATGCATCTGTAAAATCCTTGTTTGAGAGAGATAAATCCGTTCAGACTCAATTACCTGCCCAAGACGTTCAAGAGCCTTTGTCGCCAGAGATTAAAGTAATAAATGCATCTTTCGACGAGAAAAATAAAAAAGATAAGGCAAAGGAAAGAAACGACACGCCTGCGAAAAAAGTAGAAATTGCTGTGCAAACTGCGACGGAAGATAAAGTTCAAGATAAAGGTACGCAAGTGGAATTGGCACCGCGGAAGGAATCTGTTACTGACGATGTTGAAACGATCGCCAAACATTATCCAATCGAGCCAAAAATTACGATTATTAGACAAGAAGAAGATAGTAGCGAATCGAGAAGTTCTGAAACAATGAACGAAGTTACCGACGACGAAGAAAGCCCGGAGGTAACGCTTAAAAAGAAGAAATATGTCACGAAAACAAAAATGTGTCACAAATCATGTTTGACTCGTCCGTGCAAACCTTCGTCTCCCACGAAGAAATATCCGAAATTTTTCCCGAAAAAGAACGCTTGTACGGAAGATGTACCGCCTAGCAAGGAGGTTGAAACGTGCACGGATAAGAAGCCACCACCGGTTGCAGAAATTGCTATAGATGTTAGCACGCAAAGCACTCAGGTTTATTCAACGGGTACTCAAGAACAGTCAGCTACGAGCAAGCAACAATGGACTCAATCCAGGTCGAGAAGAATTCAAATAAAAGACATTTCGGATACGTCAACTTCGTTCGCTAGTCCACCACCAGTAAAACCCAAAGACATACTCGAAGCTTTGAGCAATAACCTCACTATTCTTGAACTATTGGATTCTCCAGTGAGTGAAACTATAAGGCGCCTGAGGAGAGACGTTAGTCCAGTGTCAACACCAGAAACCCCGTCGCCGCGTACCATGAGAATGCCTTCAAATATACCTGATTTGGAGAGAATTAAAAAATTGCTCAGATATTCATCCATAGATGTTCAAACGGACAATAATAATACGTCGTCGTCTACTAGAAATGATTATTCAACGTCGATAGATACGTCTCAATGTCAGCAAACTGATCACCCGTTGTCGAGAAGGAATAACGATCTACATTCGAAAGTTCCACCTTCCTTGGGATTTTGTATATGCAATAACCCAGAATGCGAACAAATGCACGCTAAATTTGATGAAATTCGTAGCTACGCGTTGAAAAATTGCCCGCAAATATTACAAAAGTACGAGGATCTCCAAACTATTTGCGCAGAGAGGATAATCTCCTTGACGAATCTTATTGAAAAAGTTCGAAATGAACAAAGAGGTATGTTAGTTTCATTAAACGAGGTTTAATTAATAATTAATTAAGGATAATTATGTGATTATCGTTTCAGGTATGGAACTGTCTATGATCGATTCACACGATGAAACCAGTTTGATGCAATTACCAGAGCCACGACTGAAAACCGCCGATCTGGAAAATGTCCACCGACTCATAGAAAACATAGAGGCAATTCACAATCAGCTTGCAAGGACGCTGATCGAATCTCAGAAGATCATCAGGAGCAAGGCAATTCCCAGAGAGGAATCTGATCAAGTTAAAGAAACAGAAATAGCAACTCCAACGATTGACGACAACGCGATTTACTCTACTGAACAGAGGATAGAAGAAGTGAAAAGAGAGAAAGCTAAGCCTAAAATTATAAATGAGGAAAAGGTGAACATTCAGTTAAGTAAATTCCGAGTAAAACCACCGGAATTTACGTCGACGCCGAAACACGATACCGACTTGACGAGATACTACGAAGAAGGATTAATAGAAAGAATATCGAAAGAAATATTGGAACAGAGCAAAGGTCTTAACAATAATTTCATTACGTCAAAGGATATTTCATCTATCAAGCATTCGATACAGACTTCAACAGACAACAACGATTTTAAAAATATTTCCAAAATAGAGATGACTGGTACAACTACGACGAGACAGCCTAATAAAGAGGTAATTTATTCTTTTACGTTAGTAATAATAGAAACTAAATAGAAATAACACTTAAATAGAATACTATACAAACATATACATATTACTAACGTGAATAGAGTCTAGTAACAAATTATAGAAAACTGGAAACGGAGAATATAAATCTTGTCATGTTTCACTAGAGATATATGAGTAATTATTTATTTGCTTTTTCAGGCAAAAAGAACTAAAGATTTTGTTCCATCGTTGACCGACGCTTCAAAAGTATCGAAAGCCGTAGATAACTCGATGCATTCCAACGGGAGGAGTAAGCCACCAGTGAGTTTGCTTAGTGGGCCGTATAGGTAAAATTTTATTTTTAATGTTTTTTAATGTTTTTGCAATTCAGTCTGACTCCAACACTTTCGAGCATAACGATCATAAATAAAATATTTGCTCCCAGGCCGGAAATTGAATCATCGGGTCACGAATTGTCGACGATAATCGAATTCGACACGCCGGACACTGTGAATAAGAGCCAAAGTAACGTTAAAAGCCCGCTGTCAGCAAGAAAAGTCGCCGAGAAATCTACCGCTATAGTGAAGCCGTCGGAACACGTTTCTCCTTCACTTAATCTACGTAACAAACAACAGTCGGAAAGATTGCGCAACTCCTCGGCCGCAAGGTCGCCGTTAAAAGAGTTAGTAAAAGAGACCTCGATATTTCTCGACTCGCCTAAAACGTCCAAAAATATAGGAGGTCAGAGTTCGACGGGAAGTAAAGAGGAGGAGGGGAAGAAGGAGGAGGCTGTTCAAGAGACGAGCGACAAAAAATTACAGTGTGACACAGACAACCGAGGATCGCCGGAGACTGAGGAACAGCAGCTTTTTCGTCCTGACGCCGACACGAGCAAGGAGTGTAAAGACAATGGTGACAAAATCACGTCCACAAGCTCGAACAGCTTCTCCGAGTTGTCAGGTGTCTCGCAGATAGCGAGTACACCGTCCTCTACCGTGTTGAAGTACGCGTCGTCCCCGGAGGAGATGGAGATTGCTCTTAAGAAACTTGGTCTAGGTTGGGCGATCACCACGCTGAAGAAGACGCGCGAGGCGAGCGCTCTGAGTTCGTCGTCGAACTCCGACGTGACGCCGATGAACACCGCCAAGAGGATATCGCCTGTTAAGAAGCAACTGGACGGCAACTACGGACTGCCGGACTTCAGCGACGTGTCCTCGATATCCATCAAAGAGGCCAGCAAAAGCACGGAGCAAGCGGTTCTCCTGAAGGGTAGAACGTCCACGCCGAAGCTGCAAGATTCGAATTCGAACAGCGAGAGGACGAACACCAGCAATACGAACGTGTCCGAGAATTTTCAAAAGCCCGACGACGGTTTGATCATTCCTAACATATCTCTCATGAAGACGAAATCCAGCATTAAAAGATTGGAAAACCCACGCTGACGCGTTTTGTAATTTATACTGGAATTTATTTTGTTACAAATAATCTGAAAATACACGAGAAATCGACGAAAATTGCATTCGCGTGCAATTGATATTTTTATATCTTGTTTTCGGTATTCTTGCGGCTTTATTTTTAGCATGTAAGCGCAAACGCAAAATTAAATAGGATTAACGTTAAGATTGAAATATTGGTGACTTAAATGGTGAGAACGAGGCGTTGATGTTATGTTTTTATTGTTTATAAGGATGGAGGGACAATACAGCATTCTGTTTAAAAAAAAAAAAAATAGTAATGTAAGATTTATTTTCTTTACCCTCTTATTTATGAATTAATTCTGCTTCAATTCGACTCTACTTCAATTTCTTTCGCGTGTTTTCATACCTCAAAATATTTAAATGATATTTTCTTCGTTACATGTTTCGTCACCGCGGATATTATTTAATTTTTCATTCTACAATTTCATTTTCTTCGTTTCTCCTTGAGAATTTTCAATTTATTATGTTTACATACAAGAAGATTTCGCAAGATAGCAACAGCGATTAGTTTCGTTGTTTAAATATTATTTTGAATTTTAATATGATTTAAATATTCGCGCCAATTTTTCGATCTGTTGAAAAGAATTTGTAAATTTTTATACACGCATTTTACGGGTCAAGTGAAGTATAGGAAGAAAGCTGAGGATTCAATTTTGATGATACAATCGCAAAAGTTTGCAAATTAATCCGTTTAATTAGTTTTTTTTGCAAATGAAAATTTGTTCAATTTATGGACACTGAAATGCTAGCGCCGCGTAGCGGTGAAACAGAGGAACTAATCGCTATTGTTGTCTTTGTTACACACTATCTCTTTCCTTGTCTATCACGATATATATGTTTGTCCTTGTCGCACAGTAGTGCGTTCCTTGTCTATGAACGGTGCTGCCATCTGAGCCAGTCTAAATTTCATTGGAACTAAAAGCTTAAATTGGAAAAATCCGATAGATGGCAACATCTGATTTGTAGACAAGGAGGACAATAGTGTGCGACAAGGACAAACATATATGTACGTGATAGACAAGGAGGGAGATAGTGTGCGACAAGGACAACAATAGCGATTAGTTCCACTTTTTCACCGCTACGCGCCGCTAGCATTCCAGTGTCTGTAGCGACCTATAGTTCCTCGAGTACGAGTTTCGAACACCAACTTGCACAAGCCGCAAGTGGCTGTGCGCCTAGCGTCGAAGTCAACCGATATTCGATGTTAAGCAAACAGAGTGCGGAACCGCTAGGATGGGTGGACCATCCTAGCGAATAGTTACAACAACAAGCGTCTGGGGTAAGGAGTCGCTGCCATCAGCCCCACTGATGAGTCTAGGCAGCGACTCTGAGACGAAACGCACAACCTTTCCTCACCTTACCCACATCATCACTTCCTACATTATCCTCGCATTATCATAGCCATTTCAACTCCTTCATGTCCATAAATCGACTAATTTTTGCGATTTTTTTATTTGTAAAAAAAAATAATTAAAAGACTGACCATGCAAGATTTTGCGGTTCTATCACTACAATTAGACATAAACTTTCTTTCTATATTCCATTCGATTTGTAAAATGCGTACGTAGAGATTTACAAATTCTATTTAATAGATCGAAAAATGGCGCGAATATTCAATTTCTTGCAAAATTCACTCAAAATTTTTACAGGGGACAAATTCAGTTGATATTTTCAGTGGAGAAATAATATATTAAAATTCATCAATTTTTGTTTGTGTTTCATATTCGTTAATGTTAATATTTCCTCGTTTTATTGCATGAACATAATTTATCAATGTTAAAATAAAAAACAAAGGAATTTGAGAAAATACTTCTTTAATTACATCATTTTATTTATACACGTATTTAAAATATTTCAAGTTTAATAAAGATCATTAATTTATGTCTTTCTAGGATGATCATAACTGCAATAGCAACAGCTCATTTTAAGAAAATGTAAAATGACAAATTCTTCAAAATGGCATATACTCATTCTCATTTCCATTTTAACATAGGAAAAATATTTGTGTATAATGCCTTTGAACGATCATCTCAGAATGTATAAAGATTATATCTTTATCTCTGTCTTCTCTCGAATGTAAAAGTATAGTTGAAATTCGTTATTGCACTCTATTAATTTCCATAAAAAGTTTTATCACTGTAATCTTTCAACATTGTATCATTGAATAGATTCTTTCATATAAAATTCATTAGCTACTTATATATGTATAATAAATACAATTAGTGCTTATATAATTTTGCTCGTGTCTATAATTATCAATTAGTATATTTTGTACGATTGTACGTTTTAAATAGAAATGTTCAAATATGTAAAAATAAAGTGGAAACGAGCAATCTTAGTTTCTTCCGTTTGTTTACTGAATGTGGTATTAACATATACAGACGAAGAAATGCTCGCGGTTCCATAGAAATTATGCCATTTTTTTTTACAACGAAGGTGCAAGTTATTACATGTAATAACTTTATTTCATAATTTTTAAGATTGATGAAGAAGAGAAACAGCAATTTTTAAATATTTTATATTTAGTTTCAATCTTGCAAATGATCCAAACAATGCAAGAGGATTTAAAAAATATTTAAGATGTGTAAATCAAATGTTCTTTTGACAATTTGTAATAATAAATTTTACGTACTTTATTTTATCACAACGAGTCCCGCGAAATTCGGTAAATTCTGGGCTAAAAACAGTGCTTCTTTTCACTTCATCGTAATTCTTTATCTTTTGTTTTTATTAATTTATGCCTATATAAATTATATATGTATATCGTACAATTATACGGAAGGTGATTATCGTTGACCTTTCTCATAAAGGTATATTTTCATAAAATTTAAACAATTTAAGCTATAAATATTCATGAAATTAAATTAACCCTCGTACGGCGGGTGCTCTGCCGACTAGCAACGTGGGCCGGCGAATGCGAGGTCCAGTTCGGATTTCTCATTCGCCGGCCGAAGGTTAAATAACGTCACTCAACTAACTCCATACGTCGCTTGAATAACGTTTTTGAGAGTCCATTTTCTTGATATAATCCGCAGCATCTAACTCCGACATTTTCCCTTTTTCCATTACAACTTTTAATAAAATGTTGTGCACATCGCGTGCCATGTTTTTCGCATCGCTAGAAAAGCAAAAATATTTCATGAATTATGATTAATCGACATGTATATATCGGATTGAACTACAAATAACTTCCAATATAAATTTTTAACAGATGTTTTCAGTATCAAAATTTCGACGTATTGCAGTAAAATTACAATTGAAGAAATTTATATTTTATTGTACGAAGAGCAAAAAATTACTACACAAATTATAAGATTATAATTAGTAAAGAATATCTTACGTAATTAATTAATATATTATTAATGTAGTTAATAGAATAAATATGAGTTTAATACTAACCCACACACGTATATATGTCCATTTTGTTCACCAATAACTCTCCATAATTCATCTTTGTTCTTTTCTAATAAATGTGTAACGTACACTTTCTGAGCCTGCTCTCTGCTAAATGCAGTGTGTAAAATTAAAGTACCACTTTTTACATACTCCTCGAGTTCTTCCTTGTAAAGGAAATCTTCATCTTTCTTTCTGCATCCAAAATACAAGATCGTCTCTCCAACTTCTTTTCCTAAAATATAAAAAATAATACACTTGTTTAATTTATTTTTGTAAAGTATGTTTAATTTGTTTTCGTAAAATTTTGTATATTAAAAAATACATTTAATTGTATTGTTTACCTTCCTTTCTGGCAAAATCACGTTCCTGTATGAATGCTCTAAATGGTGCTATACCAGTGCCCGGGCCAACCATAACGATTGGAATCGACGGTCGATTTGGCAAACGAAACTGAGATTTTCGCACGAAAATAGGAACATAACACGGTGGATTTGAAGGATGTTTCTCCTTTAACCAACTGGTTGTCACACCTTTGTTAATTCTACCTGTAGGCGTTTTATATTCCACTACAACCGCAGTAATATGAATTGATGTTGTATGCAGCTAAAAATCAATCAAATGATCGTTTTACAATCGTCTAAAACCTTGTTTGATTATAACAATTTAGTCTTATTATACGTGCACGTTATAAAGACGAATAATTTTAAACTGTAGTGTAATATTTGATTTATTTTAATATACCTTAGGGGAAGAAGAGATCGAATAGTATCGACATTGTAATCTCGGTAAAATCTCACAAAGATGATCCAAGGCTGGCTTCAAGCTAGGAATGTCTTCCAAGATATGTACAATATTTCTGTTTTCTTGAACTATCCATTGCTGATACGCGGCTTTGCCCTCCGCGCTGGTTGATGCCATCAATTTCAATTTTTCTTTGTCATTCGCATCGCTGCAGTACTCCGCCAACTCCTTGAGAATGTGCGTGCGTGGGTTACTAGTGATATCTAAGTAATGCGTCAAAGCAGTTCTATAAGAACATGGACAAGGGAATGGATGCTTCTTCGTAGATTCCTCTGTGAAACGCGTGAAACAATCCCCATTAGTGACATTGACGTGAATTTAATTAATATTAATTATATAGTTGATATCTAATTTACCATCTGTGTTTGTAAGAGTGAACACCGTGTCCAAATTTGCACCACACTTTTCTCCAATTTTATTCACTAGCTCTGCATTATTTACAGGGTACACTGCTAAATGATCACCAGCTTCGTAACGCATTTTTGACCCCTCTATATCAAATTCTATGTGTCTACACGACCTTTCTGAAGCTGAGCCGTGAAGCTCGCGATTTTCCTTTACTGGAGATAAGAAGGGATTCTTTGCATCGAATGGTCTACAAAATTAATTCGGATGAGTATCTCGAACAAACTCTAATAATAAATTTAAGAGATCGATCAAACGTACGCTCTCTGATTCTTAAACGAGTGAAGACGAGCTAATTCACCGGTGTAAATGCGGTCAGCTGGCAAATCAACGTGTTCAGTTAGCTTGTACTGCCTGATGCTAACGTCCTCGCCAGCGCCTTCAATTCCAAAGAAGTCGCAAACTGTCGGCCAAAACTTATCCTTCCACGTGATGAAATCATCTTCTATACTACAATCATATGTGTTTTACTTTTAAGAATATTATACAGAAATGCTTGATACATTAGATATTTTTTGCAAGTACTTAACACGTAGTAGTAATTTTATAAACTTACTTAGCATCATCATCTCCCAAACCGAGTTCGAAGACGCGTGTAGCACCAAGTTGTTCTAATCTGTGATCAACATATATAGCCACCTCATTGTAATGTTCGTATGTTTTGTTTCCAAGCCCAAATACCTGTAAAACAAATGAATATTTTATATACTCCATTGAGACTTATTATTATAAATTATTACAACTCTTATGTGTGAGTTATTGCATGTACCAGACATCTGCACAGTTTTTATTTGAAATAAAAAAAAAAAGAATACTAAAATATTGAGAAACTTGTTGAAAACATGTTGGTGAACAAAAGATTGTCAATAAATTTGATATAATCGTAAACATGTACTATATTGTGACATATTATTTAAATCTCAATATTTATAGAACTTAATTCTAGAAACATGAACATCGGTTAGACAAATTTCTAAATTTCGTTTCATATACCTCGAACGTTCGCGCTAAAACTAACATTGAGAAGCGCCGGTGAGTGGCGTTGTAGTGCTTGTAATGCTTTATCATCGCGTGGAAGACATTGTCGAATTTTTTTATATTCATTATCAAAAGATCTCGCGATAAATATTTGAAAATTTGAAAATTGTAAGCGTAATATATACAATTACAGCGAACAATTGTTTTCTGACGATGAAAAGCACTGTTGCGGTCGCACGTTAACTGCTATGTAACTGTGTTGTACAACCACACGTGATTGAACAAGTTGCTTATGTAATATACCATTATTATTACATTAGAGACATATTTTCAATATAAATAAAAAATTTATTTGCATCGTAAAAAAAAACAATTATATCAACATAGAAAAGATTATTATAATGTACAACGTAAGGCATGATACATGATTAATGCAAGTATTTCACTGATGTTTTAACTGAACTATATAAAACGACGCACGATGCCATCTAGCGATAAGAAGTCCAATTCGTGTGTTTTGGTTTTGAAGAAATTGCATTTTTTTTAGAATTATATTTTATATTCTACTTTTCTTATATTTCACTTTTTCTATCATTTTTAAGATTAAAATTCTACAATTCTATACAATTTCTTATATTTTTACAATTTCAAATGTACTTAACTTTCAACTTAACTTTCAACGTTTTGAAGCTGATAATATTTTACTTGTCTTATAGTTAACAGAGATTTTTATTTATACTTTAAAAATATTTTCAATATTATTGATTTTATATTAACTTTTTAAAAATTTCATTTCTGCACCAAAAGAATTTTAAAGAAATTTGTTTTCTATCAATAGTTATTTGATACAAAAATTTTCTATTTAGAATATGGAGTTTCAGACTCCTGTTTCTTTTGTTTCAACAAGTATAAATTAGAAAATATAAGCAGTACTTACAGCATAATTCAATCCATTTAAATCAGCATCTCCATTTTTTAGCCAATCAACAAATTCCATAGCGTTGTCTGTAGGATCACCTTCTCCATATGTAGCTAGACAAAACACTGCCATGCTGTTTGGAATTGTTTTCAGGTGCATTAGCTCTTCCTGTTGTAACAAATTACAGTTATTTAAGATCATGAATAAATGAATAAAATAATAAAGCATTAAAGTAATGTTAAAGATCTGGGCCAAGGGACCAGAAATTATGCAAAAGCATTAACAGTTTTCTAGATCTACAATCCAGAGGTTACAAATGGTCTACAAATTAACAGAGATCTACTGAGTTTGTAAGCGCTACTACCCTCCAAACTGGATCAGTTTATCGATGTATTGATGTACAGATTCACAAATGTAGAAAACAAAGAACACTCAATCGCTATAAAGAGATTCTTCACTATGAGCTACCCGAAACCTTGGCATACGAATTTGTTCTAATTCGCCCAAGTACCCAATCAGAGCTTATTGTCCATTATTTATGACCATTTATAGTCTCAATTCTTCATAGCTGACGTACTGTATTGGTATTGGGGTGCCAGAGGAGAATCTCTTTGATTTTTTACGATTCAGATGGACGTTGAAATTCACTTGACTTTGAAATTAATTTTCTTTCGAATTACTCAATTTATATTTATTATATGTATATATATTTTTTTTTAACTTCTAACGTTTAACGTATATCAACAAAATATCAAGCGATAATTGAATGTTAAATATCAATGAAATTAATTTAATATTTGACAGAAGAAAATCAGTACCATATCACATTCTTCGGGATCGGCCACCATGCCTTTCATCTTATACCGGATACCTTCTTTGGCCAACCTACCGGCGAATTCCTCAGCAGTTCCAGTTTGGCTACCGTAAAATACTACCAAACTTCTTCCAGAACTCTTCAACTTCTTTATGAACGAATTTTCCGACGTTTGCACCGTAGGAAACATTGTTGGTCTGTGACAACAATTTTTTTTTTTTTATGACATCGTTAAATGCATAAAACAGACGAAGGTTGAAAAAAATATAGATAAGAAGCGAGGATTTAACCGTACAAATAATTCATTTCTAGGAAGTTGAGTTTCTGAGTAACCTAACAAAGAACATTCATTTTTGTACAAAGCCTCTTTATCTCGTTTTTTGACTCTTTCTTTGAAATTCAAGTTATCGATAGCACTTATAAATAATTGCACGTATCAACATTAAAACTACCAAAGAGTAGCCAAAAGAGCAGCTAACTTGTAACGTTTTACACATTTGTAACGTCAATTTCTCATCAATTTTGTAGATTTACAACGCTACAAAAGTATCAATAAAAAGAAGTTTATATTTTTCGTTGCATTATAAACTTTTCCTTATTCTTTGATTGATCTTCAATTCGTCTAACACATTGACAGAAGTTTGATGCTTTGCTTGCCAATAGTTTTAATGTTAACAATATTATCAATGATAATAATTCATTCATATCGATAATTCATTATTACTGGATCGAATAGGATTTTGTGGCGGGTGTGTATTCTTCCTGTTTGTTTCTGCGCATCAGCCACCATAGTGCGGCCAATAAAAGGGCACTGAGGAGTACAATGTCGAGGGTGCTGAAGAGTGGTTCGTCGAGGACTTCTGTCCTATCCTCGTTCTCCAACACTGGAGAACTTGCCATTCTTATTGCTTTAGGTTGCAGTGCGCCAGCAGTCTGAAACAAACGAAAACAAGTTGCTTGTCTATTATCTCGTTTTAACTACGTATACCTGGCTTTATTAATGCCCAAGAAGATACGCAAAGTTGATGTTTGACTTATAGTTAATTTCATGCGTAATAAATTAAGTGCTAGGATCAGCATAAAGCTATTTCCTGATTAGAAAAATATGACGATAGCTTTATTATCTCAACCTTGGAGAGCCACAAAAATGTCATTAAGAAACAAAAATAAGAATGGCTGCAGTAGAACGTAAAACGTAACAAATTCATCATTCCAACTTAATGCAAAGTGAACATAATCTGCAAGTATTGTGTTCAGAACAAGATTGTAGAAAAATAAACTTTTGTTTGAATGAAGTATGTACGTTACTTTATCTGGGTAGATTATGATAAATTAGAAGAGATAATTAACGTTAAATTTAATATATGAAAAAAAGAATCTGATTGCTACTTCCTCAACTGTCTGATTTATCTGATAATTAATCAGAAGACGTACGTATGGTTTCTCGCCTTCGATGCCAACTTCTGCCCTGTTGTAATCGAGATGAGTAAGCATTTCCGGAATTTGATAATTACAATTTTAATCAGGGCATGTGGGTCATCGATTTTTCCTGGTGAGCGCGTGTAACGAAAAGTATAAAACAAATGGAATTTATTTAGACGAAGGAATTTACACAGCAATTCAAGTAGAATATTTCTTAATGTACAATCATAGTAGTGGAAAAGTGTTAGCCCGAGCATACTTGGGTAAGTGTACAAAAGGAAAGGTTGCAATGAAAAGTACAACTTTACAGTCTTATCATTGTTATAAATGGATATGAGATTGGTACGAGACTTATCATCACATTTTCCACAATCATCCATCAATTTATTAAACGCAGAGACATCCTGCACAATGTAAGCGAGCAATGAAAGAACAAAAAATATAAATAACGCAAGATTAATAATGGACAATAATAAAATAAAATGGACAATAAAACGGAAGTCAAAGTGTCTGATATCGCACGATTAAGTACACCGACACTTTACAGTTCAATTAATCGATTTGATTTTAGTTTTTTCCTTTCTTTCTTGGAGGAGATCTGTTGTCTTTCCTTTCGTTCGAGGAAACTATTCGATTATGAAATACTGCTGGTTACGCAACAGTTTCGAATGTAACGATTTAAAAACAATTACTTCCTCGGCCGTTCGCATCATTTCAGAACGTAAGGTATTCTTCATTTGGAAAAACGTTTTCCAAATAATGATAATTTCAATTAGTTGCATATAAATTCAGGCGCGGTTCAGTTAGTGCGTCAGAAATTCATTAAACCTTTGACCCGCGAGCTACACTTCGATTTTTGTTGCATCGACTGCCACCGCATCGAAGCTTTTTTCCCTCCCCCGATTAGACACACACTCGAGAAGATAACAATTTGCGTGAATTAATTTTTACAATGCTCGCTGTGGTATCTGATCGTTTCAAGTTTAACAAAAGAAAACTATCGTCTCGAAAAAAAAAAAATAGCGCAATAGCTGACTGAAAAATGAAAAACCTGAAATTATGATTCACGCACTTGTCGTACGACAATGACAGTCGTAAATGATTAGTGATTAGTGATGATTCATTGCCTGATGAAAGAAATTTTTCATATAACCGATTCAATTTTGTCAATTGCAACAGAGATAATTCTATAGTGTACTTTGAACAACCGTGTACATGCAGTTGGTTCGATTATAATTGTATATTTATATTAGTATAACATATCCTTGTAACAGACACTGCTCATTATACAGACTTTATTATGGATAATTAATTGTGACTATCTACAATTAGTTGAGCTGTGTTCATTCACATTTATACTAATCTTTTTATTTATTATTTATACATGTATGAATGACTGTATCAGAATGTTTCAGAACATACATTACACCGACTAACGCTAGAACCATAACATTATAAAACGGTCAAAACCACCAATTTATAATTCTCGTTAGAAATTTTACAAACATGAAACAATGTATTTTTAAAACTTCAATTGATTTTTCGAAAAAAATGTAAATTTTTATTCAAATTTGTTGTATTATAATGCTTCTTTTTGCTTTGTAATTGCTTGTGTAATTTATTGCATCATAAAGCTTTTCTTATTCCTTTCACTTTAATGTTTCTGATGGAAATTTTATGTTTTAATTGACACATACAACATTTTATGCTTTTACTTACTTTGGTTCTAGTATTAAGTATGATGAGAGAGTACGGTAAGAAACTAACTTCTTCTAGTCACAACGCTTACAAAAAAAAAGAATGAATGTTTTAGGCCTTTGACCAGCCTAAAATTCTCTGGAATTTCAGTAACGTTCCCAACCAAGGAATATGTATGATTGAGGGGGGGGTTAACTCAACAATAAATTAACGCTGTCACAATGTTTTTTCAATCGACACAGGATATATTATTATTGTCTGTATACGATATTCGACGTATAATATATTTCTCTTTTTAGGAAATATTTCTTTTTTTTTATATGTACAGTCTAACTCTATGTTTGAAATACTGCACGAGTAACAAGATAAAAATATTTAGTAATTTAGTAGATAATCTTATCGGTAAGTCCCAACGTAATGTCTATTATATGTATTGTACATAAAAGCCAAAATATATTGCGAAATGAATCATCATATCATTCAAGATACGCATCGTCTATGTACATAAATCGACTACCATTTCAAAAATATAGAGTACTAGAAATATTTATGACATGTCATTTCTGTATGTAAATCCATTCTTTGAAGCATACAGGAAAATCGAAAAGATTCAGTTTGTGGAAAAGATTAATGTGTGTGTACATGGATCACGTATCTGCCTCTTCGAGCTGCTATATCTATAATTGTATAGTTAGAGATACCGCGGCGTACTGGGTAACGTATATTACGTGATTCACTCGGCAGGAATAACAAAATAGTTCAGATATTTTTCCATTTTGTCGGTTTAAATATTTATTAAAATATAAAAACTACAGTAAATAAATCAGTTGGCAAACAAGCTAGTAAATTTTAAAAATAAGAAGAATAATCTACTTCAACTAGATTATCTTATTTATTGTAAATTGTGAAATATTGTTGGAGATTTATTTTATCTGTATCGCTGTTCAGAGGAGATACACAATAGTATTGTACAAGATACAGTAAATAAAAGATAAAGTAAAAAAAAAAAAAATGTTTATTGTTGGTGAAAGAACTTTCTTATCTTTATCAAAAGGATTGTTACTGTATAAAATTTACCTTGCTAAAAGAAACGTTTAATTTCCTTAATTTTATTGAGACTCAAAATATTAGTCAGTCGACATTAAAAATAGGCCAATAAGATAACATAAGCAAAGGTACTTTATTTGTAGTTGAAAACAGTATTAAATATTTATGCGTAGAAATTTTTGATAATTATATGTTACGCATATAAATTCAAATGCATTCAAATTTACAAATGTATTCCAGGATTGATAATACAAAAAAAGAAAAAAAATTAGTAATTCCCTTCAAAGTTTAAAGTTGCAATTAAATCAATAAATTATCGTATATTAAAGCACGTCAACTTTTATAATATAAAAACTTAAGAAACTAAAAACTATATGTGAAAACTTGTTACATATAAAGGACATGCGTCACAACACATGTCGCTTGCAATTCTATACTTCTTGCAAACTGACTGTACTGTTCAAGAAAATTTTACCATATCACTGCACACATCAATAAACATATTATGTTCAATGAATAGCGAGATAATAGATGTCACGTATGACGTATTACTTAATAAAAGGATGACTCTAAGACTCTAGCTACGTAAGTGTTATGTAATACCAATATATTATAAATCTACCACACATCGTTGTTACATAACAGAAATACTTGCATATTATTTGTAAACACAAATCCGACAAAGGTGAAAGTGCTGTGAAATTCACCTAACTGCAAGGCGAAAAAGTCTCGTTTCTATCATTTTTTCTGACATAGAATTCAAAAATTTCTGTACAAACGTAGAACGGCTCTTAAATTTTTATTTCAAGCGAATAAATACACTACTAAAAGACTGCTGAAAAGAATAATCTAAATGGGCGACATCTGGTACCCTTTTTTGTAATCATTCATTTATCCCATAAAAATCTCATAAATACAACCATATAAATAATATTTTATCAATTACATAAATAGTGCTAATTATGCTTAGTTGCATTTATGAGACTTTTATGTACTAATATAATATAATTAATATAATTTCTATATAATAATTATAATCATAATCATTATAAGTAGTGTTACATAATTACAATTACTACAAGTACTAATGTACAATGAGATGTTTATATACTAATATAGTACTATGTACATGTTTATGTACTAATATAGTACTATGTACATGTTTATGTACTGATATAGTATTATGTACTGATATAGTACTATGTACTAATATAGTACATAATTACAATTACTACAAGTACTAATGTACTTATGAGATGTTTATGTACTAATATAGTATTATGTGTTTCTATGTAATTATAATTATAATTAGTATAAGTAGTGTTATGTAACTATAATTACCATAACTACTAATATAATACCAAATAACATGTAATTAACATACTATTAACATATTTATAAGTAATAAAATTATAAATATTACTAAGTAATATACACTAATTGTAAGTAAACTTTCTCTGTACTTTGTTCAAGTGCTTTTCACCCTATTTCCTGAAACAAATGAACTGCAAAAAAGAAAAAAGAAAAGAAATATTGCCTCAAGGAAATACGTGGTAGCTACAGGCAAATAGGGGAGAGTAGAACGTTTCGAACGCTGGCGCTTTCGATCAAACGGTCAAAAACCTGTGAATCCTATGCTCACCGGTAGATCCATAGTTCGAGAGGAACGGTGCGATGTCTCGTGCGTCGACGAAGTGAGCAGGTATAATTCAATTAAAACGACCGATCACTCGCAGCCCGTTTCAGAAGGATACAACATGCCCGTGCGAGAACGTGCGCCGAACTGCCAGCGCGAGTCCCCGCTACATTACGCCCAGACGATGCAACACGTCCATTCGTTTCACCGTACAAGCAAAACGAAAAATCAGCAAGTCATTGCCGATCGAGCTTGTATCTGCACGGTGCGCGTCTGTGTACAGAGCGTTCCACAGGATTGAGACCAGAATTTTATCGTTGATCTCGTTTCGTTTCGTCTCGTACCCGCGACTGTAAACACTGCGGAGGGGAGGAGTGCCGGAAATCCACGGTTTTCCGAGGACAAAAGACTCGAAACAAATTACTCAACCGATTTTCGTCCAACAGAATTTTAACAAATTATCATACGTAATTATTGCTTCCACTGATAATTCTTGACTTTTAATAGATTGGGGAGATCATTACAATATTTCTAGGTTAAACTAGTTATACGTATAGAGATAAGAGGAAAAAAAAAGATAAAAAGAACACGTACATCCATACTTTGTACACTCTTTTAATTTTACTAATATAAGCAGCAGTTCTCTCAGTTATATTCGAACACCTTGTATAATGGCCTATTTGCCAGCGAAAAACTAGTTGCGAGTGAAATGACATTTTAAAAGAGGTATCTGTGCACGTAACATTCGCATATTACGTGGAATTGGTTATGTACTTACAACGTTACATATACTTTGGTGACTTGTAACTCGTGCAACCGATTGTTGCCATATCATTTATCGTAATTGTGAGGATTATGTGTTGAGTTTTCTAACGCGAGGTTGTGCTTTCGATCCATTTACGAAAACGCTTACGTAATACTCGTGAAGATTTTGTCGATAAGACAGTTCGCACAATGTCTCTTTCTTTTTTTCTCTCTCGTGCCAATTCGACGAGGGTTTTCTTTTCAATGTTCCCTCCCCCGCCTTATTTTTTTCAACACGTTCACCACCCTTCAAAGCTCACTCACAAAGTTTTCATCATAGAATGATAATTTCATTTGAAGACACAGGAAATTAAATTTATTGCCTTTAAATTTCTCACACAAGTGCGTAAGAATCTGCAGTGGGGTAAATAGGACATTGGGTTTTTGATTTTTGAAAACAGAGATCTCAGCCGGGCGAGGGACACTTCATACAATTGTAAAATTTGATGAACGTCACGCACTTTCGACAATGAGAAAATCATCCTTGTGAAGGAACAACGTGAGTTGACGAAGACACAAAAATAAATAATATTAATTTATTTATAATATTATTATAAATAATATACGTATGTAAATCGGTACAAATCACTTTTGTGCAGCATTTTAGAAGGCCGCGGTGTTTCATCACAAGTATAAATAGGAAGCTGGAATTATATTTCCGATAACGCGACGCACGTACATTCAATCGAACTTGTCTATCAATTTACCCCGTCAATCATTTGTCGTTTGTATGACACAGAACAAAGAATCTCACAATGAAAAAATTAGTAGAAACAGAAGCTTTTTATTTTATAAACAGTGTGAATATACTACAAACTACAAACTACAGGCAAATGCTAACAAAAATCGTCGTATCGAACGGCCTAATCTAAATGGAGAAACAAAAGGAATTCATACACAGTCATCGATTCAGCGGTGATGATATCACTGAATACGCAAATGTGAATACTTGGATAATCGATTTGTTAAAAGTGAAAGAAAGAAGAAAAAAAAAAAAAAGTAGAAAGCTGAGGTGCCAGTGTTCCGGGAAAGCGTTAACGCGGTAAAAAATCGACGAACGATATGCCGGAGAAAGTGAAAGGTAAAATGAAAAAAAAGTAAGTCGCCCGTGCCGAAGAAACTTCACTGTATGTGTTTGTACGTTATCGGGTTTCATTGCGTACGTCATATGACAGTGATTGCAAATGAATCGAGCTTTATCGATACTGGTGATTTCGTAAATCAGTAACATGTGGCGATAGGATCACGTGATGGATCAATATTGTCGAATTCATTAATCCTTCCTGTGCAGTACTTAGTATTTAGTTGCTCATGGTCGCTGATGTTCTCTCACAAAAATAACGATTCGTTCTTTCACAGATTTTCAATATATTCCTCTCAGCTGTACTGAAATATATCTTCTATAATATATAATCTATTATAATGTAATCTTCTATAATATATAATAATACATAATATATAAATATATCTTCTGAAATATATTTGTTAGAAGTTAAAGCATTCAATAAAAGAAAGATCTAAGAGAAAGATTTTAACGAAATAGTATAGAGAAGTACGAATTCGAAGTAAAAATTCTTAATCAGCGTTTTCACACCCGATGTCATATATAGCAGATGTTACGAAACATTTTGAGTCCTGATCTACATAAATTAATAATTTTAATGATAGTAATTTTGATGATAATTTTATTTAAATAACGCTATTTGCATCGATGCGTATAGACATTTAATTTGCTTTTAATTATTTTGAAATTTACTGTTACCACTTGTAACTAAATAAATGTCAATCTGCCATTTTCATATATGATTCAAACATTTTTATATATTGTTCAATTTAATAGCAAATAAAATTGTAATATGAACCTCGGCGATTGCAGCCAAGTAAGATTAAAGAAAATGTTACATTAGCATTGATAATTAAAAAATATAACACACCCATGTACAAAATAACACACAGAAATATCTATGATATATGTACGTACGTGTTCAAAAAAATACAGAGATGACAGTGATTTATTAAAGATTGAGTTTTACTTTATGAAGATACATGTACATTTGTATAAGAACTATGTTATACTTTTAATTAAATTAATATTATATTTGTATTAACAGTATATCATACTTTTAATTAATTACATAACATATTTTTAAATCATTATACTTATACTTTAAAAAAGGAAAACAACAAAAAAAAAACTATACCGATAAAACTACCGTTATCACATTCCAGAAACTTTTTTTTCTCTTCTCCACGATTTCTCTCGATCGATGATCTCCCGCACACTTAGCCTACTGCATACATACATACATACATACATACATACATACATATATATATATAGTAAATACCACCTGTTGAAACGCAGTTCGACACTTACCTGAGAAATTGCCTCCGAACGAGTGAGATTTTAATTGAGAATTTTTTCCGTCTGCAGTCTCCCCAAGAAAATCTCGTTCTGGTACCAAATCAAAGAAGACACGCAATGACCACGTGACAACACTGTTTTGTCAATTCCGTTTTCTGGTCCTGTACGTTGCACTCGCTCAAAAACAATCCGGTATCCACACTGGACTCACCACCGATCATATGTACGAGGAATGTATATGCGTGTATAGGCGCCCCGACATTGAACACATGAAACGACGTTTTTCTGTCTAATTGTATCGTCGAACTCTGTCTGGCGAACCTGTCAGTGCAGAACAGTTTCTTTTTCCGGTCACGGCGAAGTATCCGAGTTAATCCAAGCCCGACGAGGACAGAGAAGCACGAACGAGAAAGAAAAAATGTTGGATGAATCCACTTGAGAATGTGACGTAGTCGGAAGATTATTTTACGCGCGGGGAATTCAAACGATACTACGAAGGGCAAGTCTATTTCTTGATTTCTCCTTCTTTTCTCCTTTTCGTTAAAAAAGAAAAACGATAGTAGAATGATTTTGACAACAATGAACATATAAAAGACACTGACTGAATAAACTTACATCGTTATGTCAAAGATTAAAAAAGGAACGCGCTTTATTTAAATCAAATTCTTATTGTTAGTATAGTTAATACGTCCATTATTTAATTATTCAGCAAATCTCTGAAAAATATTGTTCACGTTGAACAATTGACACACGTGTTTCTTCTTTTTCTTGTTTTGAGCCTTTCCTTCTGACCATCCAAAGCTGAAATAAATATGTATTTCATAATATTGAATCAAATGAACAAGAATCATATGTACAAAGAAGCTTAATGTTCGAATCAAAGAGCACATATTGTACAAGATATTTGTGTTCATTCTATAGTTACAGTCTAACGATGCTACGCACTTATCAAATTCGAGCCAATGTTAATTAATTCCGGTTTCACATTCTGCAGTTCATGGAGAATCATGGAACTGAAAGACAACACGGCCGCCCTTGTGAATAGTTCCGACACACCATTTCCGGTTCTAGAGGAAACAGCCCAAAATTCAGCTTTCATTTTCCTCGCTACTTCTGCTGCTCGTTTCTCCATTATTTTATATATCTGACTAGACTAGAAACATATTTTCTTCTTTTATATTTTATTTATAGCTATCAAAGAAAATAAAACACAACGCAAGCAATATTGCGAATTTAGTTCTTCTTATTTTCAATATGTATTCTCGTATATGTCAGCAAATTTTTCGTGATTTACCAATAAATCTCGCTTTGTTCCTATTAAAAATATGTAATACGGTTCCGTGTTGCTTTGAGCTGCTTCGTTTAACCATTGTTGACAGTGTCCCAGGGATGTCAAGTTAGTCAAATCAAAAACAACCATGATCACTGAAATAAAACGTATTGATATGAGACAAAAATTTGATAAAGCTTAATGTACATTTGTAACGAAGTTTTCTTTCATACCGTTTGCACTTCTATAATAAGATGCAGCTATCGATTTAAATCTTTCTTGTCCTGCAGTATCCCATCTGAAATAAACAAAATAAACAATAGATCTTCATTCTTCATTCTTGATTCAAACGTCTTGCACTAGCATATAAATTGGTTAAACTGACATTTGAAAATGAAATGGTACGCCGAGAATATCAAATCTTTCCACTTCAAAGTCCACGCCAATCGTTGCCTTGTAATTGTTGTCAAATATTTTATGGCAAAATCTGAAAAACAAACAAATTACGTGTATATTGCATAACTTAAAGTAAAGAAGAATTTATGATATCAATAAATTGTATAATGAATAAATTGTTATGTTATTATGACAATTTTCCATATTATAATTTTTATTAATATAATATAATAATAATAACAATATAAATAATAAATATAATAATAATATAAATAATATAATTTTATTATTATAATTTTACTCTATCTATAACAGATATAGTTACCGATTTACTAGACTCGATTTTCCAACTGAAACATCGCCGATCACTATTGCCTTCGCGATTTTTAAAGTTACGCGTTTCGTTTTGCACGAATGTCTGACAAGTGACTGAAAGTCTCTCTCGCGATATTCTGTCATATCGGACGAGTACGGTGACGGCCAATTTTCAATCTGGAAAAAAGTCTCCATTTTATTACACTAGTCCGATACATTTAATTTGATTCTTGCACGTTTTCTATATCTTGTATTATTGTTTCGCGTACTGCAAATAACAAATATCAGACTAACTTCCGAAAAATCTACGTTTTTTTCTATCGCGTCTCGAAGAAGAATCGATGAAATCGTTAAATCGAATTTCGAGTTCACGATTTGACTTCTACCGGATATCCGTTCAATTTTAAATATTCGAACTGAGATACGAAAAAAATGCTCTCAAAAAATACAGTCGTACAGTTTTGAATTCATTATTTTTTCTAAAAATGTACCAAAAGTTGTACAAAGTTGTATATTTACTAAAAGTTACGTATATTAGCGCGTATAAGAAGGACAATTTTCAAATCATACCTGTCTATCATTTCGTGCCACTTCTATCATTTTATAAATGGCTGAACGTGTTTCTAACATTGTTCTGCACACTGTATTCAACAACTCTTCTGTTTCAATGAAGTTTCAGTGAATTTTGTATTCACGGTGTATGTTTGCAGGTTATCCAATTGGATTTTATTCGATTTTATCGAATATTCTTATAACAATGTTTCAAAAAATATCCAGAATATGTATTTGGAGACTTTATTTTTGATACCTGTGTTACTATTTAAACAATAACTATTTTTGTATTTAAATTTAATGTATATGTTTGTATTTAAATTTAACTATGTCTGGAAATATATACGTCGTAAACTGCTTCTCTATCGCCAACATAGTGTGTAAGTAAATAATTTTAAACTGAACCAAAACATTGGTTGCTACGGCAGATGTAACTCACCCATCTGCCCCATCTCAAATCAATTATATGTTATTTTGATGATCAATTATATGTTATAATTATAATTGAAATAAAGTCTTTTTTGTGAATTGTAAACACATGTTAAAAATTTATACAAAACGAAAGGTTCGTATGCATTTCCCAAAATTTTTTGAATTGAATTAAATATCGCAATATTGGAATATTTTTTAATTTGCATAAATTGCTAAATATTAACAGATTAATGTGACAATCAATAATCAGAGTTTTATAAGCAGAGTTTTATACGATAAATATGAAGTTGTTACTGTGCAATATTGAATTTGTACGTAAATGTTTCACGTAGTTCGCTGATTCGTCGCGTGTCGATTTCCGGCGTAGGTTGTATCTCTTTTTGAGTAAAATGGCACCTAAGCCGAAACCTACAGACAAAACAGGTACATTCAGAATTTATTTATAACAGCTAAACCGTGTCTGAGAAACTTGAGAAACGTTTCCTGGATCTGTAGTGGGAACGATTAGTAAGAATTTGCAAAAATCAGTAACGCGAAATTTACGTTTAATTAACAAGCGCTGTTCAGTTTCAACTTTCGCCATGTGGTTTGTTGTCTATCCTGTTTAGGAAAAAAACTATCAATAATTATATTATCTTCCTGTATTTCTGGAATATTTACTCACTTTGGCAAAGAAAGCATCAAATGCATTAAATTTTTTCTCCTTTGTAGTATTAGATCTTGGAGCTGATTGTTACGTTTGATAACATTGTAATAGCTAACTCTTTCTTTAACTACTTTAGCTTGTTAACTGGAAAAGATAAAGATAAAAATAAACGATCAGTATAATTAAACTACCTGTATCTTATATTAATTAATTAAACATCCACAACACGTTGTCAAAGTATTGTTGTGAATAATTTCTAGGTTATGTGAAACATATGAAATCATTGTTGAAAATGACCTTGTTAAATAGTTTCCTTTAAATTGTTTGAACAGAAGCTGGCAAGTCAACCAGTTCGACAAAGCCTGCAGCAAAACCAGCAGCAAAAGCTGTGCCCAAGGTTGCTGCAAAGGCTACAGCCAAAGTAGCTGCGAAACCCACAGCTGCAAAATCTAAAAAGACAGCAAAACCCACACCCAAAGTCGCTGCGAAGCCCGCGCCTAAAGTTGCTGCAAAACCTGTAGTTCCAAAGTCGAAAAAAACTATTCAACCTGTGAAAAAGGCGCCCAAAGGTAGAAGACCGGCTGCTCCGCTTCAAAAGGCACTTAAAGCTCAGAAAAAGGTTAATGAAATTCTACTTCTGATAAACAAGTTTGATCAACATTAAACTTGGAAAATTATATGAACATGATGATCTATAGGGAATCTCATTGAATGATAATGAAAAGAATTTATTTTGTTGCTGATATATAAAATTGTATAAAATAAGTAACATTTTTAGTTGATCATGTAAATAATATAATGCATTTATTTGTAGATATTGAAAGGTGTTCATGGATCTAGAGTGAGGAAGATAAGGACATCTGTCCACTTCTATCGGCCGAAAACATTCAAGCCACCAAGAAATCCCAAATATGCTAGAAAATCTGTTCCAAATAGGAACCGGTATGCATTAAATATTTCTTTATATTAGTTTTATCTACTTATCTATTCTACTTCATAGAAAATTAGTTTTAAAATGATTTTTTTTTTTTATTTAGTATGGATGAATACAATATCATCAAGTATCCATTGACCACAGAAGCTGCTATGAAAAAAATTGAGGACAACAATACATTAGTGTTTATTGTACATACTCGTGCTAATAAATACCACGTCAAAGCCTCTATTAAGAAACTCTATGACGTCGAGGTGGCTAAAGTGAATGCTTTAATTAGGCCGGATGGTAAAAAGAAAGCGTATGTACGTTTAACCCGCGATTATGATGCCCTTGATGTTGCTAATAAGATTGGTATAATATAAATGTATCTAATTGCTGTGGAAGAAAAAATATACTTGTATTAATAAAATATATTAATACAAAAAATCTTGTATTTCTTTCAAAATTTTACATCATATCTTAGGACAAATTTTACATTATTTTAGACGCAGCTTACATATCAGGAAAGTAAAAATATTGCTATATGTAGTTCATATACAGTAGTAGATACAAAAGGAGATAGAAATATTTTGAAATTAGTCAGGTACTGTTTTTTTTTTAAATAATTTTAGAATAATTTCCATTACAAATTCATAGATTCATGACAATGCATAAGTACATGTAATTAGTAATTAATTTAAAAAGTCGGAGCATTTTTCATTATTATGTCAAGTTATTTGTATCTTGTAACAACACGTTTGACTAACTTCATTAAAAATCTTAATTATTTACGTTTTAAATCATAATTACAAACCCAATCTGCCTGGGGTTTTGCGGTAAGGGGCAGGTGTCCCTGGTTCTCTGATACCTGGCGTCAATATTTCTTTCCTATAAGTAACATACAATAATGATAATAATAATAAGTAACATACAATAATGATAATAATAATAAGTATATATAAATTAAGTTGTGGTAACTTAAATATTATATACTATAATAATTACTAAATAAAATATTATATACTATAATATTACTATATCACAAATTTGGGGTACAAGAAACTTACTTCCTGATTGAAGCTTGTTCACGTTCAAGTTGTTCTTGGGCTCGAGCTTTCATTTCTTCTTCAGCTTCTTTCATCTGCCCTTCCATTTCGTGTAAATGTTGCATAGCTTGTCGCCTTTTTGCTCGTCCGCTTCGTCCAGTTTCTTTTACGCTGAAGAACATAGGACCTAATTCCGCCAGCCAGTGACCATCAACGGCAGTCACACACTGCATGTATTCTTTGGCAGTCATTACAAGTTCATGATACACCACATAATCTGGCGTAAACCCCATACCGAATAACGCCGACGTCGGATGAAGATGGCAAGGCATTCCAGTACGACAATTCACGTATTCGCCGATACCTTTTAAACGAGCTGCTTGGTGGAAGTACGCCGAACAGATACACTTCCGTACAATATCCCAATCGGTGCCGCAGCTTACAACTTCCATCTTCTGTTGTTTTAGAATCTCTTCAAGCTGTTGTCGAACTTCTCTTACCTTTCGCATTGCTTTCGCGTGGATGAAATGATCGTTACACCAAGAACTTGAATAACCATTCGCCTTCCACTGATTGTACACATTTAGGTACGTTAGATGATCAGACTCTGGTACTTGGAACTTCTCTCTGGCTGAGTCAGAATCTTCTTCGCGACCCTTTGGTCGATAGAATATCGAAGGCACCGACAACATGGAAACTGAAAGATATTGCAATTTATGAATTTATTTATGAAAAATGAAATTGTTTGCATGAACCAAAATTAATGTGAAACATTTCTTAAGAGGGACGAAATATATCATTAATTATAAAATATATTCAATTCTATATATATATATTACCTATGATAAGTATATCCGCAGTACAACCAAGTTGAGAAGCGACAATGAGCATCTGACACTGTGGTGGATCCAATGGAAATTCAGCCATTTGTCGTCCCAAAGGAGTTAAACGTCCTGTATGATCTAACGCGCCCAAAATCCACAACTGATACAGTGAATTTAATATATTATCCTGCGGCGGAGGATCCATGAAGTGAAAGGCTAATAAATCTTGAACGCCCAACGACTTCAGTAATAGCACAGTATTCGCTAGATTGGTTCGTTGTATTTCTGGAACTCCAGTTAACAGTAATTCATCCAAATACTGCCTTCGTGTGTACAATCTGAAGCAAGTACCAGGACCAGTACGTCCTGCTCTTCCCGCTCTTTGATCAGCATTGGCTCTGGATACTGGATACACTTGTAAAGCATCCATACCGATCCGTGGGTTATAAACTTTCAATTTACAGTAACCGGAGTCCACAACAAACACAATTCCGTCAACAGTTAACGACGTTTCAGCTATGTTCGTTGCTACAACGCATTTCCGTAAACCACCCTCCGAACGTTGGAAAATTTTGGCCTGCAAGTCCGAAGGTAGTTGCGAGTAAATCGGTAAAATGGAAAGCGGAGGAGCTGATTCAATTTCCGCTAAGCGTTCTTTCAAAGCCTCGCAAGTAACTTCGATGTCCTCTTGACCAGGCATGAAGACTAATACGTCGCCTGAACGGGGTTGCAAGTGGATTTGTAACACTTGTTTTACTGCAGCGTCGACGTAGTCGTCCACTGGATTCTTAGCGTGTAACACTTCAACTGGAAACGTGCGGCCTGGAATTTGGAATGTCGCTGCATTTCCAAAAAATGCTGAGAATTTGCTGGAGTCCATCGTGGCAGACGTTACAATTAACTTGAGATCGTGTCGTCTTGCTACAACCTGTATATTTTCAACGCAAAAGAAATATAAATAACTACGAGATGTAAATAAATTTTTAGCTAATTACGTTATACAATGATCCACGAAATTATCTGAAGATAATTACAGATACTTTTGCGAGCCACCAAATTGTAAATTAAAATTAACTTTACACTTTTACCTCTCTCAGTAGACCAAATAAAACGTCAGTAGATAAAGATCTTTCATGAGCTTCGTCCATAATAATTACGCTGTATCGATCCAAATCTCCTTCCCTTAAACTTTCTCTTAATAAAATACCGTCAGTCATGTATTTAATAACAGTCTGCAAAAAAAGAAAGTAAAATTATCTTTAAACGTCTATTTGTACTTATATTGTAAATTACTTCGTAAGACATTTTATTAAAACCGTAGATGATAAACAACAAGAATAAAAAAAAGATATATGATACATACATCTTTTGAAGTGCAATCCTCAAAACGAATAGCATAACCAACTTTATCTCCTAAAGTAGTAGCCATTTCGTCGGAAACTCTTTTCGCTACAGACATAGCTGCCACACGTCTAGGTTGCGTACATCCGATTATGCCGTAGCGACTATAACCATCTTCATGAAGGTATTGCGTTAACTGTGTAGTCTTTCCACTTCCAGTTTCTCCAACAATAACTACTACGCTGTTTTCTCTGATCACATTTAACAACTCTTGTCGTACAGCAAACACTGGAAGACTTCTTCTCTGATGTTGAATAGACCTGTACTTAGCTTCTCCGGTAACTTCGTCTCGTATGTGGCGTGCATATTTTTGACCGGCTTTAAAATCAGTCTCTTGCCCTGGATCTTCTTTGTCGTCTTTGTTTCTATCGCGTACACCCATGATATTGCCAATATGAGTTCCAGCTAGTTCCCAATGCTTTTTTTGCGCTCTTTTCCGTTCTTTTTGTTCACGGTATGCTCGTACCAAAGCCGATCCTTTCCTTGCCACAAGTGCCATATCGGAAGTAGGATCGCGAACAGGCACCACAGGCTCCGGTTGTTTGGTGAATACAATCCGACCTAATTATTTTTATTGTCATTATAAAAGTCCGTTATGTTTTTATATTAAATATCGAACGTAGTGAGAATACTTTACCATCCAAGAACGGTGGTACAACATTATGAACCAAGAGGTGCACTCTGGTTTCCCCTTCGTCATCAGGATCATCATCGTGATCTAAAGAACTTACGACACCCGACGTTAACATTCTGTTACGTTCCCACAACTCGTTATCTTTATTTATCTGTCGCTGTTGCGCAGAAAGACGCTTCTGCCTCTTCGCCTCCAATTCCATTTCTTTTTTACGCGTGTATTCTTCAGAGACATCGCCGAACGCGCGATTTTCTCCGTCGTCCAAAGCGTACCATTCTCTATCCAATCTAGAAGCAAATACTATCTCTCAGAAACTATATAAAGTATGAGCTTACAACAGACAATATGACTGATACCTTTGTTGTTCTTCTTCCCATAACTCTTTTTCTTCTCCGTCTATACTAGGTGTAGCGCCGCTGGCTTTTCGATCTCTATTCCACGAGTTATATTTGTACGATGGCGTAAATTCACTTCTAATACTGTCTCGGCCATCTCTGGTGTTGTAAAGATTGGGCGTTGGATGATCCCAACTGGATTTTCTTGGTTCTTCATCTTCATCGTCGTCCCAGTTACTTTTAGATGTTGAATCCTACATCACGCAATAGAATAATAGATTTTCAAGAAAATATAAATTACATCAACATAAGCATCTATAGTCTAATAGTGATTCATGACAAAGTATATGGAATATTTTATTGTAAGACACAGAGTTATATATTTACCTTTGTTTTAAATACCGGAGTCTGAGGTTCATCCTTGAACCTTAAGGGTGTTTGTCTAATACTGTCTCTGCTTCTACTCCTTTCTCTTTCTCTATCCCTGTTCTTGCATTTGTCCCTGTCCCTATCTTGATCCCTATCCCTGTTCCTATCTTTGTCCTTGTAATTGTGCCTGTGATGTTTGTCTTGCGCACTTAGTCTTTGATGCTTTAACCGTGCTTCCAATCTCCGTTGCGCCTCGGTGTTCACGCCGCCGGTATGAGTTGGAGTTTCCTCCGCATAAGATCTATACTTCCTTTCCTTAACTTCTGAGCTCGACAAACTCGACTCAGATCTGGATGAGTTGCTTTCTTGCGAGTTCTCTTGCCTCTTTCGTTTCGCAAGCTTGTCGAGACCCAACACAGATACCTGGGGCTTCTTGAACGTGTGATCAGAGGGTTTCTTCCGGATAATCAAACCTGCTGCCTGATTTTTCTCAGTTCCCTCTAACCTATACAAACTCGAGTCACTCGGCGCATCCATCTTTTTTGTTCCAAGTAATATTCACTTAAAGTTTACATAACATTTAATAGTACACGCCATATTAATTTTGTAAGTGATATAACAATTTTAAGTGATATAACACTGTGTTATACCAGTACATATATTGTAATTATAATATACATGGTCGTATATAACAAATTGGTTTGATAGCTTCTAAACGATTAAGTCGAAAATATTGAACAATTCATAGAGCGTTGAAAGACCTGGAAATTATTTTTTATCTAAGTATCTGTACTTGTGCCCACATTACTTGATCACTTTATTATTTAACGTATTTGATTTTTATTTTATTTAACGTATTTGGTTTTATATTTTATGTATATATATATATATATATATACACATTTAGGGTTCGTTCAAAAGTTTCAATAGGGAATTATATGTTTGCATGTAGCGACAATAGATTCCTATTGGTCAGAAGTTGCTAGTGGATTACAATTTTTATCGACGATTTATAGTATTTTACGATAAAAAATTTTTATTGTAAAACCTAAAGTGTTCGATTGTTATGGGTGTCAGGTCAACTTTATATATTTATGCATATATATTTAGGGTTCGTTCAAAAGTTTCAATAGGGAATTATGTGTTTGCATGTAGCGACAATAAATAGATTCCAGCTATTGAGCAGAAGTTGCTAGTGAATTACGATTTTTATCGATGATTTTTAGTATTTTACAATTTTTTATTGTAAAACCTAACACGTTCGATTGTCACGTTGATGAGATCAACTTTCAGCTAGTTTTTTTCAGTTTTATGTTTCAAGATTATGACCGCAACTCTGTTCTCTCTAGGCTTCGATCATGTGGTTTTATTTACGTTCTCTGACTCGATTCATCGGTACAGTGTGTTACCAACCAGCAGTATCAACCATCTGTTATCCATGATGTCTGTTTTCTAACTTTATTTCATTTTCTCTGTAAATATGTAAAAAAAGGCACAACAGTATCGTGACAGTAGTTAGAGGTAACTGAGAAACATTCTTGCTCAAAAGCAATGCTGAGAACATTGTACGAAACGACACAGAAACCTGCGTGAATTACGTCGGAGATTTAAACACTGCTAAATTTAAATTTAAATGTCGTCTGTTTGTTGAGAAAAGTATAGTGTATTTAGATCAACGCCGCCGTACGTACGAATTAACAATGATAGAGTCGTCGGCATGGAGCTCGAAAAAGGATGAGACCATATCCAAAGCAGCGGGTTCAATACATCTGCGAAAATACGGGCAGTTCTTCGAGAACCTAGCCAAACAGACATGGAAGAAAGACTCTATGCTGGAGTATTTTATGGAGGGGCCGCTTCGGCTCGTCTACAAGCCTGTCGAAGATATCAGCTTGATAAATCTAATAGAAATGGAAAACAAGTACTTGTCGAAGTTACTGGCGGCTGTCGCTGGTACTTGCCGAGAAATCAGACTGCTCGCGATGGAAGCGAAAACGTTCTATAAGAAGCTGTTCGTTCACGGTGAGAGAGGAGCTGAGAACAATCAAACTAACGTCACATCTCTTTTATCTGATCTGCAAGATCTGTTTGTTTTTGTAAACAGGGTATGGACAGTAGCACACTTGACGACAGAACAGCTATCTAGTCTGGCTGGTGATTCTAATGATATCTATTTGCCTGTGTTGATAGAGCACTTTATCGACTTGTTCGTGATCGTTCTAACATTAGACGAAATCATAGAGTCCCAACCATCGCTGTTGGAACAATGGAAGAAGTACAGAATGAACGTGCGCTCTATCATGCACAATCCATCACAGTTCGGCTTAAGTGAATCAAAACTTCATACGTTCAACAAGTTGCTGAAAGATCTGCAGGAGAACTTGCTAAAGAAGGTTCTGTTTGCCAAAACGATTGAACGCGTGATGGATGTAAATAAAGGATCCGTAATGAGCGAGCAGATTATTAATTACTTGAAACATTTAATGGTGGACATAGAGAATAAGCCGAACGATTATGTCTCGCTGAATAAAAATTGGATCAAAATAAACGTTGGCATTGTTGTGACGACAAAGTTATTTGGCACTTGCGACAGAAGGTTGATCAGAAGGGTGCTCGAAAATAATAAAAAGTTCTATGCTGTAAATTTGATTGGAAACGTTATATGGATTCCGAGTAAATTTTTGAGTGATTTTTTGCCGAAAGAAGCTGGCAATGCTGTCAGTCAGCAAATAGGAGAGAAGATATTATGCTTAAGAATACAGAAACTTTCTCAGACTGTCAACAACTTAATTCACAAGGCGGTGACATGGTGCATTGAAATGCAAAGTATCCTGATGAAAACAAGTCTCCAGATTTCGGACATTGGGCAGAAACAGACTTTGCTGATCGATCTAGTTGCTTTGTTGTCACAGATCAAAGAAATTGTGTCTTTTATAATAAATATGCATGCAATTCTTATTAAACCAATGAATCGTATCACTGTTCAATTAATTTGCAGATTGATAGAAGTACAAAAGTCTCTGCAAACTACATTTTACATACTGGGACCAGTTATAGTGCAATCGCAATGTCAAGTATTACAATATTTGAGTTATTACATTTTAATTATATTAGAAACTGCTCGAAAGAGTTTAATTCAGAAGGATAAAGGTTACAGCAAAGAAAAACTGGATGCATTGTCGCTAGTTGGTTTAAGCATGAAATTATTAAACGGACCACCAAGTGCGGATAGAAGATTAATAATCAGATGTGCTCTAGCCTGTGCTAGTCAATTAACAGATACTTTTAAGGAAGAGGATATGGTGAAATTGAGATTTTCATTAAACAATTATGATACTGTCGCTGAATTGCATAGTATTATCACGGATACTTGTGATTATTCTATATTACTGTATCATCAGAACATAATCCCAGCCTATTTCTCTTCTGTAATAGACAGTAATTTAAGTATAAATCACATAGTTCATTTATTTAATGCATTTAACAGTACTATTAGCGAACAAGAGGGATTAAATTTGAAACAGAAAAGGATTACGCAGTTAAGAGAAATGTTAACGAAAAATATATTGGAACCTGTTTGTCACGAGATTGAAACTAATCTGAGGCTTCACGTTCATGCACATTTAAAATTAGATTCCACAAATCCGTTTAACATCGGGGCAAAAGATGGTGGAAGAATAGTACGAGCATTACCTCTACCTTTAGCGAACAGTATGATATACGCTAAAAGATTCATTGAACATTACCTCGATGACATGTTTTACAATCTCACTACGGTGGCACTACATGATTGGAGAACGTACAGAATGATGCATGCCTTGGCACATTACAAGTTAAACCTCGACACTGTACAAAATCATTTGCCAACGCAAACCTTGGAACAAGGCCTGGACGCATTGGAAATTATGAGGAATATTCACGTATTTGTTTCGAAATACCTATACAATTTAAATACTCAAACCTTCATTGAACATACTAGCAATAACAAACATCTAAATACCATTGGTATTCGACATATAGCGAATTCCATTAGAACCCATGGAACTGGTATTATGAGTACAACAGTCAATTTCGTGTATCAATTTCTTCGTATAAAATTGCACACGTTCTCACAGTTTCTTTTCGATGAGCACATAAAATCGAGATTAATGCGGGACATAAGATTCATCAAAGCTCAACGGGAAAATGGGACGACGCCATACACGTACGAAAGAGCAGAAAAATTTCAAAAAGGAATCAGGAAACTGGGCATGACACCCGATGGCCTGAGTTATCTAGATCAGTTCCGGCAATTGATAACCCAGATTGGAAATGCGCTGGGATATGTACGATTGATTAGATCCGGTGGATTGCACGCTAGTTCAAACGCCATTTCATTTCTACCGAACATCGATTCGTCCGTACCATTTGAACTAATGTGTAAAAACTTGAATTATAGCGCGACCACTCAAGCGGCTGCAAAGTGTTTGGAAAATGACATTGCAAATTTAGTACGAAATTTCACAGAAGGGATACAATATTTCAAGCTCCTTGTCGACGTGTTCGCGTCTGCTTTTCGAGACACTGCATCATCACATCATCTGCAACAATTTTATGCCATTGTACCTCCATTAACGTTAAGCTTTGTGGATAATTCTATATCGAATAAAGAGAAAATGTTCAAGAAAAATCAAACGGGTGCAGCTTTTACTGACGATGGTTTCGCAATGGGGATCGCTTATATAAATGCTCTTTTAGATCAGTCGTCGGAATTGGACAGTTTACATTGGTTCAAAACAGTTGAGCAGCACATAAGCGCTGAGCAGCGGTCTGCAGAGAGTAAAAATGTTCAGGGTGATGAAAAGTTGCAACAAACAAGGGCATTAACATTGAAACGCTTAGGCGAAAGGAGTGCCGAATTTCAATTGCTCTACTATAGTTTATCTGGCGCTAGAGTGTTTTTTAAACAGTCTGATACGTAACATACCGTAACGGGTGGTACTGGAAATTCCGTAAACTGTGTTGTTGAATTAATTAATTAAAAATGTGATTGTTGAATATTTTTGTTTCATATTTTTCATTCCTAATGTATAGAAAATGTCAAATTGTATATTATACGATACTATTGTGCTTTATAAAAAACAGCTTTAAAACACTTTATATGCTATAAATTTATTTTATTTTCATAATCCTTTTGTAACTTGTATCATATGCGCGATGAATATTCACGAAGCAATCAATTTGCACAGAAACGTTGTAAAACTTTGTTTATTTACAACATTCTACAAATAAAAGATGTGTAAATTCATTCTGAACATTTTTTGGAATGCGGTACACATTTCTTATTTGTTAAAGTGTTTTAAATGAATAAAGTTCTGCAACATTTTTGTCAAAATTGACTGTCGTACTTTTTTACATCCACTGTATATTACAATAATGAGAAAATAAAAATATAGGATAACGTGTCAAATGAGTTTGAACTTATTAAAGAGACACTAAAAATGACATCATTTATTTTTATATATTAAAGTCCAATATTTTTAGCTTTATTCTCATGCCTGTAGCATATACTGTATTTAATTACACTTATCTATATATAAAAGTCTTGTACACCAACTGATATATATATATATATATATATATATATATATATATATATATATATATATATATATATATATATATATATATAAATATGTATACATATATGTAGGTGTAATACAATCCTCAATATTTATTACTGAATGAGTAACGTGGCTAGACGAACAGACTAGAATTCATTACACTTACAATTGTAAATAGATAGAAGTTTCTCAAAAATTAATGTAAAATGTATCATTACTACTGCGTGTAGCAATATATAAAAAAAAAAGCTATTTTTATATTAGCAAAAATGTCACATGAAAATCAAATTAAAAATCACAAATTCGCCAATGCTCAATTTTACTTTTAATGTTTATATTAACGTTGGATAAAAATTTTTTTACTATTATTCATTTGATACCTACAAATATCATTTATTCTATATTTTAACAACGTTCTCCAATAACAAATATTTTGTTTCAAATAAATATAAACTATAAAAAAATTTTTGTAGAAAGAACAATTATAGACTCCTTAAATCATTATCAACGATTAATTATAAATAATAATATACATTAAATAATATCAACCATTTATAAATATAAAGTTTGTAAAGCTTCACAATGTCATGATAAAAGAAACTTTTAACAACATTTGAGAGATTCTTATTTTAGTAGTATGACTCTTGTAATTATTGTATTGTTACTATCTAAAATGTGTACTTATTTCCAGTACATTATTAAAATACGAAATTTTCTGTAATCTGGAATCTTCTTTTTAAGTAACATCTATAGCTATTTCTATATTTTATCTTTTGATCTTTCTGTTCTTCTTGAATTAAACTGTCATTCAAGCAACTTAATATGAACTGTACGGAATACGAGTCTTGCTAATTGTTTTCTAACTTAAATAATCTGTATTGATAAAACTATTCTCATCCTAAATCTTTTTTGTAGTTTGTCATTCAATTGTTAATATTAATACAGATATGCTTCTTTTTCACTTTTGGACTGGATAAATTGCTGCAAGTACCAATTACTGAAAAACTGTCTTTTTTGACAGGATCAGGGAAGTGTTATAATTTCTAAGACTGAAATCTAGATGATTCCTCTGGGTCCAATAAATCATCACAGGAAGCTGTTGGGGGTAATAATTGTCTACCGCCGCGTTTTTTACTACGTGTAAATACTTTAGTAAGTTGCGCAAACTTACGTCGAGATACTGAAATGTAATCAAAATAACGAAGGTAAAGTACAAAATGAAAAATTTTAAACAACAGTTAAAATATCATATGATTAAAATACATTACAGAAATTGATATACCTTTGCCCATATTTTTTAATCTTTCTTTAAAAAGATCTTCATCGTCGTGACCAATTTGACTGCTACATTTTTCAAGACTTGTCCCTTGAATTTTTGTATCTGTAATAAAATATAATAGCTGGAGCTCTACATCGTTAGTACCATGCAAATTATAATTACAAACCATTTTCTAAAGTTGACAGAAAATCTTCATTCCAACGTAGTTCGGCCATAAACTCTTCATTTTGAAGAAATATAGCAATTCTTTCATCTTCCAACATGGAATTTTCTTGCAAGCACGAAGCATCTAAACTATCTTCAGAAATTTGCTGGGGAAGTCGGAGGAATGTATCTGGCAATGGTCCTAATAAAGCAGGCTGCCATTTACGTATACTTTTCGATGATATCGTCGAGTCTGTTTTCTGCGACTTAGAGGTACTTGGTGACTTCTCATTCTGTTCTAATTCGCTTCTAATTTTTTCATTTTCGTTATCTGTACTCATAGTAAGTAACTGATCGATTGTTGTGTCTACAGCTCCTTGATTAGATCTTAATACAGCCTGAAAAATGAAAATCGGTAGCAAAACTCTTAAGATAAATCGCATGTGCAAATCTTTAAAGTATTTAAGATCTTTTAATCATCTAGTGGTACAGAAATCTTTTAACACAACTTCTCCAATGTGCAACTTCAAGCAAAATCATAAAATCAAGACTCTTCGGTTACATAATGTAATCTGATATGTTTATCAAATGACTTTACCTCGATCACATCATCGTCCATTTGTGGAAACATGTTTTTGAAATCAGCCATTGCCTGGTAAAATTCTAAGGTTGTCTGCTGTTGTTGTTGTTGTTGTTGTTGTTGCTGTTCCATAGCAGAGGCCATTATGTGGTAGCAGTAAGGCTGTTAATCTAAGTTGAATTAGCCGCAATTAGAGTTGCTTCGACAAACGATTTCGCAATGTGATGTCATTTAATTGTACCTTGACAATTCGACAAGTTTAAAATGTTTCAGAAACATGAATACAGAAATTGTCATTCATAACAGGTAATATTGGCTCCTGATTGTTACTTGTCTCGAAAAATTGGCTACATTTCATCGTAGTCTTCGCACCGCGATTAGTTCCGTACAGCTCAGTTACGCGAAATACCCACGCACATAATTGAAAATTCCGATCGGACGATAATGTCTCATTAGATACAAGAAAGATGAGCAACTGTCAAAATTCGACGAGACCTTCCTCACGAAAAGTGAACCTATTCGGGATTTGCGGAACCATAGAACTCAGATTCATCTAGTGCTTTGTACTTGATTTTTATTGGTCAAATTCTGGACAATTTATTAGAGAAATTTTTCACTTAATTCCAACTCAAAATATTTGATATTAATTATCGTTGAAATAACGTGCAATAAACATAATTGATTACGCAGAAATGGAAAAACGAAAAAAAAAAAGAAAAGAAAACAAACTATTACTAATTTACTATGCAAAATAAAGAAATGCTAACCTTTTGCATTTCAGGTTAGGTTGGTCGAATTCTTAGATAAATGACTAAACTTCAATATGAGCAGACTGATATATTTACATGCGGAAATTTTGAAGTTTGACGATATTTTTGTTTTAAAATGAAAAGATTATATTCTAGATTATATTGATCTAGTATATTTTCTGCCGAGTTTTTCTAAAAAAATTTATTATGCTTATTAAGTCGATTATTTTCTGTTGTATAAAATCAATCAGCTAAAAGAACGAAAATTACTTCAGTCACACATATTTTTGATTAGTCAAAAGATTATTTATGACAAAATAATTGTTTCACTGTTGTCCCATTTTATTCAGGAAATAATCGTTATGTAAACTGTCGAATATGAAAACATCGTGAAACATTATTAACAGGAAAGAGAAACGTAGAAGTTTGTTACCTTGTGTTCGAGATACGAGCAACAAAATGAATTGCAATTCGTTCGATGTGGATAATTTAATTAAGCATTTCTTTTGTTGCACGCCAATAAATACAGTAGATATACTTGTACTTATGTTCTACAATTAATCTACAAATTAAAAAAAATTCACATTTAAAAAAAAAATTAACATTCAAATTTCAAAACTTTCAGATTTCAGAAAAAAATATTAATTGTCTAGTTAATCTGGAAAAGCAACAGGAGATCCTAGACAGAACGGTAAATAGCGGTTTGATTAGGAAGTATCCGATTAAACAGTCTTATCAGAGAGCATTTTTAAAATGGCTTATGAAGAAGGTACAAGCAAATATCCAATATCCATGAGACAAATTTATTTATAAAATGAAAACTTAATTTTCTACAATATAGATTGAAGACGAAGGTGGTGAAATCTGTGATGATATTTATAGAACGTATTGTAATTTAATATCTTCCACTATAGAAGAGTCAGTTCACTATAGACATTTCTTAATGGAGAATAATTGCATCAGTATAAAAGAGAGTACAAATATTATATCGAAAGGTACAACAGGATTATGTAGTTGGCAGGTAGTTCAGAAATTATTATTGTACAATATAAATTTTTAAATTTTCCACTTCTGGTATTGTTTATGATTTACAGGGGTCTATCGAGTTAAGTAAATGGTGCTTAGAAAATAAGCATGAATTTTGTGGTAAAGTTGTTTTAGAGCTTGGTTGCGGTGTTGGATTAACAGGATTATCCGTTATCAAAATGTGTTCTCCAAGACAATATATATTCACAGATTGTCACGAAATTGTTCTTAAAATGGTTTCTGAAAATGTTATGCTTAATTTATTGCATAATGAAAAGAAAATAGAATCAGAATTAAAGCATGATATGTTGAAATTGCAATTGAAGTACAATTGTACAGATGTTAAGGTAATAGAATTAAGATGGGAAGATATTGATAATTACGTGAACGAAAAATGGATTATACCAGATATAATTATCGGGGCTGATATTTTATACGACGTCAATTCATTTTCTATATTGATATTAGGATTAAAAAAATTTTTATCGTTCGTTAATAGATATGCAATTATTGCAGTAACAGTTCGCAATGAAAACACTGTTTCACAATTTCTATATCAATTAGGTATATCTTTTAATTGTTAAATATTATATTTTTTAACGATATATATTAAAAATTAATATTCTTTTTTTTTAGGACATTATGATCTTTCTTTTGAGGAATATGATATATTACAGCAAATGACGCATAAAAAATTAACAAATGCACCTATTAAAATATTAAAAATTTTTCAGAAAAGATGTTAATAGATACATCATTGACAATAAGAAGTGTTTTAAAATGATTTTTTCAGATTCTAAAGTCAATTCACTGAAAATTTGTTATATAGGGAAACTTTACTTAATATTTGTTTTATATATTCACATTTCTATAAATATAGATTTATATTTATTATAAATGTATTTAAATAGCATTTTACCAATAAGAAAAATGTATATAGTGATAAATATAATTGCAATTAATTCTTACAACTTTTCTGCGATATAATTTAATTATTGAAACTATCTCTTAAAAACCTCACATTATCAATAAATATTATTAAAGACATAATTTTATAGTGTGAAATGGTTTTCAAATCGTTAAGAGCAAAAACAACGTGTATCTTTATCGATCTTTAGTAGGCTTCATTTATGTTAAATTGTATTAATAAATTATACTTTTTATTGATATTATTACATATCATATTCGTTATATATTATCATATATCTTGAATAATATATATCATATAATATATAACAATATATTAATTCGCCAGCAAATTTAAAAAATTTTTTAATTAAACTAATAAAACAGTCAATTTTTTTATTACAGTAATAAAACAGTTGATGCAAAAGATTCGTGTTATATTTTCTTTCTTTGCATTATTTCATAAATATTCAGGTTTAGTAAAAAGTTAGTTTTCAGTAATCAAATGTCAATTACTTTGGTCAAGCCTCGCAGGTTTCAAATGTAACCTTTGAATTACATATTCAGGCATGCAATACGTTGGATTGATCTTTTTTAGAGGATAGTCAGTATTTAAGAGTGAGAGTGCAGTTAAGCCAAAAAGAGTATGAAAAGGATCAGCAATATCTCCTGGACGATCACTGAATCCACCTGATTCTGTATCTTGACATGCTAGTACAAATTTTACCTGTAAATTAATATTACAATAAAATTTGCTTTGTCTAGTTTTAATGAATATGTATCACATAGTACTAATAGTAAGATTGTTTTCACAGGATCTTTTGGTTATTGAAATTAGATGTATCAAAGATATTATAAATATAATTAATTATTTAATTAGAGATTACTTTAATTTTTTTCAAGAAATATGTACCAATTGTTCCTTATTAACCCAATGAAGGCGTCCCAAAATGGTTAGTGCAGAAAGGACCCACCAAGAATAACAAACATCAGGTAGTTTTTCTGGTCTACCATTTAAACCTCCAGATGGAAGCTGTCTTTCACAAAGCCACCAACTTAATTGATCTGCATCTACTAAGTGAAGATTACCTGTCAAAATTCAATGTTATTTAATTAAAAAAAAAGATAAAGAATTGTGAATTCTTTTTTATTTTATTACATAGAGAACAATTAGAAATAAAATGAAAATTACCAGTTATTGATAAAAGCCCTATAGAACAGTAAATCATACCAGCATGACTTTCAGCTCCAGGTTTTGATCCAAAGCCACCATCAAAGTTCATGCACTTCATTACGAATTCAACTGCCTTGTCCACATCTATCACATCCAATCGATTCTACAATAATATATTATTTAATGTTACATTAGTTCATTATCATAAACACTATAAGCATTATAAATACTGAAATGCTGATTTGATACATTAGTATAGTATTTTATATAAATTTAATATGTTCGATAGTATGTTTATTTACCAAAAGTGATAAAGTTGCTACAGCACAGAAGGAAAATCTCATATCGACTTCACCCCATATATCACCTGTGAAACTTCCATCTGGTTGTTGTCTTTCTTTCACATATTTCACAACTTTTTCTATATCTATGGTATCCAATGCATTATAAATGCAAAGTATTTGTACTGCACTCAAAGTGTAAAGAATATGTGGATCATGTTGCAAACTTGCAGCTATACCGCCACTTTCTGTTTGACATTGAGCAATAAATTCTAATACCTCGTTACGATTTGTCTGTTCAAGTTTACCCATAAGATCCAATGCTGTCAAACCCCAATACATTCCAGACATTCTCATATGCTCTGTCATACAATACATCTGAAATTTATTAAAATCTCCATTAATTGTACAGCAAATTCAATTTAATTGTGTTCAAATGTATGTTATATTATTTAAAGTACAAAAGTTTGTCTGCATTGATTGTGAGTAAAAGATAATTTAATGTAAAGTAAGTATTGTGATACTTACATATTCATCTTTATCAGTACCGTAAGACAGTAAAAAGTTTGCATGTTTTTCCAATAGCAATTCAGGAACTGAAGCTGGAAGTTCGATGTCATGTTTTAACACTGGCTAAAGTGCAAATTGAAAAGTTTTATTAAAAAATATTATTTTTTACACATTATTCTAAACTTTTATCCAAAACTTATTCTATAGGAATTATACAAAATTAAAATAATTTTATTTGATTTATGAAATAATGCTGAAGAAAAAAAGAAATTGTTTTTAACCTATAATGAATAATTTGTATTAAACTGTATCTTCACTCACCATGTTATAAAGTTAGTTTAAAAAAAGCAAGCAGATTACTGTTTTTCTAACTTTCATTCATCTAAATAGATTTATAAAAACTTTTTACACTTGTTACGCCTTTGATAAAAATATTCAAATATACACCTCATACTTCGTTCATCTAACCTCAAAACTGAAAAATTTTACTAGACTGATAGATCTTAGTGACAAAAAGAAAAAGGCGCGAATTTTTAAAAAATCATTTTCAAAAGAGAAAGGCGTCAAGTTTTCATAAGCAATTTTAGTTTAAAAATTTGTTTATTTTCGAATAGGTATGAAATAATTTTTTCATTTAAAACAGACAATTTATTTAACTTTTAAGTAAAGTTTAGTTTATCATTATAAGATTATTTTGTATTCAATAATTTGAATAGTTTTTGTAGAAAAACGACATTGGTTTAACATTTCAATTATTTTTTTTCTTTCGCCACATTCATTACATTCAGGAACTCCAAAGTTCACTAAAACAAAGAAAAAAATGTCAAATTTTATAAATATCATTGTACGATAAATTGATTTTGGTGTAATATAACAAAAAATAATCTGAAGTTAAATTGAATTTATTTAAATAATTTGATCATAATTTAAAGATTCAACAACTTTTTGTAGGTTTATTCTGCTTTATTTTACCTAAATTAATATTCAGCTAGATATGGATTCCTCTTCGTCATCATCAACAGTAGAATTCGTACTTCTGATGTCCTCGTTACTCTGTTGGTCTTGATCATCTTGTTCATCTTCATTCTCTTCAATGGACATTTCTTCCCAATTTTCATTTGATTCACTTTCTAAATCTTCGTCTTCAATTCCGCCCTCTTCGTCTGATGAATCTGTTCGTATTTAGTGATTTTAGTTTTAAGTAATATATTTAAAAATATTATTTCAATAAAGTTTTCCATTACCCGTATCTTGGTAAACAAGACAGTTCTCAGTGAGATCTTTGTCATGTTCTTCCATTGTCTGAGAAATTTGACCAGTAATGAGAGAGACTCGGCCTTTAAGTTTTGAGAGTTCTGTTAAGAGAGTTAGCTTGGTATCTATTAAACTTAAAATTGGCCCGAATAACTCTACAAGATCTGGTTGTGATAATAAATGTCCAGCATGAGCCGTTAACAATGCCTCTAACCATCGCACAGCGATTTTACTCCTATAATATGAAATCAGGCGTGATTTTTGTTTCTATAAGTTAACGGATTAAATATAATAAAAAAAAGTTAACATTTGAAAATCTTACGTGTATGTTTTACCCTGAAGTAGAATGGTAAGTTCTTTAACAAGAGGTCCAATTGCTTGTATTGGTAGCTTAGCAATAGTATTTCTAATAATCGACTCATCTTTTGCGAGGAAAATATTACTCAAAATAGTTTTATCTTTACTATTTAAGCCTTGTATTAAAAGTTGTGCCCTATTGCTACCTGCGTTAGTGATTTTCCCTGTTGGATTGCTCTCGGCACTTAAGCTTAAATTTTCCAATCTGTCTTTTAATAATAATTGCGACCCAACACTGCTTCTACTTCTTTTTTGCGTGGTTTCAATTATTCCTATAAAAAACAAATCAATTTATAAGAGGATATAAATATTTTTTGTCAATCTTCGTCAAGTTCAAAATATAACTGATTCTAATAATAGAGTTATTTGGATTTACATTCATGTAGCTATTTTTATTTTTACAATATATAAAATGTTCGACGTTACATATAAATGCTATAATACGTTCTATAATTACTATAATACATTCACTGTTCAAGCCTTGGGCGTTTTATAATTTGCCATATATAAATATGATTTTTTCAATTATATAATAGGTTTATTTCATAATATTTGTTAGATAAAATTCATTCAATATTGATCCTATACGTATATAAAAATCTTCGTGTGCACCAGATATGGTGCAGTGAATATGTTAAATACAAAAAATAAATACCTGGTCTAAGATATTCAACGTTATCTTCAATTATAGTAGATTTTACTTTCGAAACCTCTTCCTTTTTATCTTTACTTCTTTTAAATTCTGAACGTACTAAGTACTGTACTTTATCAGAAAAATCTGGTGTCACTTTTTCAAATATAGGATTAATATATATTCCGTATGCTAACAATAATTTTTGATCTTCCGTCAATTTCCCACTTATGATAGAAATTTGCTCAACACTATCTTTCTGACTGATATCAGAAACTACTGCGATATTTAAACTTGGTTTTAAAGGTTTTGATCGACCATTCGGTTGGTACTGAAATAAATGTGCTTGGCCAGACCTGGTTACTACCAATACTGTCGCATTAGAATTTTCAGAAACATGTACGGAAACACTTATTGGATCATCTTGTAGCGCTAAACTTGTCACAGGAGTTCTTTCACTTCTTTGCTGAAAAAATATATTTTTTTTAAATTAGTAAATGTAATTATATATTTTATTAAAATTGAATTGAAAATTTGAAGAAAACAAATGATACTTTTTATAACTAATGATAAAACTAATTTGGAAAATCTATATAAAATCGTATTTGAAATCCATTATCAGAAATTTTCAAAATCCAAATAGATTTGTAATAATTTCGAAAATCGAATTTTTTTTGGTTTGATCGACTAATGGGAATAAGAAGTTAAAAAAAAAATCTTACTTCATCTAATGCCCAAACACAGAGGTAACCATCACCATAAGCACCACTAATAACATAATTGTTACCAGACATCATTTTAATAGTATTGAGACATGTCACTTGATTAGCATGGCCTGTGAATGTTCTTATTAACTGCTTAGTATCTACATCCCACCATTTAATAACTCTTTCTCCTGATAACAAACTCTTTTCATCTGGTGACACAGCCAATGATAGAGTTTTTGCTTTGCCTGATTTCCATTTACATTTGACTCCATTCTCTTGAAGATTCCATTGAATAATATGATGATCATCTGATGCAGAGAATAACCCAGCATTTTTAGACCAAGTCACTGCAGTAACAGTGCCGGAATGACCATTCAATTGTGCAGTAACTGAGGAAGTTGTTGTATCATAAAGTGTAACTTTCCCATTTGTCGAACCCATAGCAACAATGCCTTTTGGGCTGGATTCTTCTGAGATTGACTTCTTTCTGCGTTTTTTCCATGGTGAAGGCTAAAAGTAATAAAAAAAAATTCAGTTTCCCAGACTTAATAATTATTTGAATTGCTATTACAAACTATTACACATATTTTATTTGACAAATAAAACTATAATATAATCAATGTCAAACAATTTTCATTAATTTCATTTCATTTTCACATTGCTTATTAGTATTTAATAATTTATTAACTGGATCTTATAATTTTAGGTCAATTGAAAAAGAAGTGGTTTAACACATTTCGAATTCTTCAGTCTAAATTGGAGAAATTTCAAAATTAAAACGACAAACACTACGCAATCTGTAATTACAAAATAATTTTACAAAAACATCTCACGCCATTTCTTAAATGAAGCTGCACTGAAATAAAAATAATTCGTGTATTAAACATTAGTTATTACAAATAATTGCATTTATTTGTTACATAAAAGATTTATAATTACAGTCGTAACTTTATGTAAAAGATTCTAAAAGCGATTTATTTGAGATTTTACATAAGAAAACCTTTATAAATATTCCACGTACACAATACATAAGAAAACATTACGTACTGATAACAGATATCATTATACATAAATACTCTTAAAAAGAAAACATTCATGAAATAGAAGATACTGATAATTCAAAATACTTCCGCGGAATTATAATTTTGATGCTTACTTTGACATAATATATATATAAAATTTATAAAAAAAATTACGATAGCGCGTAAAAAATATAACCTCTAAATGCAACTGCGAAGTACGAGTAATTAACGATTGTAAATATCTACGACTCGTCACGCGACTTGGAAGATAATTCGAGTTGGAGAACGGTTTTATTTCGTCGCGATGTATGCAAAACAAGCCCGCAATAGAGCGAGGAAATGTAAAACTCGTTCGAACATTCATGCAAAGTAGAGGAGCACATGGTTTACCGATGTGTTTGTTGCTCGCGAACTGACGTAGAGCCAAGCCAAAGCGCAGCACGGCGACGACAGATGAAGATTTGAAACATATTCTTGTTTTAAATGGCCGGTGACAGCATCCCAAATCCTCAACTTTCCATCATTTCCACAATGTGCGAAATATTCATCGTCAGGAGAAAAAGCGTAATTAGCGGTAGTCGCCATGTTTGAACTATTACTGTCCGGAGTGAAGTGAAGCCACGGGATCAACTCAACTATCTTCTTTCTGTGTAGCTAACTTCAGCTCATACGTGAGAAATCACCCCTTTAGTTCTTTAATTTTGCAATACGTTTATCTTTCGTGTGTAAACAATCAATTACACGTATTTGCATTATAATATATTCTTTTGGATAAAATATCATTATACTTTTCAATTTGAAAAGTTACTATTAGACAGATAATTGCCATGAATGTAAGTTAATATATTTAAATATATTTAAGCATAGTCGAAAAAGCAAATAATAATCTATATTTTACTGCAATTCCATATATTATTGCGTATACATATACGTACACTATATTTCGTTTTAAAATGTGTATAAATTCTCCTTGAAGGTAATGTGATAATACTGTTCATCTAAATTCATTATAAATTACATTTGTACTAAATTTTTTTGCAGCAAACAATGTCGCAAAGAGAATTACTGCTAACGAAATTAATATAAAAAAATTAGATAAATTTCGATACAGTCCTCTGTTGGAGGTGTTTAATTGATTTTACAACTTGTAAAAGTTTGAAAGAAATTAAATATTTGCGCCAGTTGTTCGTTCCATTTAACAGAATTTGTAAATCTGTATACATGCATTTTACACTTTTTTTAAATGAAATGTAAAGAACAAAGGTCTAATTTGACAACGCAATTGCAATAGTTACATGAATTAATCCTTTTGATTTGTTTTTTTTCCAAATAAAAAATTGTCAATTTATGGACGATGAAATGCTAGCGCCGCGTAGTGGTAAAATGATAGAACTAATCATACACGCGCGCGCGCGCGCGCGCGTATGGTGTGTGTGTGTGTGTGCCTTGTCTAATCAACAAAGCGCATATATCTGTCTCTCTCTCTATTGAGTAGAAATTTCAAATTTTTATGCATTTTACAGATCAAATGAAACATAGAAAGAAAGCTGGATTTTTAATAGCGTTTTTAATAATTAAATAATTCTTGGAATTATACTCTCAGCTTCTTTTCTATATTCGCTTTAACTTTTGAAATACACATGCAAAAGTTTAGAAATTCTTACAACATATTAATTATAACTTTGTGACAAAGATAGTTACATTGAAGTGAGAAATCAATTTGATCAATTGATTAATTTGATTGACAGTTCAAAATTAAGTTGCAACAGCAGCTGTCACTTCAGAAGTTTACATTTATATTTACACAATTCTTTGGAAAATTTCAGTACTTCTAATATTTTTCTTGTCTCATTATTAAATGTAAACACTATGTTTCGTAGAATACACAAGAAGGAGAATAAAATAGAACGTATTGAAAGATAAAGGAAGAGATATTTATTACAAAATTATGAATATTATAAAAATAAATGCAGGAGATACAAGTGTAACAAGAGAGCAATTAATAAATGATATTCATGTCAAATTCGTCTTTGTGGTAAATGAGAATATCTTTGAATAACATATTAGGCCCATTGTAGTTGAGACCATCGAGGGGTTTATCTAATGGGAAACCAAATGGTCTGTTGTCGAATTTGTAGTTACCCCATATTCTGGACATGTATTGGTATTCCGAGGAAACTGGGCTGATATACAAGAACAATTGTAATGGCATCCCTTCCTTCTTACCCCTTGGTAATAACAGTCTTTCTGGGAATCCGAAGAGTCTTTCATTGTAATTGAATGGTTTGTCACCATAGAGAGACTCCATGAGCTTGCTGTAGAATATTTCACTTGGTTCCTGATCTGGTATCGTGAAGAAACAGTCCTGACTGTTGCGTGAAATTTTATTCAGGCCAGCATTCACTGTAGAAAATTTACACAGAATTACATATATACATACATACATACATACACACATACAGAAAATATACAGAATTACATGTTAAACGTAGATATACCTAAATATTAATTGTAACACGAATATGAAAAATTCTAGCAACTATAATTACTGCTCAGAAATAAGAAGGCAAAACTGAATGAACTTACAGTCGAGGATCCAGTTGTCAATTTCGTAGAAATATTTAAGATTTTCTGGTAGTTCGTACAGTCTGTGGTGTGAGTCGTATTTCGGTCCAAGGAATATTCTGATAGCTGCCTTCATTGGTTTATCAGAATTGATGGTAATGTGGAAATTGAATGGTTTGTGATTCAGACGATACTGTCTGACTTTAACTAGTGACATTTTGTCGTTTTCATTTATAAATAGGCCATTGTTTATTGTTATGTCAAATTGGTCAAAGTATGTAATGAGCTTATCAATGGAGAAAGACTCGATCTTCAGATTGGGGTAGATGAGTTCATCTCTGGAGTATGGTGCCTGACGCATTTTGTACCTAGAAACACACGTTTCGAAATTGACTAAAATTCTTTATTTCAATAAAAATAAAATTAATTAATGTAAGAATACAAATATAAGTAGATAAGTATTGAAATAAGTAATACCTGTAGTAAAGATCCATTATTCTCTTATACAGACGGTAGAAGGCTGGATCTCTCATAGAAGTAAGGAAAATTTCTAACACACTGGGAAAGATTCTGTACTTGCCTGATGGTTCCAGATTATAACCCAGGATTTTTCTACCAAGGCTATCAATACTACCGTAAAATTTACGGTTGTAGGAATCAGCGTTCCCTTCAATTATGTTTCCAAGAATGTTCAAGCCTTCCTCGTTGTAAACGTTATACCACTTGCTACCGTTACCAAATACATAACCAGCATCAATCGCAGCCGTCAGTCTCGATTCTCTGTCTATGATATCCTATAACGAGTGAAATTATATTAATTCAGGTATTAGTCTTAGCTTTCGTTCTTACTTTATAATCGGGATTATGATTCAGATTTAACTTATAAGAAAATTGATGAAAGTGTTTTAAGCTGTTCTCTTACTTTGACGTATTTGTATTTGTAGACAGGGAAGTTGCTCCACTCCGGCCTCTGAGGGAACGGCATTCCATTTTTATGAATTATGGTGGGATAGTAACCGGCATAGAATGATTTCTGCCAGTCGAAATCCTCCAGTTTTGGCAAGTCGTTCGCGAGTCTCTCCAGATAGTATCTGTTCATCAGTTGTTGGTGCCCGTACAAATATTCAGCTCCGCGGAGCGAATCACTCAAACCAAATTCGGAAGAGGGCATCCAGAATGGGTACGCCAGTCGGAAGAAGAAGTAGTAACTATTCAGGCCGATGTCTTCGGTGAAGTAATTCAATTTGTTTTCAAGGTAGTAGTCGCGGTTCAGGTACCAGCCAGAATAGTTTGCCGGGAGTATGTACGCCTTATATTCTCCGCTTGTTTCTGAGATTAATGAAATAATTTTGCCATTTTGCTGTTTTGCGATATAAAACAAGAGGAAAGGAAAGGATCGAATTACCACGAAGGCCAAACAGTGACGCGTGTTGGGCTTTCTCCATTACTTCCAAATTAAAGAAATAATGCGGATACAGTTCGTACGGGGGTGGCAGCTGAATGTACTGGGTATCCGGTCTTCTGATCACAGCGTTATAGAGGGCCAACACATATTCGGCCTCGTTCATGTTGTTCCTCGCCCAGAGAGCTGTTTTGTAGAATGTTTCGAAGTCGTTCGCGTAGTAGAACAGTCTGAACAGAGCCATCATTTCTTTAAGGAGAGGAGGATAGAAAATTGAGAACGTTTCTCCTCGCGGTAGCATCCTGTTTTTGTACATGTACAGAAACTCCTTCACTGCGGCCTAGAAATTCATTATTGAATCATGAATTCGTACAAGTATGAACGTTAAATTCAGCTCGCCTGCAAATTGATCTAAACAAATGGAGTTGCTTAATAAACATTGTATTTATTTGGAAATGATTTATTCATGTGTAAAAATTCAGAAAGAATGTATATACTAGATAGAGGACTAAATTCTTAGGAAAGAATAAAAAACAATATGAAAATCACCAGCCACTGCGACCGAGTGATACTGGTTAAATATATTAAATCAAGATTCAGAAAGCAACTCGAATTTTCACAATATTAAAAGGTCTTCGAATTACCAAAATTTTCTCGCCATATTCTTCATACTATTGTTGCTTAGACACTTGATATATTTACACTGAATAGACTGTTACACCAATCCATCAAGGATCAAGAAATAATTTATTACAATATTAAAAATACCTCAATATACGAAACATATAGCGAATCTTTGGAATTTAATGATAATCAACAAAATCATTTGTATCATTTTTCTCTTGTAATCATAGTTTACTAACCGCATCGTACAAATCGATGTTCGCCTCGATGTCCCATTTTTGACCCTCCTCGTACCACGTATAGTTGATTTCAGCTGGTTGGGAGACGTGATAAAGGAGATTGTAGACCTTCTTCTGCTTCAACAGATAGTCCTTGTCGGCGGTTCTCGTGTTGTAATATTCTGCACTGACCAAACTGCAAGCCAGCAGTCCCAGCAGCCACAGCCGCGACGGTAACAACATATTTTCAAAAGTCGGAAACCGCGGATCCCCAGAACGCAAATGCCCAGCGCGCAGCTATTCTTATACCCTGTTATCCCTTCCCCCGATTCATCCTTGTTTGTTGCTTCATTTCATATTTTCTTTTTTTTTACAGATTTTCCGGTTTTCTTAAACTTGTACAAATAGGAATTCGTTTTCCGATAAACAAAATTGACAAATTGAAGATTTCGCAACAAAAACAATCACTTCTGCCTTCTTCTAGGGAACAGAAAGGTACACTCTTCAATTTTTTTATTGAACTTTTACAATTCAAGTTTGTTTGATACTTGCAATAAATTCATGTTTTTGTTGTAAATGATTAATTATATAAATAATATAAAATATAATAATAATATAAGAAATAATCGTTAATGAAATTAAAATAAATTTTATTGAGTAATATCATTACGATATTTCAGGCATTTTATCTGAGGCAACTTGTTTATTGAAATGCAATAAAATAAAAATTAATAAATAAAACCAGATATCAGTTTAACGAAATCTGTTTGACTTTTTGATCTTGAAATGGACGATGCGGATGTTTTGTTTTAATAAAAAGAAAGCTCAATATTTCTACTTGATTAATTAACATTTATTTTACTTTACAGATTTTGTTAGATAATTGAATACTTATTGTTTCAAATTTTTTCTTTGAAATTACTCTGTTCCCCCGGGATATCTTCAACTAAATAAAAATGTTTATTAACCTTTTAAATTCAGATTGAAAAGTAAATCTAACTTTAGAATACTCTTTTTTGTTTGTCGAAGCAAAGTTTTCCAGTCTCGAACGATGATTATAATAATCAACAAGAAGAGCGGCAAATAACGCGAAAATTTAAAAAGTCGATCATCGAGGCGCGATACGATTCGAGAACAATGCACGTAAGTGTGCGCGCGCACCTTCATCAAAGCAGGCGGCAGTTATCGTTGAGAGAGATGCCCGTGTGGAAAAAATTCGATACCGGATGAATTTTTTTTATCGTCGCGAAATTGTTTGCACGTATGTACATTCTCGTAATCAAGTTTCATTACACGAATACGTAAAAATACGTTGCGATTGGTATTATCGCGCGGAACACTTGCTCTCGCTTAAGATCATAACCTTCTTTCTCTTATTAATTCGGGTAGTTTGTTAATAATTCACTGAGATAGCATTGTCTCGGCGATAATTCGATGTGATTTATGCGTTTTCTTGTCTGCACAGCTGCTGTTTTGTCATGTGAACATTTGACATTTGACAGTCGATAGTTCGGCGTTTTGATTGTTTATATCTCGACAATTTCGCTAATGACGCTTGCCTCTGTTTCATAACTTCATTTGTAATTCTTATCACTTGGTTGAGATTAGTGTTTAAAATTTTTATGTTTTATGCAATTTCAGAACATCAGGTACAATGGTTTCTAGGAGTATACTAGGAATTATAAAGATATTTTGTAGATTCAAGAATAACGATCGTTGTTGTCATTGTGAGTACAGTTGTATATATGTTTTTTTAATCATTAATTTTATCGATCGTACTTTTTTTCGATTGATATGATCGAAAGTTTATTGACTTCGAACGTTTACTGCATTTAAATTTAATCACGATAATTTCTTTTTCTTTGTTATTAAAATTTTTACTATTATTACGATAAGTTGGTTATTATCTGAATTTTATCTCATTTATTTATATGTGAGCGATAACAACTATGTAAGCATAATCGTGTAATGACAGTACAAGTTGATATATAACTTATTGCTGTGTTATATTTACGACTATTATTTATAAAAATCTATAATCTAAAAATTTTTGAAAACCAGGAGAAGATTATGCAAATACTACAGACGTTCGTACAGCTGAAATAAGCTTTGCTTAATAATGTTTCAAGTGCTTAATAAAAAGGAAGTTTTCAAAGCTGTATTTTTATTCTATACTATGCCAAGTTACTGCTCTATCCTACATTCATATCATCATTATCCTCTCTCAGTCATATCTTAAACTTACTAATTTACTAATACTATTTTAAGAAATAGTATTTTTACATTTGATAAAATGCTATTTACCAAATAGTAAATACTATTACCTAAAATAGTAAATACTATTACCTAAAATAGTAAATATTATTTTAAATGTGATAAATATTGTGCGAATTTGCTTAAAGTTTTGTATTTTAAGGTGAAGTTTCAAAAGTTTAAACTTCCAGCTTTACGCATTGTGATACAGAAGATAGTGAGATGACTAAATGTCGTCAAGGCTATATTTTTTATATCATTTTATTTCATCTCTCTCTACATCTCCTTTTCTCTTCGAAGAAACAACAAACATTTATGAAATAATTTAAAGAAAAAAAGGAAAAAGAAGAAAAAACTAAAAAGGAACTTCAAATCCTCTTAAACGGTAGCGTTCAGTTCCTCCACATCTCTGTGATGGACGAGGACCTCAGTGACGTGCATATTAGGCACGTTGACTAGAGGATTGAGAGGTCTGTCCAGAGGGAAGCCCATGGGACGTCCGTCGCTGGTGATGCGGCCCCATATAGGAGACTCAATGTGGACGAGGTTCGATTCGTCGACCGGTGAAACCATGACCAACAGGTTGTACGGCATACCGTCCTTTGTGCCTCTTGGCAGAATGAGCCTGTCGGGGAAGCCATAAGGCTGCGTGGAGTACTTGAAGACTTCGCCGCTCTCGAGGCTTGTGACGAGCTTCTTGTAGAGGACATCGCTGGGAGTTTCGTCAGGGACAACGAAAATGGACTCGTGGCTGCTTCTGTCGATGGTGTTGGTGCCAGTTTTCACTGTAATATGAGCAATTAATTGGATGATTAAATAGAGAATTACTTCTCTTGCTTGGAATAAAATTCATCAATTTCAACAATTAATAAAATTAATCCCTTAGAAAGAAGATATACGATGTAAATAATGAAATATAAATACGTACGGTCAACCAAGAATTCGTCCATCTGCATGAAGTTCATGTAGTTGGCGATGAGATCAACTTCGTGACCGAATTCGTCTTGTTTCGGTCCAAGAAAGATACGAACAACACTCCTGGTGTCCCGGTCGCTGTTCACGGTGATATGGTAGGTGAATGGTTTGTGGTTGAGACGGTATTGACGAGCCTTGATCAGGGTGTTCCTAGCCTCTTTATGGCTACGAACGGACATTCCGTTGTTGAGCATGGATTCAAAGTGGTCGAAGTAAGTGGTAAGCTTGTCCACGGTTACGGATTGAACGGCCACGCCAGGGAAGCTCAGTTCCTCCATCGTGTATTTCGGGAGGTTCTCCTTGTATCTGGCGGAGAGATTTGGTTTTGTTAAACCAACCAAACGATTGAACAAATCGTTCAACGAATTTACATTTCTATCGCATTAGAGAACTGCGAGATTTTGCATTCTCTTTCACGAGTTGCAGAAGACGAACCTGTGATAATAGTCCAGGATAGTCTTGTAGATGCTGAAGACAACAGGGTCTCTCATACTGGTGGACCATAGATGGAGAGCAGACGGTACCACTTGGTATCTGATGTTCGACTCGGAACCAAGCCCGAAGACTTTTCTCATGAGCAAGTCCAACTGTCCGTAGTATTGCAAGTTGACGCTGTCAGCGTTACCTTGCACGAGGTTACCAAGAATGTTCAATCCGTCCTTGGTGTAGATGTTGACGCGGTTGCCCTGACTGTCCAAGACGAAACCGGCGTCGATGGCGTTCGAGAGTCTAGTGTGCAAGTCTTGCAACATCTGCGATAGAGTTTGGAAATTTTGCTTCTGGTTTTTCCACTCGAGAGAGTTTACTGAGAGTTTATTCTACTGAGAGTTTACTCAGTAAAGTAAAGTAAAATTACTTCAGTAAAGTTGCAGTAAAGTAAAATTATTCAGGAAAGTTGCAGTAGAGTAAAATTACTCAGTAAAGTTGCAGCAAAGTAAAATTGCTCAGTAAAGTTGCAGTAAAATAAAATTACTTCCCTTGGAGAAGTAAAAATTACCTGGACGTGTCTTTGCATGTGACTTGGCACGATGGTCCCGGTTCTCCTCTGGGTGAACGAAACTCCGTTACGCAAGTGCATGGTGGGGTAGTATCCAGTCATAATGGGTCGGTTCACGTTCACGTAGTTAATCTCACCCATGTTATGGCTAAGTCTCTCAAGATTATATCTAAAGTTTCAGGTAGCAACCATTAAATGGAGGAAATTTTCAAAAAAAAGAGAAATACGTCAACGTATAAAATTTCCATGAAAACGTACCTGTTCAACAATTGTTTATGGATGAAGAAATAGTATTCACCGCGAGGCTGTGGCGTGTTGAGCATGCTGGCGGGCATGAAAGGTGGATGATCGTGATTGATCATGAAGTAAAAGCTATTGAAGCCAACGTCCTCGGTAAGGTAGTTCAGTCTCTGTTCGGGTTGGTTGTGTCTGGTGGTGTACCAGCCACTATAGTTGGCCGGAAGTACATAGTACTCGACACCGCCTACGGTCTTCTTTACGCCAGCTGTTTAAAGTTAGACGAAAGCTTCGCGTAAATGTATATGGAATAACAGTGATTAAGAGAATCTTGCTTCTTGTGAAAAGAAGCGAAGAAAGAATGCATGAAAATGCAAAAGAGGACAGGATAATTACCTGTGTCACCCATGGCGATGTTGTAGGATCTTTGCATGACGTCGTCGTTGAAGAACAAGTGCGGCACTACTTCGTACATTGGCGGCAGTTTCATCATTCTGGTGTCAGGACGATGGATCATGGCGATGCTGAGAGAGTAGACGTACATGAGCTCGTTCACGTTGAACCTAGCCCAGACAGCAGTGTGGTAGAACATGTCGAACGTTTTGGCACTGAGCAGGACACGGAAAAGCACCACAGCTTGGTGACGCATTTCTCTGTTCATCATGGTGAATACTTGTCCACGCGGCAGCATGCCGTGGTTCAGAAGCTGCACGAATTCCTTCACTGCCTTCTGCACGAAACATCATCGTCTCGAGTTACAAGGCTCAGCCGAGGAATCACAATTTCAATGCTATCTCGGGTTACAGGAAGTCCAATGCTATTTATTTCTTGGATCAATGGGTTTTCGCTTAAGTCATTTTCTTACGCAAAAATTAGTACTTTGAAGATTTAGTTTAGCTTTTTACTGTTGGTAAAAGAGCTTTGAGCTAAACTTTAAGAGTTTCCACAGCTTTATTAAGAAACGTAAGTACGTGACTACATTATTGTTTCAAAATATCTTATACAATGATCAATTTAGTCTTGGTGAAATTAAATATTAAGTATCTTAAATTGATAAAAGTAATTTAGTACTATACTAATAAGTATACTACATTTAATTTAGTACTATACTATACTAATTAAATCAGTAAAATTAAATTAATAAACTTAGTGAAATGTTTAATATTTTATCAGTAGGGACAATATTTAGTAAATTTTCGGATTAATGAAATATACATGAAGTATAAAGTAAAGTTCGAATAATCAACTTTGTGAATCAATTCTTTTTTTAGCTACCTGATCGTTGTAATTGGCGACATTCTCAAGGATGTTGAAAGTGCGAGCCTTCTGATAGAGTTCCGGATGATAGACAGTCGGTTGATCAACGTGCCAGAATAGTTCGTAGATGTTCTTTTGCCTGACCAAGTAGGTCTTGTCGGCCACCTGGCTGGGTAGTTGCTGCACTGCCTGGGCTAGCAGGCAAAAACTTGCGAGAATTACCAGAGCGAGCTTCATGATCGCCATGGTCGTAGTCGAAGAGGACCAGTACGGTGATCGGTTTATATACCGAAGTCAAAACTACGCGGACCTCGATAAATATACTCGATAATCGTGTAATCGTGCTCGTTTTAGGATGAGGTCGCGACGATGGTGAGAAAGTAAACGGTTTATCTCGCCACTTTTTGGTTTTCGTCAAGTGTCATTGCAATTGACATTGAAGATGCAGTCCCGTCTGATTCGATCGGGTACGTATCTGCCTCGATTTCGTAATTTCAATTAAAAACTGCAGATAGTGGTTGTAACGTTTAAAAATAATCATGTCGCTTGATGTTTCTCGAAATGAACTTGAAATGAACTCGCGGCGAGGTGGTCGACGATTTTTGAAAATTAATTCCGACGTATTGAGTTGAAATTTTTAATTATAGATTCAGAGTGGAACTAGTCGTTGGGTTCATTTCAGAATGCTCTGAAAGATTGCATTGAACATTGTCACGGACAACAACAGGAAACGTATAATTGTAAGATGTTCCTTCTTTTTTAACATGCCTGGTAAGTTCAAATTCAAACATAAGAATGTTTTTAACATAAGAGTTTCAGTGTTTTAAACATAAGAAATTACATGGTAAATTTCATAATAAAAATTTTATAATACATTTCATGCAGACGAATTATTAGAGGAGACACGATTACACAAAAATCGGTCTCCAGTTGAAACAAACAACCGTATTTATCTTTTATTATCGTCGTCGCAATTGATTCGAGGATCTACGTTGAGCTAAAAATTTTCTGTTCGTTTTTTGCGATAATCGAAAGTCTTGTTTGCATCGATAACAATTCAATCTCGATTGCTGCAATAACTCGTATTTTGTTTTTAAGAATTTTGTCGAAGTGATTTTAATTTTAATTCTTCGTCTACTTCTAATCGGGCTTCGATCGAATAAAAATAATTGTAAAATTGTAAATATATAGGAAATAATTGTAATTACAAATATTATAATTATATTATAAATTATGAAATTATAAATATTATAATTATATTATAAATTATGAAATTATAAATATTATAATTATATTATAAATTATGAAATTATAAATATTATAATTATATTATAAATTATGAAATTATAAATATTATAATTATATTATAAATTATGAAATTATAAATATTATAATTATATTATAAATTATGAAATTATAAATATTATAATTATATTATAAATTATAAAATTAAAAATATAATTATATCATAAATTGTGAAATTATAAAATTATATATATAATTATATTATAAATGATAAAATTATAAATATAATTATATTATAAATTATAAAATTATAAATATAATTATATTATGAATTATAGAATTATAAATATTATAATTATAGTATAAGTATTATTGAATTCTCGTGGAACACAAGAGAGATACGACTAATTTGTTTCTCTGAAAATAACGTGGAACCACTAACAGTGATCAATGAGAAAAGAGAAATTGAAATTTGAATATTTAACGTGGCAAAAGAGTTGGACTTAATTTAGGAAAAGAATAGCAGTCTAATTCAGGGAAAGAACAGCAAATAGAGATAACAATTATGTATTGATTTGTGAAGATTCACTCGACTGAAAAGATTGACAGGATGAGAACCGATAACACCGCAGACGGTGTTGAAAAATCATAGAAGCGAATGAACTTGCTATGTGTCGAATGTGAATGAACTTTGTAGGTGCTAGAGAGAGAAAAACGTCCACCTTAATAGACGTCTGCCTGTTGAAATTGTCTAACGAAAAATGTTCATTATATACAGGGTAGGGTAAAAGTTTCTTCCCACCTATTTTTTTTTTTTTTAATAGAATATCAAAATGTATCGTTTAAGTTCAAACAGTTTGAAATTAAAAGAAAGGTAATAATGAAAAAATTATAGATTTATTTAGGAAATATTTTATTTCATTTATTTATTAGGATGTGTTTCATTCGTTTGTTTATTTGGGAGCAAGATGTGTAAATGAAATGTTCACGTTCTTTGAACTTTAGTCTTCGGTGATTCTGGCTTTGCTTAATCTGCTTGAAGGAAAATCAGCAATGTCGGCGAAACGAACGTCTGAATTGAAACATTAAAAATTGTTGCATCATTCGTCTTATGCACTACGCTCTGCGTTAGGGGTGGATTTAGATCAGTTTCGGTTTGTTATTTGCAGAGTGAAGAGTTATTGTTTGAGTATCGTGTTTGCACCGAATACCGGGGGTGAATCGAAGAATTTCTCTCCGCAGCTTAACAATTGGCAAAACAACAACGAGCTGTTGGAGAGAATAGCAGAGAATGTGAGAGCGATCTTCTTTCTAACGCTAGAACTACCGACGACCAATAAAGCTAATAAACGTTTTTATTATTATTATTAATAGTATTATATATTATATATTATTATATGATTATTAATATAATAATACTATTATATAATAGTATTATTATATAATAATATTATTATTATTACTTTCTGTATCGAAGAAATTAGAGTGGGAAATGAAGAGCCAAGTTTATAATACAACAAAAGACACATAACTTTTGCTCGCGTATTTTGTAAAATCCAAATGATCCAAATCACTAAAAGTACGTTGCTAATCTGCGGAATTATGTTCTGAAAAAATTGTAAAAACTGCAGAAATATTCTGCGTGATCGTATTTTGAAAAATTTGAAAAATTACAGAAATTTTTCTGCGAAACTATACTCTGAAAAGATTGCAAAAATTATAAAAATATCCTGCAGAATTATATTCTGAAAAATTGTAACAATATTCTGCGGAATTACATTCTGAGAAATTATGAAAATCAGAAAGATATTTTGGAGAATCATATTCTGAAAAATTGTAAAAATATTCTGCGGAATTACATTCTGGAAAAATTAAAAATTATAATTGTAAAAAAGAAAGTAATTTGCGGTATTATATTCTGAGAAATTGTAAAAATTAGGAAAATATTTTGGAGAATTATATTCTGAAAAGCTATAATATAAATTGGTCATTTTGGCCATGTTATTTTTGGTAGTTCTAGCGTCAAGTTGGAAATTTTTTTACATAGAAAGTCGAGGTTGTGTGTGTTCGTAGGCAGAAGTGATGAAAGTGCGCGTTGGGGGCAGAAGATTAAGAGAGCAGAATGATACGTACGACGTGACAGAGACGCGACGCGAATATTGGCAATGAGAAAAAGTGTTAACGTGCCATTCGTGAACTCGCTGGCCGATATTTTACGATAGAAACTACGAAACATCTGGAAACTCAGAATGTAAAAAATAGCTTTAAAAAATTATTTTTCTGTATTTTTGCGCCCTGGTTGATCAACATGGCTCCCAAACGGTTCGTTTCTGCTCATCCAAAGTAAAATTTCTAATAGAAAAATATTTAAATCATTAGCTGACTGATAATTACATCCTAATTCTGACAATTTTATTAGTAATCATGAACTACTCGCAATCAGCTTTGAGTTTATCTTCTGTAAATATCCATCTGTTTTTCTAAATTTAATATGTGTTTACTAGGAATAATTGGGGACCATTTTAGTCAGAATTAATGTAGACATAAAAGTTCACTTCATTCAGAATTCAAAGAACTTTTTGCAACAAAGGAGGAGCTCTGTTTAAAGAAAGTACATTTTCATTAATTTCTATAAATTTATCATTAATTTAGAATCATTGGGAATTATCGTTGATCACGAAGCTTAATGAAATTAATAATTACCGATTTTACATATCTAATAATTAGTTATATTATACATTTTATATATAATATTATTATAATTATTATGTATTTTATACAATATTATATATAATTTTATATTATATATATTTATTATATAATATTATTAGGAATTACGATTAATTCGAGGGCCATTTTAGCCATTAGTTAATAGACAAAAGGGTTCGCTTCATTCAGAATTCTTTATTATCAAAAAGTGGTTTGCAACGTCGTCGACAGATGTAGGGAGAACCAACCTCTCCCCCCTCGCCTCTTCATTTAAAACAAATTACAATCAGTTCAATAATTCAGCTTTTCCTTCTCGTACGGGCGGTTGTAGATGTACACGTCTTTGAAGTACATGTTGGGAATGGTGAAGTTCCACCACGTGGGTCGGTCCAGCGGGAATCCGAATGGCCTGCCGTCGTACGTTAATTTGCCGATCAGAGGCAACTCGTACGTGTTGATACCACCTTCTTCCAACGGGCTGAGGAAGAAGAACATCTTGAACCTCATGCCCTCTGGTTTACCGCGTGGCAGTGTGAGACGTTCCGGGAAGCCGAATATCCTCTCGGTGTACGTGAACGGCTCGCTTCCGCTGATCGCCTTGTTCAATTTTTCGTAGTACTGCTCGCTGGACATCTGCTTGGGTGCCGTGAAGAACGACTCGGAACTGTGACGCTCGATGCTGTTGCTTCCAGGACGAACTGTAAAATTCAAACGGAGAAACTTACTTTCACACTCGAATTGAACGTTCTTTGATTATAGTCAGTCACGGGTGAATTCTCTCTGATCAGAAATTAATCGAAAGTTTCACATTCGAATCGAAGGATTAAAAGTCAAAATCCTGATCGGATTATTGAAGACGAACTCGACACTAACGTTTCACCGGGAATCGGTCCATCTCGACGAAGTAGAAGTAGTACTTCTGCAAGTAGATCGCGTCCTGTTTGACTTCGTCGAAGGCCGGCCCGAGGAAGATCCTCAGCGTTCCCTTCAGCTCCTTGTCGGACTTGATGTTTATGTTGTAGGTGAACGGCTGGTAGTTGAGACAGGCACGGCGCGCCTTCAGACGAGGATACAGCCCACCCTTGAAGTTCTCCACTGACACCGCGTTGTTGATCAGTGTGTCGCAGGTGTCGAAGAACGTGTACAGTTTGTCGATGTTCACGGACTCGAATTTCACGCCTGGCAGTTGCAGCTCGCTCTGAGAATATTGGGGCTGGAACTTCTTGTATCTGATGAACGCAACGATAGTTAAGTGAAAATCAGATGGCTGGCAATGATAGTAATAATTAGTAATTGAAAATAGTTGAAATAGCAGTGATAACAGTAAAATTAGATAATAATGATTGTAATTGGTAGTTAGTGATAGTAATAATTAGTAATTAAAAATAGTTGAAATAGTAGTAATTGGTAATTAAAAATGGTAAAAATAGTAGTAATAATAGTAATAATTGGTAGTTTAAAATAGTTAAAATAGCAGCAATAAGAGTAAAATTAGATAGCTAATAATAATAATTATAATTAGTAGTTAGTAATAGTAATACTAATAGTAATTAAAAATAGTTAAAATAGTAGTAATAATAGTAATAATTGGCAGTTAAAAATAGCTGCAATAAGAGAGAAATTAAATAGCTAATGATAATAATTGTAATTGTAGTAGTTAGTAATAGTAATACCAAGTAATTAAAAATAGTTAAAATAGTAGTAATAATAGTAGCAAACTACTTTATTCAATAATTAATAATTAGTAGGTAAATATAGTTGAAATAGTAATACTAGTAAAAATTGAATAGCTAGTAATAGTCAGTAATAATAAAAGCTAATAATAATTAGTAAGAATTAGAAAGTAGTAATGGTGACGAGTGAACAAAATTAGATACTAAATAGTAGTGGCAATGAATGAACAAATGTTCCACCGATATAGATACATTGTTACAATTATTAGCTATGCGAGGATCACCTGAGGAAATAGGAGACAATCTTCTTGTAAAGCATGTAGAAAGCTGGATCTCTCATGCTGGTGGAGTAACTCTGAAGGACGCTGGGGATCACTTTGTTTTTGTTCTGGAAGTCGAAGTTGAAGCCAAGGATGTCGCGGGCGAGGGCGTCATACATTCCGTAGAATCTGTTGTTGCAAGAGTCGGCATTTCCTTCTATCACGTTGCCGAGCATGTTCAGACCCTCCGACGTGTAGAGGTCGAGTCTCTTCCCGGTCTCGCTCAACATGTAGCCAGAGTCGATAGCGTTCATTATACGGAACTCCAGGGCGTTGATTTCCTGAAAAGTTGAACTTTCTTCGTTATAACTATCATTATATCGTTACAATACAGGTTGTGATATTGTTACTTTGCTGAAACATATAATAATTATATTTAATATAATATAAGAATTATATTATAATATATATTTATTATAATATGATATTTTATTGTAACATAAGAATTGTATTAAATATAATTATACTGTTATAATGCAGGCTGTGTTATCGTTATTTTTCTGAAATATTTTGCTTCTATACTCTCTCTTCTTACCAATATATTAATATTCTTGACTAATTGATCAATATATATATTGATCAATTGTTCATGAAAATAATAATTTGTTGAACACACTCACCTTAAGATACTTGTATTTGTAGTAAGGTATCGCCGAGAATCTGTCTCTCTGTGGGAAGTGCACGCCATTGAGGTACGTCATCGTCGAGTAGTAGCCGGGATAGATGGGCTTGTTCCAGTCGAAGTCTTCGATTTTACCAAGGCCGTTCGACATTCGTTCGAGGAAGTACCTAGCCAATAATTGCTGGTGGAAGAAGTAGTACAACTGTCCACGTATGTCTTTGGGCATACTGTATTTGCTGCTCGGCATCCAGAAGGGGAACATCTGCCGCATGTAGTAGTAGTACGCGTTTATTCCGACGTCTTCCATGAAATAGTCAAGCTTGTATTCCTCGTCCATGTACGGCGTCATGTATTTGCTCGAATAATTCGCCATCACCAGGTACGTCTCGATGTTGTTCATCCCGGCTGCAGCACCAGATCCTTGAAAAAAAATTTTATCGTGAGATCTCTTCTCTTGATAAAAGATTTTATTGTAAGATCTCTGCTCTTTTATTGGGAAAAGATTTCATTGTAAGATCTCTTCTTTAAAAGCGAAGATCTCTTCTCTTGTCTTGAAAAAAAATTTTATTGCAACATGTCTTCTTCAGAGTTGAAAGATTGGATATTTTTCAGAAGTCAATCTCCTAAAAGCTAGATCTTCCAGGGAAATATTTTGTTTCGTCGATTATTAACAATAGAAGTGCATTATTATAAAAAAGATACAATCAGGATTATCAGAAGTTTTAGCATATTATGGTTATTAGTTTAGTGTATTGTGACTAAAACTGATCACAAATTTCAGTGTATTATGATTCCAGAAAGAATTTCTCCTGTTACAGTTATAATTAATAAAAGATTTTTCTCATCAAGCAAATTAATGAAAAATTCAGTGCCAGAGGAATGAGAAGAGTTTATAGCTACCTCGAGACATCTTCAAGTTCTGCGCCTCTTCTATCACGCCCGAGTCGAAGAAATAATTAGGATAGATTTCATAGATCGCTGGCAATCTTATGTATCTGCAGTCGTTTCTGTAGAGCACGGCGGCGGTGAACGCGGAAGTGAACATGCCGTTGTTCGTGTGAATTCGGGCCCAGCTAGCCGTTTTGTAGAACGTCTGGAAGTCCTTCGCGTTGTAGAACAGCTCGAAAAGCATTTTCATCTCGTACTTCTGCTCGGAGTTGAACGGCGTGAAGATGGCACCTTGGTCAAGGAACATCCCTTGCTTCCACCACCAGAGGAACTTTTGCACGACATTCTGAAACAGATGGTTGAAACAAATGTAACATGTTCTTCGTAAATGTTTCAGGGACTTCATTTATTTGATTTGACTGATGTTGGAGCGTTCTCACTTATTTCCATCTGGCAATTTCATCAAGTGAAGATTCTTACGAGTTAAATTACCGAAAGGAGGGTAGAAAGTTGAAAGTTGGATAAAAATATTTTCGCTTTCGTTGCGTCTTTGACGCAGAGAATTGCGTGAGCATCTCAATGGAGGATCACCTTGTCTCTGTACATGTCGATGTTAGTCTCCACGTTATAGTTTCTCCCTGTGTCGTACCACTCGGCATCGCTCAGGTCTGTCTGTTTCATGTAGAGCAACAGATCGAAGATCTTCTTCTGCTTGTGGAGGAAGTCCATGTCGGCGGTGCGAGTTCCTGCGAGGGACGCCCCACAGACCACGCAAATTGCGCCTAATAACGCCACCAACAACGTCAACTTCACCATTCTCTGGAGATTCGTTCACCTTCGATACAATTACACCGATTGTGTACCGGTCGACGGTCCACCGTCGTGTTTTTATACTTATTCCGAATAGAATAATCACGGGGAACCTCTGACCCACGTCGTGTGTACACAGAGATATCGTGTGTCATCGATACACCCCTGTGTGTTTGAATGATTTATTGTTATTAACGCGAGAAACGGCGATATCGATTCCTCTTTCTTTGTTTTATTTTTTGGTATTTCGAAAATTCAGCTTCTCAGTAATGCAGACACGCATTGACATATTGACAAAAGTATTCGAACTTGCGCTTGCAGGCACCTCTCTTTTTCGCAAAACATGTTATGAAATGTTTTGAACTTTCACTGCTGTTTTTGTTTCAATTTGGTTCAAGAATCTAAGTCTAGGTGTAATTAAGCAGAGAGTATTATCAGATAAATTCGTTTCACCTGACACTCAAGTTTCATCCTATAGTTGGTCTTTCACCTTTGGATGATACTGGCAGAGTAGTCGAAATTCAACCAATTCGTAATTTTATGTACTCGTGCTGTTTATCACACTATTATTTTTTTTCGTCGATAGTTCGTCGATTCTGACATTGAAAGACAAAAGAGGGGTACATCGAGGAAACGTATTATGTATGATCTACAAAGACTCAATTAATTCAATTGAGGCAACTTTGAAATGGAGCATAATATAAAATACAAAAAGACGGAAAGAAATTTGAAAGAAAAAAATTAGAAAGTTAAATTTTCATTTAAAGAAATGCAAGGAATTCACTCTTAATAACTCATTCTCGAATTGCCCTCCCCTGTGGGCCCTAGGGGTCTAAAGTGATTAGTTTTAAAATTAGCTACATATACGTATACATATACATGTGTTTATCTTGCTTAAATATTACAACAGCAAAAGCTTTTCTTTTTCAGTCTGCAATTGTCAGACAATTCATTAGTTATAATTTGCTTCTCCTATTTTTAATTTTTCGAATTTCTCCACGTTCAGTAATTATATCAATAAATTTAAATATCAATCCAAAGTTAGAGCTAAATAATATTATCGTTATATTAATGCAATAAAGTCGAACAGAGTAATCTGTAAAAATTCTTAGAAACTATTTAGAAAATACTTATTTAAAAAAAAATTTAGAAAATTGATACAACAAATTTCATACGTGTATTGCAATCTAACATAGGACTATAAATTTTATTGATTAGTATTATAAATTTTTACCGTGGTGTCGGTTATGATATTATTGATTTAATTATCAACTTCAAATAAAAATATATTTTCATCGTTTGTCAATGCAGGCAGATAAAACGTGCAAAATTTTTCCTTGAATCGAGAATGGTCAAAACATTGACCTTATGCACTGTATTTATTTATGAAATTAATAACAGAATTATACATTCACGTGTACTAATTAATTAAATAATTAATTGATTAATTAAATATTTTTTTATTTCAAAAACGAGAGTACAAAGGAATAATGAAAGGATAATGAATAATATTGTTGTACACTAGTCTTATGGAAAAGTATTCTTATTTTATCTTTTTACCCTTCTTCCATTCATTACACAATCTTATTTTGTCATTCAAAAGATTATTCATAAATGTTTGACTTCTGATTAACGTTATTTCAACATTTTTTAATCTTAATATTCGAACAATATTTTTTTCTTATATTATATTATATTGTATTCAAACTATCATATTATACTGCATGCTACACAATAGGAAATCTTCTTTTATATCTGTTATCTCCTTTTTCTAAAATCGTTTTTAAAGTTGTATTTTTCATGTAAAGGAATTATTGTGCGAACAAGTACTTATTTATATTCTATGTTTTATTCCATCTTACTTGTTCTCTGATTATTCTCTGTCAATAACAGAGACAATCATTTCCATCTTGATTATTATGGTTATTATATTGATTGACAAACATTCAAAAATAGCATAGTTAATTCAATTTCGTTTACAAAAGAAATCATATAGTTAAAAACAATTATTACTTCTCTTTCTATTTTTAACATACTGCCCTATGAAAAACTGAGAAATCTGTTTCATTGGCTTTAGTGTTTTTCCATGTATCTGCTATTTCACCATGTTCGTGTTTTTTGCCACATTTAATCTACATCGCATTTTACAATTTAAATGTTAAATGTTATTTACTTATCCGTTGACCCGTGAATTATATACTCTGTGATATTGAATATTACCCAGATAAAAGTTCGAGAGGCACGTGAAAATCAAGAAAAAAAATGATGCCAATCTTTTTAATTATTTTTTTTAAATTTCATGTACAAAATCTGCACTATATTAAAAGAATAGTATGAACAAAGTTATTGTAAATGTTGTGAAGCAGCGTATAAATATGTAGTAAAGTTATTGTTGTGTAAAATGTGTAACTGAATTCAGTTTGTTTATGGCATTTTTAAGTTTTATCTGTTTCTTTTTTAATCATTTCATACGCTTCTTAAAAAATCAAAAGTAATAATATTGATGTGAATATATTAACCATAATTTTGAAAAGTAAGTGTAAATCACAAGTAGAGCAATTAATAGAATGTATGTATAGTATTACATATTATTATTATTACTATTGTAGATTTTTACATTTCCTGATCAAGTAGTGTTTCAAAACTGACCATTGCATATTTTTCAAATAAGAATATAAGAGTATATAATTGTTTGAAAAAATGTATCTTTCTCCATTTTCGGAGAAAGATATAATTCTAGCATCCTCTGAATTCGCTAGTTTAATGACAATACTTAAAATGTCCCTTAAGAAATTGAGAGATGATATAGAATACCACGCAGATCATCTTGGAGAAACAACTAATACAATGTTTCAAACGCATGGAGTTCTTGAAAAAAATTTGAAATTATGGATGAGCAAGTTACAAGCTCATTTACAAGAATTTGATCTTTATGGTAGGGTGAGTTATAATTTTAACATTCTATTCACAAAAATGTATTATTACACGTCATATAAAATGTAATATCACAGAAAAGCCTATTTAGATGTTACAATGATTGCACGAGAAAACAAACAGAAATATACCATTAGAATTAAGATATAGTATCATTTTTTTGAAATCAATTAATATTGCATATATACTTTTAATAGGCAATCACAGTCAGAATATTCTTGAATTCTAGCAATTATCTATATATTTTGCGATCATTCGCGATTAAAGATCATGAACAACGTAGTAAAATATCAGTGTGCAATGTTGCATTTCCAGAGCATGAAGAAAATAAGTTATCCACCAAATTGTATAAAATGAAGAAGTTTAAAAGAAGATGCAAAGGTAAAAATTTAGCTAAAAATTCTGTTTGTAGAATGAAAACAACAGAATATACATAAGATATTAACTAATGAAAAAAACAGAGCTTGTATTAAAAAATACCACTAACTCAATAAATAATAAATATAAACATTCTATGTGAATATAAATATGAATTATTTCTTTTCATATCTTTTGTATGCTTATAAATAACATGTATTTATGAATAATAAAGAAATAAAGTTATGCATACGCTTTAATGAAACTGTACTGCACAAAATTATAATATTACAGTAAAGTATTTAACAGTACTTGGAGCATGATAGAATGATGAGAGTTATACTGATAAAAACGATCAAAATTTTATATGTAATTTTTAATATTTTTGTACAAAGGAAAGGATAAAATATTATAATCAGATATTCTCCTAGCATATGAGTTGTAAACAAGGTGAATCAAAAACAACACCATAGTATCGTTTTTTTGATTTACTTGTACATCGGAATACTATTCCATACAATTGTACGTTACTTCGTGGTCTGATTTTTTGGAATGTGACAAAATCACATCGCACGCTTTGCCGAGAATTATCAAACTATTTAATATCTTGAATGTTACTAAGATAAAATAGGCTAGAAGCAACAAAATTATGTTAGCTGGTTGGACAGGTGGTGTAATGGTTGTACAAAGTACTCTTCCTATCGCCACTCCCAGAGGAAGAGGAATAAAACCCATCCTACGGGCTACCACATCCGATGGGTCGGAGAAGGCAGTCTCCTGGCGAGTCTGAGCCATGTCGTAGGCTACTTTAATAGTATAATCTCTGTATACTGTTGAATTGAGCTCGTTGAAACGAGTTATAAAGGCGTGCTTAACCTGGAAGGAAAGTGAATTGATAAAAATAAAGCGATATTGAAGGAAATATTTAAACACTAAAGAATCTCATGTTTTCTGAAACAATTTTATAGCTATACTAATACTTACCCAATCTACAAGGATTTCAGCAAAGAGCAGTAGTATACAATCTGGTAGAAGTACTGCAAGTCGTTCAGCTTTCCATGCATATTCCTTCATTGTTTGAAGATTTACAGCAAGAAGCAGCATCATTAAATGAAAACGTTCCCTTACGTCTGCACAAGACAGTTGAAAGAGATTGTTCTTGTCAAATTTTTTAAAGACAGAACCTTTTAATTCTACAAACTGAAATAGAAGTTCATGCAACAGTATTATTATTGTACATGTTTTTCCAGATCTTTTTTAATATTTTTGTACAAAGGAATTATGGAATTTAATACTTTAAATACTTAAGGTATTTAAATCTTTATATTAATTATTCTCTTTGACACCTATCTTTTTTCGAACGCTTCGCAAAAATTACTAAATAAATAAAAAGACTTACATTATTAGACATCATTATAGTCAGCAGAGCCTTGTTGCTACTGTTTATAGCAACGTTCAAAGTTGTTGCTTGAAAAAGCACCAATATACTATGTAATACTATGGAAATGAACGTTGCATAGGAAAATATTAAAATTCTTTATATCTCAATGTAAGATAATCTTTCAATATTATTAAATGAAGTATTTTCAATGTAAGATTTACAAATGCAAAATTCTCTCATATTATTTACATGTACAAAGGATACAAACATAGGTAAAAGCAAACAGTAGATGAGGTAGGATGCCCAATTGTTGAGATCTTGCTTGTGACTTTGATTTAGGCTCTGTAGCTGTCCAAAAAAGGGCGTCTATTATATCTTGTCCAAAGACGCTGCATAATCTATCACCAACTTCCAGCATATTATAAAATATATACAATTTTATCACAGACTGACTCTTGACCAAATGGTACATCATAGAGGTGTCAACCTTCCATGTAGCTGCCCAACAGGTAACTACCACAATTCCTTTTAAAAGGTCGCACATCTCTGCCGGTCTTAGACATCGTTCTCCAACTCTTAAATCCCTCTTCTTTCTAGATCATAAATTCATTTCATATAGAACATAGAGTATACATAAAAAAATTTCAGTCTGACATGAAAGAACATTTGTGAATATTTATGAATGATTTTTATCTCTTTTATAATTCGATTAATGCAAAATATCACCTAGTAATTAATTCAGGCTATATGAGCCTCTCAAAAGCAAACTGATCAACTCTTTTTATGAATCTCTCCATCTCATAAAAATAAATTATTATTAAATTATTAAAAAGTAATTATCCGTTTTCGTTTTTTTAGATTTATGGAGTTGATTAAAATGTCTTTTGAACGGTTCATATTTCTATTCGAAATAATATTAAAGAAAAATCATGAAGAAAAAAATGAAAATTTTGCACTACTTAAGCTCTATTATTCTATGGCACAACTTTTTCCATTTATTATTTATTAATGCAATTGCAAAGTGTAATTAATATAAGTATTTATTTTAAAATGATGCTGGGCATCAAGGGTAATTGTGAATAATTTCTTCAATTTGTTTAGCGAAGCACGCCTTACCTGAAACTCGGGTACAGGGTGCACCGACTCTTTAACAGCTCATTGCGACGTTAATTTTAAAGAAACCAGCCTAAAAAAGGGCTTATTTTGTAACATTTCAAGGAATATATTTTTTTTTTTTAGATTTAAAAACATCCATCCTTTAATACGAAACTTTCAAAATAAGACTTTTCAATATAAAAATTATTATTATTGTTATATAATAAATCTTTTAGACTTTATTCGATAAAGAATTTTAAATATAAAAATTCTTAGGTATAATGCGTTTTTTGCAGAGTAGACAAAATTTCTAAAATTTGAAAATCAACAAAATAATGATTTAAATTTTCCTAATTTCATACTTGTATTATATTTCACTTAAAAAATTGTCATATTATCAATGTGGAGAAGTGATCAATTTGGTATGAAATAATTTATAATTATATTATCATATTGAAGCAATTTACAGCAAATATGTTATTTTCAGAATATTATAATTTTTTATGATACACACAAATTACAAAATTAACGTTAATGCAACATTAATATGTGTATGATTTATATGTTTAACATATTCAAGGCTACAATCAGAATTCGTCATATTTCATTTGATTTTATTTTCCTGGTTCCTGTATCAATATTTTCTTAGAATATAGATGTGACAATGTTTTCATTTAAATATTCCATTTATATGTATCTGACGTCAACCTTGAATATGTCAACTAACTCAAATATACTTACCCAAGACGGTGCCAGAGGGGTCTTGTAACTACTGTCCATAGTGCCATCATAAATCTTAACGGTAAAAATGTATAAACAAATAGAAAAGAATCTGCACACTACACAGAAAAATTTTCTATTACATAGTGATCTTGTATTACAAATGAAATATTCAAAATATATGTACTTGTAAAAACCCATAGGCCATAAATTTTTCAACTTCCTTTGGAATTTTCAAAAATGAATAAAGTTTCTCTCTTCTTGCAGAGAAACTTTCCTCGTCGTTTTCTAATTGATAACCTCTTGTTAATTCTGCTCTTAGAAATTGTGCAAGAGATACACCTGTGATAATAATGAAAAAAAAAAAAATTACACTTATTGCAAATCAAATTAAGAAACGCTTATGATATAATCAACATAAATAGAATAATTTATATTAAGCTATGAGACAGAGGAGATCATTTCTTACAATGAGTCTTTATAACTCTTAAATAGATCATAATTCTACATTACAACAAATGTATCTTTCCTGCATGTTAATGATTAAAACAAAATAACTGCTATCAATTTATTAAAAAGTTAATATTCTTATATATTTCTAATGTGAATAGTTATTGAGATAGAGGTCTGTCTTATGTTAAACATTTACCAAATAATAAATACATGTGTTTGTTACGTTATAAACATAATAAAATTAGAACATGATACAAATACAAACATATTTATATTAAACATTTTTTATTTCTCTTGATAAGTATTATTAGCTTTAAAAGTTCCACATCATTTCTTTAACTTCTTGTATATTATTGCAATAAGTTTACAACTTCATGTCAGTAAACAAATAACTTGTCAAACAAATGACAGTTCAAATGAAGTTACCTCGTCTCCTTTGCCGATATTTCCCAGCGTTTAACTGAGCCTTCACATCTTGAATCTTATTAATATGACTGTCCAATTGTTTCGTAGACTTAGTCTTCGGGTTCTTCTTGTCAGCGTAATTCAGCCAATTCTCATCGATATTCATTTCGGCGTAATTCTTTACCCTGTTGCTTTATAACCTCAAAATTCCTCGTCCCGCGAGTATCGTTTTCAACGTTAAATTTCTCGTCCCCTATTAAAACATTTCTAATTGTTTAAACGACTTCTTTCGTTCCCAGAAGCGAAGTCATCGATTATGTAAACGTGGAAATTACGACTATTTTTTTACAAAACATATAAATTACGCTGTCCACGAACAAGATTAAGAAAGTTTAACATACATACGAACGCGTATACTGTACAAATTGCGTATTTTTCGAGGTGTTTCGCTCAAGGCCTAAGTGTCCATATAACACGTAACGTTTACGTCAAATTCCTTTGTAACTTTGATCAGCAAACGTTTCTTTTTATTTCGCCACTTTGTGTCGTTCTCGTATCTTGCGATCATTGTATACTGTTTTGATTTGCTGCGTTACATAATAAGGACAGAAATTACTATAATTACTCAATGAAACAAAGTCGGTTTACTTATAGATGTAGCTAAGTTTAATTGTCGGTTCAAGAGGTAACAGAAGTTGATAATCTCTTTTTTTACGTTTGACTTTTCTTCGTTTTCTTTTCCTTTTTTCTTTTTACAGTGTAGCATTGGATAGTACTGCCAGCTTGCCGATAGATGGCAATCATATCTAAAATTGTGTAGCGACCTATAGTTCCTCGAGTACGAGTTTCGAACACCAACTTGCACAAGCCGCAAGTGGCTGTGCGCCTAACGTCGAAGTCAACCGATATTCGATGTTAAGCAAACAGAGTGCGGAACCGCTAGGATGGGTGACCACCATCCAGCCTAGCGAATAGTTACAACAACAAGCGTCTGGGGTTAAGGGGTCGCTGCCATCAGCCCCACTGATGAGTCTAGGCAGCGACTCTGAGACGAAACGCATTTTCTCACATTACCACCACTTCCTACATCATCCTCGCAACATCACAGCCCTTCAATTGTGTAGCGACCGCTACCTCCGCGAAACACCGGACAGCGCCACGTCGAAAGGTGCGTTTCCAATAAAGCAGGCAGCGACACCTTTTTCCGAGCAAAAAGTTAAAAGCCCGGGAAAAGCTAGAAAAAGGCGGGAAAAAGATTTTCCCCCTCTTCGCAAGCAGTGGCTATATAAAGCCAGGTTGCGAAGAGGAAGAAGAGTTATTAAGGAACCGCAGGTTTTTTGAAACTTTTCCTGCAATATCACCTAAAATATACCCAACCAAACCTCACAAAAATCACCTAACTATAACTCCAAACTAAGTGCAGGTCACCAGGCGCACCAAGCCTCTAGGCACTGCAGACGCAGCATCAACTTCCTAACAAATTATAAAAAAANTTATTCAAATATCATCTGTGTTAATTATTTGTGTAAGAACTCGTGGTAGGAATCTACATTACCTACTACGTGTTCCCTACAATTGTACATATTGTTCTTTCAATTAACAATATTTCAATATTACGACAATTAATGTGAAAACATACAACAAATATTATTCATTTAATTTTTATTTATAATGACATGTTTCTCCAAGCTTTTCTGATGATCTTTCAAATTGAAATTCTGATATATTTGCCGCCTGATGTGTGTTTCCTTCTCTATTTTCTTCTTTTTCAATGTCGCCGCTGCTACAATTGAACACTACGCTAATCGTGCATAATTAATTAATTTTAATAAAACATTGATTTAAATAAATAAATAAAGCATTACGTTTTGCAGAGACAAATGTTTCAGAGCAAAAATTTCAATTTAATTCGACAGTTCAGACTGTTTCAGATTGTAATTTGATTAAATTCGACTTTACAACTTGATCGAGGACAGCTTCACTTCTTCTCTGTGTTTACACACTTCGCCTGTGCTCATTTGCAATTTCGGAGTAAAATGTGATTATGATTGAAAACGTGGCAAGATGTATAGATACAAAGTAAACATCGAGCCTCAGTTCTTTCGTTCCGCCTGCAGTTGACAGTTAGTAAACAGTTAGTTGGTACGACGATTCCGAAAAGTTAAGACAATTTTGTGGCAATGCAACGGGAATTACTTCGAAATAAGTTATTGAACTAGTAAAATCTAACGAAGATTTAAAATTAACATATAACATACGCTTGTTCGACTTAAAATTCAATGTTCAAAATGTTAAATCGGATATTAGATCAATTGCTTTATTTAATAGAGAAAAATCAGGAAAGAAAGTTGTTTAGTTTTTGTTCCACATTAAATAACCTATACTCGTCCAAAAGCGTAGAAACAATGGACAAGAATCACCGCGATGTTCGATATAAATTCTCGTGATCGATCTTATTGGAATTGATAACATTGGAATGTAACGTACATATTTGCGTCAGTTTTACGCGGGACGCGCAACAAGATGGCGGATCTAAAACAAAATCCGAAACAAAGATTTAAAATTAAAATACTCTTGTTCGACATAGTGTTCAATATATGAAACCACAGACATTTTGTTTGATTAATTACTTTATTTAATAAGCGAGAAGAATCAAGGGAGGAAGCTGTTTGTTTTTTCGTTCCAAATTAGATAACCTTTATTTGTCCAAAAGCGCGAGCAGTAATTTTAACAAAAGTCGCCATGATATTCGATATAATTTCTCGTGATCGATCTTACTGGAATCGACAATATTGGAGTATAAAATACATATTCGCGCGGGAAGCGCATCAAAATGGCGGATTTGGAGTGGTCACCAGGTAGAGGCTGCAATCAACAATTTTTATATTTATTTTTGTACCGTCGAGTACGTTTATGTAGGTGTTACTTAAACGATTACTTAAATGATGATTTGTTATATTTTTTAACAAATATATTTAGCATAGACGATAATTCTACTTTCCATTGCAAAATGTAACTGTATTCAAAAAAGGTGTCGCGTTTAATTGTATTCTAATTCACTTGTATTCTATTGTATTCTATTCGCCCATTTAGTAAATTCTGATTTTGAGGAAATTGAATTAACACGTAGTGTAGACACATGAATATGCGCTTATACAAGCGTGTATATATATATATAACATGTTCATTATTGATATTCTTGCAGGAGAAAGACTTCGCTTTTCCAAATAATTAGTTGAATAATTCAATTTGAATTTGTTCTGTGCATAGTCCATACCACCAACATGAAACTGTTATTATTGCATTGTCAAAACTTGCGGGATTGAACCACTTGGCCACGTAATGTTTACTGATTAATTGTTTAACGATACTTTATTAATCGTTATTTCATCATTTTATCCGTACTATTATTATCTCTTTGATCTCTGAAGTCGGAAAGAAAATAGATCCTTTGCAAGAGAGAAACGGTACGCTCTATTATTATCAATCATTTTGTCTTTTTCAATCAAATTTTTTCCAGAAAAGAAATAATTATCTAATAACGAGCTTCGCAACAACTCTCCCCCTCCTTCCACGTACAACAACTGCCATGATGACAATATTCTTCGCATCTAATCGTGAGTTGCATGCATTTTTATTTCTTTGGTTATATTATATTGGCTATTGGTTCAACCGTGCGTGCTGATAAAGATAAAAGATCTGAATCGGTACGAGTGATCGGTTGTATTACGTAAAAGTTTTTACAAGCACAGTAACCTGCTGAGTTTGCTATACTCATGAATGATAAACGTCTTTTTTTTTTCTTCTGTACTTTATTTGTACTAACTCAGGATAGATTTGTTTGTTAAATATTCATAAGGTTCTAAATATTCATTTACAATTAACGTGGAACTACCTTTATTTCATTCTGATATTTTAATGTAATTTTAACAGAATTCCAGACCGGTGAAACGTTGAATACATGCAGAGAGGTGTGTGTGTCACGTGCGACGAGCGGATCTCAGAATCGGAGCAACAATTTCAAATGTTATTTTCGTGTTTTCAAAGACACGTGCTTTGGGAATATTTCACTTACTGTCGAATTTTACTTACGTTTGTACTGAATAGTTATTGCTAATTTCTTTTACTCAAACTGTAACATTTTCACCAATTTATTCAATTATTAAAGCAAGTCATAAATTGACGATTATTAGCTCGTTAGACATAAAAACCAGATGCATATTAGTAACTTTTTTTTAGCTCAATACAGTTTAATACGTCAATGTGTCGTGCCTGATAAACATTTTACATGTGCGTGATTAAACTTTGGAACTTGGTGCCAATCTTGGTACTTGCTTCAACAGTCGGTTTTGAAATATTAATAAATTTCGCAAGTGTCGAGTATATGTATCGAGTCGTTGAAATTGAATACATTCAATTAAACGTACACATCGTAATATATGCAAATTTTTTATCATATTTTATGCAATAGTTCTCAGTAGCGTACGTCTGTTCAAAGAATTACAGAGTGAGCGTGTCTGATATATTTTGTTCTCTTTTTATCATTTTTTTTTAAATGTTAAAGCAGACGAGATGATTATAAAATTGTAAGCAGATAGGACCGGGCAGATTGGTACGCTCTCCCTCGCGCGAGTCTAATTAAAAAAAAAAGATTCAAGCGTCGATTTTAAATTTCAGCGAGCGTCGCGCTCGAAGAGAGAGAGAGAGGAGCCCCAGCAAGAGTGCAGATTATTATTGAAGATGTGCATCTGAGTCAACTCGATGTCGATATTGAAATCGCCTGACATTTTCGAACGAATCAGGTGACGCGTCACGTGTCACAGTGCAATCGATTTCATATGCTGATTTGTCCAATTGACGTCGGATGATGATCGAGCGGATTCATTTCTACATAGAAGGCGATTATGGGAGTTTTTTTACTTTCCCAATTACAATTTCGTAACCACCGTACGGAAGATAAGTCGTACAAGATAAGTCGTATATATCGCATGGAATTAAGGAAAATAAAAGTGAACAACTTATCTGTTTGAGCAAACGATATGGTAAAATCCTCGATGCTGCAATACACGAAAAGATGCTGGTAATATCCTTAAACATCTTAAAACAACGAGCTCCAAACGATCAAGCGATAATTCAAACATCGAAATGGTTTTGAAACGTTTAACACATGGTTTGTATGTTGACGATTTCGAATTCCAGATAAAGTAAAGATAATAATAAAAATACAAATACGTTATTCAAATAACGTGAATCCATCGAATCTAATGAAATATATTCAAATACGCGGATATATTATGCGCAAAGATAATAATACTTCTTCATAAATAATACTCAGACAAATCATTCAATACTCAAAAAATCATTCAAAATTATATGATTCTATTTAAAAAGATCAACTTGACCGCTTGATGTCAAAATACCATTTATACTACATAATGTGCCCCTTTATACCAAGCAATTTCTGTGAGAATAATTTTTTTTTTATAACTTCAACCCTATATGAGGATCTCTTCAATGTACATGTTAAATAATTAAGTCTGAAAATCAACTGTACTTAGTTTCTTCCTTTCAATAGAAATTAAAGTAGTATTTTATAGATTTAATGCTGTGGTTCGCTATGTCTCAGTTTCACATTTTTCAAACGATATATCATCAAATCGTACAACAGATATTTAATATCTTCTGGTCATTTTTAGCATATCATTCAGTTATTTGATTTCTTAAATCAGAACCGGCTAACTGGCCCGAGGACCCTTGCTTTTCTAATCGCTGGTGCTGCCCCCTCCACTGCATTGACCCCACTCCACTATACTGAAATTTCCTCGCACCACTCTCTCAACCTGTTGATTAGTTTCTTTACAACTAGTGAAAAAGTGAAGAGATCGATGTAGTGGAAAAAGTAATGCCAGTGATCAGCATAGTAGGGACAAAAACTGTGCTGTAAATAATCGTGCAATTATCATAATTATAGCTTTTCCTATACTTTCTTTAAAAGAAAATATTTTAAGCATTATATAAACGGACAATTAAAAATCATTTAGAATCACATTCTAATCTTGGAACGCACTATTTAGTCTAACATATACTTTATGTAGTTTTTTTAAATCACTTTTTATTGCCTCATTCTTCACCACTATTACAGATGCCCCGCTCGTTGAGAAATTTATCTACAAAGTAACTTTTACACAGAATTATTACATTTTAAAATTACTATTCAAAAATTGCTGGCTATGATATTATTTCACACGATATTATTTAAATAATTTCACAGAGTAATTGCACAAATCGATTCACATTTTTTTCTTTTTCTTTTTTTTGAACGCTAGATCTACCGACGACCAAGGCTTGAAATTACCCCGAGAAACATTAAGAGTAAGAAAATGGAAAATGGATAATACAATAACGCAAGTTTTTGTTTGCACATTTTTCGAAAAATCGCATTACGAACTTCAAATGATAATGCCCCAGAAGTGAGAGTACGTGGCACGTGGTTTTTTCCGTATATACACAGATGCAAGTGTGTTTCCCGTAATCCACAGATATACAAATGTATACTCATTCGTTTCTTTCAATCTAATCTCGAATACTACATAATATCACCGCGGTGAAATCAAATCACTTAGATCACAGATAACAAACAAGTAAAGGAACGAATATTAAAATTATTTATTCTGCCAAACGTTGGAACAGTTTGAAATTAAACCAATAAAGCAAACAATGAGCAAGATGGTAATTGACTTACGACAGTCATTGATCTCATTGATATTTGACCAAACAATTACAATTCTTATGCAATTAGCACAGGGAACAAAACATATTATAATAAATAATAAATGGAATAAATTCCCTGACGCGAGAAGTGCTCCTACTTGAAAAGCTTACCTAACTTATCGTCATCGAAATTGCCGAGTATAACATGCAGAAATCATTAATATGTAACGATGAATATTAATTTGAATGATAAGTTTTTTTGCTTCTACAGGCAAGCCTGCTTTCTTCTATTCGCTATTATATTTTATTTATACGAGTGCGTGTACATATACATATGTGTGTGTGTGTGTGTGTAGATATATTCCTTGGGCAGAGTGGGGTTCTACAGAAATTACGTTAGATACATACGAACATAGTTGTTAGTCTTAATTTGTTGGTGAAGTGAAATAGAATAAAAAGCCAGTGGAAGTTTCGAATTTTTATCTACGCTGGTTATTGATTCATGCAGGAAACATTCGACAGAACGGAAACGGAGAAAAAGGAAATAATCTTGGAATAGATCACTCTCTCGTACAAAAATCTGCGTTAAATCTGAGTAAGTGCTAACATTTAAATTTCTTGTTTTACGACAAAAGAAAACTAAGAGCTCTTAAATAAATTATAATATAGAATTTGGAATAGGATAAAATTGGAATTGGATAGAATAAATTAAATTGGAATTAAATCATTCTCTTTGTTACTCGTGTCTGCAGAGTTATGGTATTAAAAATGTAACGTGGCATTTTTAGACCGGTAGAAGATATTGTTATGCAATATAGATTATCTATAAATATATAGAAAAATTTCAACTTGTTACTTTTTACCTAAACGTTTCGATGTGACAACGAAGAGAATTGAGAAAATTGACCTGCAATTTTTCCAAGATATTGAAATAAATCTTGATCGCGAAGTGAGTCATAATTTTTTGTGGAAATTTTGCAGACTTCTATTGCTTTAGAATTCATAGAAATCTATACAATTTTTAGCAAAAATTACAAATCGTTTATTTTCATCGCACCGGGTAGTTCCCAGTGTCAACAGAAAAGTCTAAAAAAAGAAAAAGAAAAAGACTGAAATAATAATAAGAGCGATTCTTTTTTCTTTTTTTAATTAAAAATTTTATGAAATATGTTTTGTCTCAATATGAATATTAATGTTTCGAATATGTTTTGTCACTGTTGTCTTATCTTATCAATATCAATATTAATGTTGTCAAACATTAATTCGTTCTTCAATTTTTAAAATTTCTTTTAGTTATTCTTTTTTCCTTTTCCTTTTTAATTAAATATCTTATCAAATACCTGTCACTGTTGTCACTATTATTTTATCAATTGAACATCAATATTCCGATTATATATTCTGTCGAATTTTCAATTTTCTAAACTGAGAGTAACAGAGAGAGGATTATGGCAACTTTCTTTCTTTTCAGACATTTGAGAGCATTTCAAGATGAACGGGACGGAGTTCATGAACGCCACTGGCCCTGAGCATTGGGTCACTTTCAGCTTCGAAACGACCGACTTCATCTGGGATACTTACTTGTGGATGAGGGATCACTGGTGGAAATGCTTCTACTACACTGCCATTTATCTGATTGTTATTTTCGGAGGGAAACGTTATATGTCTGACAAGCCGAAGTTCAATCTGAGAAATGCTCTTGCGTTGTGGAGCGCATCGCTGGCACTGTTCTCCATTATAGGATTTACGAGAACGGCGCCGGAATTTTTCCACGTGTTACAGCATCACGGGTTTTACTATAGCGTTTGCTCGAACAGGTAACTTCCAATTTGGGATGAAAAATACAGGATGAGATTAAAAATACGTCATACTTCGTTTAATGAGCTGCTTAGAGTCACTGAAAAAAAGACAAGTGAAAAAACTCCAAGTTGATCGTTTTGACCGTTTTGGTAATTCCAGTGTTAGCAAAACAAGTAATTAATTTTTTTGAAGTAATTCATAATTTATATCATACATATTCATATTTCACATGCTCTTTTGGTAAGTCTAGTGTTAACAAAACGAGTGTTAACCTCTTCAAAGTAATTCATAAATTCATATTTCACATACTCTGAAAATACACTGTTACAAACGTATAAAATTTCCACGAAGAAACTCCAAGTTGGTCGTTTTGACCACTTTAGTAGTTAACCTGTCTATGGTATTGATTCATAATTCAGAATAAAAAGAAAAGAATTATTTTCTTTCCAGTTACTACACGCATGACCGTGTTTGCGCCTTTTGGTCATGCCTATTCGCCCTGTCGAAGATCATAGAACTTGGGGATACGGTGTTCATCGTCCTACGAAAACAGCAGTTGATATTGTTGCACTGGTACCATCACATAACAGTCATCTACTACACGTGGCACGCATACGCACTACTAGTCGGTACAGCCAGATGGTACATTGTGATGAACTACTTCGTCCACTCTTGGATGTATTCATACTACGCCGCAAAAGCAATGGAATTCAAACTGCCGAAATGGTTTGCCATGATAATCACCACGATGCAGCTACTGCAAATGGTCGTTGGCACTTTCGTGACAGGGGCGACGTATTACTACCTAAAGGAGGGCCAGAAGGAATGCCACGCGACGGTTCTCAACTCCACCTTCGGTCTGCTTATGTACCTTAGTTATTTCGTTCTGTTTGCCAGATTATTCCAAAAGTCTTACCTGTCCAGCAACGAACAAAAACCTCGCGCCAAAGAGAGGCAGAATCAGGCTGAGGATCACGAAAACAAGATCAAAACTAATTAGAGCGCAGTTTGAAGATTTTCGCGAAGCATTGAGTTGAAGAGACCGTTTTTCTATGGATGATAAATGTTTCTTGGAGATTCTTTTTTTTCAATTCTCTTTGGAGAAATTTTAAGAAATTTTTTTTTAGAGAAAATCTTTTTAAGAGACTTTCTTTTAAAGAAAAGAGTTTTTTTAGAGGAAAATTTCAAAAGACTTTCTTTTTCTAAAAAGACATTTGGAGTCTCTTCCTTGCAAGTATGTATCTGTCGATTTGAAGCTCGGAGTGATAGATGTTAATTGCAGATCAGAAATAAAGGAAGAAATTATGGGAGAAAATGAGACACCGTGAATTTTTATAGTGTTTATAGCTTAAGTAAGTTACGATGCTTAATTTCATTCAGCGCGAGAAAATTTTCTCCTGTCGAGAAGAGGCTTGAAATTTCTTTAAATCTCTTTAAATGGCTCTCTATCGTGGAATTAACACGTCACAGAAATAATGTAATTTCATAATGCATCACAATGTACAAAATTTGTATTTAATCGAATTGTAATCACAAACTTTGTGAATAAAAAGATTCTGACGTTACAACGAATGCACGAGTTTTTGTACGAATGAAATTACGACGTAATAAATGTACGTCTTGATTGAGTTTTTGATAAAAACGAATCGTTTACATATTATCTTGTGCATGTTTTTATATACTTGTTGATTTTAATATTTACATATTTTAAAGTACTAATGTTCGTATATTCTAGTTTTCTGATAGGAGTGTTAACGATTCATTTTCAAAGGTCGTTTTAATTAGGTTTTTAAAAAGGAAATGAATATTTAATGACGCATGTGTGTTTCGTTCTGCGCGAAGATTACATATAATGTTCATATATTATGTATCAAAAATTGATTGGATAAAAGAAATGTGTACACTCGTGCAAAATTTGTTCTATGCATTAATGTAAAAATGGGCAGGATACGTATAATATGACGAACGATACAGAAAATTAAAATTATAATAGTGGACAGTAATGAAAGTAACTTTTATCACAACATGAAAACGAATTATTTAGACTTAATTTCCTTTTTTCTACAGTTTTTTTCTTTCATGGATGTCATGTTTTTTCCGAAGCTTAATCCAAATCAATGGCCTTTTAGGCTTCCTCTATGTTACGGCAAGCTCGACGGTGAACGTTGGTTGCTGCCCGCTTCGCTCGTCGCTCTCTCGTCGTGCCTTTTACAACCTCCGGAGAGATGTTTTATGGAATGAATGAGACGTTATGTGGAATAAATACTTATATTTCTCAACTAATACAAAGTGACTGAAT